CTTCCGACCACCCCACTGGACTCGCCGTCCATGACGCGTGGTGTTTTGATATATTCGCATTCCACGGAAACAACCTAAACCGCTCAGAGATCGGACAACAAGGTCATCCTTATCGCTGTCCGACCGACTGTGCGCGCGCGCCCTCTTCATGTGGTGCTCCCGATAGTCGCAGCCTGGTGTGGTTGTTTGCGACCGACGCATATCAAACGCCAAACGCGCCTCCACCCTCCCGGCCACCAGTTCACCCAGCGACCGAATCTTGCTGCCTTGATCCCACGAAGGCACCGCGTATACCACTGGACCAGCGTGTGCCCGCCAGACGCGACTCGTCGCAGAACACATATCAACACCGCGCGCACCCCGCTTTGCGCACGCGCCGCCCGCCGACCGCCATTGTCGGCGCGACCCAACTCGAACCACCTTCACGATATCAGCGCAAAGGTAGAAGACCATGGAGCTCGAGTACTCCCCGCGCCACTCGCCTGGAGGCTCGATGCACATGCTGTCGCCTACCCACCCGCGGAGTCCACAATTTGACGGCTTCACGACCATCCGGCAAATTCGTCGCTCACTGTCTCGCTCGCCATCCAAGCCCTCGAGGTTCGCACTCTTGACTAAGGGTAACACACCGAATGCGCCCATGTCACCCGCGCCGCGGTCGCCATCGGGACTCAGTCGTGCGTACAGTGTAGACCAAACCCATATCGACACGCGCAGCAAGACCTCAGCTCAGCGTTCTGGGGCAGCACGAACACGATCGCGCAAAACATCGCCTAACAGCCCGCTGCGACGCGCGCTCAGCGACAATGTCAATCACGCCAACGTAAACGCTCGCTACTCAACGCGCCGGGCATCCACAGAGCAAGACCAGGAGAACATGGATTGCTCCGAAGACTCAGTGAAGGCTGTACCAGACCTCCGCGCCACAGACCCCATCAAACTCGACTTCGGCAGGCCAGGACCTGAAAAGTTTCTCCAGCCCATCATGCGAGAGCATGCATCGCCGATGAAGTCGAGTCCGCTAAAGCGAAGCGATGGAGTCATGAATTTGGAGGCTGCAAGCTTTGGAAGCCCTCGCAGTAGCAAGCGTAGGAGCTTGCACAGCGCATCCAGCATTGACTTCAACATCTTTGAGCAAAGCTTCGATGGCGCACAATACGATGGCTCCGGGCCCACAGAAGACGACGGGGACAAGGAGGCTGCACCCACTTTCACCTGGAACATGGCTCAACCTAGCTCACCGCCAAGACGGCCTTTCAGTCTGCGTAAGACCACCTTGTCGCAGCGAGCGGGCTCTGGTCGCAAGAATCTGTTCGCAGACTCCATGCGCGATTCTGTCATGAGTCCTTCAATGACCCGAACACGTTCGAGATTCTCACTCGATGGTTCGCTGCCATTGCGCACTTCCGACGCGGACTCCCCATTCAGAAGGAGCTCTGCGAGCGACCCTCCAGTCCTGTTTCCCGCACCCTCACAAAAATCTCTCCAGTCAGCAGCCAAGCCACATCCACTGTCTCATGCCCTGACGCCATCGTCTTCTACCTCGAGCGTGTCAGATGATGGGACAACGCCTCCTGGAGAACCACCAGTTGCGCCAACTGAGAGCTTCATGGCAATGCCCATGGATGCACCAAGAAAACTTCCTGGATTTTCGAAATCACTTCCTCTCGGTGCTCTCCGCCCGAAGCTACCAGATGGACCTCCGAATGATGCGCATGCTACGCCTGCAAGCTACAACATGGCGAAGCCATTGCCACAAGCATTCATGTCCACGGGGCTGATCTCCAAGAAGCATCGCCACATTGACGGCGGTCCAGAGGCCCTCTTCAAGAGCACCAACATGCCAGACACGCCATCAAAGAAACAGCCGCTAATGCATTTCGGCGGCAGTCCAGCGCCATCTGCTTTGGGAAAACTTGCCCGTCCTATGCATGAATTCGGAAGCCCGAGTACACCTTTCAACGGCAGGATTTCCAAGATCTCGCCCGAGACGTTCGGGAAAGGCGTCAACATCTTCGGATCAAACACCAATCAGCCTCAGTTGACCCGCAAGAGCTCTTTTATCAGTCTTGATGGAGACGAACCCATCGATTCGCCGACTCGCCATCTGGATGGTCAGGCGATCGGTGACGATCTTCCACCCACGCCAACCAAATCCACAACTTCGGTGCCCAGGCCTCAGTCTAAGGGCAAGAGTAACAGCTTGCGCAGCAGTTTGTTTGGAAGGAGAACCTCACTTGGTCCGGACACGTTTGCCTCCCCCGCTGACCGCGAACAGTCACCAGCGGCAGAGGACGAATGTAAGTTCATGCACACTGATTTTACGCCTTGCTTTCGGCGCGAGAAGGATGTGGATGACTGTGCTGTTGATGACTCGCCGATGCCTTTCATCACGTTCACAGCCAGTGCGACACCTTCACCGCGTCTGTTACGAAGCCAGTCGGATGACGAAGCGCGTCGACTGGCTTCTCCCTCACCACTTGCAAGACGATCGCTGCGTTCATGCCCGATGTTGGATGGGAATGAAAGCACCCATGCTAAGCCTCTACCAGCACCGAGCCCCATGGCAATCAAGCAGATTGAGCGTAAGCAATCTCCGCACACGCCGTTTGAGTCCTTCACGCCTCCAGACCCAAGCAGTCTGTCGATATCCGTGGAAAACCGGGCCTCTTTACCATTCAACAGCTGCAGTTTCCCACCCGCGACTCCCACTGGACCTCGTGGCGATTCTTTTGCCTTCAGTCTGGGACAGAGCAACGCGACATCTGGCTATTTCCAGAATGACGTGGATACGTCGCTCACCTCGCGATTCGGGCAGGTCAAGTCCGTTGGCACTGGCGAGTTCTCGCAAGTCTACAAGGTCGAGAAGCCCCTTCACGTGTCGGCAAAGCAGCAAAATTCGAGCCCGGGCCGTCTTGTGTACGCCGTCAAAAAAGCCAGGAAGCCCTACACTGGTGTCAAAGATCGTCAGCGCAAAATGCAAGAGGTGGTCGTTCTGCGTGCGATGCAAGGTCATGAGCATATCGTGCAATTGGTCGATCACTGGGAGTCTAAGAACCATCTCTACATTCAGACCGAATACTGTGAGAATGGCAATTTCATGGACTTCCTGACAGTAGCGGGCGACAAGGGCAGACTCGATGACTTCCGCATCTGGAAGATCTTGCTGGAGTTGTCGCAAGGGCTGAAGGCTATCCACGATCAGAACTTCATCCATCTCGACCTCAAGCCCGCCAACATCTTCATCGACTGGGAAGGTCTCCTCAAGATTGGCGATTTCGGCATGGCGAGCACATGGCCAGCACCTGCCGATCTCGACGGCGAAGGCGATCGCGAGTACATCGGCCCCGAGGTACTCTCTGGCCGCTTCGACAAGCCCGCCGACATCTTCTCGCTCGGTATGATCATGCTTGAGATTGCCGGTAACATCGAACTTCCCGAAAATGGCGCTTCGTGGCAACGTCTTCGTGCTGGTGACCTCAGCGATCTGCCGAGCTTGACATGGAGTTCCGACAGCCTGCCCAGAGATGATTCGGGTGATCCGATCAATCTGCTGAACGGATTGTCGACTGAATCGCTTGTCACCTCACAGCATGGCGATGACGATGATCTGAGCTTCCTGCGACCGGCGCCACCGCCCAAGGCTGCGCGCAACCATGACTTGGTCACCCCGCCCAAGTTCATGGTGGATTCCACTGATGACGGAGCTCTTGAGAAGATTGTGCAATGGATGATCTCTCCAGACCCAGATCAGCGACCGACCGTGGATCAGCTCTTATCCGTACATGGCGTGCAGTGGGTTGAGCGACGCCGCCGTGCAGGCGCCACCGTGTACGAAGGCACATGGGGACCGGCCGACGATGTTCTGAACCATGGCCAACAGGACGATGTGGAAATGATGGACATATGAATAGAGGAGGAACATACGGGAAGGAGGAAAGAAAGAGAAGAGCACACTGGCACGATTCATGAACTAATACCACTGTCTATTTTGCATGCAACAAAAGTATTGAAAGCATCCCTTACTGCGCAATGGCGGCGACGGCGACGCACGCGCCCCTTGCTTTGCTTGGCTTGCATTTGGATGTGGGAGCACATGGAAGAAAGAGCGCGAGGGATTTGAGAAGAGTTCCGAGGCTTCTTATCGCTATTATCATACGACACAACAGTGATCAACGAACAGTACGGAGGTTATGAGGACACGGCAGAAGACACCAGTATGGGAATTGGGAGGGGACAAAAAGGAGCGAGCAGGCGAGCGATTAGCCGCTTCGCCAAGGTAGATAACTTCTAAACATAGGCGCCTCTTTGAACGCCATAGAAATGTGAGGATCAAGGACAACAGATGTGTTGTGGGCATGAGTCTTTCCCCCTCTTCTTCTGTTATTGTTGCTGTCATTGTTGTCGTATTGTGATCGATTTACTCCTTACCTCGTCGTTTGTTCTACGCATGCATGCATGCTACTCGCCGAGGTCGATCCTCGCTCGCTCGGTCGGATGGTTGGGGTGACACGACATTGTGTAGAGTGGCATTGACAGAGGGTACCTGCACATGCAAATCTTTTGTTCGTTTGGGAGATGCTACATAGTACTGCTAATTTGTTTCATGCGGGTTCGCAGGTTGCATGCATGCATGCAGATGTACATGTTGTGCATATGCGAGTGGGTTTGTCAAAGGGAGGCTGAGTGAGGTGGTGAGAAGCTTGGGGCTGTTGAGAAGGATTTGATGGATGGTGATGAGGGGAATTATGCTGTTGAGTTGAGCTGGATGGTGAGGAAATGGGAGGTTGTGTCATCGTTTCTCTGTACTTGGTTTTGGTTTGTGGGAGACACGTAGTTCAGATCGAGGGCTTTGAGGGCTGTGAAGGCTGAGTCTATTCTCGTTTTCGTGCCGTCTTTTCTCGTGTTGCATGCGAGATGATGCCTTGTTTGCCTTACCTCACCTCGCACGTACCATTGTTTCGCTGTCATGTGGGATCATCGCTGCTTGGTCGTTGCGCCTTGCGACATTTGGTGTTCGTGTTGGCCTTGCTTTTACATGTGCTTTGGTGGGGAGTTGGCCTTGCTTTTGATTGTGCTTTGGTCTTGCGAGAGATTTGAGAGAAGGGGTCATTGTCCAAAGAGGGGAAATGCTGCGTAGCTTACGACATGATGATACTGGGCTTCACTGGTCGGATTCGACAGCTGCGGGAACGAACAATCTCGATCAGAGCCAGGCCTCAAGTTTCCTTGCTTTGGTACGAGATGGAGTGGGGAGCTCAGTTCGGAGATCGATGGTCCACTTAACGACTGCTCGTCGATGGACGTTCATGTGCATCGCGATATCGGGTAAATACTTGATTTGAGCTGTTGCAGCTGGTGCTGGGCAGGTCTGCCTGCTCGGCGTAGGAAGCACGTGTGATGCGGCTCACGAGCAGTGCGCTCGCGCGCTTGGCATCGCGTCGCTGTGGGAGGTGAGCTACGGGCAGCGAGTGGTGGAGGAGGAGCGTCAGATGCAAGCAAACCGGCTTTGCGGCTCCTTCTGCTCCTTTTGCGCGGGATGGCCGGCGAGCTTCATGAGCCCAGCACCCTAGCGCGAACTGCCGAGCATATCGCAGCTCTGCAGCTCGAGCTGCGCCTGATCGCGGACGGGTGTGAAGAGGCTAGTGATCGCAGGTGTGGCGCACTCGCTCGGTCGTGCACGTCACGAGAGCAGCCCGCGACATCGACGTGGCAGAGTCGCGTGGGCGAGCCAGCGAGGCCGTGGTGTGCGCGCGCTCGAGACAGACCGGCTGACAGCGCCCCTTGCGTGGGAGATGCTGCTGCGGAGCGGTGTGATGAATCTACTGCTGGCTCTCTGCTGGCTGCTGCCGATTGCGCCCGCTCAAGGGAAATGTTTTTGCAGAAAAGGAGCCAGCTGGGTGAGGAGCTGATTCCGTCGGGCGGGAGGTGAGAACGAGTTCCAGTGCTACCGCACAAAGGTTCCCAAGTACTCGAGGTACTGCTGGCGGAGGTGTGGCGCTGGCCTTACCCGAGCAGCGTCATGAAGCTGCACATAATAATGCAGTGTTCGCGAGAAGACGGGTGCAGTATTTGTCGTGCACAACGTGAGCCGGACGTCCTTTTGCGGTGTGGGCTCGCGGTGCCAGAGTGTGAAGAAAAGAGCGACAGCGCGGAGGGCATGACTAGGCAGGCGATGGGCGGGTGTTGGTGTCGCTGGCACTCGCTCCGTATGGCCCAGCGCGTGCCTGGACGCCACTGACGACCATTCCACGCTGTGCCTTCGCCGATGCGCTATTCCGCTCGCGCCCAGTTCCTCGGGAGCCAGGCGCAAGGCTGCGTGTTTGGCCTGTCCGTCCGCATCACCTCTTGGGCCGCTGCTTTTCTTTGTTGGCCCTACTTGTTTCGTGTCATCGCCCGCGCCGACCACGCCCGCACCTCTCGTCTGCACTCTGCGACACGCGCGCCGCACACGCTCGCCTCGACGCCTCGCGACGCCTGACCGAACAATTCAGCCCTGCGCCGGTCGTGATCGCATCGCGTCGGCTCGCTTCTCGGCAGAATCAAGGATCCGGCGTACCTGGGAATCTCGACTCCGCAAACTGTGGAAACCCAACGACGATTGCGAGACGTTGCGAAGCAAACACTGACGCGCCCGAGCTTCCCTGAACTCCTGCAGACCACCGCTTCTTTGCCCTTGCGCTCAACCTGGGACGACTGCTTTGCCGACGCCCACCAAATTCCCCGAGACGACCACTCTACCACATCCGCCTAGCTTCCGTCCAAATTGTGTGAAATGGGAGGATCGCTGTGACGCAACAGGCAATCATCGCGGAAGATGGTGGGATGTGAGCCATTCCGGAGCCTTCGAGACAGCACACCCAGCCGCCAGGACCATGGCAAGCAAAGATAGCCCAGAGGGCTTTCGCTCTATCAGCGGACAAGCGGAGACTGCAGAACCGAGCTTCAATGGAGGGAATAGCAACAATGGGAGTGGATCGAGTTCTCAGACGGCGTCCAGAAAATCCTCGACCACACAATTACGACAGTCGACGTCAGCATCGTCAACTGGCACTTCGACTGTGCCCACATTACGAAAGTCTTCCTCCACGAATCTCACGCCAATTATTGCATCGCCCGCACCTGGAGTGAGTCCGCGCACATCGAGAAACACCTCACCGATCCGCCAGGACAAGCCACTTACTGCCACGAATTCCTTATCAGCACAGCCGTCGGCAGCAGCGCTTCAAAGAGCACTATCAGCATCGAACGTGCCACAACTCCAGCACAAACCAGCAACAGTGAGCGACGCTGTAGCAAAGTTATCCGGTCGGGCACATAAAAGTGCGACTGCTTCCGGAGACACCACGCCTCAATGGCCGGTCTCACCAAGGATCAAGTCGCCTCCGCCTTCAGGCCCCAATTCACGACGTGGCTCTGCAGCTGCACAGCAGAGAAGGCCAGATTCTTCAGCCATGCCGAGCATTCAAATATTGAGTGCAACTCCACAGAACAACATCGCAGCAATAACGAGCTCTCGCACAGCTAGTACCGATAACCAGAGGCCTGATGTTCAGCTGCAGCCGCCGCCACCACCCAAAACAGCGCCACGTGGTGCGAGTGGCAAATCGACTTTGGAGACCGTGCAAGAGAACATAACCGATAGTCAGGATCCAAGTCCTGCAGCCGTGCAGGCAGCTGCTGACTTGAAGCCGCTTACGAAAATCACTGGTGAGGAGCCCAAAACATCACCCACCAAATCTGAGATTCAGCCGGGCGAGAGCGGAAGCGAGAGTGCTGGCAACAAGAGCGACTCCAATAACAAGCGCGGACGCCGGCAGTCGACTGGCGCAAGCTCACATACAGCACATAGTCAACCGCCAGCTGCTAAAAAGGCGCAGCTACAGCATAAACCGAGCCATTCTATCGGGCCCACTGCCAAGGAACGACAGGCTGCGGGCAAGCAGAACATGACGGTAGAGACCGAAACAGTGCAATCGATCCCGCAATCTCAGCTCGCTCCTGCAACTGACAGATCAGCTTCGCGCATCGAAAGTGGCGGCACTGTGAAGTTGAAGCCGAGCAACGAGACGATTCGGCCCAGGAAGGAACGGAAGAAGGCTGCGCCCAAGACAAGAAGTGTCAATCAAGGAACGGCAACTTCGAAAGCGGACCTGTTCGAGGCCCGGGTGGCGAGTGCTGTAGATGAAGCGAATACGTCTGATTCGGACGAGACTTTTGTCTATGAGTCAAACCCACCAGAGCAACCGCGGCGGCATCGACATCATTCGAGAACTCCGAGCGTAACATCTTCCCACAGCATGGCAGAGCAGCAGAGAGGCCCGATTCGAGCCTACAACGACTCCTTTGACGGACCTAGAGTGGCCGGAAAGCGAAGTATGAAATTCTCCACCAATCCTACAAATCCCTATGGCATGGACAGCCCGGACAGCAGGAACGGCACTGTTCGCATGCACACTCCAAAGCACTTTGGCAAGTTCGGAAGGAGTGGGAACCAGGAACAAGACTCTCCCTATACGCAAGCCACCAAAGTTCGCAACAATCACCTTGTGCAAGGACGATCGAGGCCGACATCTCCTCGGAGTCCGCAGAATATGCAGTTTCGGGGCGCTAGTTTCTTCTCAAACTCGAGAAAGCAGGAACAACCCTACGACTTCGATGCCAGCCAGAATGCGGATGACGAGAGAACGCCACTCATGGGACATGGCACAGTGCGAACACCGCGACGGCAGCAATACCACCCACATCGCTTTGCGAACAGCTCGACTCATTCGCTTCCGAATTACTATCACGAAGATGACGAGGCACGGGGCTGGTGTGGAATTAAGCGATGGGGCGGGTGCTTCCTGACGACTCTTGTTCTTATTCTCGTCGTTGTTTCGGCTCTCGGCTTCGTGTTCGCATCGAACAGGCCTCTTTACGATGTCAAAGTGCACAAAATTCACAATGTGCTAGCCAGTGAAACGGAGTTGATGCTGGACTTGCTGGTCGGCGCAGTCAACCCGAACACACTAGGAATTTCTGTCAGCGAGTTGGACGTGAACATCTTCGCCAAAAGCAAACATGTTTCGAAGCCAAACACGACAGCACCAGATGCGCCCGAGATTGCCAGGCAGATGCGCTACGGAGTGCGTGCAAGTGGTTCTGATGGAAAGAATCCCAATCCTATCCAGGATCCTGATGGGCACTGGCACGCTCCTGGCGAGAACACGCCGGATGCTGATCCCGAAAATGACGCACAGACACTGCTTTTGGGCAGAGTCTTCCACTTTGATCAAGCCTTGATGTTCGAGGCCTCGCCGATCAAGCAGCATGAGCATGTATCCTCGGGACAGCTGCGTTTGACCAAACCAGGCAACAGGACGGAATCCCGTGGGAGTGCCAAGTGGGAGGAAATTATCCAATACCCCTTCGAGCTCATCGTCCGAGGGACACTCAAGTATCAACTACCAATATCGTCTCGGCTACAAAGTGTGGCTATCGGAGGCAAAGTGGTCGTGCATCCCGAGGAGGATCTCGACAGTGATGGCAATATGAAAACAATGCCAGTGGATCACTCTGAGAAATGGCAATGGATAGAGTGGCCCGAAGAAGAGGAGGAAGATGGCGGCAGGATTGAAGAATTGAATTAGTGGGAGCAGGAGGTTGATGACTCTTGGCTACACATTGATTTTCACATGTCCAATTTGCATATGCTTGTTGCATTTTTCTCTGTTTTCTGTTTGAGCGTTTCAGCGAAAGGACAAGCCCCATGCTGGGAGTATCAAAGCGAGCGGGATTTGAAAAAGCTATGGCATCTTAAGACCAAGCGAGGAGTCACGTATCCATGGACGTTATTTGGTCGGTGCACCAAAAGATGGGACTGGTGGGCTTCTGGCGAGAAGACCCGACGGCGCGACGCCAGATCTTTTCCTTTAGTATGAGACTGACGTATTATGGCACGAGCCTGTGAAAGTGGGTAGCAGATTGAACAGGGGCCAGTGTGAAATTTGAATGCTCATTGCTGTTCACTGTTCCTGTGGTTGTCCTTTCTTTCTTGGCATTACTCTCCGGCTCGCTGACGCGCCTTCCCGCTTTTCGGGAGCACTCCGCGTCCTCCACATCGCCCTGGTCGAGATCGAAGTCAACAACTCGAGCACCACTCTGCCCGCGCGACATTGCCTGCATCGACCGGTCAACAACTCCGGTGCGCGCGCTTTGCACCGACGCATCGACCAAGCGCGCGCGACACCGCATTTCTATTCACTTCTCCGCGCACGACACCGATACTAGCGCGCATCACCGCGGAGCACATTATCACATGCGCATCGCGAATTCCAGCCCAGCCATGCGATAGCCGACCTCGAGCTGCAACGCCGCCACGATGAATCCCGCAGAGCTCACTTTGACCATCTCGCCCTCACTTACCAAAGCCACCCCCGCGACGATCAAATATGGCATCAGCGCTGCGACAGTCCCGCCAACGGGGAGAACATTGGTGGAGCGCATCAACGTCGAGCCCATATATGCGCAACTCAAGGCCGCCTTGGGAGATCAATGGAGCGACTACAAGGCGACCATCGCCGCTTTCATACTCGGCAGCTTGAACCAGGCCGAGCTATCATGGGTTTTGCAACCACTTCTCACGACGCTGCCGCTGGCCAGTACGGACCTGAGCAGACCCACTGCCTCAATACTGCAGCTGCACAACCAGCTGATCACGGCCATCTATGCGAACACACTGCGCGATGCTCCTGCGTCAGAGGTTGCGCCATGGGTCGTGGCAACAGACAAGCCTTCGAGCACGTCAAAGAGCTCGGGTGCGGGAGGAGGCGCGAACGACAAGACGGAGGAGAGGTTGAAGAGAGAGATTATGAACATACATCCGAGAGACAGGCAGAGGATCAAATCATTGAAGGATGAACCTACAAAAGCGGCCAAGGACGATGGTCTGCGCCAGGTTCTGGAGTATGCGAATGAGCTGGCTGTGAAACCCCCAGGGACAGGACAAGGACCGAACGAGTCTCAGACGACCACGCCTGGTCTTGCCAGGAGTAATTTTGATATTGAGATTCAGAGGCGATATGCTCAACCTTTGGCAAGCGAGCAGCTCGAATTTCCGGCACCGAATGACTTGCAGAATAAGATTGAGCCGATATGCTATGAGCAAGGCTTGACTGGAGGAGTGCAGCAAGGCATGCTTCAAGGATGTGCCGAGCTGGTCGAACAGGCCTGTGAAGTCTACATCAAGGAGATGCTCAGTGCGTTCCTCGGACACTCGCGTAGCAATGCGGTGGGCAAGGATGGCGTGCAGACGCATAAATTCAAACGGCAGCTTCGGAGAGAGGAAGACGACGCCGATCGAGGGGTCCTGCAACGGAATGCAGGAGGCATGTTGCCTGTCGAGATGCAGATGCAAGCGCAACGTGCACCTTTGAGAATGGCAGACATGCGCCTTGCGCTCGGCTTGTCAGACTCTTTCCTCAAGCAGGATCGCTTCTTGGAAGAGCAGATCATGCTCAAGCACTATCCTGTGCTGGATTTATCCGCCAAGGGTGGCATCAACGGCGTCTCGACGCACCTCACGAATGGGGTCAAGCGCAGAAAACTCTCTGGGCCTGACAATGCAGATGCCATGGATATAGATGCCGAGTTCGACTACGGCCAGTTCAAGGGCGTAGCGAAGAACGATCACGACAGCGTTATGAGTGCTTTGGACGATTGTTTGCTGGCTGCTGGGTAGAGTCCACGACAAGCTGAAAACGAACTTTCGTACAATCACTATCCTGCCGGGTACCACAGCGGAGGTCCGATACTGGAGGACTTCCGAACTGGTGCATACAGAGCTAGCGTCGAGAGGGCTGTTGCCGCGCGCCAGCTGCGCGCTGGGATTTTCACGACTGGAGACAGATCCACGACCCAGCCTCAATCATCAGCTGCTCCTGCACAGAGAAGAACAGGGCACTCGAAGACCTCAGCAGCTCTTGTGGATGATGGTCCTAACGAGCCAAGGAAGGAGCCTAGCGCTGAAGGGCAAGACGTATGCGCCCCGAGCAAAAAGCGTCGGGGCGTGAATGAGCGGCGCCAAGCCAAGGAATCTGCTGGGGCTACTGAGAAGAAGCCTGGCAAGAGGAAACGTGTACACCCGGATGAGGGCGAAGACACGACCTCCGCTGTTCCGCTCAAGGATGGCAAGAGTGCCGATGCACAGCCTGGTGCGAAGCCGGCTAAACGTGCTCGAACAACGAAGAGTCAGGGCCAGCAACAGCAAGGCTCCTCCAAGAAACGAAAGCGTGCACAGCAAATTGATAGTGACGCCACACAAGCAGAGGCTGGGGACGCGCCGCCGAATAAGAAACGTGCGCTTTCGTCGGAGCCTGCTGATACAGAGGTGGTAAAGGAAGGACATTCGGTGCTCAGCAATGAGAACAACAAGCGAAAACGGTCGTCTTCAAATGCCACCCGAGAAGATCCATTCCCTAACGACGCCCCACTTCCATTAGGCGACGTTGTCGGCGAGCTGAATGATGTATTCGCTGCTTTCCCAAAGAAGGCGAATCCTGTCATACCGAAGCAGAGAGGCCCGCCAGCAGCTAAGAAGCCGAGGGCGGCATCGACAGTCGAGCCAAACGACGAAGATGACGCACCTGGCGAATCAGACTACGAATTAGCTCCACCGCCTCCGTTCCCCAGCAACCCATATGCTCCGCCAGCTCAGGCGGCTTCCAATAAGGGAACGGTACTAGAGGCGTTCCAAGTGGCATCTACAAATGCAGCCGAATCACAACCAGCTAGCAAGAGACCACGTAAGACTCCGCTGACGATCGAAGCCGCGACGCCGAAGCGCGATGCCAGTTCTTCATTAGGCATGTCAGGATCTGAGCCAAGCTCTGCGCCGCCAAAGTTGAGCGCATCGAGCGCGAAAAGCACCTTCGATCCTCTAAAGGCGACCGAACCGAGCGAAAAGACAATTGCATGCCCCCTTTTTGATAGAGGCAAGGGAGGACCATGTGCAAAGTCTGCAAGCGGAATATACAGGGCTCGTAGTATGCAAGACCATATCCGCCGAACGCATCCAGAGCACTACATTCACAAGCTGTCAGCCACTGAGGAAAATGTGCAGCGAATGTTCAATTCGCCTGCAAAGTCAGCAGTGGCAGGCCACGCTAGCAGCACTGGCGTTGAACAGCAGGACCAGATGAGTAGTTCTGCTCCTCAAACACCAGTGCAGAGTCGTCAGCAAGACTGCACGACACCAGTAGCTGGTAGTTCGTCCTCCGGTAAACGGGGTGCGACCCAGATCAGCGCGCGCAGGGAGCAGGATCGAAGTCAAATGAAGCGGGATGTGGGACCAGTGCAAGGCTCTCGCGAACGACCACAATATTCACCACTTACTGCCAAGAACGAGCAGAGAGCTTCGCGTGCAAGTCTCGCACCTCCGCCCCCTTTCCCTCTGAGCAGGAGGAACAGCTTTAATGTGGATGCTATGGTGCCACCTCAACAGTCTCCTCGGACAGGAAACTCAATGGCAGCACCGAGCCGCGTTCGCACGCCTCTAGATTCAGCTTTGAACGGCCGCATGGGCCCGCCGGTCGGTGGAGCGACGCCAACCCGGACGAGCTCCAATGGTTCATCAGCGTCACTCCAGAGCCGTAGAACAAGCTTTGTCGCAGGCCCGGCGATGACAGGGCAATTTCGAAGTGGCACCGGAGCAGAAGGCATGTCCTCGAACCAGGTACAAATGTCTCCATCGCTGCAAAAAATTGCAGCTGCAACGTCGAATGGAGACTGGGCGCCTCCGCCAGCCCCAATATCTCAAGGCAGCAGCACCCCAAGGTTGAGTGCGGGCCCGCCCATTCTGTCGCCCTCACAATTTGCCGAACGAACCCTCATGCAGAACCACATGCAGCATCAATATCACATGTCACCTCCCAGGAACGAGCAGTATATGAGGAGAGACGCCACGCCGCTCGTCAGTCCCCGGGGGCAGCATATGGGCTTCCAGCAGCCACAACAGAGTCCTACGCACCTACGCCCACCTTATATCCACTTTCCGCCCTATGCTCCTGGCTTCGGCTTGGCTCAGCATCCCGACCTTGGAATGAAGCCAAGATGGGATCCCAACAGCGTTGTGATGTCCAGGATGACAGGCACGCCAGACGTTGCGAGGCGCGCACAGTATACGGACCATCCAAGAGGCTGCCGCTGTGAGCAGTGCGAGCCTGGATTCGCATTTAGACCTTAGTGCGGGTTTATATCAAATTGGCAGTAGTTTTGGGGCTGGCGGAATGGAGATACTGCCCACTAGGATGGGCATAAGCGTCGGCTGGAGGTCGGGTTGATACCAAGTGGAAACTTGTTGCATGCTACTGTCGCTGGCGATGGCGCGATTGACAAGTCTGAAGATTATTGATGTACACTTAGACGTAGAGTCCAGACGTGCGCAACAAATTATCAATCAATCATTCACAGTCTGGGAACTTGATTTGATTCAGAACAACTTCATCGTCTCCTCTTGCTGAATTGAACGCCAAACTCAAAGGACGTGTGGGTAACCCAATACGCGCAACCCTAGGGCACAGCTGAGCTTGGTCCACCAACTCAACTTACTGCATCCGATTCTCCCGTCCGTAACTTGATGAGTCTCCTTGCCTCCACTACTGTTTCTATATGTAGCTCTCCTCTTCAAGATCGACCTCTTGGCAACACGCTTCTGGATTCGAAATTTTACGAATACAATGCTTGCTGCGCCTTCACCTAACCTCGAATTGTACGGCAGCGGAAACGAGAATAGATCGACAGTGGCTGTGTGCTCTCTCGCCCACCATAGTCTAGTCGCGAGACCATATAATACGCTACTGAAAGGTCAAATTAAGCATAAAGTGGAACAGCTTCGGGCGCTACGCTGTTGGCATGTTTCGCGATACGGAGTAGAGGTGACAGAGAAGGGAAATTGATCGACGCTATGGACGCGCTGGTACAAGAAGAAGTTTGGTTGCTATCTTTCTCTATGCTAGCATAGACAAGCAGCTTCTGCAACTATGAGGGGCTCTGGAATTCTGTTCGCCGCGTGCGGACAGCTGCTCGCTGTCAATGCGCAGAGTGCAGAATCATCTTGTACTGCTCTTGAGGCTAAGCATCCTCGTTGCGAGAAGTTGATTCAAAGGAAAGCATGGTGAGTGACCATGTCACATCTCAAAGAACCGCATCGCGGCCAAGCTAACGAGCCGACCTGTTCTCAGGCACACCCTCTCCAATGACGAAAAAAAATCCTACCTCGACGCCGAAGTCTGCCTCCTCAACACACCCCTTTCCACCCTCCCCTCTCTCCAAACCAAAGACCAACTATCCCGCTTCCCCATCGCCAAAACCCTCTTCCAAGCCCTCCAAGAACAACACCAACTCCAATCCGATTTCATCCACGAAGTCGGCGCTTTCCTCCCCTATCACCGCTACATGACCCATGCACACGAATCTCTCCTTCGCAACAAATGTAATTACACCGGCGCACAACCTTAATGGGACGAAGAACGCGATGCATCACATTTTGCGAATTCGAGTATTTTTGATGCGGAGTTTGGGTTTGGTGGAAGAGAACCAGGCTGCATTAGTGACGGACCGTTCAAGAACTATACACTCGTCATCGGACCCGGGAAGAATAATTCCGTGCACTGTTTGGAGCGCGCGATCGATGATGTTGCGAGTCAAGCTGCTTCGAAGGTCTTTCTTGACTTTGTGAGGAATTCGACGAGTTTTGAGGAGGCTTGGGAGAGGATTGAGTTTTATCCGCATTCGGCGGGGCATAGTGGTGTTGGAGGAGAGGTAAGTTCTTTCCGATCTCTACTTTTGTTTTTGATGGGAGTGGTTTATGATGAGTTGCTTTGCTGACGTATCTCAATGCGTGATAAATGTTAAACCCCATCTCGAGTCCCGGAGATCCGATGTTCTATGTTCATCATGCGTTCGTGGATAAGCTTTGGTGGGATTGGCAGGTTGTGGATTTGGAGAAGAGATTGTATGCGATTGGTGGTCCGACGGTCAAGGATCCTAATCGGCCTGCGCCGGTTCCTGAGGGGTGGATGCCGGATGGTGAAATTCCTGCTCGAGTGCGTAAGAGACATGAGGCGCATGCTCGGAAGCACAGTTTGAAGAGGCAGGATGGTGCAGATCAAGGAAATGGGACGGCGGCGACGACGACGACTTTGGAGCATGGTATTAGCCTGTTTGGGTTGCTGGAGGATGTGACAGCGGAGGATGTTATGGATATTCGGAATGAGCTTTTGTGCTACGAGTACGTTTGAGGTATTGGTGGAATCGATGGGAGAAGAGCCCCTGGTGTACAGTGTACGGACAACAGTCGAGGAGAGGGCATGTACATATTCTTGCCGTAATGAATCGTCTTGCCACATAGCTTGTGTGCGTATAACCAAGCCTGGGTGTGCTATCGCCGATGGAGCTTCCATCGTTGGTCGTACTTCCGAGCTCTGATGATGTATTGCTGCCGAAGCAAGTGTGTTTAAAAAGCTCCTCGCTGCAAACCTCCGTTTATCAGTAACTAAGAACTACATAGACATCGTCAACACTGTTTTTGCGAACCTGAAAGAAACGCAACCGCTGGTCGCGTAGCTAATTCTTAGGAATCGCTCGTGAACATTCTCTATACGAGCTCGAGAGATGAGTGTGCACTTACTCAATATGGAACGACGTTGAATTCGTGACTAAAAGCTTAGGGTTGAGTGATAAATTTAGACAGATCTGCTAGCTTCAACACCAGGTGAAGTCACGGAAGCAATTGGTGCCTCAGGGGCCGAAGCTTGGCACTCGGAGCAGTTTCGTGCCAGACATCCGAGCCGCCCAAATAGATGGGCTGGCCATCACCAGAGCAAAGTCGACTTCAACTCTAGAGGCTCATATCTCTCTTCCTCTGCCGTTCGATGTGTTTGAGACTGCAGACGCCTGATATCCACGCAGCCTACCGTCGACTCTCCATATCCTACTAATGATTTCTCAAACCCGCTCCTCCCTCCTCGTAACAGTCATCCACAATCCAATCTGCGTCCAAACACCAATTTGGAAATCGACTTCGTACGGTTTCTTCGGATCACAGATTTGAAAATCGAAGCGTTGCAACAACTCCACGAAAATCTTGTTCAATTCCATCAGAGCGACAGGCTGACCAAGACATTTGAATCGTCCATAGCCGAAAATGACTTCGTTATTCTGATCCATCTCGCGGAGCTTGGCGGCGCTTTCGCAGTCGCCACCGTCTTCGTGTAGAAGCCAGCGTTCGGGACGGAAGCAGTGCTCATCTGGACCGAAAAGTGATGGGTTGCGTGTCATGGCGTAGGTGGACCAGCTGGGATATGTCGTTAGCCATACGGGAGGAGCATGTGTGTATGAGGGAAGCATTGCTTACCCAATTCTTGTACCCCCAGGCACGAAATATCCGTCAACTTCATCTCCTCCAGCCGGAACCTCATGCGAGAACAACCCACTAACAGGCGGCGCAATTCTCAATCCTTCCTTAATACAAGCCTGAAGATACTTCATCCCTCGCGCAGTCGAATCCCTAATAACCTCCTCTTCCCCAACCCCCTCCATCTTTTCTCCAATTTCTTTCATCAACCTCCTATAAACTCTCTCACAACTCACCACATTCAACAAAACACTCCTCACAGCCGTAGCAGTCGTATCACTCCCCGCCAAAATCTGCAAAACAACCTCACTCTCCACCTGACTCCTCTTCATCCCATGTCGAAAAAAAGATCCCATCATATCTTTCCGATCTTCACTCGGCGTCTCATCACCATTCCGAAACCTCCTCCCGACCAACTCCTTCGCAAGCCGATACGCTTTTCCTAATCCCAAATCATCCCTCTCGCTCGGTCCCACCAGTGCCAAAATCTTACTCTTCTCAAGAAATAAGTAGAGTTTGGGCAAAACAGCCATGATATTGATTAACGTAATCCCCTGTTCCATCTGTTCAAGATATCCATGATTATCATTATCATCCCTCAAATCCCCAAAACTCTCTCCAAACGCGAGAGAAGAAATCACATCAAGAGTGAAAAAATGGCTCTTCCTCGCAAAATCCATCGGCTTATAAATTCCTTCTTTCAAATTTGATATGTATTTTCTGTTGATTAGGGAGATGAGTGAGAGCACTTGTTCGTCGATTTTGGATTCCAGGTCGGGGACTTCTTTGCCACCGTAGCCTGCTGCTAGTTTCATTCGGAGGTCGGAGTGGGATTTTTCGGAGCGCATTGAGAGGGTGTTGTCTTGGTTGGGGACGAAACGCATGGCGTTGAACCAGTCGGAGCGGGGGTAGCCGGGCGAAGAACCTTTTGTCGAGGAAGAGGAGGAGGAAGAGTAGATTTTCTTCCATGTTTTGACGGAGCCTGTGATGAGGTGGCCGGGCGCGATGCGGATGAGATCTGAATTGTACTCTTGGCAGAGGTGGCCGTATTTGGACCAGGCGGAGCCGGAGGTGATCCAGTAGAGGAGGGGAAGCGTGCTGTGAGAAGTGTACCATGGGCCCGGAATGTGAGACAGTTTGGAGGGAGATATGATATGCGCGTAGATGAGGTAGAGGGTGAGAACAAGAGCGGCGAGGACAGTTGGAGAGGACAGGAGTTCCAGGGAGAATGAGAAAGCCATGTTCGCTGTTGAGGGCCTGGTTGGTGTTGCTGAAGAGGTTGTTGGGGAGTAAAAGCTTGAGGTGGTCGTTCGTTGCTGCTACTCTTTTTCTTTTTCTCAGTCAAGCGAGGCTCAAAGTACAGAACTGTCGAAACACCTGTCTGACGTCCCCTCTACCGCTCGAACGATTCTGACATGCGTCGATTCCAGTTCACCGACAAACAAAGTTCACCTTACATTGGAGCAGCTACCTATGCAGTCGATAAGTATGCACTCGCAGCTGGTGATCGCCCTCCAGGAGGCGCATCCTCTCGCGTGCGAAGCCTTAGCCGCATACCAAAAGGACCTTTGTCTGAGAGGTTACTGGCTCACGGCATGGAACTCGGCAAACCGAGTGCAAAGTCCGATAAAATATGTGGAGAGCTTCAGCTCCTTCATGCCATCCCCGAAGTTCAGCCTGTGCAGTCCTGCAAGAAAGTGGATAGCATGGTGGAGCATCCCAGCCGAAGGAACGGACGCAGCGACCGTTTTAGGTCAATGGTGTTGAGGATGTTGCATGAATATGGTGTTGTGTTCAGGAAAGGTCAGAAGTTACGCGGTTTGGTGTAAGCTGATGAGTGATCAGTGTAACTCATGATGAGACGTGACTGAGGAAGACAACAAATTCACGCGATGAGAATTGAGGACTTGTACGCCGAGCTCTTTCCAGCGTGCCAAGAGTGTTTCGCACGTGTGCATATGTTGACGTTGACAGTAGACGCGTGATTGCAAAATCGGCACCGAAAGAGAAGGGCAAGCAAGCACGAATGCCATATCGAAGCCCGATCGTCTCTCTTGTCGCGCATCATGACCCTGTCCGTCCTGACGTGGGAACGAGAGTGCGTTGATGCAAAAATTCCAGAGGAGCACTCCAGCCGGGTATGTGCTCAACTCAACAACACTCTGATCTCGTCCTCAGTCCTGGGAAAGACTTCTCGCAACCACACCTCCTCTTCCACGTCTCCGTTGACCTGCTTCATCCTCAGCTCATCAGCCTGTACGACCAATGTTTCAATCTCCAGGAAATCTTCGCAGAAGATCTCTGCTGCATTCTCAATAATCCTCCGAGCCAGAGTCTTGTTCTCTAGCTGTGCAAGAAATGCTCTTGCGTCTTCAGTAGCAGTGGGTAGGAAAGCGTCGAGTTGCTGCGCGACAGAAATGATTTGGCCAGGATCTTTGTACGATGAAGCGAGGTCGTCTGTCGAGGTGATATTGTCCGCGAGCAATTCGAGGCCGGATTGTTTCAGGAACCATCTGTGCATGGATTGAGTGAGCTCTTGTTCATGGGCGTCAATCTTGGGCTGTAGCGCTTCCGACTGATCCGCGAAGGAGTAGGCGCCGAGGACTTCCTTGGTAGCAAGAAGACAGTTGAGGGCAAAGATGTGGCTGTTTGGTTTCCGCAGTCGCGTCGTGATGTTCTCACAGCCTGCCAAGAACGGGTCGAGGGCCTCCTGGAGAATTGGCTGGAAGCCTTGAATGCGTTGTGCAAGGCTCACGTTGGCTACTGATGTGTCATAGCTCTTCATCAAGACCTTGAGTGTCTCCAATGCATCGATCAAAAAGTCAGCAGGCGCAAGGTCGTCTGTAGAAAGAGCGAAGTCTGTTTGCAAGTTTGCAACATGGTCGCGCATCGTAGATCTGAACGCTCGAAGCGCACTGTCTGAGAGTGGACGAAGAATTTCGAGCAGCGCTGAGCTCTCCCCAAGCAGGTTCGTGAAGATGCCCGCATAGAAGTTCACGAGATTCGAGATCTTGTAGGCCAGCGTTGCATCTTCGTGGCTCTGTACAACTTGTTCAGTTCGCTGCTTCAGCTGTCGGAAAACGCCAGCAAGATCTCGGTCCACCAATTCATTGAGTGCTTTGCGACCATCGAATGGCAATGCAGCACCCTCGCCATCGGCGCGAGACCATGGCTCGCTTTCAATGCCAGCTTGAATGCTCTTCGCGATTTCGTCACCTTCGGAGATGAAGAGCACCTCGAGAGCCTCCCTTTCGGACACGGTGGCCGAATGTGCCCATGCTAGCATGTCACTGACATATCGGAGGGGGTCGTGAGCCGACAGCTCGATAGCCTTGCCAAGGACTGGATGATCTGCATCGACAGGTGCGCCTGTGAGAGCGGAATAGAAGTTGTTCGACAAGATGTTTTCTCGAGCTTCTGCGAAGAAGTCCAGACAATTTTGAAACAGCGTTGGTCTCTCGGCCAGCACTCGTAGTGCTCGTCTAATGGCGGCGCTGATTTGCGGATTTTCCAGATCCAGTGACTTGAACTCACGCTGCACCCATCTGTACAGCTTCTGATATGTCGAATTGAGCTGTCGTGAGCTTTGTTCCAGAATTTCGAGCCCTAAGCGCTCATTTTCGGAGCCAAGCAGAACCTGCGAATCTTCGTGAATCTTCTTGACTCTGGTCATAATTCGGAAGAAGTCGTCATTGACCGGCTCCGCAGTAGAGGTCAAAGTGGCAAGGTCAGCATCTGACACGATGAAATGCTTCGTGAAGGCATCGAGCAGTTGCTGTTTGGTCTCGACCTGACGTCTCTCTGTCAGAATGGACTTTGCTTCATCGAGCATCGGACCAGTCTCGCGGCTGGAGGCTGTGACGTGCTTTCGCATTTCCACACAGCTGGCATTGAGATTTGCAATGGCAGTCCCAATTCGCTTGAGCTGCTCGGCAACCTTGCCAAAATCGTGGATGAATTCTCCATTGCATTGAATTAGCTCCTCTTGCACATCGAGGCGGAGATTTCGTCGGGTGTCGGCGGTGTTCTGCAAGCCCCTCTCATCCAAGATGCTAAGTGCATCTCTGATTTCGAGGTCTGCATAGGAGGCTGAGAGTACACTCGTGACCCTGTTTTGCAGGGCATTGGACTTGTTGCCAGCAGTTGCAGTTGGCGTGGAAGGCGTGGGCGGAGAGAGAATAGACCCGCCAGGCTCACTGCTCATGGGCGAAATGACGCGGTCAAAGTAGGGATTCGACATGACGCCGCCTTCTAGAAGGTGATGTTGGAGAGGGTGGAAAAGTGTCGTGCACGTGTCTGGCTGACTCGGAGCCGCTGAAACTTGTCAGGTCACGCACAAGCTCTGTCCCTGAAACCGTCGGATGCTTGTTTGACTGTGCAGACTGTCGGTTGTCGCGGTGCTACTCTTGCCAGCGGGCCATCACGAGCATCACCAGATGCTGATAGAGTTCTGGCAGACAGCTCTATCGTCGATGAAACGCGTCGATTGACACACACGTAGCGAACACGTCGTCGTCGGTTCGGCTCAAGAGGGCAAACGCACAGGGCACGGAGCTGAGTCCCGCGCGTGCTGAGCCACGCCGCCGCAGTTGCAGAGCGTGCGTGCGTGCGTGCGTGCGTGGTGGGGTCCTGCTCTGCTCTTTGATCTCATCGGCAGCCAGTCTAGAACGACGACTCGACTCTTCCTCCCTGCTGACGCTGACCAAACATCCACATTCACAGCCGCAGCCCGCCCAAGATATATACTACCCTCGCCGTACAACCACGCAGCCACCGCGTCTCGCACCGCTCGCACAGCCTCGACCCTCGCCGCTCCGCAACCCACGCGCACCCGCCTCATTCCTGTCCAGTCCACGCCAAGCGCGCGCATCAGCCCTCGCCCTCTCCAGCGCCGTAGACGAGGAGGTCGCCCAGCATGGGCAAGAGGTGAGTCGGTCGCTGCCCACTTCCTTCACGTGCCACCGGCTGTGCAAAGATATGACGTTACAACCGCGCATCAATCTTGGAATGGGCGATGCTCAAGTGGAGTGCCATCCCGGCTCGCTCCTTGTGCGCTGTGTTCGCGTGCTCCGCCGCCAGCGAACAAAACTGCTCGCCTTGGATACTTGGTCCGGAACTGCCATACCCACCGAACTGTCGTGCGACAGGCACATACCACCCTCGAACCGCAAACACCATGGCCGACACTCCCAAGGTTGAGCTCCCGGTCTTCGACATCGTTCCAGACGAACCACTGTCAGCCGATAGTACCGCCGAACAAGAACCGTCGCAGTCGCAAGAGCGAAGAGGCAGTATAGCAACGAGCCACCATGCCCGACCACGTCCATACCATATCCCGCGCTACGTCTCGCAGACCTACCCTCAGTTCAAGGCCAAACAGGAGTGTGCCCTCAGGATCGGCATAAAGGACCTCGAGCACCAGATCACCAAGAGCACAGGCGTGTCGCATTTGGAAATGGAACTCGACAAGCTAACCGTTCATCACAAAACCAGTCAGAGTAAACTGTCGCAGCAAGAGCTTGTCGACCTACAAAAAGCCACACATTTTGACAAGAAGGAATTGCAACAATGGTATAAAGGTATACCATACAATCCAACCATACCCCTTCGCACATACTGACGAGACTCCGTGACCAGGCTTCCTAAAAGACTGCCCCTCCGGCATGCTCACCAAATCCGAATTCCAAAAAATTTACAAACAATTCTTCCCCTTTGGCGACCCTTCCTCCTTCGCCGACTACGTCTTCAACGTCTTCGACGCCGACAAATCCGGCAGCATCGACTTCAAAGAATTCATCTGCGCCCTCTCCGTCACCTCGCGCGGCAAAATGGAAGACAAACTCGACTGGGCCTTCCAATTATACGATATCGACGGCGACGGCAAAATCAGCTACGATGAAATGCTCGCCATTGTCGAGGCGATATATAAAATGGTCGGCAGTATGGTCAAGTTGCCCGAGGATGAGGATACGCCAGAGAAGAGGGTGAAGAAGATTTTCAGGATGATGGATAAGGATGAGAATGGGAGTTTGGATATGGCCGAATTCAAGGTATGTACAGATGACGCTTTTTTGGGGCAATTGGGGTGAGTACAGGTTGACTGACTAATTTGCTCTCACAGGAGGGAAGTAAACGAGACGAAACGATCGTATCGGCTTTGTCATTATACGATGGATTGGTATGAGAATGTCGCATATGCCTACGACTGAGATGATCCTGGAAGAAAGCATTCTCAGGAGAGCAAGGGTTCATGAATGATGAGTTGAAGTATTCCCTTTGAGTCAAAGCGAATTGTTTAGGGGTTGTTGCATAGGAAGCAGTGGTAGAGGGAGAGACATTTTCCGACTGTATGAGTACAGGAGAGAGGCATGATTGAAGCATGACCAAGAATTGAACCGACAGAAAATCGAAACCCTGCTATCTGCTTGTCGCGAGACTTGGGATGAAGGAGAGCTGCGCGACGGAAGCATTCCGTCGAATGGAACCCTTGAAGAGTTTCAGTCTAGATACGGTCCAGTCCTGCACAAATCCCGTAACAAAATCCAATGCTTATATCTTCATGTTTCCGTACACGAACAGATATCTGATTGATACAAGTACAGATTTCTTCCATCACAGATACATATCATTCCCACTCGACCCAGCATAGCAAAAACAACAATGCAACGCTTTGAACGCTCAGAAACACGCGCCCCATTCCACTCATGCAAAACGTCCTCCTTTCCAGACCTCTTACCATTCCCCCTCCGAACTCGTCTAATCGCACCCACCATACTCAAAACACACCCAATCAGCCCATCAGAACCCACTCCCACTATTCCTCGCCGTCCCCGCCGCACCCCCACCACACCAACACAACGACCCCTCACCCTCCCTCTCCACATGAATAACAACATCCATCCTCCTCTCCCTCAAAAACTCATCAACGCGATGTCTCACATCATCCAAATCCGCCGCCGGATTGGCAATGACATGAATCACACCTTGTACCTTTTTCTTCTTCAATCCTCCTCCACCACCTCCATGATCATGTCCATGTGCGTGACTATGGCTATGGCCATGATGATGTCCTCCTCCATCGCCATCCTCGTCCCGATCGTCGATCCAAAATCTCGGAACAGCGTATCCAACCACGCCGCGAATTTCGCCGAGTTCTTGTAATGTGTTTTTGATTTCATATTCGAGGGTATCAGGGATGACAAGGAGGAGTTTCTGACCGGAGCTGATGACGAGTGGGACGGCAGCGGCGAAGATCAGAATAGCGATGATGATTGTCGCAAGGGGATCCCAGAGATACCAAGGTTTCCAGAGTGTCATTGCTGTACTGAGGATAACGGCGAGAGAGCCTCCGGCGTCAGCTGCGACGTGTAGGAAAATGCCGTGCATGTTTTCGTTATGTTCATCGTCGCCATGATCGTGCGAGTGAGCTGCCTCTTTCTTCTCGTGCTTGTGGTCGCAGTATCCGGAGATGTCTCCGTTGGTGCCCGAGGAGTCGTTCGCTTTGTGGCTATGTACCGAATTCTGATGTGAATGTCCGTGCGAGTGCGAATGGTCGTGTGAGTGGCCGTGGTCGTGCGACTGAGCGTGGGAATGGCCGTGCGAATGATCGTGAGAATGTCCGTGGGAATGTCCGTGCGAGTGACCGCCATGGTCGTGTCCGTGATGCGCATGCCCGAATGCAAAGAGACCCACCATGTTCACCAAAAAACCCAGCGTGCTCACGACCAGAAGTTCCTGGACATGGCGCAGCTCTTTGCCTTCCACAATACCCTCCATAGCTTCCCAAATGAACTCCACACTGACCAGCATTAGAAAGATACCGTTACCGAAGCCGGCGAGAGTGTTAAGCTTGCCCCAGCCGTAAGGTCGCTCCGGGCTCGTCGGCCATTTGGAAGCCACTGCAGCACCCAAACCGACCACAAGGCCTAGGCAGTCGAAGAACATGTGGACAGTGTCACTGAGCAAGCCAAGTGACCCACTGAGGTATCCATAGATCCCTTGCACGATCATGAAGCCGAAATTGAGGCTGGAATTGTGTTAGAGCGGGCGTATTAGAAGGAGGCTGGACTGCACTTACCATGTAAAATACGCTATTCGGCGTGAATCCTTCTCGCTCAAAATGCCGTGCATCAGCGAGCCCGGCTCGCAATTTCGTAACAAATATTTCGTGAGACCAGATGCGGGTTGCCCGGTCTGGTTATGCGTTTGCGTTTTATGTGCATGATCGTGAGCGTGGTCGTGATGATGCTGATGAGCCGTGCTCAGCTGCGTATCGTACAAAACGCTGAAATATGAAAGCGCTGAAAGACCGCCATTCAAAATTGTCCCTGGCCAGAGGGAAGGTGAGAAAAGAAATGCGAAGAGCGCAAAAGTGAAACAGCTGATACCAAGCCCTGCCATGCGCGGGGTTCGAAGTGCTGAAGGGCGTCCTGCGAGTACTGCTACTACCGAGGAGGCGATAGACAGCGTGGTAAAGACGATCGCGAGTGGAGTTGTCGAAGGCGATGCTGCAAGGAGTCCCGAGCTAAGCAATGTCAATATCGACATGATCACGCCCGCTGCGATTGTCAAGTTGATCTCGTTTGTAGATGATACAATAGAAGAGGAAACAGTATAAGACCAGGACCGCCCGGTCAGTGGGGTTGTTGGCGTGACAGCGCTCGCTGGCTGCGAGGAGAAAGCGGATATGCCTGCAGAGGGTAGAGGGGGCGGGATGAAGAAGATAGAGCACGCCAATGCGAAGTATCCAAGCAATATGTCAGAGGGTGCAGCCTTGAAAGTGACACCGCTGAGATCCAACAATAGGCCCAGAAGAAGGACAGCTATCGACGCTTTCCGCATCTTGAGAATTTGTTGCCAATCGATCCAGGTCGGCCTGTGCAGCATGTCCGTACTGGTCAGTCCAGAAGCCACAGTCATCAACAGCGCGATGCCTGTCCGCATGCCTCCGATTTGCATGGACGCATAGAAAGGAAGACCAATCGCTAAGCTTCGACGCAGGATGCGCTGAGCCGATGCAGGTGTAACGAGTCCCTCCGTCGAAGCTGCCTCTGCCTTCTCTTTCCGCCTGTCCAGGACTCGATCTGAACCTCTTATCTTGGCTGCTACGCCCAACAATAGCAATGTTCCACTCGTAAGCGTACATGCTTCCACGAACCCGCAGCCTCTCCTCACCAGTAGCTCCTTATGTCCCGCAGCACCGTCCTCGAGTACTGACTTTTGTAGTCTTTCGTATGCGGAGAGCGGAGGTAGTCCATCTTCGACAAAGCCAGCCGGATGATATGCTGCTGACGCCAGCATGTACGGCAAGGGTATCAGCAAGCTCGTCAGAGCCTCTGGCAGCGAGAACCATGACGGCGATGCCTTTTGCAGTTGTGGGTGGAGGGAGCCTGCAGGTCTGCCCAGATCGGATTCGCCGCGTGGCCTCGTTGGCCTTTTCATGGGCGACAGCGGCTCGCTGTGGGAGTGGGCGTGCGCGGGGTGGAGCGAGTGGTGGTCGTGGTTGGAATGTGTATCGTGGCCAAATGGAGCGAACGGGTGGTGGTTGTGCTGCTGAGCCAGAATGTCGGAGATCTGGGGTGACAGGCGTCTGCTTTCGTCGACAGGCGAAGCTTGCGGCGTAGCTTCGTTTGAGCGTTCGGCATGGGTGTACAGCGTGGTCGTGCTGGCCGATTTGAGGTGCGCGTAGCTGCCGTTGCCATTCATGTACACGCTCGTCGCCTCTGCCGGCCGCTGCGGCGGGGACAAGTGCATTGAACTCGCCCTTGCGTGGTGTGTCGAGCCATTGGGCAGGCGCTGCGGCGGGCTGTTGCTGTTATCGCCGTGGGTCGTCGAGGCTTCCGCGAGCCGGGGTGGAAAGGTGTAGCTTGCCATGGCCGGAAGCTCCGCTGCGGTCGAGTACGAAGTCGTGCAATGCTGCTTGCTTCTTCATCGGGATTTGACGCTGTCGCCCTCTCTGCGGCCGCGAGTGCGGTGACGATGTGCAGACGGGAGTCGTGGCCCCGTCAGAGGCGCTATTTGGACCGAGACGAAGCGTGCCGTATGCTATGACCTTCCTCATTCGAGTCCAAACTCAACCTGCCCCTGAAACGCACCAGCACATGTTGTGCAGACCATCGTGGTGGCGCAAATCCCTGCATAATTTAGTGCCCGACCCTCGTAACTACGGTATACTACAGCGTGAAGAAAGATAAAGGTCCATCACGATCCACGAGCACTGGAATTGGCGAGAGTGCGCCATACAGCCTGAAAGGGCGGGTTATCTCGCCTACAGCAGCATCCCCATCGACAATGACCTGGTCAGAAGTGCTCTGGCAAGTCTTCGTTTATGGAGCTATTCTATCATCCGCCCTCAGCGGCCTCCTACTTTTCACTCTCCCCATAGCCTACTCCAACTTCGACCCAGGCTACGTAAATGAAGAAGACTTCACCGAAGAACACAAGGAGAATGCCACCAAATCCGGATATGCCTTCTTCGCCAAGCACAAAGATCCCGCCGACAGGCTAAAAATTGATGCCAGCGTGCAAATCGTGGTCCTTGGCGACATAGGCCGCAGTCCTCGCATGCAATATCATGCACTGAGCATTGCATCTCATGGCGGCACAGTAGACCTCATCGGCTACACGGGCTCAGAGATGCATCCTGATATCTTGCAAAGCAGGCTGATCAAGATCGTCCCGATTGCAGCTTGGCCGCGAGCATTACAATTCGACAATCGCATTCTGTTCCTCTTGTCTGCGCCCTTCAAAGTGCTCTGGCAGGTATGGAGTCTCTACTATGCGCTTGCATACAGGACGCGCGCTGCGAAGTGGATGCTCATTCAAAATCCGCCTTCAATCCCAACATTGGCTGTCGCAAGACTCGTCACTTTCCTACGCAATACACGACTGGTGATTGATTGGCATAATTTCGGCTACTCGATACTCGCATTGCGATTAGGACCAACACATTCTCTTGTCAGAATCTCGGAATGGTATGAAGGCTTCTTTTCGAGATACGGAGTTCATAGCCATTTCTGCGTTACAAATGCTATGGCCCGAGTGCTGAAGGAGAAATGGGGGATTCAGAATGCTTTGACACTGCACGACAGACCCGCAGAAATTTATCAACCACTTGACCAGGAGCAGAGAATTGAGCTACTCAAAGCTCTGCCAGCAACGACAGGAAATGTCGAAGATATTCTAGGTGGGAACTGTCGTTTGCTAGTCTCTTCCACATCCTGGACACCAGATGAGGACTTCTCTGTTCTACTTGATGCTCTCGTGCGGTACTCCAACGCAAAAGACCTCGACGACTCTCTACCCAACATCATCGCCGTCATCACAGGCAAAGGTCCACAACGAGATCACTATCTAAACCAAGTCGTGAAATTGACACGCCAAAAGAAATTGGAGCACGTTGCTGTCACATCTGCCTGGCTCGCAGCTGAAGACTATGCATCGTTGCTCGGATCTGCAGACCTCGGACTCTCTCTACACACCTCATCCAGTGGCGTAGATCTCCCGATGAAAGTCGTAGACATGTTCGGTGCGGGGCTACCTGTTGCTGGCTGGAGCGATTTCGAGGCGTGGCCAGAGCTCGTGAAAGAAGGCAAGAATGGTACGGGGTTCAAGAGCTCTGAAGAACTTGCGGAGACTCTGGAAAGGTTATTCGGAGGAGATGGATCAGAGCTTAAAAGACTAAAAGAAGGCGCTATGCAGGAGACCAAGCGAAGGTGGAATGACGAATGGATGCCAGTTGCTGGGAAATTGTTCGGGCTCCGAGATTCATAGACCTTCTAAACAGACGAATGCAAGAAGCACGTCAACTCAGAAATCTCACTTCCACGTTTCTTTCACGTAGGAGAACTTCACTTATCAGCTCAGGGTCGCTCAGCGAATGCTTTTGCATCAGAAGGAAGTCGGAGGCTGATGGTGACGAGACGTCCGAACAAGCAATCTCGATTGAGCCAGTAACGCACCACGCAAAAAGTATCCAAGCATAAAGAAAGCAACATCTCAACGTCACCCCATTGTCCTGCGAAATCTTGGTTCCCACATCACAAAATAATAGTCAAACGCAGTGAATACTTGCTTTCACATCATGGTTTCTCATACCATTCATATACGACTGTTTGTTGTGTTAAACGTACTGTACATCCGATGCCCACAATTGAGGCCTTCGTTTCATCTTCCCTTCCTCCCTTCAGCGTCTCACAGCGAGCTAAGCGATTAACCAGCTCGCAGAGACAGACGCACGCCCTCCTCCACTACCACCATCACCACCATTCTCTATCACACATTTTCATCACCAGAACCCATTACCCTCTCGGAGAGAGAAAAAAGACCGTATTTTACAAGGAAGCAAAGAGTACCAGAGTGGGGATCAACCTTCTATCGCTTATTCTCGCGAACAAAAACGATTTCAAAACACACAAGTATGCACGCACAATCACCTGCTCACGATGCTGGTGCGTCGCCGCAGGCCATTGTTCTCGGCTTGCAAGACCCTCGCGAGCTCAGCATCATCGTCCATGACGGACTGTTGCTGGCTTTCTTCGAGGGTGGCGCCAATTCTCGCTCGCTTGGGACTCATCTGGTTGGCTGCTTCAGACATGGAGTCCCGCTTTCGCTTCGCCGGCGAGGATGCAAGTCCATTGGCAAGCGGGCGACGGGTCTGCCCGGGAGATGCTGACATTGGAGCCGGTGGGCGGTAGAGAGGCAGATCGCTGACAGCAGTCTTCTGCAAGGCGGGTGATGCGGCTGGTACTGGTGTCGTCAGTCGATCGTTCGTCGTTGCGATCGACTCGATAGTTGGCTGAACAGTGGTTGACTCGGTTTCTTCGTTCGGCACTGGCTTGACATCCGATGCTTCGCTTCCTGGTATCGAGATGGCGGAATCGGCGGCCTCATCTTGCTTCGACGACGAGGAGGCACCGATATCCTCGGGCTTGTAAACGTGCACATTCTCTGTGGGGCAGTAGTCTCCATTCATATCAAGAACTTCGTTGGCAATCTGCTCCAATGAAGGCAATTGATACAGTGGCGGTCGCTCGGCTTGCGAGTACGGAAAAGCGTTGGCTGCAAACTGGTCGTGGTCATTGGCTTCGGGCTCGGGATAGGCGTAGAGATGAGGATCCAGAGGCGTTTGGCTAGTGTGGTGGTGTTCGTGCGATGCATGCGAGTGCTGCGATGGTGATCCGGAATTCATTGGTGTGGAATGATACGAATGTGAAGGGTAAGCTGATCCGTTCTCGATAGACTGGTGAAAATCGGGCTGCGGCGATGAATGGCTTGCGTTAGTCTGCTGGGAGATGGCGGGCGCAAGCGGAATCGGGTTGCTCGGACTGCTCGCTTTTGGCTTCTTCTTGATCTGTGCTGGAGTGCCGTCGCCATCAACGGAGTGCTTCTTGCTGGCCACAGATCCTCGAGGCACTGGAGTTTCTGCCGCCTTGACGGGATCGACGTTGCCATTTTCATCGTGCACGCAGCGTCGCTAGACAACTGATCAGCTTGTATAGATTATAGAATGGCATTGGAAATTACCTTTGACTTTCTGCACTCGAAACAAGCCTTCGTCCTGCCGCGCTTGCCAGCATCACCGAAGATGGAAATTCCATTGATAGTCATCGGGATACTGTTGTTGAGATATGCATTCGTCCCAGGAAGTGGCCCCAAGCCATTGGCTCCGTTCGTGAGTGATCCATTGAGGGCATCTGCTGCAAAGTGATGATTAGTCTTGGGTGGCGTTACTGCGACACTTTCTTGGTTGGTGTCCTGACCAGTGAAACCATTGATGTGGTTGTGAAAGCCGTTTAGATTTTCTGGAGTCGCCTGCAGAACCAGGTCCTTATGCTTGCATCTGATTCTGCGCTTCCGGCATGTGTCGCATGCCACGCGCTTGGGCCCCAGAACAGAAGTTTTCGGCGTGCTGAGATACTGGCCTGGTATCCCATTCATCATCAATGCCATCGGCGCCGCCATCTGTGGCGCCTGGACGGCCATTGTTTGATGCGGCTCGGTGCCTTTCGGGTGTTGAGTCGATGATGGTGATGGAGCAAAACTTGTCGCGCGATCAGGAGTTGCCGTTGCCACGCTAGCGCCGGGTGCAGTCGAAATGCTAGCGGCAGCCGTGGCGTTTTTGACCCTTGCACTTTGACGGTCCGGCGCCACTCTCCACGCAACGATGGCTTCTTTACGCTCCATTTCTTTCAGCGCACGCGCCGACAACTTCTTCGGAGGCCCTTCTTCTTTGCTGTTTGGAAGGACAGCATCAGGATGTGCCCATGCGGGAGGATCCTCGTTTCCGCGCTTCCACGCGACCCACAGGGCAAATTTCTTGGCAACCTCGAGCGGCTCGCCATGCCCTTTTGGGATCGACGCGTTGACGCGCTTCATGCGGTCTTGCGAAATGCCTTCGACGCGACCCATCACCAGCATCACGGTGTGGAAAATGAAGGTCACCAGCTCTGGCAGACCTTCGATTTCAGCCTGGCTGTAGTAGCGGGCATTTTTGGCTCCTGGACGACCGTCGATCGCAGCAAGATCTCCATCGTAGTCAGCCCAGACAGGCGTCTGCCTGTCGTATCTGTATCCTTGATGGAAAGCTTGAGCGACAGTGTCTGGCATTGGATCGTCCCTCATGTATTTGATAGCAGTGTACCACATGATCTTTTGGAAGAATGGATATCGGAATTTCATGGGCGTTTCGTTGGCTTTCTCGATTTCCACGACTCGGAATTGATTCTTGAACGACATTCTGGTCAGGAAGTTTCCGCCGATGACAAGACTTGTGGCGGGTGTCCAGACTGCATGGATCCAGCCGGAGGGAATGAGCATGGTGTCACCTTCGTTGAGGTCGACTCTGTAGCACTCGCCCGTGATGCTGGGTAAGAATGTATAATTCTGTTGAGGGCTGTCGTTCCACTCTTCATAGGCTTTTAGGTGCTTCGGTTTCGGAGGGATGAAAAAGAATGTCTTCTTGCCCTTCAAGATGTGATAGTAGACACTGCTGCCACCAAAGTCGATGTGAAAGTCTGTGTAGCTGTCCGCCGCAGACATGAGGCAATAGAATTGGACTTTAGGCCACTTGCCTTTGTCCTTTTCTTCTTGCGGCCAGACTTCGTCCTGCAGATCGATGTCGCGTACGACCTTCGGTCGACGGAGCAGACGGCCGAGCTTAGTCTGAGATACTTCCAGAGAGATAACGTTGCGAATGGGTTTGTCGTCGCCTGTCTCTTCGTAGTAGTCTGCCCAGCGGCTGAGCGTCCACTTCGCGCCTGAGTTCTGCGTTTTCACATCAATGACATCTAGTGGGGTGTCCGGGCCTGCCAGATTGCAGACTTGTCGCACTGTCAGATCCTCCGGCATGACCATATCCAGCTTGTCTTGCCCGTCGTCAGGAACAGCATCATATTCGTAGTCGTCAGTCGCCATTTCTTCAGTGTTGTCCGCATCAGCTACCGCGGTATCATCGCTACCTTTCCGTTGCTGCCGCTTCCGCAACCACGGCCGAGGATTCCACTCTGCTGGTATGCAAATTGGTTCGGTGAACGTATTGCTCTTCTCGAAGAATTCTCGCGTCACGAGCTCTGGTCGCATACGTGGGAAGTTCTCAGGATCGAATTGGAATGTGCCATCTTTGATAGGTTGCACGTAGTGATGCTCCATACTCTCCTCGCTGGTCTTCAACACGCCTCGCTGGAGCTCGGCGTAGTCGACAGAGGCATGCGCGCGCGTGCTCTTGCGTACGTAAGTAGTCTTACCATGCACGGGCTCACAAGGCTTGCAGAAGAATTTGTCGACATCACGTACTTCCGAGGCCTTGGAGAACCCAGCGCAATCCAAGTGATACCACTTCTTGCACCCGTTGCAGCACACCCACTCGTCCAACTCTGGATTGGCTTTGCTGGTCTCTCTGGCAATCTCACAGCCGGCACAGACTGTTTCGGACGTGACTTCTTTGGATCTTTTCGATCTACTTGGTTCTTTGGTGACCGGTATTTGGCGAACCAACATGGGAACCTCAGGTGGAACGGACTGACCGCGCTGCAATTGCGGGTCGCTAGACTGCGCTTGCTCGGCACCATTGAAGCTCTTCCTGCGGTTCCTGTCTGACTTCACTTCCCAATCTGCTCCCGGAAGTTGCGCCGCAGCTTTCGCCGCTTTAGATGCGTCCGGGGTCTTCTTTCGCGACGCCGCCCTCTTTGACGCTGCTTTCTCATTCATGCTCTTTCGTGAGGTTGCAGACCGCGATTTATTCTTAGCAACAGTTCGCTTCGCTTTCGCTGTGTTCTCCGATGTTTCGCTCATTGTGACGTCGGTGCTCACAGCGCGTGAGGAATCATGTGCTCGAGGTGAGCGAGGGCGAGGGGGCGCGTCGGGCATTCCGACATCGGTCTGAGGTTGCCGCTGGGTATGCTGAAATGTATTATCGAGTTGGACAGGCGGTCGGGCATATGCAGAGGCTGCTGCAGGATCCTCAATGGTCTGCTGGGGAAAAGGAAGCGTCGGTCGAGGCACATTGCCATTCTGAGGATTGAAGGGCGGTAGTAAGGGAGCCTGTGCGGCGAGATCGACGGGACGACTATGCTGAGGGTCCTGCGGAAAGCTATTCGCATGAGGTCTAAATCCAGTCGTAGTGTGCGCTGCTGTTGTTGGCTGTGGTGCAGGGCGGGCATTGTGGGTGGGCCAGCCACCTGTACGGAAGTTCAATAGAAGCGCAGCTTCTTCCACCCGGCTTTCATATGTATCTGCTCCTGGCGAATATTGCGGTGCCTCTCGCGATCGGGTGTTGCCTTGCTCGTAGCTCGTGGCTGGCCTCGAGGCGTACTGTCCGACCAGCGGAGAGGGAAACACCTCGGAACGTGCTCGCTTGTGGGGTGGCTCGTTCGTGCTGTTACGAGGTCGTGGCAAGGGAGGGTATCTGAAGCCATTCCATGCCGGACTTGCTTGCGTGGTGGTGTTATGCGCCGGGCTAAGCGCCAATGCCGCCTCGGCGAGTGTGTCTATGGTCGAGGGTGTCCTGTGGTGACCACTCCTATAGCTATCACTGCGCTGCCTCTGCTGCGGTGTAGCCGTGTACTGCGCCTCCGGGCGCACATGGTAATCGACATGGTTGTTCAGCGCTGGGTAGTTGTAGCTGGGCTCCAATGCCGTGAGCTTGACGGGCGACTTCCTGGGCGAGGACAGAGGACTGAAGCGAGGACGGTCGGGGCTGCGACGGCCTTGCCCGTCGTCGAATGCTCGTTTGAAGAGAGGGTTGTATGTTCGCGACATCGTGGAGGAGGTGGGCTGTTGTCGCCGCGGGAATCGGCGTGCTCGGAGGAGAGTGCAGTGCTTACTCGGCCATACGCTGCGATGGTCGCGCTTCACACGACTGCACAGCGCACAGCGGTGTTTCTCCGCAATTCCAGCTCTTCCTCGTCTGCAGTCGTTCGCGGCAGTGGTGGTGGAGGTGGTGCGTGGAGGAGAGACGGTGAGTCGCGCGCAACGGTCGAGGTGGGGAAGGAGCGGCAGTGAGTCGCTTGGTCGGTGGTTGTGTGGAGATGTGATCAACAATGCGAACCAGACTCGTGCGTGCAGGGTGCAGCCAGCACAATAGCGGTACGTGGCTGCACAGTGTCAGGAACAGTGAACAGGAGTCTACAGTAGTAGCGGTCGGTTGTCTCTCGAAGGTCCTGGCCTCGCTCTCCATTCCACCTCCAATCCGCGCGACCTGAGCTCCTGCCGCCTTGGGGCCTGACGGGACGTCCCGTGTCTGCCTGGCCCGTGACAGGTCAAAGCCATACCACTCCTCCGAGGACGATCCATCTGCACACTGCCCACGCCCACACCACTCGTCGCATCCGACACCCACGACCTCTCCGCCTCATTCAGCCAAGCTATGAACAAGAACAAACTCGCGCCGGAAGTCAACCGGTAAGTCCTGCCGCATCGCCTGCGACGGCGCCCATGCCCGAAATCTACATCCCAAAGCGGCCGACTGATAACGAGCAGTGCACTCTTCGTGAAGAACCTGAGCTACAACGTCTCCACCGAGGAGCTATTTGACCTCTTCGGCAAATTTGGGCCTATCCGGTACGTCTTGCGCGACTCCCGCTGCTGTCTCGAGGCCGCGCGATGGCCCGGCGAAGAGTTCACGTGCTTACATTCCTCCTCTAGTCAAATCCGCCAAGGCATCGCCTCCAACACCAAGGGCACTGCATTCGTCGTCTACGAAGATGTACTAGATGCCAAGTCGGCCTGCGACAAACTGAACGGCTTCAACTTCCAGAACCGCTATCTGGTCGTCCTCTATCACCAGCCAGAAAAGAGTATGCATGCTGCGGACAAATACGTGCATTGGACAACAAACTGACCACCATCGCAGTGGCCAAGAGCCAACAAGATCTCGCCGAGCGCCAGCAGAGATTAGAAGAGCTCAAACAGCAGCACGGGATCTCGTAGGGGTGCGAGGGAGTTGCAGCAGGTGAGACCAATGCAAGGCCGGGTTCGATAGGACCCGTCAAGCGCAAGGACTCTGGCTACAGTTCGTCGGAGGCTGCAACTCCCATAGCACGAGATTTCGCTTTTCCGCACAACGGCGACATCCAGCAGAACAACCACGAGAAACACGACATGGCAAAGCCGGCCGCAAGTATTAGAGGCAAGCAGCCTAGGCCGGCAACGGCAAACTCGGTCAAGGCCGTCAGTTTTCAGGATCATCCGAACAAGGAGAACATGGGCATGGGAAGGCGTTTGAAGGATGCTATGCTCACCACATTTGGCGGGCTTAAGCAGTAGTAGCTGCGAGAGGAGAAGGCGTTAACATGGTTGGATGGCGACTCGCCCTATTACGATCAGAATGAACATGAGCAATTCTCGCGAGGCTCAGCCTACCTACTACCATGCCGCTTCATTTCCCTGTTCCCAAAATCGTGTCCTTTGTGTTCAAGGTGGCACTTGAGGGACTTCCAGTAACACCCGACACTAGCATACCACGTTCCCTCTTTGCCCTCATTTCTGTCTTTACGGAAGCCCAGTGCGAGCCCTATGCCGTCACGCAATCGCATCCCCGTCCATCTTCTCGACTTTCGCAACCTCGGCGCCCGACTTGGCCTTCGTCATTCCGTGATCGCTCCACTGTACGCATTTAGGTCGCGTTGCACGCACAAGTTGATCACTGCGTATGTGTTCAGTATATGTATGTATGCATTTGGCAGAAGGCCTAGATTTATATGTCGGTAGTTTTGCGACTGCCGCAGAGGATTGCAGCTTGGAGGACTCGAATCGAAAGATCGGGTGCAGGAGCTGCTGACTCATCAGTAAATGTGGGCCGTGGGATCTCTCCTTCCACGCCGCTTTCAATCATCTTCGTCTTCGCTTCCCAAATACCGTTGGCCCCAAACAATCGCGGAATGCAGAGATAATCAGCTGAAGCGTCGGTGACGGTGAGCAAGAGAGATCTTGACCGGTATGTCGAAACCTTTCTCTTTACTTCGTATTTTCTGTTTCGATACTCGCCGCAACCATACGGGCACCTGCAGCAGCCGTTGGCCGAATGACATCTTGGTACATCAGAAAGTCTCCCTGCCATAACTAGATTAGAAGCTGGTTCTCGAACTCTACGTCCGGAAGCACGAGTATCAACACCTTGGACGGAAGATGAGCCACTTCTCATTGTCTTTGCAACGACACGATGTGCTAGCCTTGGAGTTCTACGAACCGCAAGGATATCAATGTGGAGTCAGCGACAGACGACTCTGCTCAGAGTCAGGCGTCGTCTTTCACGACAGCTCGCTCCAAAGAAACATTACATTTCCTATACTTCTTCGCTCGCGAACGCGTGGAGATTTCGCAGCGACACTCTCCAAGGTTCCGCCCCTGAGAACTAGGAGCCAGACGGACTTTTGGCAGCAAGTCGAATATATATCACCAAGGACACCTCTTTCAGGCTAGGAACAGAGCCGACCCTGCTCACCTGCTTTGCGGACTACTCGCTTCAGGTCGTCCGCCCCTTTGTACTCTTGCCAGTCCATTACACCATGGATCCACATCCTCCTACTCTCGTGGCCGAGTCGACCCCAGAGTTCCCGTCCGCGGAGGCCGCAGAAAATGCTCTGGCTGAAGGTGTCCAGACTCGTGTACTCCCAGAGACGATCTGACCTATTGCTCTTGATAAACAACTGTGCGACAGGCGGCTGGGTCAGGTACATCCTCCTCCACGAAGCGTTTGGATTCATCATGCCTGAGGGCGGATCACTCAACGAGTTCCAAGTGCCTCTCGGGCTGAGAATCGGAAAAAGCTCAGCAAGTAGGGGATTCACGAACACGCGATATCTGCCCACATCTTGCCGCGTTTGTCCCCAGTGTGCTCGGTATTGCACGTACGTTTCGGTTCCGTATTCACCGCAGATTGGCCGATTCCGTTCCGGATTCCGGGTAAGATTCCAGAAGGGATAATAGTACCTCTTGTCGTCGAATTCCCAATCCATATAGCAGAGAGGTCCTTCAGGCACCGGGAAGAAAAAGAGAGCTTTCTGAATTGACTGAGACCTTTCGATAACACCGCGCCAAGACTTGCTAACACCCTGAGCGAGTAACAAGGACCGTATCGGAAGGTAGAGCAATACTGGCTCGAGGATCTCGAAAATAGCCAGTGCTTCATGACACGCGGTGTAGTCCTGAATCCTCTCGCCAAGGGATAATTTCTGCTTCAAGGTCAGCTTGAGAGGCAGACGGCATGGAAAAAGGGCCGGAATCTCCAACTCACTTTTCCCAATCGCACACTGACCTGATATCGCAATGCAGCCGCTGCAGTGAATACTGCTTCTTGCGAGAGAGCGTGTGCATGCGCATGCACTTGCACCTCGCCCTCCACGGCCCTTCCCACGCAGCACATGATGATTCTGCAAGCTCCGAGCCAACAGCGCAGTTGAGCTAACACTGGTGTGCAGATCAGTGCGATCAAGTATTGGACCACACGCACAGCAAAGCTCAGAAGCATCAATGCCTGTCGCTTCTTCGAACTCTCTGGAGCAGCAGGTAGAAGGTCCACGCTTTGTTGCTCTTGGCGGAGTATGGCTCGACGAAATAAGGAAAGGGGGCAAGACAGTCCGTGAGGATGTTGTCGGAGGCTCAGTCACATTTGGTATACAGGCCAAGTTGGAAAATTTGTGCGCACACTGACTACTGCAGCAACTTTGGGAGCCCGACTATTTTCGCCAAAGGATCCAGCGAACATCTGCTTGGTACTATTGAAAGGAGCGGGGTTTCCAGTCAATATGATCCATTTGTTTCAAAGCTGGAAAGTGGATCTCATACTTCTGGCACGTGAAGACGTACCAACCGCGAGAGGCGTTGTCCATTATGGGGCATCTGAGAGTGGTAAGTCGAATGCACATTCTGTGCCTTGATGATGATGTCGAGGCACATGTTCAAGCTGATCGTTGTAGAGCGCTACTATGAGCGGCTGACTCTGCCGCTGAACACGAGTCCGGATGACTTGACAAAGTCTGTCATCCTTTGTGCTCGATGCTTCCACTTCTTCGAAGTTCCAGCCACACTCTCGGAATCGGTAAGCAAGATCTTGAATGCACGTCGGTCACAGCACGATCTGGAAAGACCTCTCCTCATCTGGGAACCACAAGCAAAATCATGCAGTCCGAGAAGTCTTGAAGAACATTTGATGGCTGCTGCAATGATCGATGTATTCTCTCCGAACCACATGGAGTTGGCCAGCTTCTTCGGCGGCGTATCAGATACAGAATTCGATCGTTGTCGAGTAGAGACGCACGCGGCGCGCTTCGTACAAGCAGGAATCGGTCCCGGCAATGGCTGTGCGGTGATCAGATGTGCCGAACATGGCTGTCTAATCACGTCTAGGTGAGCATCACACTTATTTTTGCTGATCTGGATACTGATGCTCTGCAGAACGATCTCGCCAACATGGCTCCCAGCATATTACAGTGCGGACTCGAAGAGTGTTATAAATACTACTGGCGCCGGAAATGCTTTCCTCGGAGCATTTGCGATAGGGTATCAAGAGACTGGTAGCTATGTGGAGGCTGGGAAGTATGGAGCCGTTGCGGCAAGTCTCGTAGTGGAACAAGTGGGTCTGCCGACCCTGACAGGCGAAGGTGTTGGGGAACTTTGGAATGGCGAAAGTACAGCACACCGACTAGAGGAATATAAGAGGCGATGTGAAGTCGGAGGACGGAGTTGACCCGGCCGCTGCGATGCTGATGAAGGAGACCAAGCTCTTGCCAAGCAAACAGACAAAAGGCTTGACCATTTCCGATCCCTGCAGAACCCGATTCCTATCCCTGCTGTCAATCTTCAGAAATGCCTCATCCCACCTTGCTTGTCCAATCCGCGTGTTGCCGTCGCTGCACCGCCTCTGCTCAGACAGCCAACTGACGACTGCCGTGGTGGCTGTGCGAAAACACAAATCTTGACGGACTTCGTATTGAGAAGCGCCGACAAATGGCTTGAGCGATTTGTGGAAAAGACCAAGGAGGCTTAGCCAGCCAGCTCTGGACTTCGAATCTATGCAGGGGAATTTCGCGAGCTTGTGCATGCACATACCGCGCTCTCGCCGCAGCTTACCGCGTAATGTAATGTGGCCACACGCGCCGTTGCTATTCATGCACGTGCTGGCGGGGCAGCTCGCTCTTGCACGAATTGGACAAGAAGGGTCGAAGGTTACGTATGCATTGTTTGTTGGTCCGCTCACTTTATTACTTCACGTCACGTCGCTCTGCTTCTCTCTCAAGAACATCCGACCTCTCTCTTCAACCAAGCTCTATCGTTGAACAGCTCTGCTTACCTCGAGAGACTTGTTAGCTTCGCCAGCTGCAACAATGGCTGCAAATCAGTACTACGGAGGCCAAGGAGGCTACGAACAACAAGGCGGATATGGAGGAGGCTATGGCGGCGGAGGTGGCAACCACAGTGGTGGAGGCGGCAACTATGGTGGCGGATACGGCGACAACAGACCTCCTCCACCACAAGATGTGCCTTACCCATGGAGAGCAGAGTGGGATGCCAGAGACGGCCGCTACATCTTCGTCAACCCAGAGAACGGCGAGCGAACTTTCGAATTTCCTCGTAGAAGCGGAGGACATAATGCAGGACCAGGACCAGCGTATGATGGAGGCTATGGGTAAACACGCATTTGCAATCAGACACAATGAGAGAAGACTAACATCTCTCCCAGTGGCGGACCCCACGGCGGCCCATCAGGCCCCGGCGGCTACGAGCGTCCAGGCCCCCAATACCAACAACACCAAGGCGGCAGCGGCTACCCAATGGGTCCCCAAGGTGGCTCTTCACACCACGAAGAAGAAGAGCACAAGAAGAAATCCGGCCACGGCTGGCTAGGCATGGCAGCAGCCGCAGCCGCAGGTATTGCCGGCGGAGCTCTTCTCATGCACGAAGGCGAGAAAGTCAAAGAAGACTGGGAAGAAGATAAATACTCCGCCGAAAACAAATTCAACGAATTTGGTCGAGATGTCGAAAACGCGCCGGAGAATGTTGCAGGTTGGACGGGAGAGAAAGTGGGTGAGATGGAGGAGTTTCCGGATAGAGTGGAAAGAAGGTGGGATGATGCTGTGGATGATGTGGAAGATGTGCCTGAGCGGGTTGAGAGGAAGTGGGATAATGCGGTTGATGATGTGGAAGATGCTCCGGAGCGTGTAGCGGGTTGGATGGGAGATAAAGTAGGCGAGGTGGAGGGTTATGGAGATCGTATTGACGATGCTTATGATCAAGGAAGAGCTGAGGGACGGTATGATGGGGAATACGGAGATGGTGGCAGAGACGATGACAGATGGTAAAGTGGTCGTTCAAAGCCGGATGATCTCTACGAATCCTATGAGCACGGCAATGGAGGAAAGTTCGGAAAGCGAGGTATACCTATTCCCCTTCAGACATTTGCGATCGAAAATGGAATGTCAATTCTCTCTTCAACGACGCTACTCAAGGGTAGAGAATGGCAGCAATAGAAAGAGGCTCTGACAGGCCGCGGTATTGCTCAGCCAGTCGTAGAAAGTCGTTCGTGCTCGCAGCTCTATCGATGATGCATATTATACACAAGCCGCTGGCTGAATGCAGTCCACTTTGGCTTTGACGACGACGACTAGTCATCTCAAGGGCGTCTCTCACATGCCATCAAAGCCACCATCGGTTTCTTCCTCATCCATGTCGCCCTCCGTGATCTCCTTAGCCAGCTCTCGCTCGCGATCCCGAGCCTTTGCAGCCTCGGCGATCTCCTGGCGATGCTTGTTCATCGGGTATCTCATAGCCATAACGCACTCATCTCTCATACCCAACAAAGCGCTGATTCTGGCATGGAAAGCCTCGCTTGGCTCCGTTGTGCTGTACGCGTCCTTTTGTGGGACAGTCACCATGTGTCCATTCTGATGGTCCAGACTGGCTTCTATGACACCATCTCGGATCGCCTTTGCGGTGATGTACTCAGCCGACTCTTCACTCTCGACGCCGAGACGCGTGCAAATATCGCGGAGAGAAATCCGGGAGTAGGAGAGGGACAGCATGCGGACGCCGGTCTTGATGACATTCTGGCGAAGTCGGAGGATGAGAGTGTAGGTGCCGTCTTTGCGGAATTGCGCCTCGTTCAGGTTGACACACTTCAGAAAAGCCTGCAGGTCACCAACGCGAACTGCCTGCACCAGCTTGAGGTAGGGGTAGAGGGCGGCTTCGAGGGTCGGTTGGCGGAAGAGAGATCGCTCTGGAATGTCACCCATCAACAGTTCGACAACAATCAGGAGTTTCATAGACTGCTGATAGAATCCAACAGCTGGTCCGGTGGTAGGCGACTTCCGTGTAGCCGACTCGAGGTTCTCATGAGCCTGCGTGTATGCGAGTTGGATTGCTCGAATGCGGCCGAGGTAGTAGAGGTATCGGCAGACCTGGTTGTTCGACGCCGATTGCGGGAATTGGGTCTGAGCGACCAGGAGGTCCGCCTGAGTGATGTCCGCTGTGCTAATATAGTTCCGTAGAAGGAGCACAGTCACCGCGGCTTGTGTATCCTCATCCTTGCGGATGACTGCTGATCGAAGAGCTGCCAGAAGGGTCGGTCGGAGCTCGATCACCTTTGCTTGCTTTGAGGGAGGCTTTGGATTGAGCTCCTCGAAGAATAACGAGTAGTAGTGGTATGCCTTTGCGCCGATCTGATCGAGACTTCGGCGGTTCCACTCCCGAATCTTATCGACGAAGTTGTCACTGAAGTCCGCGCCTTTTTGGAACTCGCCGTTGTCATACAGGTACACCTTTGGCTGTCAGCATGGTCTTCCTCACGTTTCTCGTCCACGACTCACCTGCACCAAGACGCCTAGATACGCCCACACCTCTTGATGTACGTGCTGTTCTGCCGCCTCCTTCTCTTTCCCGGACGATCCATTTTGCGCAACTTGCACATTCTTGGGGAGTAGCTCTTCCAATATTTGACGCGGCCGCGATGGCTTGGGGTATGCGGTTCGGATGCCCAGCACGATAGCCTCAGCGAAGTTGGGTGATTTGCGAAGGGTCGATATGCTTCGGAGCGCTCGTAGTGTGAATCGTGAATCAAAGGTCTCGACGGCCTGGTTGATGAACTTGAGGTTGTTCTGAATGACTATCGGAAGTGATGTGTTAGCATGTGCTATCGCGGTGGAAGGCAGCCGATGGCGACGTACTGCGCTCTGGCGTGAGGTCTGGCGCTGGGCCGGTGCTCTCCTGCTGCTTCTCACCGTTGACGGCATCGACTTCCATCTTGTCCGCCATCGTTGCAAAGTCTGGTGGCGGTGTTGTGGGCGGCGTGGACGGCGAGGTCGAGTGTCGTGTGTTTGATGCAGTGATGGCCGATCGGCTTCCTCTCAGCAGCAGCAACGCAACGCAAGCTCCAGCGAGGTCCGTGCGTGTTTGCGACTTTGCGTCACGTTTGAGGCGCGTCTTCCACAACTCAACTTCCGAACTTCACCTCTGTCGCTTGGCCAGGACACCGGACAATACTCTGTGGACGCGTAGAAGAACTTGAGCAAGGACCTACTCACCATGGCGGCTCTTCTCAACTCCCATTTGGAGCAAATTTCATTATGCGCCACTTCGATAGCAGAACTTCCCTTTCCTGGACCCAAGATGTTCACCAATGCGTTACTTTCTCAGCACGACATTACATCTTTGATTCGAGATACAGAGCAACACGAGCGAGCGCTGTTTCATCTGGCTCCGCCACCTCTTCCAGGAGCACCGGGCAACAATGACTCGAACAACACCTCGAATCCGGCCCCGGCATCGACTGCAAAGACACCCAAGCGTCGAGCTACTGTCTATGGCCAAAGGCAGCCCAAAAGCAGGGCCGTAGCTGCTGTGTTAGGCGGCGATCTGTACAATCGTACACGCCAAGAGTCCGCAGCTGCTCGAATCAAAGGCGAGATGGATGTCGAAGTCCTGCTTGAGGGTGCAGAGAGATTATTGGCAGTCTACAATATCCCTGGAACCGCAGACAAGATCTCCCAATTACGCAGTCGGCACCGACAATTGACTGCCAACATCAAGCACTATGAAGCGAAAGTCAATCAACAAACTGAAGATCTCGCGCGCATGAATCGACTACCCGTGTCAGATGATGACGAGGACCTGATACCATACGAGGACGAGGACAGGACGATTACCGGTCCTTTGATCACGAAGGAGGACTTGGAGAAGGAAGAAGCCGAGATTAGAGAACTCGAGAAGAAGAAGCAGACGCTGAGTGAGCGAGTCAACGACATGGAAAAGGATCTGGGTGGCTTGATGCGATGAGAACGTGTTTGCCAACCAACATTCCCACAACCACTGATATTGAACTGTCCATGAAACGGACGACGTTGTGCACCCGAAAGCTTGCACGGCAAGACGCGTACTCTGAATTCGTGACGGAGCGTACCATGCGCAGACTGTGCGACCAGAAACATTCACGAAGCGATAGTTTCGATCAAAAGGAATGACTAGGTCTGAGGTCTTGGCCATGGAGGCTAGCAATGAACATTTTGGAGCCACTTGAAGACCCATCGCCCAATGTTGGCCAACGGTCGTTAGTGGCACCACGATCGAATGCACGCCATGCAGGCCGGGTGCTCAATAGGGAGAGATCGCGGCGAATAGCAGGTTGTAGCCCGTACTGCGGAGGTGCTGAATGCGGAGTACAGCAGCTGTTCATGCAGGGCAGCTGAGAGCTCACATCCTTCATAGGCGTGCAGACGCGTGTTACCTGAAGAAGAGAGGGGTGAATGCGACAAGCCTTTGATTGATCGACGTAGGTTCCATTGAACCGGGCAAAGTATTAAATCACTGGAGGAAATGCAAATTGCTCCGTGATACACATTGCGATAATCGAATCCAGACACATTGTCTTAAGCCAACAACAATAAAATGCCAGGAACAACGAACGGCGCAAATGGCCAATCCGGCTCAGCGCTTTGCAACATCGATGACTTCCTCTCGCAAGAGTTCGATTACTGCGTCGTAGGAGGCGGGACGGCTGGCCTTTGCGTAGCCGCAAGACTTTCGGAGAACCCTGACGTCAAAGTCGGAGTGATTGAAGCTGGCAAAGACTTGATGGACGATCCACAGGTGTACACTCCAGGTCTTTATCCTACTATGATCGGACGAGAAAAGTACGATTGGTGCTTCCAGTCAGAGCCAGTGCCAACAGCTGGAAACAAGACATACTCCATGCCTCGCGGCAGGTTGCTTGGCGGGTCTTCTGGAATCAATTATCTTATGTATGTTCGCGGAAGCCGAAAAGATTACGATGGATGGGCATCGCTGGGCAACAAGGGCTGGGGATGGGATGACATGGTTCCATATTTCAAGAAGCACCAGACTCTAGACCCAAGCGAGAAAGACCCGCCTAGTGCTCAGTTTATGCCCGCGGCAGCTAAGGAGAAGTATCATGGTAGCGATGGTCCCATTCACACTTCTTTCAACGACTACTACGAGCCTTTCGAGTACGACTTCTGCGAGGCGGCATACGAAGTCGGCGGTAATGACCGAACTTTGCACGATGCTTGGTCGGGAGACCACTACGGCTTCTACTCCAGCTTGGCCGCAGTGAACAGAACCGATGATCCAGGAAGAAGAAGCTATGCAGCGACTGGTTACCTCCGCCCAAACCTCAATCGACCTAATCTCAAAGTCCTCACAGAGGCTCTGGCCACCAAGGTCCTTCTCGAAGGAGATAGGGCTGTCGGCGTGGAGTTCAGTCATGAAGGGAAGCTGTCTCAAGTCAAAGTGTCGAAGGAAGTTGTCCTCTCCGGTGGCGTGATCAACAGCCCTCAGCTTCTCGAACTGTCCGGTATTGGTGACCCAAAGGTACTCGCCGCTGCTGGAGTAGAGTGCAAGATCAAGAACGAGAATGTCGGAAAGCACTTCGAAGATCATGTTCTAGGAGGAATGGTGTATGATCTCAAACCAGGTATCAACTCACTCGATGCTATGCATGGAGAAGAATATTCAGCGGCCATGCAAGAAATGTATCGTAAGACGAATAATGGCCCACTTGGTTCACCAGGAATGCTGATGGGCTTCGTGTCGTACGCTTCATTGGTGGACAAGAAAACTCTGGACGAGACAATCAGCGAGATCAGGAAGAACTCTCTGGCCAAGACAGACTGGGAGAAGAGGCAAGAAGACGTCATTGTCAAGCAACTCTCTGATCCGACTTTTGCGAATATTCAGACGTTCTGTATTGGCTGCCAGCTAGACGTCAGTCGTGGTGACGATCAAACTGGATTCTTCGCTCCTCCGTAAGTATCATGATCTGCGCCCTAGACAGTCCACCTACTAACATCCATGCAGACCCAAAGGCAAGCAACGTGTCTCGATGCTCGTTTGCCTCGAACATCCTTTGTCGCGCGGCACCGTTCACATCACCTCCTCTGACCCCACCGCCCACCCACGCATCGACCCAGGCTACTTCCGCAACCCAGCTGACGCCAAAATCCTCGCCGAAGGCATCAAATGGATGGACAAAGTCGTCCAGCAACCTGTCCTCGCCAAATCCCTTGGCGACAGAGTCTTGCCGCCGAAAGATATGGACATCTCAAGCCAAGAGGCGAGGGAAGAATACGTAAGGAACAACATATCGACACAGTATCACTTGATTGGAACGTGCTCGATGGGACAGGTTGTGGATGATACGTTGAAGGTCATGGGCGTGAAGGGGTTGAGAGTCGTGGATGCGAGTGTCTTCCCCGGACATGTGAGTGGGAATATTATGAGTACAACGTATGCTGTTGCTGAGAAGGGGGCGGATTTGATTAAGGCGGATGATGGGAGGTATTAACCGCGCGTGGTCATATGAAACCATATGTACGCGGATACACATCTTGATACCTCAGGAACTGAGCTGAACAGGGTACTAAAAGTGAAGTCTTCTTCTCAGTGGTCTCGACTGCTCATGCCATTCATTGTTCATCCTGAAGGATGAAGGATCGTGCCAAGACTTGGTCTCATGCACAGCCAACGTCACAGCCTCGCTGCGTCTACCTTCACTTCTGTCCACGAGCAGGCACAACATGAACGGTGCAACTCCACATGCCACATTCTCTGCACACAAGACTTCAACAACGCACACTGATGCTGATGGAAGCTCTCACACACAACGATGGAAGCTGCGCCTCCTAGCTACGAACATGCCACCTTAGTCGACCTCTGGGACATCATAGCCCGGTACATTCCTTCTGCAGACCTTTGTTCAGCATCACTAGTGTGTAGCAGATGGCACGCCACTTTCACGCCTCATATATGGGGCAATCCAGCTTCACATTTTGGCGTCGAAAATGACGCCGTCTATGTCGCTCTCACGCGGTTCCGAAGAACACTCCAGACCGCACGACTTTTGGTTAGATCATTGACGCATACATTGCATCTACCCCCTGCACATGCAGAGCTATACAATGGACCGCACTCGGACTGGCTACGGGATCTGATAGAGAGGCTACCGAATCTTCAGTCTCTTATCGTACGAGGTCTACCATTCTTCGATTATGCGGCTTTGCAGGCTTTGGTGCTTATGCGAAGGAGGTCTGAGGAGCGACCATATTCGCCTGGCAGACTTATAGAGCTACCGGGCTCCAGCGGAATGGCATTTCAGAGGCCTTTGACGACATTGAATACGATCCCTACTTTTCATTTGCGGCTGCTCGATGCATCTCGATGTCCGAACGTGACTTCAAGTAGTCTCGCAGCAGCGTTGAGCCGGTTTGAAAGTCTACTATACCTGGATCTATCATTCACATACCCCGCTCGAGATCCTATGGTTCTCACTACAATTGGGAAGTTTGCTGGACTTCAGGTTCTGAAGCTTCGGGGAGTGAGTCTGAAGGACGAGAATGTCGAGGTCCTCGCTCAGTCAGTTGGCTTAAGAGTACGAAGTCTTGACATCAGAGACAACCAGGTTTCAGATCGTGGCGTCAGGACTTTGTTGGAGAATTGCTTCACTAGGACTGCTGGTCAGCTTGATGGGTCATCGCCGCTGGCGGCAGGCCAACGTTCGCCAAACTTGTTACCTTATCTGGGCTCCGAAATGCTTGAGATCTACCAAGGCGAGGACTTCGAAGGCTATCTACGTAATGCGTTCACAGGCAACTTCGTCAGCCGCCTCGCTATTGAGGATGCCCCAGCAGGTGGTCTCACGCACCTCTACATCGCCAACAATGGACTCACTGTGGAAGGCGTATCAGGACTTGTAAGGTCAGGCAGGCTTCACGTATTGGATATTGGATCGGTGTCTGCTGCAAGGATACGACGTGTTTCTTCAGACGGAGAGGAATGGTACTCAGATGACGATGTGCCAGGTGCAGAAAAGCTGACTCCAGTTCTTGCAAAGCACGCTTCAGAGGCCATGTCATTTCTCAGGATCGACCACAGTCTGATCACAAAAGATGCACCCTGTTTCAAAACAGAGGAAGTCGTTCACGGCCGTGTAGAACTGGCAGATACTGCTCTGCCACCACTACCCTCGCACACAGCGGAGCTGGATAGCCATTCTGTCAGACCGCAAACATTTGAGCTTCCGACTGATGAGCAGACACCACGTTACGAGCTCGAGGGCGATCCTATGCAACTCGTAGTCTCAGCTGCTGCTGATGACACCTACAAGATTGAAGTACCTGACGATAGGAGTGGTCTCCAGCTCAATAGGCGTGACAGCGAGTGTCTCCCGGAAGTCGTTGACGATGTCACTCACGACATGGGCAAAACCCACCTGAGTCCCAACTCTGCCTTCGGTGAGGCCACAATGACCGCTACAGGGTTTCCAAGTTTCACAACATCATCCACCTCGTGCAGCCCAGCCATCACTCCGCCACAGACGCCAAGGCCTCGGAGTTACTCGTCAATGGGCACGGAGCGACAGGCGAGACTCAATGCCCACATAGCGCTTGGTCACAATCTGCATCCTGCAATGTTGCCTCACGTGAAAACCCTTGTGCTCACAAATGTGCCAATTACCTCTACCAGCAAAGACGTGGCCGATCGCATCATTCGGTTCCTTGAGAAGTGTGCAGAAGAAGCCTCATTCGCCCGCAAGCAAGCTCAGCTTGACTACGCGTTACCACCGGGCCGCAAAGGCCATCATGCCACTTTAAAGCACTCGGAGACCAAGATCTTCGCTCTCAAACGACTAGTTCTGGAGATGAGCCAAAATGAAGCCCCAACCTCCAGCAAAGCTAGTCCTTGGCAACACCAAGGTACCAGATCAATGACTGACGATCGAGACTCTGAAGTTCTGTGGAATGCTGCCGCGACAGACTTCAGCTTCTTTGGAGAAGAAGAGAACATGTTCCCGACCATTGAAGGCGGACGTTTCGCACACCATGGAGCATCTGAGAAAGAGGTCAACTTCGGCCAATCTGCGAATCAGCATTCAAGTAAACATTCTGCTGAGATAACTACCTTCGACACTATTTCGGCGATTTCAAGCTTCAGAAAAGATCGTAAACGAGTTCATCAACAGAAAATTGATGCGGGGAATCTGGACGCCGAGACGGAAGGACTTTGGAATGGGGTCGTGCAAGTTGTACGCGCGAATGCGACGATGAGAAGTGATGAGGAGATGGACTACTATGGTAACAAATTCACGAACAACTATCTGTATCGATAAGGTCGGAGTGGCGGTCGTTGGATGACGAAGAATTCGATTGGACGCAATCGCAGGTTGTAATACGAACTCCTAATGCAATATACATGCGATACCCATCATCAATGTGCTCTTGATATTCATCTTCCATCGATGTGTACAAACTTGTTCTCCTTCCAAAATTACAATACACCTTCTCATGTCATCGCTCACCATCTCGCAGTTCCAAAAATCGCTGATATCTGTTGTACGTCCACCGCCTACACGTCTTCCCAAAAATCTGCATCGGAATCGTCGTCAAATGAAACACCAAAGACAAAACCCCAATCGCAATGAATGTATTCGCCAAACCACTCGCATCAATCCACCGACTCGCCAAAAACGTAAAAATGCACGCCAAAGTATTATTAATGACCGCCACACCCACCATCCCTTCAAGCACCATATCCGGATAAGCATCCATCAAATATGCCATGGAAATATCTCCAGCGCAACCAAAACCGAACCCGGTCATGGCTAAACCAAGATACGGACCGGGCCAATTCCACGCTTTGGAAGATCCGATGCCAAAAAGCATTAATCCCGCGGGATTGATGATTGCAGAGAGATACATGAGCCACAGACGATCTTCGGCTTCGGAGATTCCGCCTCGTCTTTTCGCGAGATATTTGACGAAGATGTCGGAGAACCAGCCGCCGTAGATGCAGCCTATTGTGGCGCCGATGAGGGTAGGGACATTCATGATTGCGACGGCTTGGTTGCTGTAGTTCCAGGGTGGGTCGTAGTAGTTGTCTTCTTCGACTGTGAGGTAGAAGGATAGCCAGGCGTCTTGGGCGCCCCATTGGAGGCCGGAGTAGAGGACTGCGGGGAAGGTGAAGACGCGGAGGGTTAGCCAGAGGCGGTGGAAGTATTGTTTGAAGCCGAGGCCGATGAGGTTGGGGGCTGGGGTTATGAGGGCGATGCGTTCGAGGTAGGATTTTTTGCGGTCGATGGTGAGACGAGCGCTGTCGTGGGAGTTGCGGGTGTCGAGCTCATTGGGGGTGTCCGTAATTTTCTTCTCGCCTGGAATTACTGAGATTGATGCGCGAGCTCCTTGGAGGCCAAGGATGGCATCACGCTGGAAAGCTGTCTCTTCTAGACCAAAGTAGAAGACGAGCAACGAACACCCACAAACGATCGCAGCTGTCCAGCCCACCCACCTCCAGCTATCAATGGCGATGTATCCTGCAACTAGTGGACCCAAGAATGTACCAATCGAAGTTGCCAAGATATACAAGCCCAAAACAGACCCACGTTGATGCTGGAAGAATAAGTCCGAGAGTGATAACTGAGCCAAAGCTTCTGCGCAGCTCTCCGAGGCGCCCACAAACATTTGGTTCCAAATTGAGTCTTGCACGCCTCTAATGCGCGCGAACCAGATAGAGCCGACCATACCGAATGTCAGACAGATGAGATATTGGATCCTGCGACCGTATAGCCAAGGCATGGGAGAAGCGAGTAAACACCAGTATCCGATCGATGCGAATAGGACTCCGGCGGCTGTATTCGCTACATCGTAAGAAATGCCCAATTCTGCCAGCATACCATCACTGGCTGCTCCGGCATCGTTGGAGATCGCCGCTGTCATTGCGGTGATGAAGAGGACCAGAGTAGCGTGCCAGTATTTTCGCCATGGGGACCAGTTGATGGGATCATTGGGGCTGTCGGTTGGTGTTGGGTTGAGGACAAGTTCTTGGTCGCGTAGGTCGCCAGATTCGCCTTGGACGAAGAGTTGTATGGTTCCTGGGAGGAACTCGCCTCCGGGCTCGGCCATGGCTTGTCTTGCTCTCTCAGAGCGTGCTCTAGAATTTGACTTTGACAATGCCTTGAAATATGAGGGCTTGGTTTGCTTCGATTCTGATTGTGTTGGCTCAGCTCGCCACTGTATGATCTGTATGCAAAGCTGATGGTGCTACCGCAGCGCTGTCGGTGGCGTAGCGCTGCTCTCGTTCACCAGTCAGCAGCACAGCATCGTTACTTGATGGCGTCGACCGAGATTCCGAAAAGATAAGCTTCTGCACGCATGCTAGGATGAGGAGGACAAGAAACGCAAGAGTGCGCCAGCAAGGCCCAAGGCCGCGTAGCAGATTTCTTCTTATCGCGATAGCGCATTTTCCGTCGAGCGGAGTCCAGGATCGATGGATGGATCGATGCAGCAGCTGAGAGGCCCGAGTGGCGAGCGAATTGCAGCGGGCAACCACCGCGCCGCCCAACTCGGAAGCACTTGCTGGGATGAGTCTGGTTCACCTGCGTCACTTACGCCAGATATCCCGCACATCCCACGTGCCCACTGGCTGGATGACCCTTGCCTCGCGCTGCTCTTCAGCTTCTCTTCTCCTCTCACAACTTGCCCACTGCGAACAGCAACAGTCCCAAACGCACACACCGACGCACGTGAATGTCAACGTGTCAGCACAACATGGCGCACTTATACCACCAGACCTCCACGATATGTGACAGTCCTCCCAAAAAGCCCTCTAATTGTGGCTCCGGCCTGGGCGAGGACGCATCCTCAGTCTCTGCCAACATGGCCGTCCAGGCAGAGGCGCCGGCAGCTATCGACAAGCTGGCACCCAGGACCGGAGTCAACGAGAAGGCCAAAGTGATTGTGCTTGGTGCGGGTATCTCTGGCCTCCGCGCCGCATCTGTGCTCCAGCGCCATGGCCTGGACGTCACTATCGTTGAAGCTCGCGACCGCATCGGTGGACGCATACAGACTACGAGAAACGAAAAAGGCGTACCAAGAGATATTGGTTAGTCCTCAAACACAAAACTTGTAGCTGATACTGAGCTGCAGACCTGTGTTGGTTCGTTGATGGCCGAAAGGCTTCTTCACCCCAGGGGATATTCTCTCTCGCTTGCTAACACCAGGAACATTAGGCGCTGCATGGTGCCACGAGACAAGCCAGAATCCTCTGGTCAAACTAATCTCGAAGCTGAAGCTCGACTACTACTATGATGATGGGCTCCCTCTGTACTACACGGAGCACGGTCGAGCTGGTGCTCAGGCCAAGTTCAAAAAAGTGGCCGACGAAGCTGCAGATCATATGGAGTGGTACTATGAAACGCACCCAGAAGCGCCTGATCAACCCGTGTCTGACTTTGTGAACGCGTTCGTTGCAAAGCACGAGCTCATCACCGATGATGAGCGCTTGTGGGCTCCACAGGCATTCAAAGAAGTTGAGTTGTGGATCGGAACTTCGATCGAGACCGCCTCTTCCAAACATCTCTCCTACTTCATTACCGAACGCAATCTGTACATGAAAGGTGGTTACGATGCCATCGTCAAATGGACCGCCGATTGTCTCCTTCCAAACTCCATTCAGCTCAACAGCACTGTCGACAGCATTGCATGGACTGAAGATGGCTCAAAGAAATGTGCCGTCGAGTATCACGACGACGAAGGAAATGTGCATGTCGTTGAAGCCGATGCCGTTGTCTCTACCTTGCCGCTCGGTGCTCTCAAGCGAAACCTGGTCCACTTCGATCCACCATTGCCAAGCGACATGCAGCTCGCCATCTCCAAGTTCAGCTATGGAGCTCTAGGCAAAGTGTTCTTCGAATTTGCTGATGTCTTTTGGAGTAAGGAGAATGATCAGTTCGTGTACTTCCCATCTCCCCCGGAGCTGGATGCCGATCAGTATTCGACGTCACCTGGCTCGAGCAGCTCTGACGAACAGTATTCCATCTTGAACTATGCCACTGTTACCATCAATCTCTGGATCATGACCGGAGGAAAGGAGCTCTGTATCCAGATCGCCGAGCCTTTGACGCAGCGCATCGAGGCCATGACCAACAAGAAGGAAATCTACAAGTTTTTCGAACCCCTTTTCAAGCTTCTCCGCACTGAGCCATACAAGTCTCTCCCTCGTCTCATCGACGTTGAGACCACGCACTGGTCCCAGGACCCACTGGCTGGATATGGCTCCTACTCCGCCGACAAGGTTGGTGACGATCCTGACCTGTTGATGGATGCTCTCGAGAACCACAAAGGCTCGCGACTCCAATTCGCTGGAGAGCACTGTACTCTGACTGGCAACGGATGTGTGCACGGAGCTTTTGCTACCGGCGAGACCGCCGCAAAGAACCTCTTGAACAGTCTCGGCGTTGAACATGATGGTGGAGATTTTGTCAGTCTTCACTAAGCGATGCATTTGCATAGGAATGGCGTTGTCGATACCGTTGAGTTCATGCTGCATTCTACTTACGACAAACCACAGGTGATTTAGCACAGTATCTCATAGCACGGCAATATCAATTCTTTTCGAGCACAACTTCTCCGCACTGCGCCAATCCGGACCTCGTCGAGCAGGTTTTAGTCATGCATTCGACGCAAATGCAAGAGCGGAGGAAACAGGAGAAAGGTCTGCAGCTCGTCAACTCTACCAACCCCGATTACTTTATGTTTACTCGATTGTCTCAGGTGGAGAAATGGAACTGGCAAATGGTTCAAGGGTAAAATCTGGGGAGCCGTCGGCCGGAGCTGGCCGAGATGGCCGCGCCTGGCTTTTACGCCACTGAAACACCTGATAGCGTGAAACGAGGTGCAGCTATCGATAGGCCCCGAACATTGGCACGCATGCAAAAGGTACAGCTTGCCCACTGTCATTGATGGTACGTTCTGACACCAATCTACACCAACAGTTTCACGATGGCTGAAGCTCAAGTGTTTACTGCAGATGCTGCACAGGAAGTCATTGACTCTGTTGTCAAGTCTGTGCCTGCAGATCAAATCGATGCGACTTTCAAGTCTGATAGCATTGGTGAGAGGCACACTGGTCGACAGCTTCGTGCGATTACACCTGCTGACCGAACGCAGACCTGATCAACAAGGCCCTCGGGTCTCGTATCCTCTCCTTCTCCGACGAATGGTTCGCTGCCGCCGACAACCTCACAACTCCTACCCCACCTGTCCGCAAACCAGGTGTCTTCACATACGCTGGAGCTTGGTATGATGGCTGGGAAACACGACGACACAATACAGAACCCTTTGACTGGGTTGTCATACGCTTAGGCGTAGCAAGTGGAAGAGTCAAAGGCGTGGAGATCGATACCGCTTTCTTCAACGGCAACCAAGCACCTGAAGTCGCTGTACAAGGTGTCTTTGTGGACGATAGCAGAGAAGAGGAAATCAAGACCTCAAAATTCTGGGACAATGATAGTACTGTGGAAACTATCCTACCCAAGCAAGAATGTGGACCAAGTCAACGACATGGCTGGCTTTTGCCCAAGACCACAGACAAAGCTTACACGCATGTGCGGTTACAAATGTTTCCCGATGGAGGAATCGCTCGTTTCCGACTCTTTGGAGAAGTCGTCCCTGTCCTTCCGCAAGATGTCAACGAAATCTTCGACCTCGCTGCGACTGTTAATGGTGGTGTGGCAGTTTCCTGCTCTGATCAACATTTCGGTACGAAGGATAATTTACTCCTTCCTGGACGAGGAGTCGATATGGGTGATGGATGGGAGACGAAGAGATCTCGAGGGGAACATGTCGATTGGACGATTATTAGACTTGGGATTCCTGATGGGGTGATTGAGAGGATTGTGGTTGATACTGCGCATTTTCGGGGGAATTTTCCGCAGAAGGTGCAGGTTTTTGCTGCGGGTGCGAGTGAGAGTGCGCCAGGGCATGATTCGGGTGATTGGGTTGAGGTTTTGAAGCCGCAGAAGACGGGGCCTGATGCGGAGCATGAGTATGGGAAGGAGGTTTTGGAGAGGGTTGAAGGGGAGGGGTATGGGTTTGTGAAGTTGGTTATTATTCCGGATGGGGGTGTGAAGAGGGTGAGGGTTTTTGGGAGGAGAGGATGAGAGGTGAGGAGGCCTTCTGCTGCTGCTCGTGGGGATTCGGGCCCGGCATGAGGTTTTGACGTATGTGTTGGCAGGAATCGTTGCACAACTTCGAGATTGACGAAACGTACACACCTCTGCGCCCGACCCTTTCCTTCCGTCAATCGGAAATGTCCCTTCCAGCAAGGTATTAACTGTTGCTCGGCTTGTGCAGCAGGGCGTAGCTGCAAGTCGCCTCTGGCTGAAGCGAGTGAGTAGACGAGGCCAATCAGGTACTAAATACTCACGACAAAGCGTAGGATTTTCTGCTGGCAGTTATGAGCAAGAACAGCACTCACGAATTGTTGCAGAACCGAGATCAGATGAGTTGCTTCATGACCACTGAGGGTCGACTAGCGAGATCGTTGTGTTGTCAACCGCTTATCCACCAGTCAGTCACTGATATTTTTGTGGGCATGTCCGCCCATCACCTCAGCAATGCTCATTCGCAATCTGATATTACATTTGGAATCTCAATGAACTTCACTTCACTGCGACCTAGTGTGATAGCTGTCTCGAGGTTACTGGAGTCTATTCTCTTACACTTCTGGTGATTTTGTTCACTGCTAATTCTTCACGTTTACTCGACTGATTTCGGTTGCCCAGGCTATTCGTTGTTGCGATATGACAGGGTGCGAGCTGAACTCACAGGAACGCAATGCGTTCGTCAAAGATATCAAGTACAACTACAAGTCTCTGTGCTCAGACTGTCAAGAATTCAGGTTACTTGATGTACAGCCCGCTGAATTCTGGGACGCACTCGTAGTATGCACTCTACGCCACGCGAGTCTCAAGGGCGCCCGCATGCCCAAGTACGAGAGCATCTCGTACGTCTGGGGAGACGCTAAAGAACTTGAGACACTCGTCATCGATGGAGAGACGTACAAATACTCAGCTAGCTGCGTGGCAGCATTACGGCGTACGCGATTCTCGAGTGTCATCCGGACTGTATGGATTGATGCTGTGTGCATCAATCAGAAGAATCTCGAAGAACGCGCACAACAGGTCGCACTGATGGGCGACATATACCGGAGCTCGATTGGAAACCTTGTCTGCTTCGGTCATTGCGAGGATGAGCACTCAACTAGCTTAGCTCTACAAGACATCTCGACCATTCTCAAAGACATGAACGAAGAGACGAACAATCTCAAGCATATTGATAAGACTCCGATCAAGGCCGACTCAGGATTGCGCTGTTCTGTAGATTTTGAGCGGCTACAGACATGCCTCTTCTCGCTGCCATGGTTTAGGTAGATGCTCCCTACAGTGATCGGTCTTACATTAGTAGCTAATGATCTTGCAGTAGATTGTGGGTCATCCAGGAAGCTGTCCTCGCTCCTTCAAATACATGCTTCTTTGGGTCTTTCCAGTTTGACCTACTAAACCTCCTGCGGGCCGCCAACTGGCTACGTTACAAGGAGCTCTACGTGTCTAGCAGTATTACTGAGTCCACGGGTTGCAGAAACGCCTGGATCATATGGGATCTGGCAGATGTGCCTTACGGCGGTTCGACTTGCGGCCCGCTAATGGTCAGTCACTTGTTGGAGAAGGCAAGGGCTTTCCAGACAAGTGTACCAGCTGATCGGGTGTACGGTATGCTTGGGTTGAAGACATGGTCGGACGAGATTCCTTGTCTCCTGCAGCCGGACTACAACCGGTCGTACCACGAGGTTGTGCGCGATGCTATGAGATTTGCACTGAAGGAGTACGAGGACGGTCCATGGCTTTGGAAAAACGTCAGTCTCACCTCTAATGAAAGCCTGGAGGAGTCTTCTGCCCCCACATGGGTCCTGAACTTGGACAAATGGGGTCAAGAAATCCATCCTGTGACATTTATGCATAGCCACTTCAATTGCGCCAAGGCATACGCCCAGCCATGGCCCGAATCAAATTCAGGATGTGGCATTGATCTGAACGTACTTGAAGTCTCGGGATTCAAGCTGTGTACTATAGAGGAAACATTACCGGAGCTTACTGAAGAGATCTGGGAGGATCCGCCTCGGCAAAGAAAATGGCTGAAGGATTGCATCCAAATCACTCAAGAGCAGAGTGATGAGCTGGAAACGGCGTCTTTATTCATCGGTGGAGTCAATTGCGAGAACGAGCTCGCAACCGCCGCGGATCTAGCGGCATGGACGGATCTCAAAGCCTACATCTTCGACGATGATCGATGTTCGCTTGATTGGACATCAATGGAACTAGGAGACTTGCGGCCTGCCAGGCGGTATGAAGTCGCCCTGCTCAACGTCTGCAGAAGACGACGTGTGTTCCGTACCACTGCAGGATACGTAGGAGTGGGATCCAGGATCACGAGGAGAGGTGATGTTGTTGCCATGATCCTCGGCGGAATGATGCCATACATTCTTCGGCCAACGGGGGACGGGAAATATCGTTTCCTGGGAGAATGCTACATTCAATCCGACGATGTCATGTTTGGCGAGAAAGTGGCGATGTTGCAAGAGAGTGGCGCGCAGAGCGAAATCTTTCGCATGGTGTAGCAGAGTCTCACATTTGAGTCTTGCCTCAAAGTGTGTGGTTTCTGCTTGTTGGACATCTGATCCCAAGGTCGCAGTGATTTGCGAGAGAGCTTTGAACCTGGCATTTGAGAGGTTCGTCTGTCCGTAGGAAATAGTGACTGAATGTAGCAAGTGGTGTCGACCGAGGACTTATTTGAGCCTGAGGCCACATTGACAAATGCCGATGCCTGCCTGCAATGGCCGAGCTTTGCTTGCCACTTTCATCGCAGACAACCCTTCTTCTTCAACACCCGCAATGCAACCCATATCATCACATTGTTATCAGAAGGCGTCCAGGTTACAAGCACGGCCTCCTTCCGACCCCGAAGCTATCGCCAAGGCGAGACAAGTGCCGTCTAAGCATGCTCAAGGCGAAGTGGGATCCACATCCTTGCCCGACCACCCCTCCTCCGCCATTGTAACCTGCCATTCACAGGCAAAGCTCTGCCTATCACTCCACTGCCGCATATTCTCCGCCTCCATGTGGTCGCCATGCGCAGCGAACGGCCATGCTTCGTGCAGCTTATCACAGCTATCGCGGCCGCCACACAATGTTGACTGGCGGGCGTGCCGATCGCAGTACATGATGTAGGGATCAGCGTGGGCGTCTGAGACTTCCCTTCCTCTCGTTTTTGGCATTCTGTCTTGTATTGACCTTGAAGGCACCGTGCAGTGCTTCGGGAAGAACAATGGCTAGCCACAATCACACTTACGATGCAGACTCAGACCCGGAAAAGAAGATTGCGGCATTCGATGATGGGGCGATACGTTCAGGCTCCGTGCCAGAGAATATCCTCAAGCATTCTCACGATGCGGACGAGGCGATGAAAGCCTTCGAGGGCCAGACCGGCGAAGTGATTGATATCGACGAAGCTACCAACAAGAGATTACGCAGGATCATCGATTGGAATCTGATGCCAATCATGTGCACGATCTATGGTCTGCAGTATCTGGATAAGACGACGTTATCTTACGCTTCCATCATGGGACTTCAGACTGATCTGCGTCTGGTTGGGGACAATTATCAGTGGCTGGGAAGCATGTTCTACTTTGGGTGAGTAAATGTGAGACGCAAAGACTAATTGAACCCTGGCTAAAATTGTGGATGACAGCTACTTGGCCTGGGAATATCCTACGAATCGCCTGTTGCAACGACTGCCACTTGGAAAGTACTCAGCGGTGTGTATCATTCTTTGGGGTCTGGTCTTGGCTTGCTTTGCCGCTGCCAAAGACTTCTCTGGCGCCGTGGCGATCCGTTTCTTTCTCGGATTGACAGAATCGGCTGTGACACCAGGCTTCGCCCTTCTGACCAGTCAATGGTACACGAAAGCAGAGCAAGGATTCAGAGTAAGCATTTGGTTTTGCTGGAACGGAATCGCTCAGATCATTGGAGGTGTGGTCGCCTATGGCATCGCAGTGGGGACTGAAAAACATCCGGCGAGTCTTGCAGGATGGCAGATACTTTTCCTGGCGACTGGACTAGTGACCTCCGCAGTGGGCATCGTCTTCCTTTTCACAGTACCAGACAACCAAATGAACGCTCGATGGCTGAGCAAAGAAGATCGCGTTCTCGCCCTCCAGCGAATTCGAGTTAATCAGCAAGGGGTTGGAAACAAACATTTCAAGATGTACCAACTTCGGGAAGCGTTGACAGACCCGATGGTCTGGGGTTTCGCGCTTTACGCCCTCGTCGCAGATATCCCCAACGGAGGCCTTACCAACTTCTTTTCTCAGCTCATCACCAGCTTTGGCTATACCAAGCAGCAGTCTCTGCTCTATGGCACGCCGGGCGGTGCGGTCGAAGTGGTTGTTCTGCTTGTGACTGGTTTCCTAGGGGACAGGCTTGGAAGTCGTATTCTCACGTCATCTGGCGGTATGATTCTTGCGATCCTGGGAATGGCGCTCATCGTCGGACTGCCTCTCGAAGGATATAATAATGCTCGACTTGCCGGATACTATCTCACACAAGCGAGTCCAACGCCTTTCGTCTGCTTCTTGTCGCTGATATCCACCAACGTAGCTGGATATACGAAGAAGACTACTACGGCAGCGTTGTATCTCATCGCGTATTGCGTGGGCAACATTATCGGTAAGCTACCTCTGTCAAAATATGCTCGACTCCATGCTGACTAGGTTTCCATGCCCTCAAACTTTTCGTCCCAGTGATGCACCACGCTTCGTCTCCGCCGAGGTTACGATTCTTGTATGCTATTGCGTCTGCCTCTTGATCATGGCCTTCATATATTTCTGGTGCCGATTACAGAATGCTAAGAAGGCCGAGATTCGTGCCCAGCCGGGATACGAGAAGTTGGAGAATCAAGAGTGGCTGGATTTGACAGATGTCGAGAATCCGGAATTTATCTACGTATTGTAGTGCTCAATGCCATGAATCGATATATGCAGTATTTGTATTCAACTTCTCCGGCAAGCGGCACAGGTGAGTTCACCAAACCAATTCGTCGAACTCAATCTGGAAATGACGTCGTGCATCATGCACCGTGCTGTAAAACATTAAGAGCACTTAGGCGAGGTTACTGGCAAACACGAACTTCAGCCGCGTGTCGCGCGCGTTCCGGTATGAGACGTACTTTCATCCATGAATGAGTCGACAATTTGTAAATTTGGACAAATTCTATCCCAACGAGCGACGGAACCACGTTCAGAATTGAGAAGAATGCACGCCAGAGACGTGCAGAAAGGTTAGCCGGACAAAAGCGATTTGCAGCTTCAGCAATTCACCAAGCATCAGCCATGTCTTCCGAAGAAGAAAAAGACCAAAACACCAGCCAAGAATCCTCCTATCTCGAGCATGGCAAACCAACGACTCCAAATGGCACGAAACTCCCACTCTCTACAGCAGAACACCAAAATGAAGCGAAACCTCACAACCACAACCACCGCACCGCCTTCCTCCCCTGGCTAACAACCCACTTCACCTTCTCCTGGTTCACCTGCACACAATCCACCGGCGGAATCTCCATCCTCCTCTCCTCCTCCCCCAAAACTTTCCCCGGCCTAACCACAATCGGCACAATAATTTTCCTCTTCAACATCGCTCTCTTCATCCTCTTTACATTCCTCCTCATACTCCGCTGGAAATACAACCCCGGACTAATTCGAAAATCCTTCACCACCCCACCCGAATGCTACTTTTTCGGCTCTTTCTGGCTTACTTTAGCTACGATGATTATTAACATGGAGAGATACGGAACTCCACATTGCGGTCTTTGGCTGGTGACGACTATTAGGATATTATTCTGGCTCTACGCGGGTATATCTTTGACGTCTGCGACGGTACACATGGTCATCATATCGAAATACGTGGATATTAAAGTTTTAGATTTTCCAAGTCCGGCGTTTATTCTCATTTTGAATGCCATGTTGACGGGGACAGCGGCGGGCGCGATTGCGCAGAGTCAACCGGTTGAGCAGAGAGTGCCGATTATGGTTGCGGGAGTGGCGTATCAGGGACTGGGGTGGATTATGTGTGTGATTTTTTTGACGTTTGTGTTTGGGAATTTGTTGGAGAGGGGGTGGCCGGTTGTGGATTTGAGGGGTGGTGAGTTGTTGTCCTCTTTGCTGATGATGAAGTTGAGGGGCGTTTGATTAGTGAGTGTGAGCTGACTTTTGTGCTGTCTAGGTCTGTTCATCATGGTTGGGACTGCGGGTTTCACGATTGTTGCGCTGATAGGATGTGCTAGAGCTGCGCCGGCGGATTATGGTTATTTTGCTACGCACCCGATTGCTGGAGAGGTGCTCTTGATTGTGGCTACCTGGACTGGCATCTTTCTGTGGCTGTTCTGCGTCTTTGTTTTCGGCGTGGCATTTCTCATCATTATGGCGGGTCTGTTCGAAAAGCGAGAGGGAAAGTGGAGAATTGATATGAGTTGGAATAATGCTTCGTGGGGTAAGGAGACCAGTACACGCTTTACATATTGCACAAGCTGACAGTGGTGCTAGCTCTGATTTTCCCGAATGTAGGATGGGTTCTCGGTACCGTCTATCTCGGAGAAGAGCTGCAGAGTGAAGCAATCGCCTGGGTCTCAGTCGCGATGATCATCGCGCTGGTAGCTGTTTGGCTTCTCGACATGTTCCTCATGTCGAAAGCTGTCATCAAGTCGATATTCATAGACTCCAGAATCAAGGTCTCGTGAAGAGCCTCTGTCTGGTCGTCATTTCGGTTCCCGAGTTGGCTGTCCAGTGCTCTTCTCGCTCAAAAATCCTGCCATGGATCTGCTCATAAGGTAGCATGTGATCCGAGGGTCGCACAGATCAGACCGCTGCGGTTCATGACAGATTTATACCCTGCCGAAGTGAGTTTCGTCAGGGCGGGAACTTCGGTGATGCCGTGCCGTGACACTAGAAAGAGCTTTGGCGCGCATGATTGTATTCAGACTGCTCGATCACTCAATTTCACCCCATATCAGCATCCGGTGGGTCGAAGAGGTCATCATTTGGTTCACGTGGTTCTTGGGCCTCATGGAACTGAATGGCGTCGTCGATGTAGCTCAGCACAGCACCGACACTGTCCTCATCTTGCGCGTCTAGTTTCAAGAACGACACCAAGCTGAAGTCGTCAATCAGTTGCCCAACAGCTCGATTGAGCTTCGCGAACGAATCCTTGGCCATGACACTATTGTCCTCAGGATCGCCATTGTCCACACCCTCTTTGAACTCATATACCAGACCACTTTCGGGCGCGTCTTGCAACAAGCTTGTGTCCGGATCGATGAAGCGCTTCAGCTCTTTCCGCGCGATTTGTCCTTTGACTTGATCCATCTTACTCAGGATGTTGACATGCGGCACCTCCATCATGATCATGGCTGACATTGCGCTCAGTGTACCCGAGAAGAACTTGGCGCGGTCGACGATGAAGGAGCTTTCGAGCAGGTAGGCGGCGCACATGCTGATGTTCAAGCTGCCTCGAGTGAGGTGCCTGATCAGTTGCGGCACAATGGGAACGTGGGTGTACAGTTCGATTTGACCGGGCATGTCAATGATGATGAGGTATTCTTCGCCAACTTCCTCGAGCGGTTCGGTAATGAAATCGAGGTTCTCCATCAAGAATTCGAAGCAGTAGATCAGGCCGCCATTCGGTCCCAGGTGCAGCTCTTCCATGACATCCTCGAGGGTGATCAGGTCCTTGATATCCAGATCTGGCTCGTAGGCGAAGTCGTCCGCCGCCTGCATACGACATCAGCCATGCGCGACCTACCTTGCTCTTCGCGTCCGCTACACACCGGATCGAGATTGATATAGAAACATGAGCGGCGATTGTTCCTCAGGTGCTGGATCATGGCGGCGCAAAAGGTCGATTTGCCAGCGCCAGCCGGGCCCATGACGATCGTGCCATATTTGGAGCCCATGGTGAGTGCCTACAGCAGCGTCTGCGATTGTGTGAGTTGGTCGAAGTTCTTCAGACAGAAATGTTGCGGGCACGCTTGAGCTCGGACGCATCCCGGGATGGGCCGTACCGCGCAGTATTTGACATTTGCACACTCGCCATCTCCTCTTCCTTTCTTCTTTACCAAACTAAATTCGAGCTGATGAGCCGGCCTGTACGGCACATACTTCACCGCGGCGCAAGCTGCGTTGTGGATGCTGCCGAGAAGCTCCGGGCCCAAAATCACCACTGAGTGAGGAGCTATTTGAAACGTTCTGATCGAATGTTTGGTGAGGTGTTTTGCCTCTTCCACGCGACGTCTTTCTGCGGCCCGCGAAGACGCCGACGACGACTGCGGCTGGCGCAGCTCATGCAGCGTGTTGCAGCGCCCTGGACCTGCTGCAGCAGGTCGGTGTCGGGACGAGGAGCACGGGTGAGTGAGATTGCAGCGCTCCTGGGTCATGTGCGGCGCGGCAGGTCGAGACTGCTACGGCCCAGGTGGTGCTGCTATATCTCTTATGGTGGGCGGGTTTCGGACAACGCACCGACTACAGCGTGGGCGATGCGACCAGCGCATTGCAATAGTCATTTGATGCCAGCCAGGCTCGGCGGGTGTCATTCAAGGGTCAGTACGTCTTCCTGTCTCAAAGTCCACCGCTCTCTTCCTGCTCGCCGAGACGGCATGCGGCTGCTTTCTTAGCCTCTGCCAGCTTCAAATTTCTCGCAAGCGCGGCCATCGTCATGCTTCGTCTGCAATTCTTTTCAAACGCCACCCTTCTTCACACTCTCCCCGGTACACGCTGCCCGCCCTTCTCCGTTGCTGGCGCCTGCTCGAGTGCCGCCTTCCTGCCTCATATCGCCCGCACGTGCATTCGAACGGCCGTGCTTTCCTTCTGTCAGGGCAAAGCTTGTGGATGCCACCTTCTCCACCGTGCATCGACTGCTTTCCACTTCCATTGCAAGTTCTAGACTTCTTCTTTACATCAACCTCTGTGCTCGCTGCCACCACTGCAGACAGCACCTTGCCGCCACCGGCGCCCATCAATCGATATGCCACGCACCAAGAAGCAGAAGCGCAACAATTTGAGCTCCGAGCTCGGAAACGGCGACTTCGCCATTGATTACAATGCCAAAGGACGAGCCATCCGGAAATGTCGCACCCAGCAGCGAGAATCGCCTTTTGAAGATTCTGCCGTGGCCATCAGCGACAACGAGAGCGACTACGAAGAGGAGACCGTTGGCGATGTTATCTCGGTAGCGCCAGCAAAGAAGCGGAAGAGATCTCCATCTCCACTTGCAAGACTACCCTCCGACGATGTCGCCAACTTCTCCGACTCATCAATGTCCGATGCCGAGGAGGAAAGCACCCTACGAACCACTCCTCCAGCAACAGGAACGACTGTTCACCTCACTGTCAACATCCCGCCTGGCCATCAAGGTCCTATCACTTTGAACATTGACCCGAAGAACTTTGCCTCATGCCAAAGCGTGTCTGCGTCGCCTTGCAAGCCAGACAGACTTACGCAGACAACGCTAACCCGACTCAACACACGATCGGTGCCAAAGACGAAGAAGTACGCTGGGTTCCTCGACCTTCCCGCTGAGCTCAGAAACGACATCTATCGCCTCATCTTCGTCACAGAAAACGCAACGATCAACTTCGCAACACCCGACAATTTCAGCCGCAGTGCCGCTTTGCTCCGGACTTGCCGCCAAGTCTACGTACGTCGCACCCACCGCATATAGCTGACGCAATATCAAACACTAACGCCCGCGCAGGAAGAAGGACGGAGTATTCTCTATTCCGAGAATGCATTTGCTATCGAACGTCGCACGCAGCGATATGGATCGTTCTGGGAGCATGAGTGGCGTGAGCTAGGCTATCTCAACGTTCGCAAGTTCATGAAGTAAGTGAGCTCTGCAGTATTCTGTGGAACTTTTGCAGCTCCTAAGTCATTGTTGCTAATGTGCCCAGATCCATTGGTCCCACGAATACCGCCCTCATTCGCAGGATAAGCTTCATGCTAGAGGACGCAGTGCCATGCCTGAACCCTTCGATGAGAACGAACGAGGAGCGACGATTCGTCCACGACGACGACCTGATGTCTGTACTGCGACACCTTGGCAACCATGCGCAGCTTCAGACGATCGACCTGCATTTTCATGGCCGTCGTCGGGTTGATCGAACGGACGACAGATTCCTGGACTACATGAAGCGACTCAAAGCTGATGCAGTCCGATTTGTGGACTGGCCACCTGACAGCAAATATCCTCGCAGCTCGAAGCAAGACGAAAGTGTCAAGTCAACGCTACTGGCACACTGCACCAGGAAGAAGAAGAAGTTCGATATTTGATGCACGACTCGTTATCGAGATTGAGTTTGGCTGACACACGTTTTCGGGAGAGTTTTGTGATTGCTTTGCATTCCATCACGCAGCACGCAGCGCTGCATGGCCTCGAATTTGCTCTGACTTTGGGACGAGAGCTGTACATTGTGGCACTTTGCTTTCGACAGTTCAGCAGCATAGCAGGCACATATTATATGCGCGACATTGTACACATGAAGTCGCACTAACCGCCATTAGCGCAAGACTGGGTTGTAGAGTTTTCGGGATAGCGTACATATATGTATAGCGAACTATGTCCGTGCGTGCTATAGCCAATTCTTTTCAGCTGCTGGGTACCCTGCTGTCTGCTGCATGCGACAATGAAATGCTATTACGAGTAATTTTGTTGTCCGTCGCCTGATAATATAAGGAATGTGCTGGCATAGTATGTGCGTGCGGCTGTGGCGTCTGCCTTATTTCATCGCTTGTATCATAGTTGTAAGCGATTAGATGTCTGTTGGAGGTGAAACTTTTTGACACCCGTCAATCGATTAATCGAATGCTGTTAAATTAGTAGAGTTTGGTGTTATGTGTCTGCAGACCGACGGGCCGGTGGACGGTCTGGCGTGGATGGAAGAAACGGGTTTTCCGTTTGGCGATCAACGGCGGTCTTTTTTTTTTTGTCTGTGCGATTATTGTTTGTTGATTTATTGTAAGGCGACCAATGAGGACACTGTAAAAATTGGAATTACCGCAATGCTTCGCATGCACGGATGGATATATGTGTTGCCTTGGTGAGCGGTTTTATGGACTAGCTTCTCGCGAGCTTTGTTTCCCAATTCAGGTAGGTACGGGTGCGGACGGGCTCGATTTGTTATTATTGTACAACTGCTGGGATGGGATGCTTGCTGTTGGTATTCTCCGGTGGTTCCGGAGTTGGATGTCAGGCCTGGTAGATGGTACAGTATATTTATTAGGGCTTGGAGAGATGAGTTGGATTTTCCGCATTTATTATGTTCTCGTGAGCGAAGGACACATATGTACGTGAGACGTGACGTGGACGTTTGAGCTTCTGGGGCTTTGGGTTTTTTGGCATTGCGGAATGATCTCGATGTTAAAGATAAATTTCCTTCGTCCTACACGGGGCGTCGAACTTCGAGATTGTGGACTTGGATGTCTTATTTCTCAGTTTCGCTTCTTGCTTAGTTCTTCTTTGTATAGTGCTCATTGGGATTGCTACCACGTGTCGAAGGATTGTTGACCTTTGGAGACATCGGTCTGACATCGTCTGCTGTTGCTCCTCGTGCTGACAAGGATTCTTCTGTCTCGTAGATTCTTGCTGTTTCGTCGTCTTCATCTGAGAAGGTGTAAGTGCGCAATTCGGCTTCATTCCACCTGATCTGAGTGTCAGCAGGAGTATCGAGGTCAAGGTGAATATTATGCGTCGAACCAAGGCGTCGTCTGCTCCCCATTATCATCAACCTCCTCACACAAGAAATGATTGAAGAATCCGTGGCTGACGAGAGCAATTTCCTTCTCTGGTCTCGCTTTGATCCACTGTCGAAGCTTTGTGGCGCGGACCTTGACAGTCTTGGGTTCTACTGAGAATTCTCCTTTATGCTCGAACCAGCCGTGTTTGAGATGATCGAAGTCTACGCCTTGACTGAACTCTGCTTGGAGAGTTTCGATTGGACTTCCTGTATCGGAGGGTGCATCTGAAACTTCTTCTGCGTGAGGGAGGCAGACGATTATTAGGCCGCGCTCGACGGCTGGAGCGAAAGACAGTTGGCAGGTTTGGATTGCTCTTCGCATGGGGGAGGCGACGAGGAGTTCGATCTGCTTTGGTCAGGTTCTGTGGTTGGTGAGAATTGATGATGCTTGGCTGACTTTGTCGTGCCTGGAAAATGCTTTGCATCTGTCTCGACATTGCTGTTGTCCTTTGTCTGTGAGCAATGGATCGCGGACCAAGTGCCCATCTTTAGTCACTTCTGGCGAATGATATCCTTGACCATGGCGCATCAAATGCAGTATTGGTGGCATGATCGGTATCGACAACGCGCGAAAGTTGGAGCACGAAGTATTTGTTCGCCACGACAATGAGTCGGATTAGACGTCTCTTGTATCTATGGACATGTGGCCGCGGCCCACGGAGTTCCTGTTACATACTTCAGAGTTCGTCGATGGCGTAGGCACTTCATCCTCTACGGTCCTCAAGTGAACGGCTTCGTCATTGCGCAGCGGCAGCTAAGTCGTAGACACGTGGACTAGCGCGCAACACATGTAATGTGGCCACGATCAGGTCAAGATAGGCTTGCGTCCGTGAGATTGCGATGTTGCTTGTGCTCGCTGAATGACCCATTTGTGCTGTGTTCAAGCCCGCAGTCATGGCCTTGGAGGATCAGAAGCGTCAGCGTAAGCTTTCTATGCTCGTGACGGCCAAGCGATCAAGCAGAGTCGCGGGTTCCATTTCCGCGTGTCTGCTGGAGTTGTCCACGGCAGTACGATGTGTAGCCGTGCGATGTTGATAGATTCCTTCATCTGTACGACGCACGATTCAGATTGGAAGTTGCGTGGAATGGAAAGCGCTTCTTGCACCTCGAGAAAAAGCCCGCGATGGTCTGTGCGCAGCGAGCAGCAGTGTTGTCATTGGCCATGTCTTCCAACACACTAGCTGACGTCTGTCTTGGCCCTCAGAAGTGACTGCGTTGGTCTGTGCGGTGAGTGAAATTGACGGCTCTGCACAGACCAACCCAGTACAACTGCTGAGCCAAGACAGACGTTAGCTAGCTCCGGCTACTTCCGCGACCAATGCCTGCAACTGCAACTCCGCCGACAAACTAAAGTCCAAATCCGCTTTCCTCGTCTTCGCAAACACACTACTCTGCATTGCAGACAACTAACACGCACACGTCAACATGAGGTTGCAGCCGCTCATGCATTTGTGACAGGCAAACGCGGTCCGATCAGTCGCCATTCAGCATATGCTCGTCAGCGGCTCAGTCCTCTCCTGTGTGTCGCGCAGCAACCGCAACTCATGATAGAAATGGGAGCCGCTTTTGCACAGTACTGCTTGTACCAATGCAAAGTTAGTAAGAGGGTGAGTCGTGAGTGCTAGCTGACTGTTCCAGCTCGAGGGCGCGCGTTTCAGCCCTTCGCAATTCATCGCAAGCTGGCCGGCAGAGAGAGCCACCGCGGCCACCCCGTAGGCGTGACAATCGAGGAGAAATCAGCCCAGCTTGTGAAAGCTGCTCATGGAAAAGCTTTGAAGTTACACTTGTGTGAACATCAAGCAGCCGGGTCTGCATCTGATCGTTCGTCCACGGCGGCTGAGCGGCAGAGACTACTTCGTACGGACAGACCCCATCATCCTCAGCAATCGTGGCATGCCGCACGATGGCCCTGGACAGGATTCTGCAGTATATACTGGTCTCTTCGCGAAATCAGCTTGCGTTGCGAAGAGGGATGGTTGGTTACTCATCATTTTTCTGAGCGCTGCCGCTTGTTGACTCAACAACGCGCGCTCTGAGCAACCTGCACGATCGAATCAGTGCACAAAATTGTGCACTCGGACGCCCTGAAGGCCAATGTTCTGTGCTTAGACGTGTTGAAGGCAGGTTTTGCAACATCACTTCAAGCCGAACCCTTGTTCATTCAGATGCGCTTTACTGGGGAGGCTGGGGAATATTCCGGAGCACTGACTGACCAGAAAGCTGCACTTAGCAACGAGGACTCAAAATGTAAACACGAACGAAGCATATGAGATCTGCGCACGCGTTCAGTCGTGGCGCGTCCTCTCACACGCGCGTGTCGCGAATACTTCAATGTTTCGAATTTTACCGCCTTCGGGAGAGAGCAGCACGATCACGACTAACAGCTATGGCAACACGGCCGGCATCATGCGCCGACGTGCTCGAGCCGATGATACATCTCCACCACCTCGAACACCTCCGCGATTACGAAGTCATCTGGTTGCAAGCATGGCAGAATTCGTCGGGACATTTATGTACCTCTTCTTTGCTTTCACAATGCATCTGACGGCTGTTGCAAATACTCCCCCGACGGAACCACCCACGATACTGGTCATCTTGACGATCTGCATCGCATACGCTTTCTTTTATGGGTTTTGGCTTCTGATTTATGTTCTGACATTGCCAGGCATGGTTCCTGGAATGTTCAATCCTGCTATTGCGTTGGGCTCTGTGTTCGTCGGCGGACTGTCTGCGACGAGAGCTGTTTTCCTACTTCCGATCCAGGTACTGGCTGGCATATGTGCCGCGGCGGCGGTGAAGGCACTTCTTCCTGGAGACTCGAGAAGGATTGAAACTGTGTTATCCCCTGGCCTTACTGTAGTGCAGGGCTTCTTCATCGAAGTGGTGAGTGAAACAGAGCTCCGCAAATTCCAACTGTACTGACAGCTCACAGCTCATGACAACATTAGTTGTGATCACTGCTCTTGTCGTCGTTGCAAGGACTGGCGCCTTGAGCTTTATGGCACCATTTGGCATTGCCACAGCACTCTTCTTCGCCTCCTTTGTCGGCATTGGCTACACTGGAGCATCGATGAATCCAATACGATCATTCTCACTGTGTGCAATCAATTCTGACTTTCCATACTGTCATTGGATCTACTGGGCTGGACCCATCGTCGGAGCTCTGCTACCTTGCATATACTACAGACTTGTGCAGCTTCTGATGCCTCAATGCACAGCAACTGAGAACTTGCCTGAGGACGGACACGGCAAACCAACGCAGAGAAACGATCCCTCTGGAGGGCATGGTGCTGCTGAGGAGCGAACGAGAATGATTCCAGAGGCACCAACCCCGCCAAAGATTAGGAAGACCACGACGATGCGTGTGTCTGAGAGTCATAGCCCTGGAGGTCGCAGAACGAGCAACCGGAGTGATGCGGCTCAGCAGGTCTATTACGAGAAGGACGATGAATATGGGTCTTTCTATCCGAGTGGTGTCACAACGCCACCAAGATCACCATACCGAAGCTCGAGAGAGGAGAGGCGTGTCAGCTCGGGCAGGCACAGTGACATGGATCGATACGCCAGAGCTCGTGGATACGAAGAGGTGATGCGCTAGGTAAGCTGAGGTGCAAGATTGAAACTGACACGAATAGAGGATGTTCATCCCCATTGTTGAGAGTGTATATTAGAATGGCTGAAGCATAGTAGATAGAACTTAGCATTGCGGATAGTAGCCGTTTACATCGTCACATCATCAAGTCGTGAAGCCCTCGATGTTGAAATTTGAGAACTCATTGTTGTCCCCAACAGACACTCCCAGCTCCAACATACGCCTTCGAAAGGGGTGCAGAAGGTATAGTGACGGCACAGAGCTTGCTTCGCCTCAACGCCTGACTGCAGAACTAAGATGAAAAGGAGCTTTTTGGCAGACGGGCTGGAAGAAATTCCGTAGTCCGAAATTCCGCGATTTGGGTCCATCAAAATCATGAAAGACCAATCACGAGGCATGTTGGGACGACCGTGCACCGTAGAGAAAGACGGACGACGACCGCACTTGTCCATGACAAAGCAGTAGGATGTACACACGGACATATCTTTCGTAATACGTTTGGTCTAGTCGTTGCTAGTACCTTGCGGTCGGGTCGAAATTGAGACCATCACTGTCCGTAGCCGCCGGTCAACCATTCGCTAGGTCATGTCGTTCCGAAGCAAGTTCATTGAGGATTCGCTGGGAACTACTGTACGAGGCTTTTGAATGCAGATCTTGAGTCGATTGGATCGCTTGGTTGAAGGCGGCGCGTGTAGACGGCCTTTGATGCTCGTCGAGTTGTTGAACTAGTTCATGCTAGAATCCAGCGGTTGACAGTACCCATGCATGGGAATGCTAAGCCTCTTAGTCGGGTGTCGGTGATCGTCATTGTTTCAGCCGCCTGTGTTTGATATAGGAGCGTTGAATGATCTCTCTCGCTGATTCTGTCATGTCATCAGCTCAATTCAATAACCATGTTGAGCTCACTTCTAATCCAGGCGCTGCTGGCCAGCCACACATTAGCCTACGACCAACTCCTCGGATTCGATGCCGCCGCCGAAATCGAAACACGCTCGATCGACGAAATCTACCAAGCCGCTCTGAAAGAAGGAGGAGTGGTAACACTATGGCTAGGAGGCGACGAGCCCTCAGGCGGAAACGGCATGAAAGAAGCCTTCGAAACTAAATTCCCCGGCATGACCCTCAACGTCACAGTCGATCTTTCCAAATACCACAGCGTCCACTTCGACCAGCAATTGGCATCGAACAATGTCAACGTCGACAGCATCGCATGGCAGACTGCGCATGATTTTCCGAGATTGGATGCTGAAGGCGCTTTGCTGCATTATGCACCGAATGGGTTCCAGGAGGTGTATTCTCCGATGCGCGACCCGCGAGCTGCGTTTTATGGCATTTTGACTGATGCGTGGACTTTCAAGTGGAATACGAAGAAGTTGTCGGGTGTGAGCGCGCCCAAAGAGTGGGAGGATTGGCTGAGGCCGGAGTTTAAGGATAAGCTCGTGTTGACATATCCGAAGTGAGTGATATCGTCCCAGACGCTGTATTGGTCTTACTAGTTGCTGACCTCTATTCCAGTGACGATGATGCGGTCCTGTACGCGTTTGATCTTGTGTAAGTGCCTTATACCCGGAGTTGGCTGTCGTGATTGCTGACTGACTGCTCGTAGCATGCAACAATACGGCACATCCTGGTTCGACCGTCTCCTTACTCAAAACCCACAATGGGTCCGCGGTACCGGAACGCCAAACACCCTATTAAACAGCAAAAACTCAACACTCGCCGCCTCCTTCACCACCGACGCACCCCTTGCAGACAATGGAGTTGATGGCCTCAACTTCACCTATCCAGTCCAAGGCTCCTTCGTCAGCTGGTTCCAACTAGCCGCCATTCCAAAAGACGCACCTCATCCAGAAGCCGCAAAGCTACTCCACAACTACTTTCTCAGCAAAGAGTGGCAAGTCGCTCAAGGTTCCTGGCCTGTCCGCCGCGATGTGCCAGCTCTTGCAGGGTATCCTGATATTTTCGATATGCCGGGGACGAATGTCACGTACTTTCAGCAATGGATGGCGGATCGTGCTCGTGTTGAAAGGTTGAGGAATTGGTTTGAAGATAGGCTTGGTACAGCTCAGGGCTTGAGCCCATTGATTGATGGAATCTAAACAAAAGTTATAGCAATCTGCGGCTCGACGATGAGTCGATGGGTGATAGAACCGAAATATGAACAAGTCCGAACTCATTGCCAGGTTCGTGGCGGCAGTGGTGGCACTCTCCTGTTTCTCTTGTATCATTTCCCATGCTCCTTTGGCCTACCTGTTGCGTCCCGAGGCATGATTTTGCAACGCGACATGCACTCTGCTGAGCCCCAGTTCGCGCCAGTACCGACTGGCGGCATCTTTTCTGCTGTATTGTCGTTGACAAAATTACCACCAAATGCTGCGTTGACCCATTCGGGCGCGAAACCGTTTGTGAAAATTTGGCCGATATTCATAGTTCCTGCATCTTCATCGTTGAGCGCTGAGACGAGTTGTGCAGGCTCGCACTCTAGCAGGCTTCATTAGTAAGGCATTTGTCGACAGCGCGGTGCAAATACCGTTGTTTGCCATCATGTGCATGCTGCCGGCGGGAAAGATCGTTGCCTTCCCAGGGGTGAGACATGTCACAATGGTATGTGCACCATTCTCTTCCTGCATCCATGTCGTTGTATTGCCTTTGACTGCGACGACCCAGTTTGCCGCGCGTGGGTGGAAATGCGGTGGCAACATCGCGCAGGGTCCCAGGTTGACCATCGCCACTGCGACATGATCAGCATGACTGTATGCGCCTGGAGTCCTCCATCACGTACACGTCAAGCCATTGCCCCTGGTCGCTGGAAATGTAGCCGCATTCATGTTGGTGACCCCTCCTGGCGACCAGTTGTAGAAGAACTGCTGCGCTGTAAAGTCGAACGTCCAGTCCGCGCTGCTGGGCAGCAGGGCAAGACGGTCCAGCTGGGTAGCGGCCATCGTCAATTTGGCGACAGCTTCCGGATCTTTCGTGACGTCGATAGCAGATGCCTTGAGCCACAAAAGCGCGAGAAGTAATCTCAGATCCATTCCAGATAAGCGGAACATGTTGTGTGGAAGAAGAACCCAAGCGTCCGGTCGCAGCCTTCCTGTGTATCTCCAGGACAGTCGGGACTGTGTAGCACACCAGTTGTTGCGCCAAGTGCAAAAGGTGGACAGGCACGGCACGGAGCTAGCATCGATAGCCAGAGCGAGGACGGGGTTTCTGGGAGAGTTCCTAGACGGATGGGCACGAATAGTTGAGATGCGACCCAGAAAGACGGAAACATCTATATACCCGTGCTGTGCTCGCAGAAGCAGGACACAGCGCGTGGCGGAGAAATGGAGCCATCACATGAAATGTCCAGGGATTTGCGCCAACGGTCTGGCTGCTGGCGCGTGTGAGATGTAGCCAGCTCGTAATAGCTGCTCGGATTTTGACGTGCTGGACTGATGCCAGCGGAGCCCAGCCTCTGAGCGGCTCTACGGAGTGCTCTCTCATCACACTCTTTCAGCCACGTCTGTTGCTCGCGCTTGAAATGCCCAGGGCATCGATCTTTGTGTAGCTGGCAGCCTTTGTATTCGACGTAATTGGCAAATCCACTTGCATTCCTGCATGACCGCTGTACTCCTATCTAGGCGATCTCGGATCGTTTCCGAGCCAGTCGAGAACATTTACTGACTGGTCGTTGAGCGGTTGAGCTCAGGTTGCCGCCAACACCGTCTTGTCTTCAGCTTGGTGCCGCCGCCATCTCTACGAAAGAGTGCAGTGCAGACAGGCCCACGTTTCTTGGACATAGTTGCTTCCAGAACTACCGCTGATGCATCAGTTGCACAAGAGGTCACGACCGAGAGCCCTGATGTTGTTCGGCTCTGCAACATGTGGCGTTTTGGGTGATCGGTGATGCCGAGTCGTATTCACAGATCTGTTCTGTGCCATAATGCCGGCTTTTGAAATGCAGGGAAGCGGTAAGGCTGTCTTCGTGCACGATGCTCGATGTGCGTGGTGCAACGAAGATCGGGCGTATTTGGTTCGACAGATATGATGATGGCCTGATCTCTATCGACCAAGTCGAAATGGTGGCCCTCGCAGTCCTCGTACGCCATGGTAGGCTGATGGGGGCTTGCTCCACAGCGCCAGCCTTTCAGACTAGTCTCAGACTGACACCCGCAGATTTAGTCTAAGTCAACCTCACGCAGTGGACTTGATATCCAGCTCGACCATTTCCTGAAGGCTGCTGCAGTCGCATGCTGATCTCTCGACGGCCCAGAGCGATGGACTTGGCGCTGTCTGATGCATGAAATGTCTGTCTATCCAATCGCATCCGTAGTAGCCTGGCACAACGCGTGACCCTGGTAGTTGCAGCTTGTGCTTGTTGTTGGCCAGTGTGCATCATTGCGCATGACTTTGCGCAACACGTTGAGACAACAACGTTGCCGTGGTGAGAGGACATATGGACAGCCTCAGCCGAGGATCTCCGACTCCGCTCTCGTCTGTTTTCTTGACCCCATACGAGCACCTGACTCCGCATAACCAACCAGACGACTATCATCTTGAGCGTCTGCCATATTCCTTGCGAAACTTCATTTGCCAGAATGGTGGAACGACTCGATCAAGCGGTCCAGGAGAAGTCGTGTTCAGAACGATGTGTCCTGCGTTGAGCATCATTGTCCCTGGTACTGACCCTCTTCCGTATGCACGAAAGCAGCCGCGTCACCTCACTTGAGACCAGGTCCTGTCGTAATGTGTCCGAAGAACTGCATATCCGTATCTTGTCCGATATCGCCGATATCGAAAAGATTCTCCCAGCTGATGTCTGCGAAGAAATCATTGACGTCCCATTCGGCAGTGCTGTTGCCGGTCATAGGAGTAGCGAAACCGCCTTTTTGTTGCGGCGCCGTCTTGCCAAGGTTGGAAGTATCTGGCTGCGAGGTCGGCGACGCAGACATGAAGGGTCGAGAATGCTCGAAACCAGGACCTCCATCTAGTCGTTGCCGTTTTGCCGGACGAGCGAAGTTGTCGTCAGCAGTAGGTGTGCCAGGTCTTGTGCGCTGCTGATTCTTTTGAAGATCTGAGAGAAGGGTGGAAAGTGCGGCATAGCATCTCTGAGCACTTCGCCATCGCTCTCCCATACGTTTGAGAAGGTCCAAGCAGCGCAAGATTTCGTGCGAGCCTTGCGCTGTGTTGTACAGATTGATCTGGCATGCGAAGGAGATGATCAGTCCAGACATCCACACGGAAGCGACATAGCCTGGCCAGAAGAGCTGAGTCTGACGTTCCAGAGCCAGAATTGTTCTCTTTGCTGCGCGAATCGTCACCTGCAGTGCGTGATGAAATTCCGGTGATGTCCTTGGCAATGACAAAGCTGGCCGATGGATCGAGATCTTCAGTTGTTCGTAGAGCACGTGAAGGAATGGCAGGAAGCGAATGATCTGCTCATCGGCGCCATTGTTGCCATATGCGTAAATCGGTTCTTCTGGCATGCTGTTGAACCACCTGTCCACGTCCGAGCGCAAGAACAGCACTTTCCGTGGATCGTGGGCGCGAGAATGGAGTGAAGTGTGATAGACATCCATGACCCTACCAGCCAGCTTGCCGTAGTCCACAAAATTGGCAAGTATAACTTCGAGCTTGTTCTCTGGCTCAGGTTGTGACTTGACATCTACCGTGGGAGGGGCGGCGCCTCCAGTCATGACGCCGGTCTCGGCGCTTGCTCTTGGAGCAGCTCCTCCGTTCACATTGGAATTTTGCCGAGACAAAGTCAGGACTCCATTCTGATCGTGTGTGGCAGGCCCATGGATCTCCTGTCTACCAGACAAGCACACATCGATCTCTGCATCAGATAGTGAAACGGGGATGCCAAGGGCCTGACAAAGGTAGCGATCAAGCGCGTAGGCACTCCACAGGATGCGCTTGCGGAGATCTCTGTCATCATTCGAGAGTTGAGGGTAGCGATACGGGCATCGATGAAGACCAGCGTGGAATAGTAGTTTACACAATAGGCCACCGATTGAGGACGCAGTGCGGAGCGCCAGGGTGGAGAGGCAGTAGACCTGAGCTGCCAGGAGAGTCTGAACTGTCAGGATATCGTGCTTAGAGGCCAGTGAAGCGACCAGGGAAAGCAGGTTTGACCTTGAAGGCAGAGCAGAAGGGATCGAATGCGAGGAAGGAAGACCGGCTCCTCCCACCGCTATCACACACTGAAAAATGATGAGATTGCACAAACGCTTCCGATCGGTAGGAATTCTGCCACTGCCTCTTGAGGTCCTCGGATCTTGATACAGATTCTCTAGTTCTTGCAGGAATGCAGATCCGGAAAGAAACGGCACAATTGGATGCCAGATCTTGAAGTACTCGATTGTCATGAGCTGGGCGGTCTCATATGGAGGTAATGAGCCGAGCTGAGCAGAACTGCTGACTTCAATGGCTCTTTGGCTGCTGATGTTCAGCTCGAACTGGCCTCGTTCCGGGGAATTTCGTGCTGAAGGTGCAAAGTCGTCTTCGCCACCAACAGTCTCTTCGGCGGCCGGAAGGTGATTCGTGTTGTCTTGCTGTACCGAATTCTCGAAGGCCTGCTTCACGGTATTGATGAAGTACACGCCCGAGCTGCTGCCAATAAAGCGACTCTCGTGAGGAGATTGCTGTGTCAGCGAGCCGGTTTCGTGGGTGGTGTGATTCGTGCTTTGGGTCGTGCTGGCGGGCGACGCAGTCGCGTCAACGGTTGACCCTTCCATGCTGCATAAGCTCCTTCACACAATGTCCATAGTCCGGCCGGGGGTCGCATCTGTTGCGCGTGTGAGGAGCTGAGTCGAGGCAGCGGCGGCGGATGAAAGTTCTACGCTTGGCATTGGGCGACAAGACCTCGGCCGCACCTACAGCCTCAACCCGCCTCCACCACCAGCCAGCGCGCCGCAATCTCGTGCAGCGCCGTCGACATGCCCTCTGCAGCTCCGGAAAAGATACGGCGGTCTCGTATCACCGCAGCGTGTGCGGTTTGTCGAGGGAAAAGGCAAAAATGCAGTGGCGAAAAGTAAGCGCGAGAGATTACCCGCCGATGCCAAAGTCAACAACATGCTGACGCATCGGGTTCAAGACCAGTATGCGATCAATGCCGGCTGCACAACGAGGAATGCTGGTGGAGTGAGACCAAGAAGCGGTACGAAGTATCACGAGTTATAGCTGAGGTCCAAGTTTCCCACTAACGCGAGATCAGTGGACCAGCCAAGGACTATCTTCGATCTCTGCAAGATCGCCTTCAAGAGACCGAGCGCCTACTACTCGGTGTCCTGAGCCGAGTCAGTGACGGCGACCTTTTGGACGTTGTGCAAAATGACGCGAGTACCGTGAATGCCCCAAGCCACCAAACATGGAGCAGCACCATGTCAGGCCAAGAACACTGGTCACATTACCCATTGACTCGCCTGGACACAATTAGAGCGTGGGAGAGTGCAAGACGTTCCTATATGCCCGCAATAAAATCCGAGCAACGCACATTCTACGATCCTACACTGGAAAGTGGCGCGAGAACAGACTACACGCGGCAGGAAGTCGCTTCGCCAATGCCGATGAATGCCCAGTCTTCCGGTGCTGCATCAGGATCAAGCATACCACCTCTCAACAACGGAGAACATTTTCGAAGCTATTCGAATGCTACTGCTCACAGTCGAAATGACTCCTGGCCACCGGCAGAAAGCAGCAGAATGGAACGCAACGAGAGACGCTACAGTGAAGAGACCAGAGAAGCAGGCGAAGCATTATTTTCAATCTCCAATCACATGCGCACTGGACAGCAGCCACATCACCAACAGCAACAACACTCCATACCGCAGCCACCAATGCAGGCACAGATGCAGCCAACTAGCCAGCCCTGGCAATCGCCACCGAACGAGCCCGAGAAAGCATCAGCAGACGCCATTATGGAGAACCCGCAACCGAATTTCCCAAAACACCTTTTCTGGTAGTCGGTGGCCTCCCTTCGACCAACAGAGTCTCAGCGATCAGCACAAGGCGTTGCACGGGCTTGAAAGATAATGCTGAAAGTTCTACCGCTTGACACAGACTAGGACTGAAACCCATGTCAACTTGTTCAATACGCGACAATACCACAATATGTACAGTTCTAGTATGTCTACGGAATACTCCTAAGATTACCGGGACCGATGACGCCTATTGCGAAGCACGCATCCTTTAAACCTTGATCTCAGAAGAGTAGGCGACCTTCTGTCCAGCCTCGGGATTGATCTTCTGGAAGATCGCTGGAATCGGCGCCGGCACTTCGGCAAGACTGGCGGGCTCAATGTAGTCTTTGTATGCATTGACGCGCAAACGGAGCTTTCTGCTCTCCGCATAGACCACTCTGCGCATGCGGTTGGTGCTGCCAAGAGGCTGGTGCTCCTTCAAACCGTGCCAGCCATTGACGGTAATACGGTCGTCCCACCAGACGCGGAACTCAGGCAGCCAGGAATCTTGTGGATCGAATTCGAGTCTGGCGACTTCTTGCCATGGGTACTTGTTGGCATCCCACTCGACACCGATGTCATCCACGGGTTGCTCTTGCAGGTTCTCGAGAAGCTGGACTTTGAAGGAGTAGGTGACTTTGTGATTTTGGTGGAAAGCTCGGGTGTGCTGGGAGAGGATGTTGACTGGGTCGTCATCGGTAAGGTATACCTCTTTCAGCTTCTTTTGCTCCTCGCCTTCAGGGAAGAGAGCAAACTTGGCGACGTAGTCACCGTATCGGTAAGCCGATTGCGACCATTCAGTCATGGCGACCACTAGAATCAATGTCAGCGAGCCTGCCATGTGCAGACACATACTCCGTCAAACTTACTATGCTGTCTCGGAATCATCGCTGGAGCACAAGCAACCTCAGCATCCTCACGCTTCCCCAAATACTCCGCAAACTTATCCAGCTGGTTCCAATTCTTCTCCAAACTATCCGCAATCTCGCAAGTATCCTTCGGAGTTCTCAGCTCCAAAATGGGGTAATTGTTAAACGTAAAATCCTGTGTCTTCTTATCCTCTCCCCAAATCTTCTCGCCCTGAACACCGAAAACCTTGAGACCAACACCACGTGGCGCGGGAACATTATCTGGCACCAACTTTGGTGTAAGAGAAGAGTAGCGCATGATGCAGTCATAATGTCCAGCCTTCTTGAACATGCCCTGGGCGAGGTGTGGTGGAAGGCCTTCGGCGACGGAGAACCGGCCGATGACGCACTGTAGCACATTATCAGTACACGGTATGAAGTGAGAGAATCGGCGAGGGCGAGCACCTACACCCTGAGTCTTCAAGTGCGTGCCGCGAAGGCAGTGATGATGCTCATTGAAATTCATCATCTGCATTCTCTTGAACTGCTCCGAAACTTCCCATATTTTCTCTTTCTCACCAGGTTGCTCGACTTCGACGCCCTCCGCATTCCAGGGAATGTACTGTTTGTCAGACATGTTGTTGGCAGCTAAGCTCTTATCCTCTCTGGTCTTCTTCCGAACAGGTAAATATTCAATGTAACGTTCTGCTGCTCGTTTCTTGCCAGCAGACTCAATGATAAGTGACCGGTTGATGATGACCTATACAAACAAAAGGACAGGCGAGACGTTGGAAGAAGAGCTCCTACCTATAAGAACAACCCAGCAACCAATGCTTCTTGCAGCAGTAGTCTTAGTTCCAAAGCATGCACCAGACGCCTCACCGAATGAGAAATCTACCCCATGTTTTGCCTGAACCTCCATGTCGCCGGACACAGCCTCGACCTCATCTGGCGCGAGTGATCTGCCACGAGACTTGCTATAGTGGTAGAGGTACCTGGTGGCTTGCGGGGTACATGGGGAGTCTAGAGCCTCGAGAGCTTTGTTGCTATTGGATGAGAGGGGATCTTGAAGCTTAGTTTGAGGCGGTCCGTCGTGGGAGAGATTTGGAAGCATCTGTGCAGGTGGGCCGAGATGCTGCTGCTTTTGGAGTTGTTGCAGCGATGGGATGGTGTACGTACCTCGCTGTGCATGGAGTGAGGCTCAAGAGGGGAAGGATGGATCGGCGAGGCGAGCTGGATGGAGGTGGGTGGAGACTTGCTGACAAGTGAAGAGCTGTGATTGGCTGCTTTTGCTTGGTGGGTTCTGGTTCGCGATCTCTACGCATCTTCAATGTTTCCCAACACGTCTCTCATGCATCATCCTTAAGAATCATGTCGTTGCGTGGAAGATCGCTTCGACCACCACCGACACCCGGATATCATCGGGCTGATAGAGAAATGAGCCCACGCTGACCTCCTTCAAGCCCAGGATCTCCGCCAGATTCTTCGCCGTCCGCTCGCTGGTGCTCGACGGCATTCTGCCTCCCTTCATCTTGGACGAGTTCGCATTCGCTGAGCTTTCCTTGAGCTGGTATGGCGTGATATTACTGTAGCCCATGGCCTGAGCATAGTCGACGGCCTTCTGATACGCATTTCTCGCAGCCTTGGCTCTCAACTCTGCCCGATGCGTATCCTTTGTCGCCTCTTGCAAGATCCACTGGACCGGTTTCGTTTGGACGAGTGGTGAGATCAAGGCGAGATCTGTTGTCAAGCCAGATATGGCCGCGAAGTTCTGGAACCTGGCTTCGAACTCCACCTTTGCGATATAATGGGCTTCAGATTTGCTGGAAATGCCAGGAGCAGGATCGCTGCTTTCGCTCAGCGATGTACGACTCCAGTAGTCTACCGCAGCTTCGATGCGCGCTTCGATGGTATTCGTCTGAGGAGCCAATTGAGTGAGCAGTGTCTCCACTCTTCGCGCTGTCAGGAGAACATGTTTCGCGGCAGATTGCTTGTCTAGGTCCCTGGCGGCGACTTCGATATTGAGTACTGCTCGCTCCGCTGGCAAGAACTTCTCCGCCTCGCCTTTGAGTATGATCTCGAAGTACTTGCTGCGATCTGCGGTCATGGCGGGTTGACTCTAAGAATTGCTTCGCCGTTACGAATCACAGGTGGTACGCAGGTGGGTTGTTTGTTACAGACACAGTCGCTGCAGCCTGGAAACTTGAGCAATGTGGCCATGCGTTGCAGCCGACGTTGGAAAGTACGACAAACACCCGAGGGCAGGGGCTCTGCGCTTTGTCCTGCGAGGCGGAAGCCACGCACCTGGACCTCCATGTTCATGGGACTCTTGGCCCTTCCCATTAAGGACGAGCTTTCATCCTCTCTAGCAAGTTCATGCCAATTACAGGAGCCCACACGACCTGGAAGCTTTTCCTTGTCCGGACTTGGACTGTGCCACGAATCTCCATTTCGGCAAGTGCTTCGATAGCGCTGATTTCACCAACAGATAGCGGGGCTCGCGCAGCTCCTCGCTTGGTCGTTACGAGCAGATGGAAGTCCAGCAATCGTCTTCCGCGATCAAGAGCCTTCACAACTGCACCTAATTGGAACCTGAGTTTTCCCGGGTTTTGCTCTTGTGGCAGACACAGATTGACATGGAGATGACGAAGGCGACTCATCAGGCCAGAGAATTCCCAGGGCAGCACAGGCGTCAATGTGCTGGTCATATGTGGTTTGGCCGGCCGCCGATCATTCACAACAGTGGTTGAAACAGGATACTTTGCTGGATCCGATCGACTATGGTTCTCGAGGTCAATTATCCAGAGAAAATCATTGGTCTGTACACGGATTCAGCTTCGAACGCCACAAGACTTGTCACGCACTCACCTCGTAGAAGACGTCGATGGCTTCCTCCCGGAGTCTATGGCATGTCTGAAAGAGCGGCTGCGAGAAGACTCCCAGACCTGCCCAGACAGGATACTGAAGCTCGATCGTTCCTCGTTGCTTGAGCAGTAGTTGCAGCACGCTCCGGCGAAGCTCGCATGGTAGGCCTAACAAGGACGGCTCGGTCATGCTGATTGCAGTCAAATTGGGCCTGATCCCTGCTGGATACTGTCGACTTTGGAGGACTAAGCTTGCGAAAAAGATCTTCGTGTTTGCGGCTGCGAACCCGCGGCGCTGTTTTGATCAAAACCAGAAATTCCTCTTCTTATCCTCACACCTGATTACACACGAAGTCGAGGTTCGGCTCCAGGCTCCCACCATTTCGCTACTGTGATTACCCGACTGACACGTGACAGTACGCTAACGATTTCCGTTGAGACTTCGGGATTGTCTCCCAACGCCGGACCTCGATGTGTCTATATTCTATTCTCTGAGAGTGGCCCAGAAGTCCAGCCGCCTTCGTCTCGATGACGCCGCTGCTCACAAGGTCGAGAATGCCGATGACACATTCATGCCATCGATGTCCATCGACCTCGAAACATACAGAGTCTTCGAGATTGATCTTCACGATTGACTCATCGATGCATATTTGTCCCCAGGCTGAAGTGGATATGAACCAGACCGGACAGGATCCTGCTACTTGACGAGATGAAATCGGCCGCGCAAGGCACTCACTTAGTCAACGCACCAAATAAGAGCCTGCGGAAAGACCTTAATATTGCCATTCCGCTGCTATCGTTTCGACACCTCCCTCTTCAAATCTTGCCAATCTTCACTGGACATTTAATCTCAATGCAAGAAATCTCCACAATTTGGACACTGATACACAGAATCTCCCCAAAGCTTCAATCCGTCACAATTTCCTTCACTAATCTCCCGCTTGATCTGCTCTACCATAGCCTGTAGCGTCTCTCTCAGACTATCGCGTTCGCGTACACGAAGAAGTCGATACATCACACCCGTACCCGAAGCAGTCGGCATTCGAGCGGTCAAAGTGAAAAAGTTCTCGTCGAATATCAGAATCTCATACACGTTGCGCAGGGCCGCTTGGGGTTTGATGGCTGTGGCTATTCGCCAGAGTTTCGGCCAGCGTTGCATTGCAAGCCCTGTGAGGAGTCATTAGCAAAGGCGCTGGAGGTGGCAGGGCGGTTTTGTATTGTTGGAAGAGGTACTTACTGAAGATCAGATTGTGAATAGCCAAGTCTGATCCTATTGCGGCTATTTCCACGTCGAGCACTGCTAGCTCGTGGAGGCGTTCGATATCTTGTTGTTCCATCGTTGAGCGAATAGTAGGAATCGTTCTTTTGCTTCCACAGCAGCAGCCTCTGATAGAGCGTAAAGTCTTGAGGCCTGCCAAACGACGGCTTTTCTACGCAAGCCAGCAAACTACATCAATCCACTCGAACCTCCCTTATTGGAAGTCCAGCGACTCAATTCATTGCGACAAACGAAGGGCAAAACTCGACAAGCTTTGCTCACCAGCGATTAGCCAAGATATCCACTGTCATCGCGGAAGTCTCCAGACCCAAAGCCCAACATGATAAAGGCAGCGACGAAAGACACCCACGGACGGAGAAGACCCGTTGCAAGAAGAGTACAACGACGGAGCAAGAAACACTAGACTTTCGTATCTCAATGCATCGCTCACGAGTGTTTGATCAAGATTTATCTGTTCCTAGCAAGTTGTCTTATTTCAGCGAAAGGCAATTGTTCCAAACCAGGCCACCCATCTATCGAGTGAACACTCAATCGAAGGATGTTCCAATGGCCTCATCACTTTCACTCCCATTATCGTCGCCAATGATGAAAGTTCCATTATCATCGCCGATGACCTCGTTATCCTCGCTGGATTCCTGGTCCGCCAGATGCCTTCTGTACGCCTCCTCCGATACTCCCGAGTCGATGCCTGTTGTTGGATCGACGTAGTCAGGCTGTGCCGGAGGATGAGAAGCAGCTTGGGCACGAGGAGTAGGCTGCTCATGCACGAGATGGCGATCGTCGTCGTCACCGGTGCGGTTGCTGGTACCAGAAGGTCCAGGCTCGTTGACGCGCTCTTTGCCCTTTGGACGAGGAGAGGTGATGGTACTCGTGGATGGCGAAGGTTCCACAACATGCGAAGTCTCTGTATCAGAGGACGATGCTTCTGGTGCTTGGGCTGCAGACGATGAGAGATCTGCGTACGAGACCGACGGCGCAGGGAAGGTGTCAGAGTCCTCGCGTGCTTCTCCTTCCGGCTGTTGTTGGTCTAAAGCGTGGCTAGGTACTGGCACCATTCCATCGGGAAGCAAGACCGCTTGGACTTCAGGCGTGTCGGCCTCGGTGGTTTCCTGACTGTGGTCTGGACCAATGATGAACGTTGCTGTTCTGCGTCTCGGAATGACGGGCACGCCGCTGTCTGAACCGCTGTCGACGGGCTGAGCTGGCACCTGGGTATTCGCTACATCTGGAATCGCTGTTAGAAGATGATCCCAACATTGATGAGTTGTTGCGGTGCAGTCATAGCTGCATGCACGCTCGCGACGAAAAGGCCGGTCTGGTAATGGCAAGTCCTGCTCACTCACCTGTCGCAGCGCTGTCCTGCCGAGCCTTGTCCACATTCTCGTCCTCATCCACAACAACGGCCTGAGGCTGTGGTCCGCTCGAAGCGCCAGCTCTGACTCGAGCATTCAAAGACGGTGCCAGCATGGCCCCCATTCTCCCCTGCTTCTGCTCAATGCGACGAACAGTATTGTCGATTCGACGAAGAATCGACAAAACTGTCCCGATATCTTGCGCCTGGCGGTCTCTGATCTGTTTGATGTCATTCTGTAGTCGCCCCAACTCACTGTGCGATAGTGCTCGCTGAACACTTCTGCGAAGGGGTGCTAGGGCTGGCGAGCTGGCGCTTGACTCTTGCACATCATCTTCCGCCGCGGATATTTCGAGAGGCGTATTGCTGGGACCCGGTACCCCTTCGATGTCCATTCTGTTCTCTCTCATGTGCTGCTGTACAGTTCCTCCGACCGCTTGTGCGAGCTCTTCTGGATCAGAGTATCGTCGAAAGCCCGAAGGACTTGCTGAAGACGAGCCACTCGCACCATTACCGTTGATCCCATTGCCATTGACACCGTCGCCGTTGTCGTTGGACAGTATATAGCTCATGATGTCGATATGTTCTGCGCTGAAAGGGCGTCGTTCGGTCGGAAAAGTATAGTGATGGCAATAGCTGAAAGCTGTGAAGACTGACGTACGAATGCAGTTGTGATGCGAAGAGCAGGGTGTAGATGTAGATGGCTGTCAAAAGACAGAAACATCATTTCGTTGGCAGCTGTCGTCGTTTGCTCCTGCAAGGCCATGCTCGGTCATGGCACCTACTTCGTTGTCCACTGCTCTCAAGACTGACAGAGCATGTGCGACCCTCTCCCTGGCGACGGGAGTAGTTGCTTGGTAGTGAGGCACCAATGCAAGTGCGTTCTTCAACCTATCCAAAGTTCTTTAACGCCACCGCGCTTGGTCCAGGTGTCATACTCGATCCACTGAACCTTTTTCCTCTTTCCTCCACCCTCCACGAGCCTGCCAGGGTTCATGACGTGGCAGCCTTCGTAGGTGATGGAGAAAGGAGGAGCTTCGGCATCCGCCACTACCAAAGCGTGCGGCAGTGGATACAATGTCAGTGCAGAAGGCGCATAGTCCCAGTGCACAGGTCGCACAGTCAGTGGAAACGGCGACACGGTCGATTGTGGCAGGAGGGACAGAATCAAACGCTTTGCTTCCTGGACATTGTATGACTCCGATGGAACAGTCTCCACCAACGCAGCTGGTGGTGAGTCCGTGTCGATGGCCATTTGTGTGCTCTCTAGTCCATCGTCCTCTGTTGTTGGCAGAGCACCCGACATCGCCACATCTTCATCGGCTTGTGTTGGCAGCGCAACATCACTATCATGTTGCGACCCTTCCTGTCGTATGGCTTGACCGTAGCGAACTGCATTCCGCCTGAAGCGACCAGAGATGTTGTCTCTGAGCACAACCATTTCATGAGAAGGACCAAACAAGCTGAGCCTTGTTGGGTTGCTCGTCCAAATTGCTTCGCCATCCACTTCGCTTTTCTTGATCCCTACTTCAGCTTTGGCGGTTGCGAATGCGCGCTTAATCCTGCTGGTGAAGAGGTCCGGCACGCCTTCGCGAGGGAGTAATGTGCTTGCCCCCGCGCTGAAAGACGATGCCCAGGGGTCGTTGTCTCCAGGCACAAATGTCCATGTGCAGTTCCGAAGCAAAGTTGGAAAGTCTGACAAGACAGCTGCAAGCTCATTGAACAGCTCCTTGTATTCGATCGAACCGGTACTGGCTCCTGCCATGGCAGCCTTGCTCGAGAAATCGCCCGCCAGCACAAAGCCCATTGGTGGTTGTTCAGCCGCTTCGTACTGCTCAAGCAGTTTGCGCAGAGCCGAAAGAGTTGACGGTTGATCTAGCGTCACCTCTGATAGGATGATCATCTTTCGAGCAGTGTCCTCGATGTCTGACTCTGTGCCTATGAGTCGTGATTCCAATTTCTTCATGCGTGTGCCTACAGCGCGCTCGGATCCCAAGCCAAGAAAGTCTGTCCAGCCAAATCCTCCTCCAAGATCATCTGCCTTCAGGTTGACTCCCAGCGAGACGTCGCGTCGTTCCACGGGGGGACCTCCGATCTCGAAGCCGACAAATCTGCCGCCAATTGTTCCCCCGACACCTCCAGTATTCCCCAAGCCGCTTGAACCAGCACCAGCCCAGTCCTCTTCGTACACGCCATCTACGAGCACGATCATGCCAGGGCAAAAGTAAGGCTGACCTTCTTGCATGCTTGTGGCGTGTTGTAAGTCCAGGGTAATGCTTCCACTCAGATCGTTCAGCGCCAACATTCCGGTCGGCGCTATCACTAGCATGCCCAGGAGCAGATGTGAGCTGCCACCTCTTCCTAAGAGGTTTGCAACAGGTGTGATTTTATAAAAGCTCCTCTCGGTGACAGTACCTTGCCTCTTAAGCGTTGGCACACCGGCCGATAGTGACGGCGCCTGGAATGCTGGGTTTCGCAGCAGTCTCTGGTATATAATGTTGTATCGTTCCTTGAACACAGCGGTCTTCTGTCTGGGATTTGGGAACGGTGTCGCCTTGGCCTCAATTTTCATGAAATGCTTCTTGCCCGCATCGTAGGTGAAACGAGGCTGCTCGAAGGCACTGATGACCTTCAGCCAACTCCTGGGTTCTTGACTTCCATGCTCTTCTTCCTCGGCACCAAGCGCTGGACTTTGCACTCTCAGGGCACTTAAACCAAAAGAGCTGCCTTGTCGCTCCAAACTTGGTCTATCGCCCAGCAGATCTATCGCAGAGTCGTTGCCAAATGTGAAACTGTTTTGTCGGCTTGGATTCAAGCTGTTCCCACTCTTTGGTGTCCCAATTCTGCCACCACTCATGCACCCTTCTAATGTTTTCAAAATTGTCTGCAGCATTTTGCCGTCCTCGACAATGACGGGGCCGTTCTCAGCCTTCCACAATTTGGCCACCTCCTCCAACACCTTCTCTCCCGTTCCCTCTTCTCGCCATCCTGAGCCACAATGCCGGCCGATGAATGTGGCTAATGCTTGAAGTGCGGAAGAGTTGAGTGTAAGGTTATGCTTTTTCGTGAAAGTCCTGAAGGCAAGCGGGCGTAATATCGTCGGCGGGAGCAGTATAGGAAGGATAGTCGCAATCTGAGGCTTGAATGCCGGTGGGGCGGGAATGGGTCGCTTGCTGGCGGTGGGCGGAAATGGGTGAGCGGGAGTGCCAAAAGCAGGCGACGACGAGAAGGGATTCTGCGTCGCATTTGGTGGATTCGCCATTTTGTTGTAGGCGGACAATGATGTTGCCCGTGTTATCGGTGCATTATCACAGTCTCGACGTCTCGACACGACACGCGTAGTGGGACGCGCCTGCCACTTTCGCGGGTGGCCCGTGCGTTTCGCGTCACATCAGGAAGTCGCGTTTGTCTCGTCGCATCTTGCAGCTTCCAGCTTCTTGTTGGATTCGCAACTTCGCAGCTGCTTCTTACGCATCCACGACAGCATTTACTCTACTGCACAAACCACTGCCAACATGTCTACCGATCCAGAAATCGAAGTGGCGCAACAAGCAGACGCCGAAACAGCCCAAGATCTGCCCGCCAACCTGGAACAGCTCAAAGCAGAGGCTACGAGAGAGTATGCGCTGAAGAACTACAACGCCGCCGCCGAGCGATACGCCGATGCTTGCGAGGTGCAGGATGAAGTCAATGGGGAGATGTCGATCGAAAACGCCGATCTGTTGTATCAATATGGTCGCTGCCTCTACCATGTTGCCGTCGCAAACTCAGACGTGCTCGGAGGAAAGGTCGCAAGCAGTGAGGAGCCCAAGAAAAAGAAGCGCAAGGTCGCCAAGAAAGAGGAGAATGGTGAGGGCAGCAGCAGCAGCCTGATCGGTGATGCTATCAAGAGCGGCGAGCAGAAGCTGGCTGAGGACGTCATGGAGGCTGCAGTGGAGAGCAAGGATGGTATCGTGGCAGAGAGCAGCGCAGAGGGCACAAAAGAGACAACGAAACCAGGCAACAGCAGCAACCCTTTCTTTCAGATCTCCGGCGATGACAACTTTACCGACAGCGAGGATGACGATGAAGATGGGGAGGGTGGGGAGGAGGGAGAGGAAGAGGAGGATGACTTTGCGATCGCCTTCGAAGTGCTCGATATGGCGCGCATATTGTTGACACGAAAGTTGGAATCCCTACAGGACACGAAGGACAAGTCGACCGAAGAGAAGCCCGAAGTGCGGCAGATCAAAGAACGATTGGCAGACACACACGATTTGCAGGCCGAGATCGCGCTGGAGAACGAACGCTTTGCAGATGCCATCAACGACACGCGAGATTCGTTGGCGTTGAAGCTACAACTGTATCCCGAAGAGAATTCTCTCATCGCAGAAGCACACTTCAAGCTCTCACTCGCGTTGGAGTTTGCATCAGTAACATCTACGCAAGAAGATGCCAATGGAGAGAACAAGGTTGCACAAGTTGATGAAGCGATGCGCGAAGACGCGGCCAAGGAGATGGAGCTCGCCATCGCATCGTGTCGAGCGCGGATCGCCAAAGAGGAGGCTTCGCTCCCGTCGCTAGACGATGCAAAAGCCGCAGATATGAAGAAGTCGCTCGCAGATGTGAAAGAGATGGTCGGCGAAATGGAGACTCGTCTAGAGGATCTTCGCAAACCCGCAACATCGCTTTCCGCAATGCAGAACCTAGGACCAGCCGGCGCGCCTGGAGGGGAAGAAGAGGCCATGCGAGGCATTCTGGGCTCTCTGCTGGGCGAGAGCAAGGGAGAGCAGCAGAAGCGGATACAAGAAGCGACAGCAACAGCCAATGATCTGACGGGCATGGTGAAGAAGAAGAAGCCGAAGGCGGCGGCGACACAACCAGCACCGGTGGTTGAAGGCAAGGGCAAGCGAAAAGCTGACGACGGGGACGCCTCTGCAGCTACGAACGGCAATGGAAAGAAGGTGAAATTTGCGGAAGCAGTTGAGGAGGCCGATACTTGAAGGAGGTCAGTCGACTCTCCACAGGATAATCAGGACGGCTACGACAAAGCGATTTAATCAATTCTTCAGCGACCATGTATATGTGCAAAATGCATCGATACCCTTTCGCATTGTGGCTTAGGGGCGGACTCAAGACGTGAACCAATTCCTCCTACGAAATATCTCTCTTCCCTGTTCTCTGGCACATCATCTCGAATCATTTACATGGTTTTGGCAGACTGTACCACATCGACGCGTAGCTAAAATACTGAGCAGTCCACGATCAAAACGCAGACTCTTTTGGCTCATCGTCACCGAACACAAATCCGCTGATCATGTTTCCAAGCCCGTTCTCATCAGCATCGGTCTCCGTATTTACTGTTCTCGATCCATCGATCACCCTTCTCTCCTCTTCCACGCCCTCCACTCCTACGTTTCCATCGCCCCCAGCCCCGATGCCATGCTCATCGGCGCCAACACCTTCATTCGCTTGCTGCTTAGGTTTCACTTCCGCCTCGGATTCAGAGTCACTTTCCTCAACCCTGTTGTTCCCATGAATGCTCTCACGGAGCTCCTTGATCTGCAATTGCAAAGAATCCAGACACTCGCCTACTCCTAGCAAAGCTTCAGCGTATCCTGTGAGACGAGTTTCGAGGGACGTGAAAAGTGAGGTAAGTTCGGCGGTTGTGTACGACTGTCCGTCAGCGGGTGCAGGAGGAGCGGGTGAGATGGAGTCTGGGATTGTGGATGACTGTTCAGTGCAAGCGGATGGGATGTTGATGCCGTCTTGCGTTCGAAGAGCTTCCCGTTGTTCGAGCGGAATCTGAGACTGAACTTCGTAGTCCATATTCGCGGTGTACCGATTCCTTCGAAGGCAGATATCAAAAAGAAGAAGTTTAAAATGCCCTCATTCTTATTATTAAGCAGTCAAGTTAACAACATTCACTTACGACCGCAAAATATGCTGTCGCATACAACCCAAGAAGTGTTCGGTCGTCGTGAAGCAGACCTGTGGCAATTCCGCACCCCTCCCTCACAACATTCAACACATCTTTCCAGCAATACATAAATCGAAGCTCTCCCCCCATTCTCTCTCAAAATCGAAGAACACAAACCCCGCTTCACCCCAAACTCCCCTCCGCCTTTAATACTCCTCTCTCCCAAAAGCCGCAATGTCCTCCGATCCCATCGAGCATGACACAACAAAAGAGCCTGAGAACACAAGCAACGAGTCCAGATCTTCGCCCAAAACATCAGCGACCTCCGCCCAAATCGGCTGGGAGTACGAAATAACTTACCCCTATTGTCCTCACTGTGATCCTGATTGGCTTGTTTCGATTTCTGATGATCGAAAGCAAAATCAAAAGGGTTCAGAAGCAAAGTTGAGGAGGGGAGATGATGGGAAGGAGGAATTGGAGAAGGCGATGATATGGCCGAATTGGTATTGAGTTGTTGCAGCGGAGAGGACCTCGATAGGGGAAGCAGAGTGCAATATCAATTGACGTGAACTAAGATCACGAAACGGAATCTTGATCTCATACTCAATGCGTATGCATACCAATCGTAATACAGTACTACCTCATCTATGCCAGCAGCGAAGCTCCTGTAAACGCCACGCTAAGCGGAAGAAAACCAGCTCAAGAAAGAACCTCGCCGTTTGCGTGCTCTCACTCATGCAAGAGAGGAAAACCCAACGCGACGCAATGCAATGAATGCAATGTCGCTATAACCATCGCTCATTAAACCATTCGTGCCTCCCCATCAAGCCAATAATCACAGCCCTCTCAATCTTCAACAATAACACAATCTTCCAGCGTATCCCCGTCCTCCTCATCTTCCTCCCCTCCATCAAATGCCCCAGCCTTAGATGCAGCAGCGGCAGCAGCAGCACCAATAGCAGGAAGTCCGAGCCGCTCATACTACGAGCGACCGGCGCCGCTACCACTACCGCCTCTTAGTACCATACTCCCCAAACTCGTCTTCCTCGAATGCTGCGGCGAAATTTGTTGCGGACTCCTCTGCGGACTCAACAAATTTGAGCTCGAACGTCTGCTCGAAGAAGGCCCGGCGGCATTACCACCAGTAAGTCCCATCGCCAGAGTGCCCCAGGCAGTGTTCTCCGCAGCAGCAGAATCTCCGTCCTTCTCAATAAACGTCCAGTTCTCTTCCGTGTCCTCATCGACACCATCCCTCTCGTTCTCCGTGAGTCCGTCATCGACTCCAGGAGATGCAGGACCAGGAACAGTCTTCTTCTTGATCAAACTCTTGGCGTACTCCAGATCGCGATAGACAGCGTTGATGGCAGTCTGAACTCCATTCTCACTGCGAATAGCCTCACCCAGCAGTCTAGCTTTCGTGCGCATCCTCGCATCATGTGTAGCGATCCAGAGTGCTTTACCGAGCTGATTGGCCGTCACCTTCTTAAGATGCATCCCAACGCCCAGGTCTTCAACGCGCGTAGCGAAGAAGAATTGATCGCCAAAGAAAGGCTTGATGATGGTCGGAACACCCACACGGAGAGAAGCACCGGTCGTGCCTGCACCGCCATGATGGACGACAGCGTCGACCTGCTTGAAGAGCCAGTCGTGGGGCGCAGCTCGAATCTGATGAATGCAAGACGGAAGTTCCAACGGTGGACGGCTGGCGTCGGCTTTATCGAATCTATCGGACCAGCCCTTCGACAGGATACACCGGACATCTGCTTTGACGACTGCTTCCATGATCTGCTGCATTAGTTGGCGAGAATCGGATACTGTGACTGAACCGAAGCCGATGTAGACGAGCTTCTGGTCATCGTCTCGTGCCTTCTTGATAAAGGCGGCAAGGTCGTCTGGAGGAGTATAGTCGTCACCCTCGTCGAGAAACCAGTATCCCGTGACCTTGATCCAATCGCTGAAGTCGAGTGGTTGTGGTACGACGCTTGGCGAGAAGTTGTATAGGAAGGGCACCTTGTTCGTCTGCAGCCTGTCCAAGCTGGTAGGACCTAGCTTCAGAGTCTTTCCACGCCACCGGTTGATCTGACCCGCGATAGCTTGCCAGAACATGTTGTCGAAGAACGTGTAGGTCATGTAGTTGTAGCTACCGCCACGCTTCTGTCTCGGCACAGCAAAAGCATGCGGATATGCTCTAGTCCGGGTCCAAGGCATGGTGAAGGCACGAAAGTATGGAATCTCCAGCGCCTCTGCGATGTGAATGCCACTCATCGCCGAAGGACTCTCGATGAGGATATCGGCTCCTTGGCAAGCTTTCCAAGACGAAATGAGCAGCGAGTCTAGCCAGCCTCGGAACTTGCTACTAGCTTCGAGGAAGAAAGAAGGCGTAAACATTCCGTTCTCAACACAAATCCTCATCAGCTCAGCTGGATCTCCATCCACGTCTTTAAAGGCAATGCCGTGTTTCTCGACCCAAGGTCGGAATTCGGAATGTGTCGCGATTGTCGGCTTGTGTCCTTCATCCAGAAAGCCTTTGCACAGCGCAATATATGGCTGCACGTCTCCTCTCGATCCAATGGTCAGGCAGACGATGTTCAAAGACTGCTTAGGCTTGAACTCCAGTACTGAAGACGAAGGGTCGTCAAACAGGATTGGTGGAGCATCAACTTCCTCGGGCAGTTCTATGTCATAGTCAGCAGTGTCATCAGTGCGAGCGGCGCGTAGCAAGGCATTTTCGGCGGCGGCATCATTGGCATCCTGTTGTTCCTCTTCTGTTAGTATCATCGATTCAGTGGCAGCTTCCACCGCTTCGACTGTGCGAAGGGTGCTAACCACGCAGTCGTCACGGAGGCCGGTGTCCTGGAAGTCGAAGAAGAGCTCCTCATAACCACGAATCACCAGCACCATGCCTGGATAGCCCCATCGAAAACCCCTCTGCTTCTGCACATTCAGAATATCCTTGTACGGGATGATGAGCTTCGTCTTTGTCCCATAGTAGAGACTGCGAAAGCATAGTCGACGCGTTCCCATATAGATCTTGCCCCACAGAGGCACAGTCTTGTGTAGCCAGCAATAGAACACAGAGACGAGCTTCTCGGTGGGTGGCAAGCCAAAGTGCTCCCGGAAGCGGCGTTCATGCTCAGCGACGTCGAGCTCCTGTTCCGGTTCTCGAATGCTGTCATCTGGAGCAAGGCCTTCGACGTCAGTGTAGTGTCGCTTTCCACCTGCCATGGCTTCTGTCCAATTACTGATATATGTCTTTGGACTACTGCTCAAGTACGAGCCCACGCGCTTGCTTCCGGCGCGAACTGCACCTGCCACGCTCATAGCGTGCTGCAAAGGCGTGGAGATGCCACGAATCAATCTGGGAGCACTTTCCTCTGGTCGAGATAGCTCATTGGCTTCAGCAGTGCGTACGGAGTCGCCACTGTCTGTTCGTCGGGCTGCAGGCCGTCCACCATTGAACTTGTCCTCTGTAGCCGTGCGTGAAGGAGGCTGTACACGCAGCGGAACGCCTCGCTCAGCACTTGAGTTCCGCGAGGACGACTGTGATTCCTGGCGCAACCGCTCGATTGTATTGCCAGAGACGTTGCGTCGAGGCTGAGGCATCCGAAGCGTGGGTGCTCGAAACACATGGTCATCAGATAGCATTTGACTCGCAGACATGTTTGCCTCCACCATTTCACCATCAACCGACGAGTCTGGCTGCTCTGATGAAGTCACAAAGCTCTCGCTCGACTCCTGTATCGATGGCGACATGGGCGACTTCGACGCAGTCCGGCTCTGACCGCTTGCGCTTCTCCGTCCTCTGTCAAAACTGGCTCTCCCGAATTCACCACTGGCACGGCGCGACCAATCGGCGCTGGATCTGCGATGTTCGCCACTTGGTCGAGGACTTGCGCGATCGGTTGCAGATAGAGGTGACAAAGTCGCCCTCACCGGGTCAAGACGAGGCGACTGCTCTGCTGACATGCTTCTCCTGAACGCTGGTCGCTGAGGCGGAGATTGAACTCTAGACAGCGGGCTCATGGGCTCTTCCACAAGCACCTTCTTGGCGCTGCTCTCAGCCGTGAGGACATTGAGCATGTTGAGAACTTCTTCTCCTGCCTGGAAGAAAGTGAAGAAGTATTCGTCGATAGCGAAAGTCTCCTCGCTATCCACCACTCGCAGCTTGATTGTCTCGGCAAAGTCAACGACTTCGGTCCTCTCCACGTCAAGAATGCTCTCGATGGGAAGGGAGATCTTGACAGAGTCTCCATCGTTATGACTGCGAAAGATGACCTTCTGAAGTTGCTTGACCCATTCCTTGGCAGAGGATAGAGTATCTGCACGGTACTGATACACTCTCGTTGAAGTGGTGACGGTGAAGTCGGCAGCGGTTTCCTCCTTGTCCTTCACCGACGCCAATTCTGCAGATATGGCGTATCGCAAATCCACCACGCCGAGAGGAAAGTACGGCTCGGCAGAGCTCCTGTAGTATGAAAAGGTGTCGCCTTTGAGCACGAACCAGTACCGCCGATGCCGATAACTGTGCTTGCCGAGCTTGCCCAAATGGCCCGTCTTGACTGTCGTTGCCGTCTTCTTTTGCAGGTAGGCATAGAAGCAAACGTGCTTCTGTGTGATGTACATGAAGCCTTGCAGCAACACATTCTGTAGATACCAGCATGAATATTCTGACAACACCTCTTCCGGCTCGTCGAATTGAAAGATCTCGGCAATGACATGTGGTAGTGGTCTCTTCCGACCTACGTCTTCTGAAGTTCTGCCTTCTCTGCTCTTTCTGCCTCCAAGGGTTGTGGTGGAAGACTCCAGCTCCGCTTTGGCCATGGCTTGCAGTTTCCGGTCGAGAATCGGCACATCTGAGCGGACAGATGCTGGCCGGTCTTTTGATGTCGCTTCCTTCTGCTTTGGCGGCAGTATTTGGCTCTGTGTCATGGGGTCCTGTGCCGACGAATCTGACCTCGCTCGAATTGATCCGAGTTCATTCCTGCCCAGCAACGATCTTGCAATCTTGTTGACCGATAGTCGTGATCTGTGTCTCTTACTGCTGTCCTCCGGCTTCGGTGACTGTCGTGCCTCATCACTCGACTTTCTGCTCTTGTCCGACTCTCTCGATGCCTCTTTTGAGAAGCGCCTCTGATCCACACTCTTGCGCCGATCATCCCCGTCCTCTCCCTCACTCTCACTCGCACTCTCTTGCTCGATGAACTGCGGTTTAAAGTCGGGTTTGCTATGTGTCGCCGCAAGCATCCCGTACATGCTCTGCGCAGGGAATCCATCGTTCAACCCCGTGCCAGTGCCATCATCTATCCCCTCTTCCTCCTCTTCGTTGAACTTCAAGCGATCCGGTAAATCCATACTCGTCCTCCGCAGCGCTATGGGTGATCGTATGCGGCCGAGTCTGTTCCTAATGGAAGTCGTCGCGCGGTCACTGCTTCTGCGGCGTGATGAAAGTGCGGGTTGTGAAGCAGCGATGTCATGTTGCTTGCTGCTGTTGGCCGATGAAGACGCCATCGTCAGTGAATGCGCCTCGATCGCGGTCAAAGCACGCTGTGCAGGATCTGCCTAGTCGAGTCGGCGTGGAAAATGGCAGTCGAGCAGATGGTGTTGCAGTCACCCGGCAAGAGTTGTCTCACATGCGAGGCGATCACATGCGAGGTGCCGTCAAGCAGCTGTCGATGTTGAATGAAAGGCGCGGATGCCTGATGGTAAGCACGTTGAAGTTGAAGCTCGGCGCGCGTTGCGTGATCTGGTTGGATCGCTCGATTGCCTAGCAGGTGAATCTGTCGTTACCGGTGAAGCATGGCTATATTGTGATGCATCGTGGGTCCGGCGCGGCCGCCGACAGTTGCATCCGCCGTCCAATCGAAGTCGCCGCGTTGGTCGTTCTGCGAGCAGACGGATTTCCGATGAATCAAGCACTCCCACAGCGTCTATGAAACTATTCTGATGGAAGGTGCAGCGTGAAGTGAGATGATTGATCAACAGACGTGCAAAAGTGAGTGACGGCACACAGGTTCAAGGGTACATCACCAGCCGGGATCTCTCGCGAGCCGTGAGGTGCATGTGATAGCTACGATAAAGTCCTAGCTCCGCCACGCCATCGGATTCACCGCATATTAGCCACTGTCGCGTATCGCGCAGCGCGTCTGCTTTGAAGAGTGTTACTCTGGAAAACAGCATCCAAAACAACGCTTGTTGTGCCAGAGCAGCAGAGAAAGAAAACCACCAGCATCTCCGCATAAGCTCTGCGAAATCTTCGGCGATGTCGGATTTTGCGTACTGCAGGTACTCGTGGCATGAGCCACAACCTAAGCAAAGCTTTGTACCAGGGCAGGAGCTTCGTTCGAAGCATAGAAAGTGAGTGCTCCCAGAGTGTCAAAATACAGTGATGGCTGCGTGCAAGTGCTTTTCATACACGTTCCGCACACTATGAAATGCATTACTAGGTACAATCTAGATACCATGTTCACCACAGCTCTTCTGACGGCTGTCACTCGTCCTCCTCCTCAGCCGTGTGCTGACGCGTTGCTCATCATACATCGTAATGGACTCTTGACCAGGCGACATTTACTTGGCCTTGGCCAGACCAACAGCGTTGTTCTCGAGATCGTACACGGAGTACCACTTGCGGAGGAAGGCATCTCCAAGAATGGCAAGAGGACCAGCTGGCTCTGGAATATCAAAGCCCATGAAGGCGGAGATACAGCTGCCTTGCACTTCGAGAATGTAGTCGAATGCATCGATGGTGAAGTTGTGGCCGGTGAGAGTGAAGGTGAGGTCTGGAAGAGAGTCACGCTTGCTGCAGTCCACTGTGTACTGGCCGTTGTAAGACTTCTTTGCGCCAATCTCCTTGTTCAAAAGCTCAGCAAGAGTCGATGGGAGAGCGATGAGCGAGGTGCCAGTGTCGAGGATAGCGCCAGTGGAGTCAATCTCAGCAAGCTGGTCTCCGAAGGCGATGGCATCAAGATCAACCTCCCAGTATGCCTTGCGGCGGAGAGGGATCTTGGTGAGGTCACCTGTGTAGTGGTCCTTGTTGACACCGCCGAAGATGGCCTCAGACTCGTCGCCCTTGTCGGTGGAGCTCAAGTAGAAGGCGAAGACCTTCTCGTCGAGCAGACCTTGGTCGATCATGTTGTAGAATGGCGGTGGGATACCGTTGACGGAGATGGTGTCGTAACCAAGACCCAAGATACCATCGAAGCGGCCGAAGGCAAATGCAAGGCCGGGCTCCGAAGTAGCCTCAGCAAAGAGCTGGTCCTTGATCTTCAAGTCGCCAATCTGGACGGTGTCCTGGCTGACGTAGCCCTCCAAGCTACCTGAGCCGTATCTAATGGCGAAGCTGGAGCCATTCTTCTTGTATGTGCTTGACTCGCTGTGGTCATACTTGCTGTGCAAGTAGCATGCAATGCTGCCGCACTCTTGGCTAGGCACCCACAGGTTGGAGCTGCCAGTGTCCAAAACAACCTTGAACTCTTGTGGTGGCGTTCCGACGGCAATCTGGCTGAAGTATTGCGCATTCAGGAAGTTGTCGACGGCGACGGGGTGGCCCTTCTCGGCGTGGACGGATGTCTCTTTGAACATCTCATCGAGGCGGCTCTGGGGGCGAATGCCCATGTACTTCTGTCCGAGGCGCTGGACTTGCGTCTCGATGTCCATGCCCTCCTGGTAGCATGTTAGCACTGCTATGCAGCTCACAATGGTTCAGAGGAGAGCTTACCAGCTGCTCGGACAAGGGTACCTTCTGGAGCCTACCGCAACCGTCAGCATCAACCGGGCTTCCCACGCGGGCGGAGAGAGCTCACTTCATCTTGTGGACGCCAGCCTGGGCGCCGGCCACCAGGGCCGATGCCATGAGTGCTCCCTTCATGATTGTAGATGTGTGCAGGAGATGGATTGATGGGTGTGATGTTCGTGACAAGGTGAGGGAGGAGAGCTCGCGCGGACGAGACGACTGCCACTGCCTAGCAACGGGCGTGTCGTCATCTGACTGGCAGCCACGCACACTCACCCGCAGAAGTTGTGGTGACGTGCTTCACCAGCCACTCGCTACACAACTAACAACGCCACGGTGCCTCTGGACATTTGGCATCTGTCTGTGGAGGTGTGCAGTCGAATTCCATATCATGAAAGGACTGCTTGCAGACGACTTGAACGCAGGTGACGACCCGTACGAAGCCCTCTGTACCTGCACCTGAGCCTTTTGTGGCATCGTCGCTCAAGCTGCCTGCTGAGACATCCGAGAACAGCCACAATGACCTGATTGCGGCGCTTAACAACTCGATGTTGGCACTCAAAATGGAATCTCAAGGCTGCGGTCACGTTGGACTCTATCGCCGATGGTATTTGTGTTGGCCAGTTCCAACATTGACCTCGACTCCCAGACATGGCAGTGTTGCCATCCAGTCCTGAGCACTGCGCTTCGTTCCAGCGGTACGAGGCAGCATTCTTCTCTGCTGCAGCTGTGCTTCACAGTATACAGCTGCTCACTCATCCCCCACTCGTTCCCGGCCATTCCTCCCGAATGGTTTGCTTGCTTGCGTACCTGAACACGACAGGACCGCATCCTACCAGGACAGCCTTGCCAAGGCTCGTCGGATGGCATATGTTGCGAGGATCCGATCCTTCACGGCGAGCTCTTTGGCTGACATCCCGAGCCCGGCGACCAGTAATTATGCAACAATGCAGGGCCGCCGTATGGTGTAATATGATTATATGATCCTCTTCATCTTCTCACCTTCCACCTCACGTTCCTTTCCTACAGAGTTACTCGCGATTGGGACAGTGGAAGCTTCAAAGCGGCGATGATCAATGCGCAGGCAGGCACAAGGCTGTGATCGCAGCTCTCTTCCCGCATCTCTCAGCTCGCTCACCTCTCCACTCCCCTACAACCATCTCACGCGACATCCATTTCTGCAGCCTGGAATTTGACGTATTTCAGTTCTGCTGTTCGAATACGAGATCCAGAGATGCGACATGTCACCGCCAAGGATAGCTCTTTGGTAGGGCGAGTCAGACACGACTTGGTCTCGTGAAAGGTAGGCAACGAAGCGACACACCGTGCGCTATCGCTCAAGAGATACATGCGACATTGCTGAAGCGACGCGGGTACACTCTTTGCAAACCGACGTCCGCCGGTGAGCGCAGTGGACAAGGCGGCTGCCAACACTCAACCTGCCACGGCTCCAGATCAGCTCTCGTGTTTGCTGACGATGGCTTCACGACCATGTTTCCAGACGACTCGCGCCGGCGTCACAGCATGAGCTAACCAAGCAGTACTAACGGCCACAGATGAGGCTGTGCCTCTCGCAAAACCGCTGTTCCAAGATGGTCCTCGATTGCGCTTGGCTTCCGCTGCTCGCCAAGTCCCGCCTCCAAAGTTGTCGCGGGGTCGCGGAGATGGGCAAGAAAGAGAACGCGAAAAAGCTGGGGCATGAACATCAGAACAATTTCACCGTCGCTCTACCGGTCTGCTCCTACGAATACGCATCGCCCATCCACGGCGATCACACTACCGTGCGGGATCCCCCAGCCAGCGACCGTACGTGCCTGACCTATCGGCGCTGACCAGTCGTCGTTCAAGGATTCCGCACGCTTGCGCGTCTCTGGCGCAGGGAGCTGCTTCAATGCGAACATTCGGCGGGAGAGCTTAAGCCGGACACCAAATTTGACGAGAGCTCAACACCACCACGCGCGCTACACACCACCAGTCACTCCGTGCGCTGCGATGAGGTAGCTCAGCTCCTAAATTCGCGCCCTCCCACTTTCCGATGCCTCGATCATAAACAATCGCCAACTTTGTGTGTTCCCTCGCTCCTCATCGGCATGGCTACCACCTATACCTGGACGACCAGGTGCCTGCCGGGCTTCAGCATCTGCGCAGTGTTCGCTTTGCTGTTGTGCTCCTTCATCATTTCGCCCTACGGCAAGGGAGAACCCGGGAAGCACAATGGCGAGGCCACTCTCCCTCAACTCATATTGTCTGGCTACACAGTCTTTTGCCATGTCATGTCGATTGTGTTCCCTATTCGCGTATGCTGGGCGATTCGCGATCTGTTGAAGAGCATGAGAACATCTGCACTGGAAGTGCCAAACACAACGAGGCATCGATCACACATGGTCAAGAGGGACAGCGGCACATTTGAGCAACCAGTACCTCTGTTTGTCATCATCTTGCCAGCCTATAAGGAAGAAGTCGCGACCCTGGAGGAGACAATCCGAGTGTTGGCTTCACACACGCAGGCACGGGCGAGCTATCACGTATGTTGGACGACACCCATGACATTATACTCGACGCTGACAAGTTGCAGCTTTATCTCGCCATGGAGGAGAAAGAGGAAGGCTCTGCCTTCAAAGCAGCGGGTCTCATCAAGTCGTTCGAAGCTTCGTTCTTCCGCATGAGCTACACTGTTCACCCGGCTGGGCTTCCAGGTGAAGCTCAAGGAAAAAGTAGCAACGAATCTTGGGCGGCCAAGCAGGCAACACGAGATTATCCTGAGGACTGGATCAAGCGCAACGTGCTGATCACGGTCATGGATGGTACGCTAGACATTCCTCGCAGGCCGATTTTGCTAACACACTTGCAGCTGACACCCATCTCTCCTCGCGGTACTTCACTCAAATCGCTCACATGCACACCGACCGCGTAGAGAACAACGATGCTTGTGTATATGTGCCGCCGCTTGTTTTTGACCGCAACCTCCACCGCGTGCCCCTTCCCGTGCGAACGGCAGATCTGATGTGGGCCGGAGCTGGCATCTCTAGCTTGTACCAGGGATCAACGATTTGCATTCCGACCTCAGTGTATTCCCTGCCAATGACCTTGGTCGAACAAGTTGGTGGCTGGGATACTGATCCAGGAGCAATCGGCGAGGACATGCACATGTACCTGAAGTGCTTCTTTGCCCTCTCTGGAAATCTCGACGTACGAATTGTCTACGCAGCGGCGAGTCAATGCAATGTCAGCAGCGACGAGCAAGGCTTTATGGGCTACTTTGCTGGTCTCGATGCACGTTACAAGCAAGCCACGAGGCATATGTGGGGTGCATTGGACACTGGCTATACCATTCGCCAGACTATCAGCATGCTTAGGAGACACCGGGAGTCTTCACAAGGATCGACCAACGTACCTCTCAGCGCACCAAAGTACGCGGTATCAGAAGTGACAGCAAATGCCGTTTCAGCTGACAATGATAGTTCAAACTGGACCGCGTTCTGCACGAGCACTGGCCTGCACAAATCGATGACTTCGACCACCACGACCACTGAGCAAGCGCCGCCGCGACCAATCAACTGGTATAATCTGTTCGTGCTCTACCACAGAATGTTTGAGGCGCATTTCTTGCCAGTTCATCTCTGCGTGATCCTCATTACGTCTGGGATTTACACATTCTACACGCCGACTTTTCTGGTGCCGACAGTCTTCAAAATGGCGCTCGACTTCTCCAGCCACTGCAGATTATTTGGCTGGTGTACAATGCTCTGTTACTTCTACTTGTACGACCGATATCATAAGCTCTGCGTCGGCCTGCGCCAAGAAGAGATGCGTCAGGCAGGCTTGCTCGAGGATATGGAGGACAATGATGGGATCACGCCAAACATCTTCCAGGTTGCTGGGCTGTTTGAGGCGGCATTGTTTCCAATTGGCGGCGTTATCTTTGGCGCAATTCCTGCGATTCAAGCAGAATTGAGCCATTTCTTCACCGAGCGCCTGACTTATGTGGTCAGCCTGAAGCCTTCGCTTCCGACACTCAAGTCTGTCAACGGATCCAGACCAATGACACCGTAGGCCTTCCCCCAATATGACCCCTGCACAGCACTCTTCGACACCTCACGATACCCGATACCCGATACCCATTTCAGCATGGCGAGGAGGCGACTTCATTTCTGAGCATTTTCATTCCAGCACACAGCAGCATGATACCCTTATAGACATTACACATATCACCAGAAGCTAATTTGCACGTTTTCTGTTCAAGATCTCATCAGCCCACAAGAGCTACTCGACACCAGTCATTGACAAACAACATACGCAAATCCAAGGCCTCTGGGAATTCGAAAGCCAACGGCTTCAGCATTCCCGCCGTAAACGGCCACGTACATCAGCGCAGGTTATCGCAACTGATTCATTTCTCACGCGATGCTGATTGACGGATCCAAGGAGCCGAGCCATTGCGGGATTTTCTGTAGGAGCTTTGCACTAGCACTGGCGCTAGTACACGTACGCGCGGAAGTCTATACGAACTTCAGCTCAGCGGAACATGGCGCAGGTACGCGTGCGCAGCTGCAAGGAACACGGGACATGGCGTCAGACAAGGTTCGGGCTCGACCATTTTCGTGATAGATGGTGTGTCTACGCGGCGGAGGGCCACGCGGCAGCAACAACAACGAAGGTTACCTATTGCTGCGCCCGACAAGCCGTTTGAATCAGGTACTTACTAGACTAGTATACAACGCTTGAAGAAACCCAACCACTTTCGCTCAATGTCACTCGTGTAACGAGACATGGCTTTGAGATTTATGACAAAAATTTTCACCCATTCGTGGAATCCTGCCTGAGCTCCCTTCCTTTTGACTTGATTGTCGGGCTACACAGGCCGGTTAGATAGCTAATCTTTTCACGCTCTTCGATGGCGAACTTTTCACATACGTGTACCTTCATGCTTTCTAGTTGTAAATGTACCAAAATTCAAAGGCAGCCGCTTGCTGAAGTAGATAAGCCCGGAATTCTTTTCAAGTCGTCGATTGCGTTTTTGAGAGTTGGGTGATGGCTTTACAAATTTTCAAAGTTCTTGGGAGATGAGGTATTGCATTGCTTCAAGGTTTTTTTTTCCGTATTATAAAGGAGAGGTGTACAGAAGAATGACTATGTCTCTGCTTGTATGTGTTGACGGTGATTTCTAGGGATGCATGCTCGACTGAGCTTCGAGGCTGACATCGATGTGATTCGGTATTTCATCTAATACGTATGATGCTAATGCCCTCATGAGCTTGACAGCAACCTGCCGGAGATTCAGCTTAATGTATTTTTTAGGTCAGTGATGTACTAATGCTTGCGCAGCTGATGATTTTTTTTTTTTGGAGTCTGCCGCATTAGCGACGCTTCTTATCATGACTGGCTCAGACAGCAAAAAAGGTCGCAGCTAGGAGTCAAGCATATTAGACCTCACGCGGAATGGGACGCGGCGGTATCTAGTTTCCTAAGTAGTTTGGTCAATGGAGTACTATAGCGGGAACTCCTTTTCTCAATTGTAAGGATCATTAGGGAGTGATGCGGGATGTACATGCAAGCTGTAGGACGAACAGAGTCGGCGGGGTTTTCGAGAGTTGCCATTCATATTACTCTGTGTAACTTTAGAACAGAGCATCGGAATTTGGGAGATCGATCTGGATCGAATTGCGAAGGTGGAGGTCTGAATTTGAAGGTGGACCGGACTGCAAGAACGTCGTAGGTTTGGGTGCATAATGGAGCGCTGGAATGGAGCGGAGAAGAGGAGAGATATGGCAGGAGATGGCACGGTCGATAGATTCACAAATTACAATGCTCTCGCCGCGAATGAACTCCTAGACACAAATCGTAACCAGCACGATTGTTTGGCATGCAAGATTCAGCGCCAGTACAATACTCCACCAGGAGGCGTTTCATGACATCTCGCGGAACATCCAGCAAGGTCTCTCAGCAACATCTAATGCATCCTGAAAGCCACGTAGTTCCGCAATAATAGCAGCAGCATTTACGTTTCGATGAGGACGATGCGGATCGTGGCGACGAGACGCAACAGGACGCCGAGGTTCCGATCGAGACAAGTAAGGAAGTGGTTGTCGGTAGCGTAAGCGGCAGCTCATGTTATCCATATGTACCTTGCAGACTAATGTCGAAGAATCGCGTGTATTAGTATCCGGAATTTAATGTTACAGATTCAGTTCCTACTGTAATATAGCAACCGTGGCTCGATATATATATATTTATTTCCATATTTGAACGGCCTATCCCATAGAGGCGACGACGTACTGAAACGATAAAAGTCCCGCGTTCGCTTATCGGACCTTATGTAGAAGCACATTGCGGAGTGGGAGGAATCGTACACTGCAGAAACACAAAGTTTCCCCCAGGTCAGTTTACTGCGACTGCTCATGGCTAACTAAGTGCCTTTGACTTACGGTATCTGCGTCTCCTCCAGCTGAATTCGTAAACGCGCATGTGCGAGTGTAGTCGGAGCAATTCATATTCGGTCCACCACTGTTTTTTGCTGGTAGACAGCTGCGGTAGCCGTTTGTGCAGGCGCATTGGACCATTATGTTGTATTTGTTGCCTGCTTTGCCGATGCAGCTGGCGGAGACGTCGTAGGCTGTTGTGAGGGCGCTGAGGGAGGTGAGGAGGAGGAGGAGGGTGGGTGCGGTGAAGTGCATAGTGGTGGTCGTCTCGGGTTGGGGTTAAAAGGAGTGGTTCAGACTGTAGGATTGAGTTGGATCATTGTGAGAAGGAGGGTTACTATGAATGAGTGCCTCCGCGAGTCGCTGCGCGTGATCGCTCTTTTGTGGCTGTCTGCAGCAGGCGGATGGATTGTCTAGACCCATTGCACAGACATTGGACACTGTCATCTTCACAGGGCCCGATCGGTAGTCTGCCGCACCCTGTCAGTGTGTAGTACCCTTGAGATTTTGACTGCCATTTGATGAAGGCTTTGTGAACTGCTGGTTCTGACGATCAAGGACTGCTCTCCGATGGTCTGGTTTTGTGCGCACTTTTCATCGGGCCTAGAGTCGGACTGTATGATGGCAAAGATAATTTTCTGCTCATTCGTTCGACGACCATCGGATTACACTTGTCTTGGGACTTGAGACAGTCGTGAGGGCAATGGTAGGGCTGAGGTGCTTGGATCCGCCGACGCTTGCCCGTTCGTATACAATTTTATTTCTTATGACTGAGAACTTGTGATGATCCATCGGAAACGACGTGCTTGTCTTGGTTTTCGAGCTGTGTGGTGTAGTAAAATCGCCAATATATATGCTGGGCCAGATGGTTCACCTTCACGAAACAAGTTGGATGATTTCTCCATGCTAGCTGATCTCATTCGATTCTCAGACAATCCAGGCTTTCGAGTTGCGAGAGGTCGTATCTCGCTTGATAAGCAAGTCGTGCGAGTGCACAGGCCGACATTCTGCTGATGGACGACAAGCGAACTTGGGATGAAGTGGTGTAGTTGCGGGCTAGAAGGTACGGTTGAGAAACTGCTAGCCAGGTGAAGGAGGATCTTGGAAATACGCATAGACACAGAACTGTCTTCGTACCTGGCTCCCGATTGCTGCCGCGGGAGTCGAGCCCTTGTTTTAAGGTGAGCGGAATAGACGGGATGATGGCAGCCCTAGGGTCTGCTGAAACGAAAAGGGGCTGTTCAATCGCGGGTCCGAATGTGGATTCTTGCACACTCTGTCATCGAGGCTGGCCTTGCAGCGCAAGTCGACTGCGAATGGACTAGTATCAGCGTGAGCTGCAGAACACGAAAGGATGATGAAATTCATGGTGATGCATACGGCGATATTCGTTGCTGCATGCACCTCGACGCGAGACCTACAGTGAACAGAAAGTAGCCATCGGGCCGAAACGCAATCGCGGATGCTCTCAAAACCCGAGTTGCCGCTGCCCTTTTTTTGACTCCGACACTGAAACAACCAGATATCGTAAATCGATCACAGAAATCAGTATTGTGTTTGCTGCAGCATGCTACTCGGTTGGGACCCCATCGCGCTCGCAAACCCTCGTTCTACAGCTGTGAGGCAGTAGCAGAGTGGGATTGGCCCTCTTCCTTGACCAAAATGAAGAAGAAAGATGAGATTTTCCACGATTGTCGAAGAAGACGAGGGCTCTGCCGTGATCTCAGCAATACTCTATCTGGACAGGTCACAATAGGCTTCTCCACGTGGACTCAGGAACCCGCCACGTGTCGAGCAGCAGCCGCGACCAGGAATCGTTGACCATCGAGCTGCGTAATGGGCGATCGTAGACTTTCATGTTCTCTCGATAGACAGGCATGAACTATGTTCATATGACGACAGCATAGATATTCGGGATGAATTGCCTGATGCTAAGACTGGCGCTGTCTGGAGTCGTCATCCGCGGCATCTGGCGGTTTGAGCCGGATTCACTTGCCAGCAGACTTGCGGAACGGCAGAAATTTCCGCATCTGTGATGGCGAAGTGTGGCCGTGCGACATGCGGGGTCCCCCATATTCAGGCTTGACACTTCTGCAACCTTCACCCCAGACTTGCGGAGAAGGCTGACGTTGCGTTCCTTGCCGGTCCCACTTTGAATGCGGTTCGACCATTGGCGTGTAACATGTTTACACAGGTATCGAATCTCTTGGAACAGTGACTAGAACTACCATTCGTGTATCACTCCACTCGGGCCTATCCGCTCAGCCTCGTGCGGCAGCCTTTTCAGGAAGCTTTCGGCTTCTGTGGCGTCCGTTTAGGGCATTTCCGTCCGCCTTCCTTCCCCTATGCCAACTCCACATACGTTCGGGGCCCTACGATAAGCATCGTCACTTGTGCCTCCATGGTGAAGTGTGCGTGAGTGAGGAGACATAAATAACACTACTTCCCCACCTTCTTGGTGGCCAGGAGAAGAAGCACTCGATTTATCGAGGACATCGAACCAGACGACCACTCTCTCACCGATCTGAAGCCGTCGCCATGGCTGAGAAGGATCCTGCCACAATGGCGGACAAAGACCTGGACGCAGTCAAGGACGAGCGCATAGAATATCTCGACGATGAACCGATACCGTACGACGATGTCAGCTATGGCCCTGGTGGCATGCGCGGATTATGGCAGTCACCGTATGTCGTCGCTGCGGCATTCCTGGCCTCGCTGGGTGGTTTCTCCTTCGGCTATGACCAAGGAGTCATCTCCATCATCAATACCATGGAGCAATTCCATGAGCAATTCCCCCGAGCCGCGACACCGTTCGGTAAAGGCTTCATGACTGGCATGCTGGAATTTGGAGCCTTCATAGGTGCATTGGCCTTCCCGTACCTCGCCGACAGGATCTCTCGGAAACGAGCTCTCTCAGTTGTGACGGTCATCTTCAACATTGGCGCCATTATGCAGACGGCTGCGCAAGATTATGGAACACTGGTCGCCGGACGCACGATTGGTGGAATTGGAGTGGGGACACTGGCACTGGTAAGTAGACAGCAGATGATAATTCACAATGTAGTCCAAAACCTGATCACTTGTCATAGGGTGCACCATTATACATCTCCGAAATCGCACCGCCCAACATTCGAGGTTCGCTGCTAGTACTGGAGTCTATTTCGATCGTCTCTGGCGTCGTGATATCTTTCTGGATCACATACGGGACCAAAGATCTCGCGGGTGATATCTCCTTTCGACTGCCACTCGGTCTCCAAATGGTGTCCGCGACGCTGCTCGCTATTTTCATCAACTTCTTCCCGTTCTCGCCACGATGGCTGGCGATGAGAGATAGGTCGGACGATTGTCTCAAATCGCTATCTCAGTTGAGACGTCTGCCGGCTGAAGATTCACGAGTGCAAGCGGAGTTCACTGGAATCATGACTGAGGTCCGATTCCAGAATATTGTACAGGAACGCCGCCATCCTGGTGTCACGGGCATCAAGCGCGAGATGTGGTCGTGGCTGGATCTGTTCCGCAAGAAGATTTGGCGTCGTCTGGTGGTCGGTGTCGGTGTCGCGTTTTTCCAACAGTAAGTGACCACGTTCCACCGCGTCAAAATACCTTGGTGGAATATGCCGCTAATATATAATCTCTCAACTCAGATTCAGCGGCATCAACGCCTTCATCTACTACGCCCCCACACTATTCGAGTCCCTCGGCCAAACCCCCGAAATGGCCCTGATCCTCTCCGGCGTCTTCAACTACCTCCAACTCGTCGCCGTAGCCGTCTGTTTCGTTGTCATCGACCACGTCGGCAGAAGGCCTTTAGCCATCTGGGGCGGTTTCGGGTGCTGCATCTGCTACATCATTATCGCCGCCTTATCTAGCGTCTACGAAGATGACTGGAGCCAAAACTCCGCCGCGGGCTGGGCTTGCGTAGCTATGGCTTTCATGTTCATCCTCATCTACGGAGTCTCATACTCGCCTTTGGGCTGGGCTCTTCCACCGGAGGTCTTTCCCAACAGCATGCGATCGAAAGGTGTGGCTCTGTCTGTTGCGACGATTTGGCTGTGCAATTTTATTATTGGGGTTGCAACGCCGCCTATGTTGGCTAGTCTGGGATATGGGACTTATATCTTCTTTGCCGCTTGGTGTGGGCTTGCTGGGGTCTGGGCCTTTTTGTTTGTGCCAGAGACGCAGGGTAAGACCTTGGAGCAGATGGATGAGGCTTTTGGGGATACGAGTGGGCAGGAGGAGATGGCTATCATGGCTGAGGCGCAGAGGACTGTTAGTATTGCGCCGGAGAAGGTGGTGACACCTTAGGGGTGCGGCAGCTCTGTTTGTTTGGAACTCAGGGCCCAAAGCATGTGAGTCAATCAAATTTATTCCCACGAACTCTCTGCTTCCTCACACGTCTCAAGGTCTGTACTCGCCAGGCTGCATTTTGTTCTCTCGCCTCTTTTGGCTTCTCTCTTTCTTGGTCGAGAGTCCGAATTCCTGGGAACAATCTTGGGCTGCTCAACTTGGTGCAAATCGTTCCGAGTCATCTGCAGGCAGTGAGAGCAGAAGTGCATTGGAGTCAAGTCTATTTCTGATGGTCTACATGACAAGATTCTATAACTGGCCTATACTTGTCTACTTGTCCAACTCAAAACCCCCAATGATCTTCTCCGCTGCAATCTCGCCGACCAGATACGCAATGCTCACTGGGTGGCAACTCAGCAGGAAAGGAAGCACACTCAAGTCAACGACTCTCAGACCTTGAAGGCCTTTTACCTTGAAGTCGGACAGTACACATGTAGTCTCATCTTCCTCCCTTCCCATGCTCGCAGTACAAGAAGGATGCCATGTGCTAGAAGCAGCTTTTCTCCAGTATTGCAGGATGTGCTCATCGCTCTCACTTTCAGGTCCATCGGCTTGGTAGTCAATGTCCGCCGCAATCGAAGGGTAACGAGTAAAAGCTAGTGCTCGCTTAGTGGCTGCTAGAGCACACAGAGTGTCGAAGGGATGAGAGAAGAAGTTGGGATCGATGAGCGGTGGGGCATTGGGATCAGCAGAGGCAAGACGGACTGTTCCTCGAGATTGTGGGTTGTGAAGGAAGATGAACATTGTCAGGTAGTGGTTCTCAGGAGCGGATAATGCGTTTGGAGTGCAGGGTGGAATGTCTACACTTGTCAGTATTGTGCCGTGGAGTCAACGAACAATTCTTATTGCTTACGGCTGCTCAGCTCCCACACAGGGATAGTCTCATTACGCAAGTGATCCTTCACGTCCTGATCCAAGCCATCAAATTCTTCGCTATCCAGGACTTCGTCGGCTTTGAAGAATCCCATGACTAGACCCTGGAAGAAGACGCTCAATGGACCCGTCCCATCCTTCATGAATTGTTCTCGTGCTTTTGCGATGGTATCAGGATTTGAAAAGTGCTTTGGCCAGTCCACTGCGCCCTTCTTTTGCTTCCAGCAGAAAGGAGCTGATAGATGGTCTTGGAGGTTCTTGCCCACTCCAGGAAGGTGATGCAATGTCTCGATATTGTGCTTGGCGAGTTCATTCGTATCGCCAATGCCTGACAACATCAGAAGTTTCGGAGTGCTCACTGCTCCCGCTGAGAGGATGACTTCTCTCGATGCGCGGTCTGTGGTCAAGCTCTGCGTCAGCCGGTATTGACTCTCGCATGAAAGAAGGTACATTACATTCATCTCCGTTTGCAGTACGGACTCCGATCGCTTTCGTGCCATCTAGAATGACTCTAGCCACAGTGGTCTCAGTCATGATTGTCAGGTTGTGGGGAGCGTTCTCCAAATAAGCTTTCGTGGCTGTGCTCCTGAGCCCAGCTTTGGCTGTCGAAGGCACGCTGGCCATTCCTAATGGGTTGCCACTGTTGATGTCTAGATTGAGGCCCAGATTAGACGCTCTGGCGGCCTCGAGCTGAAGCGTAACAGGATCCTCCCATACCCTAGGGATTGAGAGTTGAAGTGCTCCGTGCTCGCCATGAACGCTCATGTCAGGAGCTGCATACATGTCGTATTCCTGACTGATCGTTTCGTCGAAAGCTTCAAGCTTGTCTTTTCGAATCCTGCCAAGTGTACAAGCTTGAAAGAGTACAAGCAGTGGATCTCATGATATCCTTGAGAACCATACACGACGCGCTGATACGGAAGTGCTTCATATGGAATCTCCGTCTCTTTGGTGCCATCCTTCTCGGTTCTCCACTCCCATGGCCCCCATTCTGCTTGCCACTCTGCTGATAACGATTCGTTGTAGCAATTCGGATGAATCCAGCCGTAGGTCATCAGGTCGAATTTACAGCCGAGTGCTTCGGCTTCCTCGGGTGAGTTTCCACAGTGCATGTGCTCGGAAGAGTTTTTGTGACGGGTATAATATAGTGAAGCGACTGCAGAGGTCATGAGAACGGCCGCAAGGGAGATCACAAACGCAGCCCACAGGTTTCGTGCTTGTCGCCGTTTTGCTTCGACAGATATCTGCAGGTTTGAGCGATCTTCTTCGGCTAAGCATGGTTCTTTATCTGAGCCTTCGACGAGTTGGTATTAACTGCTCTTGGTGAGGACGGCTGGTGGATCTGGTCAAGAAGGTCAGCATCGGCGCTGAGTCGGGACAGCGGCACTTTGATAAGTATTACCGAACTTCATAATTGTTGAGTTCGCTGCCGCAAAAGATATGTACGGGCGATTTGTTGACGACCAAGCTGAGCCCAACTAGCTGCTCTCCGTCTTCAGTGCACTTATACTTCGTCACAGCAGCGACCCTTACCCCATCTATGTCGGGCAGCGGAACACTGACGCTCAAATGACCGGAATCCGACTGTCCTCAGTCTCAGACACATGTTGCAGGCGCACCACAGCGACACCGGAACCAGGTCTATCGGGGCTAGCGAATGCGATGCTGTCCTGAACCATGTCGTGTTAGTCAGATCGCCAGAGTGCTCAGGCGTATGCAGCAACTATGGCGTTGTGCAGTCAGCAGCGGAGTTACGATTAGAGTTTCTCGACCAATCTTTGCCAACAGCCTCTCGGACAAATTCGTGCGTGCATGGCATGATGACCGTGATCCAGAAGTCTTTTTGATCACGGCTGTTCTACAAATGAGAAGCTTCAACGTCAGATCTCTTTAGAAAGAGGTCAGAGGAGCTAGTCGGCTTCAATAAATTGTAGCCCAACCTGCTTCAGTCGCATGTCGACACGCCGTAGTCGCTTGGAGATCTCATAGTTCAAGGCGTCTTTCGGGCTGAGTTCATTGTACTCGCAGTGCCGAAAGATCTAGAACGGCCCTTTGCACTCTATTTCGAGATCCCCTGTCATGTACGGATTTTGTCCGTGATGATCGGGGTTGTTCAAGTCCGGAGGCTCTCGCATGTCGGTCGTTTTGGTGTCCATAATAACACTGATATTAGACATCAGACAACTGATAATCATGCGCTCTTGCAGTGATCCCTTCCAAAATATTGCATCTTCTGGCTGCCCCAGTATAAGCGATCACACGTGTCGTAGAGAAGGAAGAGGAGCGAGGCAGATCCCAGCGTAGCCCCGACTGAATCTATGGCAATGGTGGATTGATGTAGATCTCTCAAATACAAAAGGGGCAAAAGGGCAATTCTTTGCTGCTCACAACTCCCGGGTGATAGCAACCTCGAAAATATTCGAACAGCAGAATTCGGTCCCTTGGAGGAAAGTTGTAAAAGCCGCCATCTCAGCCTTGTGTATCTGGTGTGGCCATTTTGGTGTCAACTGAGCTGAATTCCGCAAGCTTCGGGCCAGTCTGAACCGCCTGCAATAACGAAATGCAACGACAAACCGAGGTCTTTGTCGCACGAATCCTCGTTGCAACCCTGTCTTTCTTGTCGTCCTAGCATAGGTCGACAAAGTTACTTTCGTAAACACCAACTCTGTTACGTGCCGCCGAGGAATCGGCCTTAGGCTGCCTTTTCGTCGTTAACCTTAAGAACTAGCGTCGAAATAGCGATAGCGACGTATACCTATATCGTATCGTACGTAAACAGAGGCATAGCCAACATTCGACGATAGTTCGTTACTTCGAGACTTACTAGGAATCGCACAAAGTTTGTGCTAAAATCGCGCAGTTTGCAGTGCTCGAAAGTGCTGGTTTTTGTCGTGTTTCTTGTACAAGGCGATTTTTGGCGGGCCTAAAGCTTTGGGTCGCTCGAATAGCTCTCCGCATGCTCTTTGGGGATTCGAAGACAATCTAGACCGCAGCTGTCTGCTTCGCCATCGCTGTCCCGACTCCCGACAGAGGACATTTCCAGCTTTACTGTTGCGTACCTAGAACAAGCAAACGGAGACAGCGATGTTCGTGCGCAGGATCAAGCCCCGCATTTCCGCCGCTGAAGCTCGCAAACAGAAAGTGGACTTCTCTCCGAAATCCGTTCTTGGCTTTCTCCACCCTCCACTTCACTTCCTCTCTTCTCATCTCCCATTTCCTCGCTCGAATTCAACACTCTTGGACGCATCCTCAAGTCGTTGTGAATGGGTACATCATCTGAGCAACAGCTACCTACTGACCGAACTACAGACCGCGCGGGATCTCCACGTTCAGCTATCCGTAATCATGGCAATACTTCGCTTCTGCTTAGTTTCGAATCGCCCTGAGACTTCGACCAGAACAGCTGCAAATTTCGAGCACGTGTTCAATGGCTCGAAGAGCTAAGCCTGAGTATACCCTGCGATAAGTCTTTATCGTGATTGGAGTATTCGCTGCATATATGGCATTGCAAGGTCGAACGTTCGATAAGGCGAGCATTGCACATATCTTCGTGCCAAGTACACACAAGCTTCTACTTACCCTTGCTTCTTCTGTTTACGAGGCGCAGAATTTGGTAATTCGCGACCATGCCACACGCTGAAGGCCATCACGTCAAAGCTACGCTGAATTACTATCTCGACCCCGCCAAAGGCGGGTACGAATCTTTTTGGTTCGGCACTGTTGGCGAGAAGAGACGTCCTTTTGAATATGTCGAAGTCCCGATCACTGACATCCGCGGACGGGAAGAAGAGTTTCAGCTTGATGTTCATGGTTTTGAGTATGTGAAAGAGTCGAGTAAATTAACACCCGAAGATACGGACAGTCATGAGAGAATCAAGCAAGTGTACTATGGGGAGTGTGAGGAGTTATTGAAGAGACTGTGAGTCTTGCGTCTCACTTTCAAACGGAAGAGACTTTGTGCTGGAAGCTGACGAGGGGATACCCAAAACCAGAACGGGAGGCTCTCGTGTGCATATTATGGGTCATGTTTGTCGCAAATCAAATTGGGACAAATTCGCCGAAGCGACGAAGGATAAAGAGGACATGGAAAGAACTCCCATTCCAACTTCTGCACGATATGTTCACGTTGGTAAGTCACATACATCTCCCCGCTTGTCGTGATATCACCTGACTAGTATACCAACCCCTCATAGACCACTCATACGCTGGCGCTGAGACTCGCCTACATTTCTACCTACCGCACGAAGCGCCAGAGATCTTGTCGCGCAAGAAACGCTGGGCAATCATCAACATCTGGCGTCCTATATATCCAGTCACGCGCGAGAACCTCGCCTTCCTCGACGCCCGTAGCATCCCAGACACATCTCTGCGCCCAGTTGTGGCCAAGTTCCGCCGACCTGAGAACCACGAACAGCTTTCCGAAGTCACGCGTAAAGCATTCGAGAGGAATGATGTGGAGACATGGTCTGTGGCGCCCCCGGAGAAGGTAGAAGGTGAGCACCGCTGGTATTATTGTAAGGGAATGATGCCCGAGGAGGCAATCGTGTTCAAGATTTTCGATTCTTGTGAGAAAGAGGAAGTGGCGAGACGGGTGCCGCATACGGCGTTCCAGTGTGACGAGGACTTCGGGGAGGACAGGCAGAGTGTCGAGTTAAGAGGTCTGATTCTATGGGATGAATGAGCGTGCGAAGTATGTGATAGCCGGGAGGATGAACATGCTGACGTGTATACAAGGTGAGGTGAGGAAAGGGTGGAGTGGATTTGCTTTCGACCAGGCCGAAACGTCCATCTCGGCGCAATGTGCGATGCTTGGCGTCTTTACTGTCTCTTCGGCGCCCACAACTGTGTCTCTCATGCGAATACAACACCTGCCCAGTCATGGTAACAGGATGAGTCGACTTCTCCCAGTCTCTTTCAAGCCAGTGACTACTATCTCACGCCACGAGCTCAGCACCCAAACGCGCCAAACCGAATGCTCACGACCAGCTTCCCTCTGATCGCTTCATTCGATGCTTACCATCTCGCCGATGAACTCCTGACACAGCCCACCTTGCTCATTGCTGGCGCAGAGGCAGGCTCGCTGTGGCACACTGATAGACTGGATCAAGTTCTTGGTGGTGCTACGCAGAGGCTTACTATCCCTGGTGCAGGTCACATAGATCTATACGACGATCCAGAAGAGGTGGCTTTGGCGGTGCGTGAACTCGAGCAGTTCTACGGGCAATATCTTGCTTAGGACTATACGATACGCCAAGTCCAAGTCCAGAAGGCGCTGGAGGAACCTGAGCCCAACGTCGTGACTCGGCTGTTAAGTTACACCGGTGGGCGCGAAGGGAATGATTGGCATGGCATGCAAAGAGAGCGAAGGGTGTCGCTGAGTAGAGAGAGATAGAGATGGTCTTTCGAGTCGATAAGACATTGAGAAAAAAATCGGCGTTCTGGATGCTAGACAGACTTTGGTGCTCCATAGAAGATGTCTGTCGGCCAGAATCAAAACATTCGGATCGCCTACCACGCCACTGCCACCATATCGTTGTTCGGTGCAGCAGATGCCAGCCCTTTCTGGAACAGGGCTGGTCGGAGTCGCGAGCTTGAGTCCTGCTGGAGCAAGAATTTTGAGACTTCCTTACACATAAACCGCTTTTCTGACGCTTGATATATCGTTCTTAATACGGGGCAGATGTTGACAATGTTTCCAGTACTGAAGCAAGCTCTGTACTCTCCGGCTGGCGTGCGTTAGACATTTTCAGTCAATCTTTCATGTGAACCGTCTAAAGTTGGCTACTGTCCACGTAATCAAGATTCGCTTTGTGCCGTGAAGACTTTGTATCTCTGTCACCACAGCCTGCTATGTATACACAGCCTTCTGTGTTCCATCACGATTCCGCCTCGATCTTGTTCAGCTTCAGTAGACATTCGCAGAGCGTCTTGTGCTCCGTTTGGGCATTACTGAGAAGACAGGCTTCCACGATCGTTCCTATTGCAACCCCACATACGTCTTGCACGTTTTGTATTGCTCTCAGAGCGTCTCTTTGCAGCCGCAGCCAATTCTTCTCCGACCCTGTTGGTGTGGCCGCCATGATTTTCTTGGAGCGACTTGCAAGTTGGAAGAGCACAAGGCCTAGCCTCACCACTGGCTCATCCGCTGCGACGGTTGGCCTAGATGCGCCAGGAATACGAATAAGATTAGGGGATCCTAGCCCACAGGCCCAATAGGGGTTCTCCCATGGTTGTTCGGACGGGACTTGCGTTGAGATGCGGTCGTTTGTGTACACAGGGTACTGATAGGTGTGATAGTCCTCCAATCGAGGGTACCGGCAGCTGCTTCTGAGTTCCTGGAAATCCAGATACGCCAGCAGTATGACCCTGAACAGCTTGGGTATCATTTCGGGCGACAGAGAAGCGGCGGATTCAGGATCGTCAAGAAGCTCACTGAAACTTTTCGCGTGTTTCCATCGTTCAACTTCCATATAAATCTCATGGTGGAACAGTTCCCCTGACTGTGCAGTAACACTGCCACACCAGATATACCGGTCCTGATCCGCGAAGTCCACTGGTATTGGAGGTTTCAAAGCTGATAGATCATCGATGGCCGCAGTCTGAGCTAGCAAGGACGGCTCAGTGTCAGACTCGATTGCCAGAAACGTGCATGCTGCATCAGCGTCGTGCCTCTGAAGAAAGGTCACTGAACTATCTCGCCGCAGTTTATTCGACATGCCTGGGAACTCTCCGAGAACGTGACGATTGTCTTGACAATAGTTTGCAATGCTAAGGCTTAAAATTTTAGCTCTTGAGATTGGAGAGGCGTTGACACGATTGATAGCCTCGTGAATTCCTTTCACCAGTGCTGGCTCAAGGTTCGGGACATAATTCATTCCAGTGCTCTCTGACTGCAGAGCGAGGACTGCGCCAGGGTTAATGGGCCTCCGAAGCTCCACGTAGTCGCGCAGGTCGTTGATCGCTGTTCGAAGATCCCCCACACCAGCTCTTAGCGCTAAATGATTGTGGTCTGACCATTTAAGCAGAGTTAAGGTGCTTGCCTTAGCACGGACGCATTGGCTCTCGGGGTCGTGTGTCGACACGGGGTAGGCGAACTGTCCTTTGAGATCTGATATTGACGTTGTAAGATCAAGCGAATAGTTTGCTGCGGCTGCTGAAGCAATGCTTGGGTCTTGGTTTCCGAGCTCATTATCGTGAGAATCCTTACGTGCTTCTCTTTCTTTACTCGATGATCGACGATTGAGTATGGATGGAAGTCGGAGATGCTTCTTAGACTTCTCGTCGTAGGAGATGGTTTGGGCTTGCCATGATCGTAGGTTGCCTTCCGTCAAGATTCCATTGTCAGCAGTACGCATCGGGTGTGCAATCGAGGAGCTCGTGCTTTCGATTGCCGGCACGGCATTTCCAGAGCTCTCTGTAAAACATCAGCCTTGTTCATTCTCAAGGATTGTGAACCGACTTGAGGCCTTGTAGATAATGTCGTGGCAAGTCTCCAAATATGTGGTGATGATCCGCAGATGGCAAATTATTTCCCTGGTGACACGATCCTCGGCATCCTTCACGTCTGGTTGAGTCTGCAAATCTGATATCTTCGTTCCCATGATAACATCCAGGTTTGACATTAGACCCGTGATTTTCATCACCTCTAGCCTAACATCCTTTCCGAAATTATGGATCACCTGGCAGCCCTGATAGAGGCGACAACATGTATCATAAAGCACAAAGAAAAGTGAGACAGAGCCCAGCGTGGCTCCAAGTGGATCTATCGCCATTATCGATCGACAAAAGGTCTGTAGAGCACACACAATCATTGGTGAAGAAGAAGAACAAGCTGAAGACCTCTCGTATCCTAGCTCTCAGCATATAGCCTTTCTTTCAAAAGAGTACAGCAATGCTTCGCATCGAATCACATGATACAGCAGTACACCATCTCAAAGCTGCCTTGTTGATAGCTGCATGCTACCTGTGTGGCGTCTTTTGAGCTGACCTGCACTGGGTCCCCACATGACTGATGAGAGATCGATGATCCATCAGACTTCCGCGATGCAGGTATCGAGTACATTCCGACACCAGCTACCAGCTCCTCCGCACTTTTACATATGTGCGTGGACTTGGGTGAGCATTGATCCAAGATCAAGTTTGAGCTGACGGTCAAGCCGGTCCTGTCCAGGAGCTCGGTCAAGCTCAATTTGACTCTCAACATTGTAAGCGTGGCCGACGCGCAAATACTACCACGTCATTCGAAGCGAAGTTCTCGAGAAACAGAAGGAAACCAATCCTGTGCACCTATTCACCATGGAACCTGCAACGAAGGAACTCCAACAGCTTCTGCAAAGACGTGGCTGGCAACACCTGGTCGAAATGATGGAAGCCGTTCTAAGTTCACCCGTTGGACTGGGAGGCTCGGAGACCAGCAGTCTGAGAATCGATAACGCAAGGCCTACTAGTACAGGAACCTTAGACAAGCGGCTCGAGCCACGGCTTCTCTCCTACCAGGTTGAGAAGACGGATCATAAACGGTTGCTACAGTCTGACGCTGTAATACATCCATTAGTCCAACATCACGAACAGATCACGAAGATAATCGAAGAATTCGAACGCGAAAGCGCGAAAATTGAAGACAGGTACTGCTTGTCCCCCGAGGAAGGTCAAGCCTCGTTCAAATTATACCCATCGACCAAGCCTGAACTTGACCCGGAGACTTGCGAAGAGCTCGATCAGAGGATAGAATTCCTGGCCGACTTGAACAAAGAGCTTCGATCCATCGCATCATCGATGGCGCCTCAAAATGAGTATGATCATGATTCTGCCCCTTGGAACAACCTGCTGACTAGAGAATCTTCTCGCAGTGTAGCGAGCGGACCTCCACAGACGGCAGTGTCAGTCTCTGATATTCCAGCTGACAATGAGTCTTCCACCGCACCTGATGCCTCACTGTCTGCTTCTACCGATATTCGGCGTTCTTCTCAGGAACTTTGCGGTCTTTGGACAGCCTGTTCCTCAGCTGCCAGCACTATGGCACTTTCTGCCCTGTCTGACGACGCTTCTTTTCATGACTTGCAAAAGCGCCTGAGAATCTGGGGCAGAGGACTATTTGGTGACATATTTGATCTTGATACATTGACAGCAAGCACGGAAGGACTTCAGAGCAAGCTTGCGGAGCCGTTGGCCGCACAATTGATTCACATCGGGATAGAGCAGGGTACGTACAAATATTGGATCCGGGCTTGTCGGCGCTTTGACAAGAAGAAATGATAGAAAGAATCATGAGGGCGTGGTATGCGGCCGCCACAGAAGTCAACCGTAGCGTCCTGTACGATGCAGCGTCCGCACTCCGCCAGTCCTTGGTAACGACTAGATTGACACAAGTGCTTGGTGAAAGAGCTCCGTACCCGATCATCGATTGGAACCATCAGGTCGATGGAGATCGTGCTCACGATCAGGAGAAGCCAGATGTCGCATATCTCCAGTCAATGGTTGACATCTTGTTCGACTATCTACCTGCCATCAATCGAGTGCGCCGTGCACATATCCTGGAAGCAGAACGAATTGCCAGCGAAAAGAGACTGAATGAGACTCACAATACCGAGCGAGGACTAGCTTCGTTCGATGACAAAGACGTGATAATTCCGCCTCTCAGAGGGCCCGATGCTCCGCAAACGATAATGCTACAGAACGCGGGAGACCCTCAGAGTGCCAGAAGCGTTCCAAATGAGCAGAGACGATCTACGGCACAAGAACTCAACCTGATAGAACTGTTTCAATCTCTTCAAAAGAGGGAGGCAAGCGAGCAGAGATCGGCCCCCAGAACAATCGACGCTCAGTTCGCGGAAGAACTGAGAGACATAATTTCTGTGATGGAAGGGCTGAGAGATCGTGCAAATGGCCTTGAGAGCCAGGGACTACCATTCAGACCAGCCCCACCGCGGTTGGATGGTGATAAGATGCAGTATGCATCATTTGACGCGCCGGAGCCTTCACTATCACCTACACTGGGTAAGCGAATCTTTCATCAAACGACCTCTACCTAATGGCTCATTATTCCAATGGCAAGATACCGCTAACGCTCAAACCCCATTTAGAAGCACGCCCGGACTCTGAGATACGCGCAGCGGCAGATTTGAAGCTGAGAAAAGGCATCATAGAGTCAGGACGAGAAAGGAGCAAATATTTGAAGCGGAGAAAAGGCATCATAGAGTCAAGACGAAAAAGGAGCAAATATTCGAAGTAATGATTGGCACGATGCAAAGCATGAGAGCGAATACGCGCGAGGAGAATTTTGACGGCCAAGCTATATTGAAGCTTCTAGCGTTTCTATCGAGTGTGCGTGGATTCTTATGCATCAACGAGTACAATTAGGGAACCTGGTGCCAGCTCAGCTAGCGTCATGTCTACGCATACCTACAATTTTCGCCATGCGTTTCACTGCGAAGCCAAATCTGAACACCGCTGAGCTTCTCTCGCGACCATATCCGCTCTTGTCCCAGGGCAGGCGCACATCATGGGAATTTCATTCATGGGCTCGTGATTGTGCGCAATACTTGAGAGTCACTGCACAGTACTGTTGTGCTCAGGTTCTCTTCCATAGGAAGGGCAATACGGCCCACGGCAGAATACTCTGCAGCTATTGGAAGCACATTTCTACTGAGAAAATGGACAGTTGAACGAATGATGCTCGCCCAAAGGTCAAGGAACGAAGACGGACGTCCACTATTGCAGTGAAAGTCCTGCTATCAGAAGAAGGATACATAGTGAAAGGAAGTTTCCAAGCTCCAATCTACGCAGCACCTTCTCCCCCTAGACTACAACCTGTCCATGAATCTGACCCTCAATCTCAATCCCATTACCATCTAAAGCCCCCTCCAACCATGCATCAACCCACCCATGAATGAATGAAACCTTCTCTCCATCCCTTCCATCTTATCGTAACATCCCTCCCAACCCGTCCCCTCCACGCCCTTCACCAATGCACGTGAGGATAGAATCGCTAATCCTCATCATCTCTCTCATCCCCCCAACCCCCCGTCGTGTGTCTCAACCTCCCCGTTCCACTCAGATAATCACTCACAGGCGGATGCGCATCGCGATCCGAACTCCGATGCAGCACAAAATCCAACACCTCACTCCTCGGCTCAATATACTGTCTCAAACACCACCCGACAGGAACCGCATGAGGTCGAAGCTTGCCTTCCGCATCTGCAGCGAAAGACTTGAGGAAAATGGTCTGGTTCTTTGAATCTTCTCGTTCGTAGATTCGATCTGAGACGCCGAAGGCGATGAGGCGGAGGCGTGAGGAGGGAGTGGCGTTGGTGTCGGAGTGAGACGAAGGTGTGTTACCAGAGGGCACAATTGGGAGGTCGTCTTCGTCATCTGAATCGATGCTTTCGACGACGGGCGGCATGCCCTTGTCTCTCCCATCTGCCGCCAGCTCGAACATCCGCTGTGCCAGACTCTGAAGCAGACTTTCGTACACCATCCTCGGCAAGAGTTGTGTCGAAGGCTTGTTATTCGGCCACGTCGTAATGTGCAATGTAACCATCTTCCTCAACACTGCCGCACTCGATTCGAATCGCTTCCAGTCCGGTGCAGGGCTGCGAATCAGACTTGTCGAAGGCCAAGCGCAGGAAAGCTGTTCGAGATCCTTGCACGCTCGGCAAATCTTGTCAAAGTCTTCTGTTGACCACACCAGCTCTTCATTATCGCAGTCCGACGTCATGGAGTTGCCTGGGTGGTTCTCCGTGGCGCAATGTACGCTGAGCAGTTCAAGCGTCTTGCTATGCCGCACGATTCCAGCTGCCGCAGGTAATGACTTGACGTTATCCAGATCAATGACCATATCTCGAAGGCCAGACACGAGACAGAGGAAGCCGTCAAGGGCGAGTAGAGCCTCATTGTCGGTGTTGTCGCGATGTTGTAATTCCAGTACCTTCAGCGTCTTTGGCAGATTCCTCGACTTGCTCAACTGCCCTAACAATGTGTCGGCCCCAGCACAATGGTATAGTCTTAGATTCTCCAGCTGTTGAAAGTTGATGAACTTGCACCAAGTATCCGCGCAGTACCTCAAACTAATGCGATGCAGTCGGAGACTCGTCAAGTTCTTCAACGGCTCGCATGTGTCGAAAGGCATGAGACTGGAGAAGACCGTCCTGCTCAGTAGACCAGGCTCCGTCGCGGAATCGTTCAGCTCCCTCGAATCAGGCACACTCGGCCGGCCCAGATCACTGAAATTGCAATGCACAATCAGTTCCTCCAATTGCTCCCTACACTTCTCCAAAAAGAACCCACTCAAAGCTAGGGTATCTCGATTCTCCGGATAAAGTGCCAATTTCCTCGTATGTTGAAACATCGCACCCGTCGTCTTAGCCATCTTCTTCAACTCCGGCAAGACATCTCGATCAAGGTCCATAACCTCAAGCCACTTCATCTTGCGCTGACGCTTGTAAAGCAAAAGTAACGTATCCGCGGCGAAGGCCTTCCAGGGACACCAGCTATTCCGATAATAACTGTTAGCATCAGCATCCTCCCTCTCAGGTGTGGTGAGACCAAGGACATCCGATCGCCAAGCGCGTTCCGCGGCAGCGTCCTCTCTGCTCCCTGTCTTGTAGTATACGCACCTGAACTCCTCCAGCACGTCCTCGGGAAGGAACTCTAGTATCATCCGCGTTGCAAATTGTGCTTGTCGTTCTTGATTGCAGCGGTCGGCGGATTCGGCGAGGTAGAGGCGGAGCTGGCGGATGTGCTGGAGGCCGATGTTGCGTGGGTTGAGGAAGGATGAGAGGCGGGTGTCGTGGTCGCTGCCGAGATCGAGGGCGACATTGCGGTAGAGGGAGCGGACGGCGATGGAGTGGAATTTCTTGGAGACGAGGCAGGCATTCTTCAGGTCTGATGGGCGAGGCACCTGGTGCGGAGAGTCAGTAGGTCAGGTCGTGTGGGCAGGATGGAGAGAAGCGTGGGAGGAGTGGTGAGAGCATACTCGCTCGATGATGAGACCCAGAAGCTCATCGGACAAGTCGTGGAGCGTGGTCGCGTGCTTGGTTCGTGGTTTGGGCAGCTCCACGAGCGAGTCGGTCTGAGTGGCCGTGGTGGCTGCCATGATGGAGTGTTGTGCTCGGCAGCTCCCACCGCGCCTGTTATTTCTGTGCCTGTCGCTGTCTTTCTTTGTGTGATGAGCTGGCTTCAATCTGCTTTGCTTTGTCTGGCGGTCGACGAGTGGAGACCGCGGTTAGGTGTGGAGGAGTGAAGGTCAAGGCGAGCTGGTGGTCAAGTATGTATCACCGTCTTGCCTGCCTGTCTGCCTGCTAGCCAAGTGAAGATGTGTCCTGCGGAAGAAGTGCACTGAATCAATGAATGGGAGGCCTAGCAGCTCTAAAGTGAGCGAGCCGCGTTGAGAGTGAATGCTGAATGCTGCGGTGGGTGTGATTCAGGTGGATGTCGCGGATGTGACAACGCTGCATCCGCCGTAAATGCTCTGCTTCCTACAGCTCGAGTCGCACCTGTCAGTATTGGCGAGGCGGCTCAAGTTCAGCCTTGTTCATGCGGGCGAGCAGTGAGCAGAGTAATACGGTTCACGGGCTCCCCCGACGAGGCTGAAGAGACAAACAGGTGCAGCTGTTGGAGCTTGACTGGCCCAAGTGTCAATCGCTGAATGGCGCGAGTGGCTTGATTGGACCCTGACCGTGAATCTGGTGGGGCATCATCCTCGCTCACCCGTGCCAAGTCACTCCTCACTTATCCAATCATACCATTCTTTCCGCCGCTTGCAATATGGATGTGCGAGAGCGTACCTCGGCGATCTGACATATCGGCCGAGCTGATTGCTCGGATGTGCGAAGCATACAGCCGGTGCTGGCCGACTATGTACTCATATCACAGTGCAGCGTCTAGGATCGTCGATGAGGAGATGAATATGGGAAACAACTAGGAGAATACGCTCACTTTCAGACTGATCAGTTGTTCATGGTCACTTTGATAGATGTCTGACTAGCCCGTCGATGCTGTTTGATGGTAACACCAGCTCTCGGAGCAGCGATATCGCTCTGTGCTCATCGCATGGACCTGCCCAACCAGATACAAGTTGCAGTGTCACTGCAGCACTCCGGGGGCCTGAGCGACCAAGCAGTCTCCGCTCTCAATGTGAGGGATCAGAATTCTTCCATGCTATGCACTTCATCTCTACTCTTCACCATCACTCTGTCTCTCCATCTCAGCAGCCAACTGAGCCTCCAAATCCGCATCACTTTCAGTGCCCTCAATTTCATCCTGTCCCTCCACGGCAGGCGCAGCACCATTGCCCTGCACGACAAGATTGGTCAAACTAGAAGTCCTCTCCATAGCCTGCTTCTTTCTCTTCTGCAGTCGACTGCCCTTCTCACTTTCTCCATCACTATCCCTGTCGTCGCGTGTGCGTTTCTTCGCACTGCTGGGCTCAGTCTCAGATTGCGTGCTCTTCACACTTTCCGTATCACTATCGTCCTCGTCTCCACTCTCTTCCATGAAGGCTTCGAGCTCTTCGTCAATTGCTTGAAAGTCGTCAGGCTGCTCGCCCTCGATGGGACTGCTGTCTTTGCGATCCAATGAGGGGGCGTATTTCATGAGCTCCTCCTCGTCGGTATCGATCTCCAGTGTGAGACGGTCACCTCCATTCGGAGTCTCGGTCGCGTCAGTTTCATCCTCGGTCAGAATTGAATCGTCGTCTGAAGATGATACGTTGTATGCAGTTTCGTCAAAGCTTTCAGGTAGCGCGCCAGCTCCATTCGCAGGAGCATCCGAGTGGATGCGATAGGGATTGACATCGACATTCTTCCACTGTGCAAAGCACGCATGCAGCCAATGCTGGCTCACTATGGCGATGCGGGGCTTCTTTGCTGCTTGTCGTACTTTCGCCGTTCTTCGATCTGGTGAGGCGATGACATGAGTTGTCTTCTTGGTGATGTTGACGCTCACCGTCGCTCCAAACGTCTTCGCCCAAAGCGCTGCATCGTGTGTCAATGGGTCGACTCCGAGCGGAACAACACCGGAGAAGACAATATGGCAGCCTGCGAGGACCTTTGCTTTGATGCCGTCCATAAGCACTGCTGCATCAGGAATATTGTTAAGATCGTCAAACGACCGCTTCTTGCTGTGTCCTGGCCGGAGTTCAGCAACCCGGTCGCCCTTAGCACCCCGAGATTGCTTGTCGTACTCGTCATAGTATGTGGTATGGACGTTGCGCAAGCTCTGCTCGAGGTACACCAGCTCATTGTCGTCATCGGCGAGAAGGTTCTGCCGATACTTGTGCTGGATAGAGTCCACGTGCGAAAGCTCTTTTGTTTCCGTATCATCGCCATTCTCTGCAAGCAGCTCAGCTGTCGCTTCAACAGCAGGAGACGCCTTTGCTTCTTCCTCCTTCGCGAGGTCTTCGAGCTCTTTCTGCTTCTTCAGCATAGGTCGATCATCGAGCTGCTCCTGAATGATTTGTTCCTGCTCTTCTGTCTTCTCTTGAATGGTCTTCGCATCTTGCGGACCTGCCATGGTGAGGAGTTGTTCGCTCACTGATGTCTCGCCGTTGGTTTGCACAGGCGAGGCGGGCGTGGGAGTGGTGGTCACGGGCTCGGTGCTTGCGTCTGGCTGAGCGTTATCACCATTCTCCGTTGGGGTCTTATTCGACGGGATGCGCTCCATCTTGGGCGCATGTGCCTTTGCGGCCTCGAGCTCGGGTCGCTTCGGTAGGAAACTGCTGTTGATGTCGCCAATACCGACGAAGAACTCGAACACGTTGACCTTGACCAGATTTGAGATCCAGTGCCACACGTCTGCACGATCGTCGATGATCACCACCATCCTTGTGTCGATGGGAAACAGTCTCTTCAGATACTTGGCTGTTTGACTCCCACTCTCATTCCGTGTCACGATGCGATCGCCAAATATCTTCCGGTCAGGATCGATAATCTTGGCCACATTCTCTGCGTACGATCGCGTGCCCATGGTGTAGATGTGCATCTCGTAGATTTCCGACAGCCGATCCAAGAAGTCCTTGAGTCCGGGTCGTGGTTTGATGTAGTACCACGTATTGGGCTTGTCGTCGTGGAGCTGAAAAGCCTGAACATCGCGGAGAGCCTCGTAGTTCGGATTTGACGGATCGTTCTGCCATTCTCCGATGGTCGGTTCGACGGACGCGTGAATGATGGTCTGGTCCAGATCCACCACCAAGCTCAATCTCCGAGACTCCAGCAGTCTACGCTTGGCCTCTTCATCGCTCTTGGACGCTTCCTCCTCCGAGATGAGGAGATCCTGTCGCCCGTGTACTGTATTGACCGTGGCACGTGCCGCACGCGCCGTCGTCTCGTTGTACGAACTCTTCTCCTTCATGTCCTGGCCGCAAGCCGCGCACAGCCCTGCGAACTGAATCTCATGTTTGCAAGCTTCCTCCACGTCCGCAATCGGTGTCTTCCGTTCAATGACCTGGCCCACCTTCACATTCAGCGACTCCAGTGTCCCCTCGAGCTCGCTCTCAAATGTCGCGGGCCATGTCCGTTCCCTCTCAACATCCTCTCTCGCATCCTCGTCAAACTCTGTGACAACGCTCTTGTAGTTGTAGAGGAAGAGAGGCGAATTGACCTCGATACTGTCGCCTTGCTTGCGCAGAAGCTTGGTAACCGTGATCGGATACAGCAGCGAGTCGGGGGTATACAGGCGCATTGGATCGATGATAGCCGGCGTGTTTCTGGATCACATTGTACTGTCGCAAGGACGCGACTGGGACAGGCAGCTGTTTCCGCGGATCCGGGCAAGGTGTGGGCGCCGGAGTGGCTTTGCGATTCTCGCGACTGATAGGCGTTGCCTGAGGGTGAAGTTGATGAATGACAGCACGTGAAGGGACAATGACAATGGCGTTCAGCGAAGCTCAAAGGTCACGCTACAAGTCACGCAAGTAAAGGCAGAGATTCGTCTACGAAATGGATCGCATGACTGCACTGCTCACTGTTGCCAGATATGTAGGGTCTCCGAAGCTTGGTCGCGCCAATGCGATGCGATTGTGGTGCCGGTGAAGGTGTTGGTGGTGTGAAGAGGATTGCTGGAGCTGCGCGACGATGAAAGAAGTTGGGTGAAGGTGTTGTCCAAGAGGGGAATGTGTTGCGATGCTGCCAAACGCGTCTGCTGTGATGAAGTTCGAGCTCTTGACGCCAAGAGCTTCGAGAGGTGCAGCTCTCAGACCTAAATACTGCTCTGGCGGGAAATCCCGAGACGCCGCTTGCCCTTACCTTCCCCCCCGCCTGCGCCTGCCTTACTAACCCAACGCGGCTGCCAAACAATGACGCTCTTGTCGTTCTTGTCTGAACACAACTTCACTTCCATTCCAACGCCAAACACGTTCTTCTTTCTGACGGAATGCCTACCTCTTACAGTGTCCTGTCTTTCACCATCATCGCATCTTCCAACACCTTCACGACATCATTACCGAGGTCTATGTTTGCATGAACGTGTTCGAGACGTCACATCCCCTGTATCGATACCGTTCCTCTGCTATGACCACCAAGACGACACGTCGAGCTCGAAGTGCAGCTTTGCGTCGCGACAACTCGACCTTTCATCTCATCGCTCAAAGTTCCCCCAGCATATCCATGAAAATAGGCTGGCTGTCTCGTTTAGCTATCATCACCGCCCGCGGCACAGGTCGTAAGCGGATGGCAAAAAATCGGTTCTCGCAGACCGCTTTCAAAATTCTGCACTATGGAAGTCAAGCTACCAGGCAGTGGCGACAAGCTGCAGGTGATATGCATGATGGCGGCTAAGCAGTCAATGGCGCGATTAGTTGTCATAAATCGCGAGCACAATGAAGGCAAGTATGTTTCCTCAAATTCCAAGCAAATATCACCCAGATATGAAAATGCTTGGCAACATAGGTAACAGCAACACATCTGTTCAGAAACCAGCATTGCTTGTGTGCATGTATATTCTCTATACTCATCGCGCTACTGTACTCGTACTGTATACCATGCATCCTGTTCCCAACGAAAACAAGCCCCCAGACATGCTACCACAGAGTCCGCAGCAGGAGTTCAAACCTCTCAAATATTGATATCATGCCTCCAAACCTCCTGCTCCGTCCGCGCAGAGAAAGTACTAACCCTCAAAATATCCTGCATCTGCTCATCAGACACAAACAACACATTCCTCGCAACAAACCACCTCAATCCCTCCGTGCAAGGCGGGCTCGTCAGAGAACCCTTATCTATTCCAAGTCAGCTCACATCTCTCCTCATCACATCACACCCCAAACCCAACCTCGGATCCTTAGGAAAAGGGGCAAATACTCACAAGTCCAAAACTCCGCAAACCGCAAAACCTCATCCAACGCCAAATTCAAATCCATCGTAACCTCCGTCTCCCTCACATCCGTATTATTAAACCCCACCATCCCCGGCAACTGCGCAAAAAATCTGCTTTCAGCATTCCCCGGATCAATCCTAATCGCAAAAACCGCACGTTCATGTCCTTCAGCATCCGCATGGACCAAATGTAACTCCGCTTTCGAGCGATCCCCTTGTACAGTATGATCCGCCGGAGCGTGAATGTGCCAACTCGCGAGATAAACAGTTTCGTTCGTGGAGTGATCGTTCGCCTCCTCCGGGAAGGTCAGTGAGGGGAGGGTGGTGTAAGAGTCGTTGGGGCCGAGGGAGAGGGTATAAGAGGGGCCGTAGCCCCAGTTGGAGAAGTTTCCGGTGACATTGGAGGGGTAGGAGAAGGTTGGGATGTGGGCGCGGGAGAGGCCTTGGTCGAGGCGGAGGGGGATGGGGGATTGTTGGGTGCCGGCTTGGCAGAGGACCCACTCTGGAGGGAGGGTTGAGGGTTAGTGGTGATGAACGGAGGGAGGGTTGAAGATGGGATGGGAGGCTATACCTGGGTCTAGTCTTCCCCAATCGTAACTTGCTTCGTAGGCCCAGAAGCGAGGGTCTTCGGGGAGAGTGGCATTTACGCCTTGTCGTTTTTGCAATTTGGGACAGGCGTTGGCCACGGTGGCAGCGAGGGCCAGCAGGGGAAGTGATCTTGTGAACGACATTGTCGTACTGGCACTGCTGGAGATGATAGGACTTCTTGTCGAACCTGAGATTGTGAATATGAGTGGCGACGAATGGTCAGCTCTGACTGATGTAGCAGTCCAATGCGCTTCGTAGATTGAAAGGGGTCGTTTCTGTTGCCGTGAAGTAGCTGCGCTGCTCTGATCAATCCTCTCCATTATTCGCGCAACAGAATCACGTATTTATATCGTCTTCCCACCTCGCTCATCTCGTATGCAACTACAACCTGACTTGCATCGCCTGCCCACGTGGACCGCATGTTTACTCAATGTGATGCCAACTGCCACGCTCGCCAAGGTCACAGCCTTGTTATACAGAAGGCCATGATTCGCACGACACCGTGATACAAGAAGAATGAGTGATGCAAGGACGGCCGTAACAGTCCGCCGGCCAAGGAGTCTAGAAGAATGGAACCTCAATAGATCTCTGGAAATCGTATATGCCTCGCCAAGTGCCCAGTGGTGGCAGTTACACAGCCCTCCTTGATTGTCGGACGGACTAAGCGCTCTGCACGATTTATGCTTTGGGAGATTCCGTGTACGAAATGCGCTTACCTACCTTCGGGTTGGGATACGCCGCAGGATACGCCACAGGATAGACTTAGGAAAATCGAGATAGGCAGGGCTGAGAGACTAGCTGTTCGTAGGATGGAAAGGTCGATGCAGGAAGAGACGGATATGTTGAACCTAGAAGGATCCTCGGATGCACCTTGCGGACGTGACAGACGCGTAGCCCGAGTGAGGTCGGAGGATTCCTCTCCGAAAGGTATCCTCGAGTGGCGATCGAGACTTTAAGAGTTTGCGTCTTACTCTTTCCATCGTAGTATGCTTTAAGGTTATTGCACCTTCAAACTCAGGTTTCAGCGGGCGCTAGAAGCATCCAACCATTAAGATAAATTCGTCAGCGATTGATCTTAGTTCCTGGCTTGGTTTGCTTGGCTACTCTCCGTGCTGAGCCGCAACGGTGGTAGAGAGGGGTGGCGGAGTAAGGCGAGGGTTGCAAACGAGGTCGGGTACGACTTTGACAAATGTTCCTGGCTGGGTTGTCCTTCGTGCTGCAAGCCTCTTTAGACTCTCGTGTATGGAGGAAGGAGATTTCGCATCTCGTAGCTTCATCATCGGCTGTAGAGCCATATTCGATCGTAATGCTTGGCCTTCGGATCAGACGCATTGTTGGCGCAATGGTGATGCTTCCAAAGCTGTTGCAGCTGCGTGCGTGAGGCCGGCGTTTCGCACAAAGTAAATCTCTTCACAGCCTCCACAAAACCTCTGTTGGCTATCACCCAAGCATTCTCTCCGCGATTTGTTTCGCCATCTCGGGCTCCACGGTCCCTTCCTCGCCTCTTCGTACCATCTGACCGACGAACCACATGATCTTGCCCTTTTGACCTTTATCTCTTACCGCAGTGACCTTGTCCGGGTTCTCGTCCATGATGGCCTGTATCAGAGAGGAGTATTCTTCCTCGGACAATGGCCGCAGGCGCAGGTTGCCAGCCTCGATGAGCTGTTCCACGGAGGGCCGGACGTCCGAAGTGGGAGTTTCGTACAAAGTGGCGAGCAATTGCTTCGCGGTCCGCGCTGTGATCTGCTTTCGAAACAAATTGCTGATGATGTCGGCCAGCTCTTGCGGCGTAACGGACACTTCGTCCCAAATGACAGAAGCATCCAAAAGACCTCCCAATTCGTGCAATACCCAATTGCCTACAGCTTTGCCGAGCTTGTGCTGAGCACCATGTTCAGTGCCAGCCAACTTCTCCTTCAACAACTCGACCGTCTCCTCCATGAACTCCAAACGATCTCCATCGTCCAGTGCCACTATTGTTTTTGCATCTTTCAAGCTCAGTCCATAGCTTCCAATCACTCTCTTCATCGTATCGTCTGGGAGTTCTGGCAGCGTGCTTTTCAGATATTCCACGAGATCCTCGCCGACCAGTAATGGTGGGAGATCCGCATCAGGCATATAGCGATAGTCTACTTCGCCCTCTTTGCCTCTCAACCTCGTAGTCTCCGTCGCGCCCAGAGTCCAGCCCCTGGTCTCACCCTCGACGACGCCGCCTGCCTCCAAAACGGAGATCTGTCTGTCTCTTTCTGCGATGATGGCATCTTCGACTGCCTTGAACGAAGACAAATTCTTGATCTCAGTTCTTTGTCCCAATCCACTGACACCACTGTATGAAGATGTTCCGCTAGTTCCGCGCTCTCGAATCGAGACATTGACGTCTGCTCTCAGACCGCCAAGTTCCATGCCTGTCGTGCAGGCGTCCACGCTCTTGAGAGTAGACTGGATTTTTCGCACAACAGCTGCGGCGGTCTGCGGGGAATGGATGTGCGGTAAGGTGATGATCTCAATCAGTGGGTGCCCAGCTCGGTTCAGATCGATATGGTACGTGGATACGCCATGTGAGGTGGTTTTCGCGGTGTCCTGTTCCATCTGAATCTGCTTGATACCAATTTCTAAGCTCTCCGCGCCATTCAAGTCAGATTGTGGAACACCATCATCCGCAGTGAGGACGAGCTGGCCATTTCTCGCAAACGGTTCTACACAAGTCATGTCAGTCGCCGACTCTCGCTCTTGCACTTATGTACTCCATCATACCGTAGTACTGTGTGATCTGATATCCGTTTGGCTGATCCCAGTGAAAGTAGTGCTTTCGATCCCACCCACTCTTCCTCTGCACATCGCAATCCAATGCAATTGCAGCACGCAACGCAGGCAGCAATGTCGCTACTTGGAACTGTGGCTGTGTACCTGGCAAAGCAGCATCAAATAGCGCAACTTTGGTGTTGGCTGCTCCTCCATTTTCCTCGCCTGACAGTGCCGGCGCATTGGAGAACAGCTTGCAAGCGGTGTTCAACTCGGCGTGGATCTCAATTCCCACTGTGAGCTCCCATTTGTCCAACCTCGGATCTGATTTGGCTATTTTGGTGCTGGACAATTTGGCTTCCGCCTTTTTGCGTTTCGCTTCATCTTTGAGGTGTTTGCGAAGCGGAACGGCAGCCGTATCCTGCTGGTTGGCAGCGAGAGGTGATGTCGTCAAGTTTCGGCGGGATTGGAGCCATTTGGCGACGATGCAGGGTCGAGGAGAACGGATGGCATTGCATGATGTTGTGTGAAGGGACAGCGAGCTTGCTGTACGCGCAAGGCGATTGCTCATGTTTGGGCATTGCAAGTGGAAGCTTCAGACGATATGCAGGAACTTGAGCTTCAAATGCCGGCCGAGCTTGGACCAAGTCGGTACAAGTCCTCACTTGGTCTGTGCATTCGAGATGTCTCTACTTTTGGCCATTGATTCGATATGTTACATGATCACGCTACTGACTCGAATCTTCGCGGAATGGATGGCTACGCTTACCGATCGCAGATGCCCAAAATGAAACAGCTTGTACCGGCCCTAACGATCAGTGAACTCGTCCTGGTCCCAACCAAAAGGCGCCACCATCGTATCCTCGATGATATCCTCCTGCAAGTCTCTGAGCACTGGAGTTCTCGGTCGGTGCGGTGGCATCTGAGCTCGTAAGTTTTCGAGCAGTGCCTCATCCATGACGTAGTCATCTTCGTCCTCCTCATCTGCCTCCTCGCAGTCACACCCCCCGTAGATCGAACCACATGCATAGCAAAAGTCCGTTCCGCAGCGGCATCTAAATTTTCGCACGAGATATGTCAGTGATGGGTCTCGGTTTGCTTGTCATCGTTTGGTCTGCCACTTACACGATGTGATTACATCCATCTGCCTTCTCCACTACCCTCTTGCACTCAGGACAAGCCTTCCACTTCCTCTGCCCTGCCATCTGCATTACAGCCAGAAGTCCTTTGGTCTCATCACAAGGACCAAAGTGTTCCTTCTCTTTGCATTTAACACAAGTCGCCTGTCCGCACTTCTGGCAAAACGCTTGCCCGTTGTGAATGCTATGCGGAGCGATAAAAGCGTTGCACTTCGCGATGTTGGAGCAGTATGTTTTGTTCTTCGTGTTGAGCTCGATGGTTTTGTGGCGGTAGGTTCGAAGGAGAGTGTGAGGAAGGAATGGCCGAGCTTTGGCGAAGTCGATGGGCAAGAGGTGGCACGATGGAGGGTAGAGAGTTTCGTCTGTCATGGCGCGGGTAAAGAGGTGCGTGAGGCAGGAGCTGCAGTAGGCGCAGCGGCAGTTGAGGTGCAGCATTTTCTTGGGTTCGAGGGTATCTCCGCATGCGGTGCATCGTGTCGACGCAGGTGGTGGTGCTGGCGGGTATGGACGGCGTATTGGACCAGCAGTGAAAAGTGATCCGTTAGACGGTGGCCGACGCTGGGACTCGGTGTTTGGATTGAAGTTGTTGTTGGCCATATTTGACTGTCTGAGTTGGCGGTTCTGCTCTTCTAGTATCATCAGCTGGTGTTGATAGTCCTGAAGTGCAGTCCGTCCTGCGTCTATGGTTGAAGTTGGCGGTGTCGTGCCAGCATGAAGTGGAAGTGTTTCGCTCATCTCCATGGTTGCCTTGAAATACTGCACATGCAGGTAAGGCTTGGCTGAAACAGCTCGTGAAGTGAGGTCTTAGACAGTGAATGAGGTCAATGAAGCGTTAAAGATGGCATCTCGGCATAGATTTGGCGAGCAAGTGCTGGTGCCGATGCCGTGTAACTCGAATGAAGAGGTGAAAATCTGAAGCTGTTCGCATGAGTGAGGGGATTCTCTGTTTCACTGCATAGCCGTCTTCGAGTCATATCTGAGTTGTTCATAGGCAGCCGGGGTGTTTGCTGGAATGCGAGGGGGCGGCCTCTGGAAAAGGCTTTCCGCGTGCGACCTCGCCACACGTGTGTCGTGAGCAGTGTTTTGTCTTGGCCGGTGCCTTGATCTTGCATATGTGAGCGCATCGGGGAGCACGAGCAGGTGTATTTGAGTGCAGCATGCCGTGTGCGAGACTGCCTCAATGGCGTAGACGTCCGAGATCGGAGAGGAAGCTCCAGGTATCAGCATACTGAGGTACACAAAAGATCTGTAGAAACAGCTCGTCATTTCATACCTATGTTGAGAAGTAGACATGTCCCTGCTGTCGTACACGCGCATATCACTCATCTGTCTCGTATCTGCCACCACAATTTCCAGCACTGGTTGCTATTTCTGCTCATCGCTCACGCTGAGTGCATTCATGGCGTCTTCTGTTGTCTTTCCCACGCTGGCCTCCTGAGCACCTGGACCCTCGAGTGAGCCATCTGGCTTTGTGCTAACTTCACCATTTGCAGCTGGTTTGGCGCCCGGAAATCTTGTTCCAAGATTCTTTACCTTCTTCGCTTTCTTCTCCGGCGCAGGTGGTGGTGGGTATGCTTTCTGCTCGACCTCCTTCCATTCTGCGCTCTTCTGGAAAGTCTCTTGAATAGGTGCCAGGAGTTCAAGGAGAGCGTTAGTGAAAGCAGGCTTGAGTGTTTGTGGCTGCAGAATATCTGCTGCGTAGTCCTCCTGCATTTTTTGGATGTTGGAGTAGACCAATGGCTCTGCATCTCGTCGCTCCACAACAAACTTGGGCTCGCCATTGTTCTTCAATGCAGAAGCGGGTAGCAGCACGAACTCCACAAAGCTGAGAACACCGTTGCCTTCGACCTGCTTTGGAGGACAGAATGCCTTTTTGACCTTCTTCTTCACAACTTCTGGTGGGTCGATGAAATCGATTTTCGAGTCTGGATCTGAGGAGCTCATCTTTCCGCCTTCTTGGAGACCAGGAATCAGAGGGTTCATCAGATGTGCGCGTTTCCGGAAGCCAATACGTGGGAGTGCCTCGACGGCGAGAGTGAAGATCTTGCGCTGATCGACGCCTCCGAATTGCGCGTCCACGCCCAGATACTCCTCATCGAGTGCTTGCATGAGTGGGTATATTTGTGAAGAGAGAGGTGGGCTTTCAACTTGCTTGACCACTTCTGAACCAGCTTTCGATGCATCGTGACCAGATACCGATGTGCTCAGTCGCAGGAGATCCATAAAGTACTTGGCGCCCGACTCGCCTGTGGTTTGATAAGTCGAACCAAGTACGAACTTCAGCTTCGATACATCGACATTGACAGCCTTGAGAGCTGCCGTCACGCAATACTTGTAGTACTCTGCCCGAAGCACGACCAAGTCAATGGGTGCTTTGAGGTTGTCGAGGAAGCCGTGAACATCTGCCAACAAAACCTTGACTTCGCATCCAGCAGCCAGAAATTCAGCAATCTTCAGCATAGGCACGAAGTAGCCGCAGTGAGGCTTTCCGGTCGTTGCTGTGCCCCAGTAGATGCTAAGTGGCCGCTCGCCCTTCCGCAGAACATCTTCAATGATTTCTGGGTTCAGAACTTCTTGCAAATTGCTCTTGATGAGGTCGAATTGCTCGGCAGCTTTGCCTGTCAGCGGTTCTGGTGCAGGAGTCGCCATTGTGATTGTATCTGCAGAGTGTTTCCTGTCGATCCGAAAATGGGATGTGCAAGAACAATGGATGTTTTTGTCGTTGGAGTCACTTTGGACCCCTGTTCGTTTCTAATCTCTTGGCGCGCTAGCAGTCCGATCGTCCTCCACATTATCCCAGCGGGACAACAGATGAGGACCGCACAAGTAAGCAACATGTTCGCATCTTGATAGCGCATAATATACACGAAATGGTCCACAGCACGGCGTAGGCATGTTTCGTACTTCTGGGCAATGACTGAACGACTTCCCCTCACGCGACCATGGACGAAACGAAGATCAGCTCGACCACGCTGCCGGAGAGCGGTGGCCCCGTGGCATTGACCGACGACGATGCAGTCGAAACGGGACCCACCAAAACGCCGACGAAGCCATCTTCAGACGCGCAGTCTGCAGCAAACCCGTTGCAGTCCTTCATTGACAAAGGACTGCACTTCTTATCCACGGCCAGTAACGAGACATTGGGAGCATGCTTGGTGGGATTGGGCGCAACAACGTACGTTGTGCTCGGAAGAGTCGGACTAGTAATTATTGGCGTCGCTGGCGGCGTGGTTCTGCATGCGACGTGGGACGGGTCGAGAGGGGACAGAGGAGACGAAACAAAGCGTGCAGAGGCAGACCGGAGACGAGAGGCCGGCGTAGATGTGGTCAAGAGAGTGCTCGAGTGGCGGACGAATAGCAGAGAACAGTCCTCCCAGGAGACAGAAGACGGTAGCAGGGTGTATGCGAGCCAGGCGCTCGACTATTCATCTTTTGGCCCAGAAGCGGCGGCTGCGCTGGACGCCTTCACCACCGCTGTGATCAAAGACTATGTTCATTACTGGTACGATGCCACTCTACCAGGCGAGGAAAGCTTTCCGATGTCCTGTCGGCGAACATTTACTGCCTTCATCTTGTCACTTTCTGGCCATCTCCAACGCAAACGAGCCGCCGATGCCTTCCTAGATTTCGTCACCAATGCGAGTTCCATCATTATTGTTCTCTTGAACGAGCTGGCCACGGCCCTCAACGCTTCGCCCACATCCACTCCGGAAGAAGCGATCAGCACATATTTACAAATGAAGCCGGACAGCAGTCTGGCATACATGATCGACCAAGGCTCCCAGAAGATCAAACTGGCTGAAGCAGCTGAAGACATCCTGCAGGCATATCTCGATCCGAAATCCTACAACTGCCCGCCCGTTCATAGCTTCTTGAAAGAGGTTCTCGCCCAATTGGTCCTTGGATACACAATCACGAAATGCTCCGACCCAGCCTGGATCAACGATTGGATAGTCTATGGTTTGGAAGAGTCGGAAACAGCGAAAGAGGTGATGGACATCGTGGATGCTGGTGTCGAGGGACGAGCAAGTGTCGAGACGCCCAAAGTCGCCGAGAAGCTGAAGCAAGAGCCTGAAGATCAGAGCAGGCGGGAAAGCGCGAGTGCTGCAGCACACAGGCGAAAGATGAGTCGCGCGGAAGAAGCAATGGATGAGGCGATGCGCGAAGCTAAAAGATTGACGGAGCTCATGATCGAGGAAGACAATCGAAGAGCGCAGCAAGAGAAGGAGAAGGACACGAGTACCAGCGCATCTGTGTCCAACATTGCGGACAGTGCAGAGGGCTCAACACAAGGCGTGCCCACGCCAACATCCAGTGAAAGCGAGCGCGATCGTCAGTCAGAGGATACTAGGTCGATAGCTGACAGCTCTGTCACCGCAGAAAGCAAGCACAGCCACGCGAGCACACCTAGCACCCAGTTCACCAACTTCGATCAGATTGTACCCAAGGTTCAACCCACTGCGCTGAGCGATAGTCCTACCACAGAGACGCCTATCAAGAAAGCACCGGTTTTGACACTGCACAACGCCAAGATCAGTATCTTCGATGACAGTGTTCCAGGCGAACGAGCATCGATCAAAGCCAAACCAAACAATGATCTTCTCGTCCAGATCGAGCCCGCCAATTCCGCATTCCCGGGTTGGATGATCGTACGCAGATACGCTGATTTTGAAACACTTCATGAAGTACTGAGACGCATCTCTGTCATTACCGGATCACATTTCACCGAGAAGCACAACGAGCTTCCGAAGTGGAAGGTACACACCAAAGCCTCGCTGCGAGCTGAGCTTGAGAATTACCTCGCGGACGCTGTGCGCTTCCAGAGCTTAGCTGAGAGCGAGGGCATGAGGCGCTTCCTCGACAAGGACCAAGGGATGAACAAGTCTCCGAGCGGCAATAAGGGATTTGGCTGGCCAACTCCTGATGCATTTGGCAAGTTCGGAGGCGATATGATGAACGTTCTCACAAAGGCGCCGAAACAAGTCGCTGGAGGAGTTGCGGGAGGTGGCAAAGCCGTTTTCGGTGGTGTTTCAGGACTGGTTGGTGCCGTTGGCAATGTGGGCAAGAAAGCAGGGCAGTCGACGACTAGCCTAAGTAGGTCTGCGACGAGTAACAGCCTTGACAACACATCCCGAGCAGCTAGCAACAACCGCTCCAGCATGCAACTTGCCGGGCAAGGCTTCATGACTGACAGCTATCTCGGCACTATGGATGTGGCTAGGGAAAGTCAGGACTCGTTCCGCGCACCATCAGAACCTGTGTCCGACAGACAACAAAGCACTGACGAACCACGACCAGCACCAAGTGCTTCCTCAAGCCGCCCAGCCAGCCTTCTCAGCCCCGATGAATTCGTCTCGGCAACAACACTCTCGCCTGCAGCATCGACTTCACACCTGCCTACAACACTGGAGGAGACTGAGAATAGCTTGAAGACCATTGATCTGCCGCCTCCTCCGTCTGAGATGCCTGCTGACTATGGTTCACCAATTGCGCACAACAGGAGTAGGACGAACACCGGCACACGTTCTCCAGCGCGCTCACTCAAGATGTCCCAAGTAATTGATTCAGACACTTTGCAGCCACCTGCGACACCACAAAGAGTCCAGATAGGTGGCTCTACCGCAGCATCTCCCGCCAAGAAAGAGGATCGCCAAAAGACCCCTCTGACAGATCGCGAAACAGCTGTCGCTGTGGAGCTTATGTTTGCTGTCATTTCGGAACTCTACACATTGTCTGGTGCGTGGCAGATCCGCAAGACACTTCTCACAGCAGCAAAGACATATCTACTTCGACCAGGCAACCCGCAGCTCGGCACGATCCGCGATTTGCTGCAGTCTTCACTTCTCGATGCCAATCTGAGCGACTCTGGTCTAGCACACCAGATCTGCAAACTGCGAGAAAACACACTGCCAACTCCAGAAGAACTCGAGATCTGGGCGCGCGACTATCCTGAGAAAACTGTGGAGCAGAAAGAAGAGCTTAGGATCAAGGCGCGAAAGCTACTTGTTACAAAAGGTATGCCGCAGGCCTTGACGAGTGTCATGGGCGCAGCAGCCAGTGGTGAGGCGCTTGGCAAGGTCTTCGATTGCCTGCAACTGCCTGGTGTGAGCAGAGCGATGATATTTGGGCTACTCCTTCAAGCGCTCCGAATTATCACGCACTGAGCTCTGCAATACGATGCAATCGAAACACAATACTCCCACGCATCACGAATGTCACATGAATGCAGCGTAGAACTTCTTCGATCCTGGTGTCGCATGCCCGTTTGTTTTCTTGCGACATGCGACATGTCGAGGTAGCGGACAGGCTTGAGACTCGTGGCGGCTTCCTGAGACAGATCTCCCACCAAGAGCATACACGGAGCACACAATGGACTGCTACTAGCAGGTATTCAAGACAGAATGGCAGTCAATGCCGCCGACATTGCCGGGCCCTGCGACTCGGCAGTGTCTGACCTGCCACGATAGCAGTCCATCAGCGTGCACCAGAGTCGGCCGAGACAAAGAAGTCAGTCACGCACATTGCATCAGTCGATGGTGGCCAGACTACCGCTCAGACAAAGACACATGGTCATTCAGCCGAGACAAAGAGGCTCGCCTAAGTACCCACATTGCACACCCGAAAACGCTTTGTATTGTGAAATGAGCACTGCAATGCAGGAGCATCCTACATGACCACTTGGGCTGCCCCATATCATCAGTCTCGTCCCATACGTCAAACTCTTGTGTCAGGCCCTGCCTCACTGACGGACTGTGTCCATCATTACGATCTTTAGCCCAGACTATCGCATACACTACACGCATCTCGCATCACGAAGCCGGTCTTCGTTCCCCACAACAAGAGACCAAGAAGTACTGGCAATCGGACTATACCAGCATCATCGAATTGAACTCTCAACATGCCTCGCCAGCTCACTATCAGCCCGGCCCCTTACAAGTCTTCTCATCTGGCCATACCACCAAGCCCCTTCTCTCCCCGCCTCCCGATCAGTCCTCCTGCATCTCCACCGACAAAGCAGTCCTCCAAGAATCTTGTCCATCTTGAGCGTCGCAAAGCACATGTCAAATCGACGACTGAACTCCTGCCACCACCTTCCGATCCTCTTCATTGGCTTTGGCAATGTCACAAGTGCAACCGCGTCTACCAGCTAGGTGTCACGCGACGCTGTCTCGACGATGGACACCTCTTCTGCGCCGGCACGACTGTGGTCAAGAAATGCCGAGGCAAAAACGGCCGTGTGGTCCGAAGGCACGCGGCTTGTGCTTCGGAGTTCGACTACCAAGGCTGGAAGCAGTGGGGTGTCTGGCGAAGATCCGTTGGCGAGCAGATTGAAGCAGCTGAAGCCCTCTTGAACGCCGAGGAGGCGTTCGAGAGCGTCTTTGGTCCAGCAAGCGCCTCGCCCTTGATCCCAACAGAATCGAAATGGATCAATGGTACCTGGATGCAAAAGGCTGCCCACGCAAGAACTTTGAGCGGCAGTCTGAAAGCTAGCAAGAATTACTGGGAGAAGTCGCAGGCTGATCTCAAGAAAGACTGTTGGGAGCGATGCGATTACCCAAGTGAATGTCGCTGGGGAAAGCAGTACGGTGTCAAGACTCCTACTGTTGTGTCCGTCTCGCCGAAGACCTCACCTGAAGCTGAGAGAAACACCAATGCCAATGCGAAGAAGACTGAGCCCAAAACTTCGTTCGAAGATATACTTATCGAGCTCGCACAGTCTGCAATGGGAACAACCTCCACCTCTGTCGACATCACAGACCTTTCAATCGTCAAAGAAGAGCCAGAAGAGGAAGCCCGGAGCGCCAAAGAACCTGAATATCTCGAAGCTTTGAGTCCTACACGTACCCAACGACAGAAGTCTATCACCGAAGGCGAGATCACCATTGTCTCTATGGACGATCTCCTGGACAGCGTCAAACGCCGCAAGCGACGCAGTTCTGGCCAAATTCCTTCACCACTTGGCGCAAATCCTCCTAGTCCTACCGGGGCAGAAATGACAGTGGAGTACATTGAGGGTCTTGACCCGTTGCAGAGATCTTCAAGTGCGAATGCTGTGCCCACTGTATCGATCGTCGAGAGAGAAGTGGAGACGCAATCGAGTAAGGCTGTAGATGACATGCAAGTGGATATCAAGAAGGGTAAAGTGCCGAGCCTGCAAGAGAGGGCAGAGGGTTTCGTGAGAGGTTTGGTCATCAAGAAGAGGTGATGCGATGGAGGCAGTGGAGGTTTCGATACATAGCATTATGCACTGAGCCAGCATCTTATTATGCTATGAAAATATTCGCCTTCCCGTAACACGAGCTTCGGTTGCGGCACTTCATTCTCCATGGTGATCCACTGTGAACTTCTTCGATCATGCCACATGGCTGACGATGATGTAGGAAACTATTGTAGTCGAATATGCCGACCGGCGTGTCTCTCCGGTATTGACTAACAATAAGCTTCGAACCCCGAACAGCCAATGCGCATCCTCGTATCCTTTGTTCAGCGGATCCTTGGCGAACCGCCGAGAGCCCTGGAACCTTGACAACTCAACCTTGAACCTTGAACATACAAGTAGTCAGCAACCACTGGACTTCACGTCCAACATGAGCTTTAGAGTCTTCTCTTGACCTCTCCTCTGCTTCACGCTGGACATGGACGAGTGGTGGTAGAAGAACGCCCTCGCAATCCGGCGCTCCAAGAAGCAGCTTACGTACACGACTTCCTCCCCACCTCCACAATGGGCCTCTTCAGCTCCTCCGCAAGAAACGATGTCGCAGATCCAACATCTCGCGGCGCATACGAACTCGTAGAAAACCGCGACCCAACAGCAACTTCATCTTCCTCTCACATCCGCCTCCGCTCGATCGCCGAATCCGACGAAATCCAAGAAGAAGAACCCACTCCCCACGAAAAACTCACTCTCCGCCGCGTACCCGACAATCTCCCCTGGGCCGCTTTCCTCGTCGCCATAGTCGAGTTGTGCGAACGTTTCACCTATTACGGCCTTTCCGGACCTTTTCAGAATTACATTTCAAACAAGTATCATGATCCTAATGGTTTACCCGGCGCACTTGGACTTGGCCAAGGCGGTGCGACGGCTTTGACGAATTTGTTTCAGTTTTGGTGTTATGTCACGCCGGTCATTGGAGCTGTCGTGGCGGATCAGGTTTGGGGGAAGTATCGCACGATTTTTTGGAGTGCAGTTGTGTATCTTGTTGGGGTGGCGGTGTTGTTTGTGACGAGTTTGCCGATGAGTATTGAGATGGGGTTGGCGATGCCGGGGTTGATTGCCGCTATGGTGAGTCGTGCGCATCTCTTTTATTTCTGTCTTCACGCCCGAAGCCTGATGGGGCGAGGACTTGAGAAGTGGTAAGTTAATCTGACAGAGGAGCTTGCTGATATGTGATGGTAATTAGGCTATCATTGGTCTGGCTACAGGCGGCATTAAGAGTAATGTCTCCCCCATGATTGCGGAACAATATAGGAATACCAAACTCTTCGTACGAACGACAAAGTCTGGGGAGCGAGTTATCGTGGATCCGGCTGCAACGATTCAGAGGATCTACATGATTTTCTACCTCTGCATCAACATCGGCTCTCTTTCGCCGATCGCGACCACTCTCATGGAAGCCCGACTTGGATTCTGGTCAGCTTATCTTCTGTGCCTGTGCATGTTTGTGGTCGGCTTCGGAATCTTGGTCTCAGGCAATGACAAGTATGTGCACACTCCGCCAGCCGGATCAATAATACCAAAAGCGATCAAGGTCTGCTTGATCGGGCTGAGAAAGCGGGATCTTGACGCCGCGAAGCCTCAATTTCAGCCCAAAGGAAGTGTCGACTGGGACGGCGTGTTTGTAGAGGAGGTGAAGAGAGCACTCGTGGCGTGCAAAGTCTTCCTCTTCTTCCCGGTCTACTGGCTCGCCTACGGACAAATGCTCAACAATTTCGTCTCAATGGCAGGGAAGATGGAACTACACGGAATCCCGAACGACATCATGCAGAACATTGATCCTATCACGATCATCATTTTCATCCCGTTCTGCGACAAGATCCTGTATCCTGGACTCAGGCGGATGGGCATCAAATTCAAACCGATCACTCGCATCACTTTCGGCTTTATGTTTGCAGCCGCTGGTATCCTCTGGGCTGCAGCTCTTCAAAAGGGCATCTACATGAGCGGTCCATGCTACGACAAGCCGATGAACTGCGAAGCTGGCCTCAGAGAGGACGGAACGTACGCACCTAACAAGGTGAATGTGCTCTGGCAAACGCCTTCATATATTCTTATTGGAATGAGCGAGATCTTTGCAGCTGTCACTGGACTGGAATATGCTTACACCAAAGCTCCACCAAACATGAAATCTTTCATTATGAGCTTGTTCTTGCTTACGAATGCAGGTGGTGCTGCGTTGGGAGCATTCATTAGTCCTTGGGCGAAGGACCCGACTCTAGTGTGGGTGTATCTCACTTTGTCCGGGGTTTGCGGTGATGCATGTTGGATCTTTTGGCTCTGGTTCCGAAGTCTGAATAAGAAGGAAGATGAGCTGAATGAGCTGGATCAGGATAAGGAGATAGATCCGTGATATATTCGGAGTTGAAGCTTCGGTCTGCCTCTGGTACTTCCGCATCTTTGGCTTCGCCTCCGGTCCAAGCAGACGTAAATATGACGTCTCCTCGATCGCGACGAGGACTCCCATTGACGCTGCGCAAGGCAAAATTGTAACGCTACTAACGTCCGCACGAGGAGAGTCAGCACAGAGACGTAACAGTATGCGAGCGGGCAGCCAGCCGGCGACGCCTTCGAGAGCCCGGCCGCCTTTGGGACCAAGGTCTTGAAGGCCTTCACCAACCCCTATACAGATGCAAGTCTGAGGCATCTGAGCACACCTACCCCCGTTCGATACATTAAGCTAGGCCCTGCAGCTTGTAGAGGCAAAGCGCTGCTGGGCCAACTAGACAATGAATCTGGAGAGACGCTCTGTCAAGAAGGTCAACATCCACTAGTAGCACGAAGCTAAACATCAGTCCGCATTGAAACCCTCTATGACGACAACTCCATCATAACGAGATGTTATAGTAGCAGCGAGGCATCGCTGTAAATAAGATGGAACTGCAGAGCGCTTTGCAGCGGTCTCGCGCGCTTCCTAGCAAAGCCTCGATTCGGTGGTTCCAGGCTTCGCAACTCGATGGGGAACATCAGCCTTTACTCTGGACACGCTTCTCCGACTCTCGCAAGGTTGCAAGCTTGGCGCACATAGTCGCTTAAAGCGCATGCTTTCCATTCATTCCCACCAATCGCTCTCCAACGTACCCAGTTCTGTCTAGTCTCAGGATCCGCCCAGTATCCCGATTGGCAGGCCTGTTATGAGGATGTTTAGCTACAACTCTAGTGGTTGGGGGTGTAAAACTTGAAATACATACGCCTCTAGTGAATGAATTATAGCTTGGAAGGAATCGAGTTGTGAACTTTACGTTAGGCGGTGGCTGTCCAGAAGGGAAGAATTGTTGATGTTTCTTGTAGCAAGTGCAAGCAAGTTTGGTCGCACAAGTATCAGCGCTACCCGTGTTTGCGTTAAGTGTAACGCATTCGCCCCAAGTGTTGCAGTGGACACTAGCAAGATATTAGAAAATGGCTGGAGGAAGGGAGCGTTGTAGCATACTATGCTATAAAGTACACAGCAATAGTAGACCAGATGTAGAGCAGCATTTTCCACAATCCGTTAGTTCAGCGAGTAAGTGCTTGGAACACCAAAAGTAATAAATGATCTTAGGTAAGTAGCAGTTAATATGTGGACTAGAGGTCGTAGATGAAGGTGAGGAGTACAGACATTTATTACTTCCACAAATCTTATGAGGGACAACCTGTATGCACACGGCAAACTGCAGAGCAGGGGTTAGGCATGGCCCCATGCTCTCTCTCTATATATAGTGCTCTCGCGTGGCAAGCTTGACAAGCACATTCGAGCTTGCAGCAAGGCCTCGTGTTACAAGGGAAACAAGGTCTCTGAATGAGGAGGGAGTGGGCAGTCAACTCAATGACGGTGAAAGTCGGGAGACCTGTGCAGCCTCTGCAGACGCCTGAGCACACTTGGATACCAGGAAAGCACAGCTAAGCCATGTTCGCTTTTGAGGTCACTTGCCTGGCTCGAAATGCTCGTCGCACGTCAAGAGTGATGATCCTGCTTCGCGTTCTTTCTTGCCCTACTCCACAAAAGGCAAACTCTCAAGTCAGCCCCTGCTTTTCTTACGCCCTACTACATATGATTGAAACTCTCAACTCTTCTCACCATTCATTCTTGTTTTCTATCCAAGAGTCCGTATCTGTGGAAAGCAGAGGCCTGCGCGGAGAGTGCTATCTTTGACTAACTGTGAAAGCTGGAGCGAGTTTGCTTCATAGACCCCATGGCAAAATACGAGCCATGCGGTATGCGTTGCGAGATAGTATGCCAAAAGTGAGCAAAAATCGAGAATGGGACATCGTAGCAGTTCCTGCTGGAAACAACTCGCGTTCAATCTTGTGACCTTCTCCTACAGTCCTACTCACTGTTGATCCGCTGGCAGCGAAACCCAGGACAACGAGCAAGGTTACGACTGCTGACGGAGTGCATATGCTGAGTCCATTCACCAGATGAAATGCTATATGGCTCGGGAGTGCTCTCATCCGATCAGCAGAGCTTGAGGAATTCCTCGTGCCGAATGCGATGTCGCTCTGCCTTGGAAGATGTACGGACGACTTCGAAGGTATTTTCGACTTTGCGTTCCAGCTGTGGCTTCCAGCAGTCTTCAATTTGTCTCCAGAGATCCAAATGCATTTTGACTGTGCATAGGGTCCAGCCGCGTTTGTCTAGATCAATCAATTTGAGGTGCTTCTGAAGAGCCAGAATTTTTGTTCTTTCTTTCGCTGACATGATAAATGATCTCGCTCACTGTCCAGCCAGTATCTTGATACCTACTGACCTCGCATCGCTCAGTTGAGACAACCTGAAGACCTGAGGCTGCGACGAATGTTCCTTTCGCCGGCAGGTGCTTGGCCTAGATGTATTGAGCAAGGATGTAAGGTTCCGCCTCAGCTTGAAACCTCTCCTGAGAACACACGACAACCTACTTTGCATATTCGACGGCGCCATGAGGCCTTTCTGGCCGCATACCGTGCTATGGGATTGAAGTGTTGCTGCCACGTCTGCAGATGTTGTTGTGGCTGATTTTGAGTTCGCCGGATGCACTCTCCGGCCATGAAGTTGCAGGGGCAAGATTGGCAGGCGCGACAAGGGTCCGCGTCGCGTGTCGCGTCTTCCAATGCGAACGACATGCAACTTTACAACAACTTTGGCGGTACAACATTGGAATCCAGCGTTCTTCACGACATACAATATGAGGGACCGATAGCTGATCTTGTTGAACTTCGACATCCACGCGACAACAGCTCATAACATCACTTACAATGAGCCGATTCAAGAGGAAGACCGCAGCGGTCATTGACCTCACTGGCAGTGATGACGATGGCGACACCATCCACGTGGCTCCGCGCAAGAAGCAAAAGCGCTCCCACTCGAAGAGGGTGATGTACCTCACCAGTGATGATGAGAATGCTTATCCATCACCGCCGAAATCGAAGACGTCTTCTGCGGCGCCGCGTGAAGTATTTCGAGAGCTGAGCTCAAAGGAATACCAAGAGAAGCTCAAGCAACCAAAAGCCTGGGTGAAAGGCGGAGTTGCCTGGCGACCTGCAAACAAACCTCTGAAGCAAGAGCCGGCTTCAGCACCGTCCAAGAAGCAGATCAAGACCAAGACACCTATCGCAGAGTCTGGAAGCATTCGCGACTATCTCTCGAAACTTTCCAATGAGTCTGCGCATCACGTCGAGGTGAAGAAGACCTCGGCCACCACGTCTGCATCCGCACCTCGATCGGGTGTCTCGCATCATTCTGCCCCTGATCTGCCACGTTCGAAGGATAAACCTGCGCGGCACTCTGCGCGAAATGCATTCAGTCTGATCATGCAGCAGCACGATAGTCACAGCGAGGATGAACTCAATATCTCGCAGACTACGGGTTCTACGCCTGGGATCCGAAGAGCGAAGCAAAAACGCAAGGCACCGGTGGAGAAAGCGGACGATTCAGACTTCGAAGCGAATAGCTCAAGTGGCAGCGAAGTTGTAAGCGAGGATGATGGGCTGCCTGCGGAGAGCAGCGACTCAGAGCATACCGCGGAGGACGAGCCTCAAGTCAAGAAGGTCCCAAAGAAGGCGAAGCAGAGCGTCCCACGCGCCGCGTCTAATGCAGCGAAAGGCAAGGCGAAAGCTGGTGGTCAAGGCCGCAAAAGAGCTCAGAATATGGTGAACCTCTCACGTCCTCAGCATGGACAGGGTACTGGTCTGTTGCCCAGTCTGCCACCTCTTTCAGACACACGCGAAATATTCGATGACATTGTTGGCAAGGCTCTTCCTCTGGGGTTGTCACAAGCTCTGGACGACCTGCCTGGCTCACTGAGAGTTGCTACCATGTGCTCTGGCACAGAAAGCCCTTTGCTAGCCCTCGAGCTTTTCCAACAGTGCCTAGGGTCATCAAAGCTGGAGATCGAACACCTCTTCTCAGCGGAAATAGTACCGTTCAAGCAAGCGTACATCGAGCGCAACTTTCGCCCGCCTATTATATTTCGAGACATTACCGAAATGACTAGCGCTGTCAACGACGAGATCCCCAGCGCGACGACCGCCTATGGCAGCAAGGTGCCTATTCCGAGAAATGTCGATCTTCTTATCGCAGGTACTTCTTGTGTGGACTATTCTCGTCTGAATAGTCACCAGAAGTCCGTTGACCAGGGCGGCGAGTCCGGTGACACATACACAGCCGTGCTGGCCTATTGTACGGCATTCCGGCCGTCGATCGTCCTTCTAGAGAATGTCCTGACTGCGCCGTGGGATAGAATGCTAGAAGATTATCAAAAGATCGGGTACGAAACCGGTGGAGTACTAGTCGATACCAAAGGGTACTATCTGCCACAGACACGACAACGAGGGTACATGGTCTGCTTTGATAAACACGAAGGAGCCTCCCTTTCCGGCGCTGGAAAGCGGTGGACCGATCTGATGGCAGACTTTCGCCGCCCCGCAAGTTCGCCCGCATCCTCATTTCTGCTGCCCACTAGCTTAGCTGCAAAGCAACGACAAGCCAAAGAGGATGAGCAGCGAACACGCGAAGTCGACTGGACGAGATGCGAATTACGGCATACCCAGCTACGCCACGACCTGCGCCTTGGCAACGAGCGACCGATTACACATTGGTCCGAAAGTGGCTCTCTAATCGTGCCAGAAGGTGGCGATCCTGCTTGGTACGCTCGCATGGTAGAGCGAGTGTGGGATCTGCTAGATATTTCTGTGTTGCGGAAAGCACTGCCCTCACATGGGTTCTACGATGCGCGATACAAGACAAGAATCTGGGACGTCTCGCAAAATGTGGATTTCCAGAAAGATAGCGGCGCATTCGGCATCATTGGCTGTATTACGCCGACGATGATCCCTTTCCTTTCGGATGCTGGTCGTGTGCTCACTCCTGAAGAGATGCTCAGGCTGCAGGGCTTACCACTGGACAAGATCTCTTTTACTACCGAGCTTCCTGCGAACATCCAAGACCTCGCAGGCAATGCAATGTCAACGACTGTAGTTGGACCTGCTATCTTGGCCGCGCTGATCGCTGGCCATCGCGCGATCCAGAGACCTGAAAAATTGATCAAAGACGCGACTTTGCAGCTGCAGAAGACAAACGTGGCTGTGCTCACGGCGAAGATGGAAAGCGTGCCGCGAAGCAACGCAACTGCTAGCATAGACGTTACGCAGCTTCTGCTAAAGTCAAAGCAGGCTACGCGACGCTGCATCTGCGAAGCTGCTGGAAAGCTCTCCGCCAAACCCATACAAAAATGCATCTGCTGTGGTCACACGGCATGCTTAACTTGTGCCGGAAATCCCGAGCATCAGTACAGGCAAGATCCTATGCTGTCCAAAAACAGGATTACTGCGAGCGACTTCGAAGCCTTCCTCAATCAGACACTGCCCCTGAGCTTGAACTTCTCGTTCGAGGATGCATGGCATCATATCGTACCGGAAGCCCATTACAGAGAGAAGGTTGACGCTATCGGCCATCAATTCCATTTTCAATCTTTCAGACAAACTCACTGCTGGACTGCGACCTATACGGGCAACTGCGGGCATCTTGATCTCGTGCTCAACGGCGACCTGGCAGAATGGCGGCTGTTTGCGGATATCCCAAAGGACTTGAGCTACGATAGTCCACGGCGCACTGAACTGGAAGCTCCAATCGCTATTGGTAAGATTGTGACCAACTTCTTCGGCGACGAGTGGTCGATACGCATTCCCGAAGTGAGGCACGTCGATCTGGACATCAAGGAGTCGGGCAGCAGGAAAGCTTCTTGGTGGGCTCGCAACGGCATGTTGGACTTTGCTGGTCATACTGTTCCGGAATACCTGGAAATCCGCGTCCAAGATGACAGTCTATCTGTCGTGAACGGCAAATACCAGTAACTTCCCCGTTGTGGAAAAGCTTCCGACAGTCTGTTCAAGCAGATCGAGGGGTCCGACAACTATAACCCACAGGAGCCGCTGTTTCTTTTTCTTGACCCCACTCGTACAGGCAATACAGACCAGGACAGCTTCGTTTTCGCACGGAACATTGAGCACATTGACTACCACGAGCAGCGACTGATTGTCGCACGCATCGCTGCCACTTGGAGACCATGGAGCCGGCCAGACAGGAAACGCAGTGCTCCGACGCTCGTCGTACGTGACTCTTTTGAGGTCAAACCACAATGTCATCTTTCGGCGACAGGCAGCAGCCTTGAGATATTCCGTTTGAAAAACCCTGAGACAAGCATAGGGCACGCAGACTGTACACAAGCTGTGCAGCTACTTCGTGCAATTCAAGCAAACTCATCGATCAGCGACACAGACCTTGCTTCGGCTGCAGCTCGATCGCAATTCCTCTCTCAGCACCAGTGGGTCCTGGAAGCGATGGGCCGATGCTTTCCAAGCGACTCGTGGCGACCAATCTTCGCCTCCACTCGTCAATGTGAGCGATGTGCACCAAGTCGGCCGAAGGTGAGGTGGGCAATGCAAAGTGGAGGGGAGGTGAGCCCGTACGAGGACGTGCCAAGTGCTGCTGAATATGAGCAAGCTATGAAAACGCGACCTGACCCAGTAATGCTTGCTGTTACCTACAACGGCGAGACAGGCTTCAAGCTCAGTCTCAGCGTCAACATGATGACTCTGGCACACCGAGCTGCGGCCCGCCTGCCTGTCGACGCTGAGAACGTCCAACTCTCGTGGCGTCTCATTCATCGCCCTGACTGCACTCCTTTTGTGTTCAAGAAGTTTCATCTCAGCTCGAACGAGGATACCACAGCTTTTGATGGCAATGCCGAGCTTTCGATTGACTTATTCCATCAACAGCAGCAGTCACTGGCTTGGATGATCCGGCAAGAGCACGGGATACCCTTCGCAGTGGAAGAATCGGAGGAGTTTCGTTCGGAGACTGGATGGCTTGCCCAAGTGCAAGCACGTGGAGACGTCACTGTCCGTGGCGGCATATGTGCGGATCACCCTGGGTTTGGCAAGACGATTACGAGCCTTGCTCTTATCCAATCGCAGTCGAAGATGCGAAAGGAGACCATCGCTGATCTTGAGACACGGGCACCGAAAGGTCTGAAAACCACAGCGGCGACACTGATTGTATACCCAGCTTCCTTAGTGCAACAATGGGTGGACGAGATTCGCGACAAGATCGGAAGCTTGACGGGAGTTATTGCCATTCCGGCAGCTGCGCAGCTTGCGAGATACACTATCCAAAAGTTCCAGGAGGCGAAGATCATTGTGGTCAATCGTGATGTGCTCACACATGAAGCTTACATAGACCGCATAGCATCGTTTGCGGCTGTCCCTGGGCCTGTGGCAACCAAGGGCCGTGCCCTTACCGAATGGCGAGCACATGCTCTTCGTCAGATTCCAGAGCATTTGGCCATCCTCGCGCGCGGTGGTCTTTCGCGGTTGAGGACCCACATCAAATGCAGGTATGACGAGAACGTGTCGAGTGACGAGTTCCAAGCCGCGGTCCCCTCGAGGAGACATCGGGGCCAAGACTATGTGGACAACAAGAAGAAGAAACTCACAGCTACTCAAGTCACACAGCAAGCCGCTCCTAGGACTATCGACGTCAGCAGTGTTGATCAGCCACTCTTCGAGATGTTCTTTTTCAACAGATTGATCGTGGACGAATTCCACGACTACACACCGAAGGTTTATGCAGCGACCTCCGCATTGAAGGCGGACAAACGCTGGGGCCTTTCGGGAACGCCGGCCATTGAGGACTTCTACCAGGTCGCGCAGATGGCGCAGCTGCTTGGACTGGATCTCCCTATGGGTTCAATGGACGCCGCCGTAATGAAAAATTCCAGCCGTCAAGCACTGCAGAAGGACATGTCCAGTTTCGAGCAGTTTGACTCGATGTGGCGACAGCTACCGTCATCGACGAAGTACCGGAGCATTCATGCTTTACACCAACGCTTCCTGGCTACCTTCGCCCGCCAAAACATTGGCGACTTCGGCAAGATGGAGTATGGCGACCATCTTGTGCCTGTAGAATTGGATGTAGAACACCGCTTGCTGTATACTGAGCTCTCGCAGCATCTGAATACGCTTCAAATGCGTATTAAGGCGACTGGAAAGTCAAAAGCGACCGACCGGAACAGGCGATTGAACGAGGCTGTTTCTACATCAATCACAGCCGAGGAAGCATTGTCGAAAGCAGCAGCATTCGTCGATCAGACATCTGAGCCTGGAGACTGTTCCATACTGGACGATCTGATGGACTCATGCAGCAGGCACATCGCCACACTTCGCGATGAGATACAGACTGTTGCCCACCACGCTCGCGATAAGGAAGCTGAGCGGTACCAGAAATGGTACACTCAGATGCTTGATGAAGGGGGTCTGCCGGATAGCTCGACAGTGTCTGAAGTCGTTGAGCTGATCAACGCTGCTTCAGTCAGAGCACACAAGAAGAAGGATGGCAAAGGGGCTGAAGAAGATGCAGTTACGCACAAGCTTTCGACGTTATGCACAAGACTGCTAATGGAACGTCGATCATTACGTTACCTGGCGGCGGCAAAGCAGCTCCAGGACGATGCTCGAGAGCAAGTTAGTGCTAATCGATGCGAGAACTCGGCATGCGAAAAGAGACAGCCATCACAATATGCTCTCTCCGCGGTGTGCGGCCATCTGATTTGCGAAGCCTGTCACGAGCGGAACAAGCATCATGCTGCAACAAATTGTCTTGCTGTAGGATGCTCCAATCCAGTGCAGGCGCATCATTTGCTTTGGACAAGCAAAATCGGCAACCTCAAGCGCACGAAGCCTTCTGCATATGGGGCAAAGCTCGAGGCAGCTATCGTGCTCCTAAAAGAGATCCAAGGCAAGGCCGAGCAAGCCATCTTGTTCGTACAATTCGAGCAGCAACTTCAGCAAGTCGATACTGCGCTGAAGCACTGCGGCATTTCTCGTATTGTTGTTCACAGTGCCAATGACGCTGGCAGCCAGCTCAAAGCTTTCAGGGACTGCGCAAATACCAAAGACAAGAAGACTGTGATTGTGCTGAATGCAGCAGACGAGACGGCAGCGGGTTCAAATTTACAGAACGCGAATCATGTCATATTCTTGAGTCCACTTTTGCAGCGTACCCAGTACAAGTACGATTCGACGATGGCGCAGGCAATTGGTCGTGTTCGAAGATTTGGCCAGGAGCGCCCCATTCATGTGTACCGCATCGTCGCGTTGGACACGATCGATGTTGACGTACTTGAGCATCGTGAAAACCGGGCGGATGCATTGGTTGAACAAGGTCAGAAGAAGATCGAGCCGCCTACAAGATCGAAAGAGCTTAACACGCTGTCAAAGAAGAAGCCTGAACGAACTCAGTTGGTTCGTGAAAAAGGACACTTCAGTCTGCGGCCACAAAGTTGGCTCATCGACTACGAAGCCGGTATGGATGCCGGAGAGGTCGAGAAGGTTAAGGGCAAGAGCCGAGTGCTTGGATGGGAAGATTTTAGCTCGTTGGTCAAGTTTTCCACGAAGTACACGGAAGACGATGAATAGTGGCGTCTGTACGCTGCGGCAAAACAGGACTAAGAAGCAGCGCTGCGCAGAAATCAATCAGGTCCGCGCTTGTGCGGCGCAAACGCGCCTGAGACGCGACGTTGCCGAAAGTGGATGTCAATAGGCTTCATTCGAAGCAAATTCAACTTCTTTCAATTCCAAGTCGAGATCGTCAAAATCTCATCAAAGAACTCCATTTTGTAGGCACAGCGCACAAGAGCTGACGAAACAGGTAAGTTACTTCTGGTTGATGCTTGATCGCACCAACTCGATCTGCCAACGTCATTTCTGTATGACATTCTCTTGAATCACCAGGACAGCGCTCGCCGCACACAATGGCGGCGCACAAACCGCAAGATTCAGAGCGACTGCTTCAAGAGACTGAAGCAGGATCTGAACAGCCTTACCGCGGACAGAAACACTCGAGCGAACGTCCTTGGAAGAAAGGCTTTCCTTGGATCTTGAACCTCATCCTCAGCATCACAGTCATCGTTCTCGTTACACAGCTCCTTCGAGGCGACAAATACCAACACACCGGCGACGTCAACGGCCTCGCACCACGCTTCAAGCAACGAGTCCAACTCTTCCACCCATCAAAAGAAGCCACCGCCAGCATCGGCCACCCAGACCAAAAAGCCGCCACCGACGCTTTCTGGCGCACTTTCGCCCCCGATGGCTTCGGCCTCCTCAACATAGCAGACTACACCCCCAAACGCTACCCAGACCTCGCTCCTCCCACATTCGAGCCCGGCGGGTACAACCTCGTTGACACTTCCATGGCGCATCAACTTCACTGTCTCCGCAGCATCATGGACGCATACAACGATTTGGCTGAGAAAGTCGCAAACAATGGGACTAGTGGGTCGCAGATGGAGATGAAAGAAGGGAAACATCACGATCATTCGTGGCATTTGGGACATTGTTTCGATTATATCCGACAGGGGATTATGTGTTGCGGGGATACGGCGTTGGAGGGCGCGGCGACGACGTTTCCGGATGGGATTAAGGGGAGTGATGGGTGGAATGCGAAGCATGTTTGTAAGGATTATGAGGAGGTTAAGGGGTGGATTGTGGGGATGGAGCCGAAGTGAAGTGCTTTGGAGATGAGAGTTGGTTGCAAGAACATTGGGGAGGCAGAGGGTCGTGAGAGGGATGACCTTTTTGTACTCCGTTCATATGTTGTATCTGGCTGCAGTCGTGTCGACTGGGCTGAATTGCACATACAAATAAGTCATGATTGAGTTGAGAAGTTTCCGTATCCACCCAAAATATCTCACGTCAACAAAGTGCAAGCTGCTTGTGAAATCCAATTCACATGATGCCGAACACAGGTCTCTTCGACCTCTCTCCAACTACCAACCTTTCCGACGTCGCAATCATCATGCCGCACATCAGACATCCTCTCCCGAAGTCAACCCCGCGTCACGGACCAGTGCACGACCGATCTCTTCGCCAAATCGGTACGCCATGGCTGCCTTCTGTCGCGAGAACTTGTCTTTGGGCGTCTTACGAGGTCTGCCAGAGATCGCTTCAGTCAGTCTCTCCTTGCCTTCTGATCTCTTGGGAGGTCTGCCAGATAGTGCTTGCGCGAGTCGCTCCAGGCCATCTGACGCCTTGCCTTTGCCCTTGCCGGTTTGCTTATTGCGAGGCTCTCGGCGTGTCTCTTGCTTCTTGGTAGCACGCGGGAAGTAGTCACTGTCGCCATCGCTGCCGTATGCAAGATCGGTTTCGTCGGTGAGCGGCACACCGCCGTCGGACTCACAGTAAGACGGGGTCGATGGCAAATTTGGGGAAGTTGACGATGGGCCTGCATGGACTTCTTCTGGGACACAAGTCGATGGACGAGCGGTCCGCTTTGACTTCGCAGAGTTCTTGCGGGGCTTGCGGGTGTTCTTTTGCTGCTCAGGGCGATGCTGAGTGCCGAACAAGTACTGACTTGGAGTTGCAGGTTGGTACAGGTTGTGCCATGGGTAGGGCGCTGCGCTTTCACGCCCAACAAGATCTGGTGTTTCAAGTATGGCGTCTTGATCCATAGGCGGCCAGCGTGAGTCGAAGTAGCCCGTCAGATGTTCGAGGCGCTCCTGTGCCGGACGGTGACGGGTCGCATAATTGCGCGAAGAGCGCTGGCGATTGGTCTGTCTCGATGGACCCGCGCTGGCATGACCTTTCTCCACACTTTGGGCCTTCTGTATAACTTCATAGAGTGCGGAGTCGGTCTCATCAAACATCCAAAGCGCTACATCGAAATCTTCCTCGTCGCCTTTCTCCATCAAGATCTGCAGGAGGAGTTGTTCAGCACGGCACTTTTGTGTCCACAGCTTGTGCGATGCGCTGTCTCTAGCACTCAGGCGTCCCGGAAGGTGTTCAACCTCGGCGATGAGCAGCTTAGAGCGGATCTTGAAGTATCTTCCGACTGCTGCATAGATTTCGGAGCCTGCTTCACCAGCTGCCCGGAAGGAGCGGCCAATATACTTCTCGAGAGCCTTGTAAAGCTCCCAATCTTGCTTGTCGAAGTCGTCGCCTATCTCCTCAGTAAAGCCCTTCATGGTCTCACCAAGAGTTTTGATCAATGCTTGACGACTGGCGAAGACTCTTTGAGCAGCTGCTACTTCCTTCGTAGAGGTGGAGGTAGAAGAGGAGCTGTCGGAGGCATTGCTCTCAGTGGAGCTGACAGAGTGGCTGATTGAAGTTAGCCTGTGGAAGTGATTGAACCGGCCACGTACGTACCGTCTGCGGTGAGGAGCCATTGCTGCTGTTGTGTGAAAACGGCGGAAGTCGGGAGAAGAAACGTGTGTGTAGGAGCTTGGTTGACTGGTTCACGATTGTCGTTGAGTCGAATGCCTTGTTGGAGGATTGTGCTAGGGTGTGGTTGTGTAGGAAAGAAGAAATCCCTGATGGAAAAGCCGCCCTATATGCTACTCTGTTAGCATCATTCAATGCTGCTTCGTGCCACTGTGGTCAGCTGGCATCTATGGGGCGTGATGTCGTGGTCAAGTGTGATTCTGCCGCAATCTTGTGTAAAGTCAGCTGAATCTGATCGGGCAAACAAGATCTTCACTACTGCTGCGATCATGGTACGTGGCGATGGTGCGATCATCGTGAGTCGGAAGCCACGTACAAGGTGTAGACTACAATGCTCATCAGGAGGCCAATGTGAAGCTACGTCCACTCGGTCAAGATTTTTCAGCAGCGAGACAAGTGATCAAGACACCCGGCCCAACGTCAACGACGATTGCTCTGCTTCCACCTATTCCCAATCCTGCAATGGCGGGCGAAGGTAGAGCAATGTCGTATCGTGCTTCTCCAGGATTTCTGCTGACCTGCGTAATGAGAAGATGTCCTTACCACTCGCGTCAACGGAATCGACCTAAAGTTGCACGATATCAGAATGGAATTGCAAGATTTCATTGGGCGACACAAGCGTGAAATGGCGGCGATGAGCGGCAAAATCGTGCTTCTCGAACAGCGCCATAACCTCGAGCTGCAGCGCCTGAGATCCGAGCTCACATCACTTCGTCGAGCTACTGAAGAAGATGATGAAGTTCACGCACTGCCCAGTATTTTCGAAAGAGCTTGTGATGGCAGAGGGCGGAGAAATTGGACCTCGGGCTGATAGGAAATGAGATGGCATATCTGCTGTCTGTCGCGGGATTTTTTTTGTTTCTAGATCAGCGGATTTGCCTTCTCAACAACTGGTGGCGGTAGCATTCCGATCTTGTTCAGCTCGCTGTAGGCCATGAACAAGCTCTCCAAAGTATCCACATGTCCAGTCCAGCCAAAGTACCTTGCCTTGTTCATGCTCAAGAAACCCGCAATGGACCAGACTACCATCTCACCACACTCAAAATGGGCTTTGACGTCCTCGAAAGGATTGTGCTTAACGTTGTGTTTCTCCATGATTTCCTTCCAAGCTTGTTGGTTCTCGGGTCTTGTCGCCCATTCTTGAAGCGTCCAGGCGAAAGACACCTTAGCCCCGGGCCCATAGCCGAGTGGTACTTCTGTTTGTCCAAGGTCAAGTGTCGTGACTTTGCTCTCATCAAGTTCTGGTCGATCGACGGACGTTGTGCCGTACCAGCGGGCGACTTCGGGCCACAAGCGATTGTTCGGGATTGGGCAGGTGTCACTAGCGTTGAATTTCTGATTGGCACATCTTTCTTCCAGGACGGCCCATTCTGACAGGTAGCCAGTCAGATACGCGGTACTGTGCTCGACAGGCGCAAGCCAGTTGACCAGTGCGCCTGGATATTCCATCTTCTCGCCTTTGTGAGCTTGCACTGCTGCATAGATAGCGATGGGGTGCAAGGCGTTCATTGCAGCATTATTGACTGCACCGATGACCCAAGCTGGGCAGATAATATTCCATTGGGTGCTGTTGTTCTTACAGTACTCGAATAAGAGATCTTCTTGAGGATAGTAGAACTGCATCAATCAGTACCGAGCACCAACTGAAACTTCTCCAATTATGTTACTGACATTTGGCGCTACATTGCTCCTTGGGTCAGATTCCACATGCGGAGTGCGGGCAGGTCCTTGATGAACGTTGTAATTCTTGGCACCAGTCTGCAGCAGAAATCGCTTTGGCGTGATCTTGCTGATCTCAAGAGCACCAAGGAAGTTTCGAAGCAAAGATGCTGTTACTTGTTAGCACGAGACTGAACGATCACGCCTACGCGAAACATGCCGTTGATCTCAACGAGCTCCTCAGCATTACTCCAAACTGGAGCACCCTCTTTCGGCGTTGGCTGTGCGTAAGAGTAGAAGAACACATAGTCTGCTGTGACACCTTTATCTTGCAGCTGCTGAGCGATGTCCTCTGGACTTGACAAGAAGTCACAGGCCACATGCTCGACTCGGGAGCGAGCCTCTTTCGGTAGCAGTTCCATCATCTCAGGTGGAGGCGGTCGACGGCTTGCTGCCCAGACTTTGGTCCAGCGTTCGGGACTATCGAGCAACGCTCGCATGGTATGAAAGCCTGAGATTCCATTTGCGCCTGTGACGATGGCCGTCTTGCCTTTGATAGATTCATCGAATGTTGGCAGACTGTGGAAGATGCCACGATTCTGCGTTGGTCGTCCTTGAGAAGTCATCGCGAGAGCTGTTGTTAAAGGCTGTACGGAGAGGTATGGGCGCGAAGAATAGACGAGTCCTTGTGTGACCTACCTTCTACATCACGTCGCCATGATCGTGCTCTAGAAGTACTGTCTCCACGTACTTCGATCATCCGAAAGAGGGGTAGCTGAACGACTCCACCTCTCTCATGTTGGCCTCAGGTGAAGTTTCAGGCTGGGCGCGCCTCGAACCTGATATTCGGCTACGGCATCCATTCGCGTGTCGATGAACTTGTGTCAGTAGTCTCCGTTGTTGTGATGAGCGAGCCCACCTCAACAGCCTTTCGTCGATGCCAAGAACGCGGATGTCGTCGGCATCCGATAGCGGACCGAATCCGAGTTCATTGAACCCAATGCCAGCCACTCCCATCAAACCTGACTGCTATCTGGTCATCATTTCACATTTCTCGAACACAACACGCGAAACTTCACAGCAACAAGCAGAATGGCATCTGATCTCCAATCCAAGAAAATCTCCTTCATTGGTACGGAAATTTCGCCCTCCCACGTGCACTTCTCAGAATGAAATGACTAACACATCCCCAAAGGAGGCGGCAACATGGCCGCAGCAATCATCTCCGGCCTAGTCTCCAAATCCTTTCCCAAGTCCCAAATCACCGTCTCCGAACCCTGGGAAGTCAACCGTCAGAAAATGGCAGACCTCGGTGTCAACACAACAACCAACAACGTCGAAGCCGCCCAAGGCGCAAACTTTATCATCCTGGCCGTCAAACCTCAAGTCGCCAAGACCGTTTGTCAAGAACTCGCTTCTGCAGCTTTCCAGTCAGAAAATGCTCTGCCGGTGCTGGTTTCGATTGCGGCGGGGATTACGGCGGAGAGTATTCGGGGTTGGACGAAGTCGAAGGATGGAAAGTCGTTGCCTGTTGTGAGGGTTATGCCGAATACGCCTGCTTTGCTTGGGGAGGGGGCTAGTGGGCTTTATGCTGGGGAGGATGTTAGTGGGGAGCAGAAGGAGCAGGTTACTGCGCTGTTGAAGAGTGTTAGTCGGGCGCTTGAGTGGGTTGATCGGGAGGAGTTGTTGGATGTTGTTACTGGGTTGAGTGGTTCTGGTCCAGTATGTGTCTTTCTCCTGGAATTCCTGCGCGAATTTGTTCAAGCTAACGACGATCATAGGCATACTTCTTCGCCATGGTGGAGCACCTCGTGGCGAGCGCAACCAAGCTTGGTCTTTCGGAAGAGCAAGCCACCAGACTTGCCACCCAGACTTGCTTTGGCGCAGGCAAGATGCTCGTCGAGTCTTCAGATCCTCCTTCACAGCTCCGCAAGAACGTCACGAGCCCAAATGGCACAACACAGGCCGCACTGGAAAGCTTCGAGGCATCTGGATTTGCTGCTATTGTGGACAAGGCTGTCAAGGCCGCGACTGACAGAGGCGAGGAACTGGGCCGCACTCTTGGAAGCCAGTAGGTTCATTGCAATTCGACGTGTGCAATGTACTTGGGTGATGACTTTATGAGAAGACTAGACAATGCAAATTCCAAAGCAAGATTGTGAGAAGCTATGTGGGTGCCATATCCTCTATTCGAGCTAACACTTTCCCAAAGTAGCCTCGCACGCATGGAAAAAGAATATCTGCACCTGATATCCTGTGCCTTAGCCATTCATGCACCCAGCGCCAACGCTAAAAAGAACACATTCCCATCCAATCCACGTAATCGCACCAGAAAGCACCTTCTCAAATCAACTTGAGCGGCCTCTGCCAGTTGCCCTTCGGCACGTGGCACATATACCTAGACTTCACGTCCGGTCTCTGCAGCCTACGAAACGCTTCTTGGATATGCTTCATGCCCACCGGCGTCCTTGCTTCTTCAGGAGGATCAAACAACCCCGGCTCACGTCGCCTCTTCCGCCCTCTCTTCTCCTCGTCCCCTCCACTCTCCCTCTTCAAAGCATCCTCGGCAGCCTTGACCTTCAAAGCCTCTTCCGTCAGCAACGTCACAATCTCATAAGTCAAGAAGCCGAGAATATCGACAATGTCGTCATTAGGTTTCGAATCTGTCACGACGCCGAATCCAGCCCATTCGCGAAAACGTTTGCCTTTGCGGAACGTGAAAGATGCTTGGCGACATTCGGAGAAATGGAGGTATTCTTCTGCGTTCATGCCTTTGGTTCGCTCGTCGGCTTGTTTGAGACGTTGCAGTGTGGCTGCGTTCATTTCTTCTTCTTCCTCGTCTTCTTCGTCTTCACGTTCGGGGACTTGCTCCGAGTAGAAACTGCTGACGTCCCAAGGAAGACCGACTTTCGCTTTCTTGTTCTTATTTGTTCTGGTGGCAACGCTCGGTCCACCGCCCAATGTTGGGTCATTCGCCGCGAGGTCGAAGTCATCTGCGCCGGCTCCTGCATCACCACCTTTGTCGTCACTGTCTTTGGCGCTTTTACGAACATCTTTCCAACTAAGAAAGGTGCGAAGGCGAGAGACTTTGGCTTTGTCATGGCGAATGAGGAAGATGAGGTCGTCCGTAGAGATAGTTCTAACACCTCGACGTCCGGCGAGTTCTGTGGCGCGGCGAAGCATTTCCATGACCTGCTGTTGAACAATAGATTCAATCATTGATGTGGTTTCGACTGAAATGTCCCCAGTTTCACCGGAGACGAACATCATCTGTAGCAAAACAACATTACGTTAGCTATCGTGGTCTATCGTACTCCAAAATTAAAACAAACGATGCAAATTAATCAGATAACTCCTTCTCCAAGAAACGAACGGCAATTCGCTTGGCCACTATTGCTGGTCGGTTGGCTGGACTCAGGCCTGGTGATCCGGAGAAGTGGAAGACGACGCAAGTTGACCGCGTTTACGCTCTTTCTCGGCTTTCTTCTCCTCTCTACGCTTCCTGCTCTCTTCCTTTTTCTGAGCCTTTTGCTGCGGCGTCATCAGGGCATCGGCGCGCTTCTGCTCGGGAGTCTTCCTTGGACGGCCTCGTGGGAGGCGACCCTGCTCGATACGACTCTGGTTGTTGATGAAACCTGTCGTCGGAGCTTTGTTGTCATCGGCGGGCGGAGCTGTCGTCGGTTCTCTGGAAGCACCCCTCGAGCCTGCGGATTCCAGCGTTTCTGTCGATGCGGCGGAATGCGAGCGAGCCCTTGCCACAGCAACATCATCGCGGGGTGCATTTCCAGCGAGATCTTCGTCAACTTCCTCGGTGCCACCCATCTCCGTACCCAGGTCATCTCCTTCAGGATCGTCATCTTGTGCCGGGGCAGCTTGTGCCGGAACGTCTTGTTCAGAGCCTACTGGTGGAGCCCGCTCATGGATCCCTCTGATTGGAGGCCATTTGCCGGGCACATAGGTGTCCACATAGTGGTGCATGGTCCATCTCGGGTCGACAGAGTCAAATGGCGGAGGTGAATATTCTCGAGCGACATATTCCCACGACGGACGTACCGTGCGTTCTGGCAAAAATGGTGCTTGGTATGGGCCGAATGTGGGGCCGGCTTGCACAGGCGCTGCTGTAGCACTTCTGGCAGTCTCCATGGCTGGCTGATAGGAGGCGTTGCTCCGAGAGGGCCCTGCTATGGCGTAGTCCATTTTTCGATTGATGGAGAGGAGATTTTGAGCAGAATTTTTCTGGTGAACTCGATGGACTTCAAGTCGTGAAAGAAGTGATCCGATTCTTTCGATGGGGAGGAGAAGGTGAGAGGGCGGGTAGAATATATTGTTGACATCCCAAGCCCACCCGTGTCTCAAGAAAGAAGCTCTCTGTCCTTAGCGATAGTTCCATGGCTGTCGCTGCGCGGATGCCAGTGACCCAACCAGAAGGAGGTGCGATGAGAGCCATAGTCGCGCATCGATCCACCGGAATGCGCCGAGGACAGATGAGTCCGCATACAAGGTCGCCAGAACTGTCGCGCGACATCTTGTCTCCGGATTCCATGGAAATTCAGCGCTCAAGGGTATCCAGTCAGGCAGTTGGGGACAGACTATGAAATGCTAGAAGAATAGATGACCACATACCTGCTGGATCTCCGTCCGATACTTCGCCTTTGTGTCCGCCATGGCGGCGTTGTGGCGCGCTCGTCACGCTCAGAGCGAGCTTCCCGTCCTCAAGTGCAGAGTTTCTCGTGGCTACCAGATTGGATCTGAGCATATGCGTTGGTAATGTGAGTGGCCTCAGATGAAGTCTCCAAAGCGTCGAGCGCATCCGTGGTCGTGCGTCTGCCGTTCTAGGGCTTATGCCGGCAGCCGAAAGCTTAAAAACAAGCGAAGATTGACGAGCTGCATCTCGAAAAAGTTCACCTGAAGACCCCGCACAGCGACTACATTCACGATGCTGTACATTATCGGGCTTGGGCTCGCCGATGAGCGCGACATCAGCACGCGGGGTCTCGAAATCGTGCGCCGCGCCGAAAGAGTCTACCTCGAAGCGTACACGGCCGTGCTGCTTGTCGACAAAGAGCAACTCGTATGAACACAGCACAATATGCACGACCACAGCCATTGCACCGGCTGATACACCAAGGTAGGAAAGCTTCTATGGCCGCGAAGTCGTTATCGCCGACCGCGAAATGGTCGAGTCTCAGTCGGAGCAGATTCTAGAGGGAGCCGCTGAAAAGGATGTGGCATTCTTGGTGGTCGGCGATCCCTTCAGTGCGACTACGCATACCGACTTTGCGCTCCGCTGTAGACAGAGTGACCCGCCGATACCCTACCGCACGCTACCCAATGCCAGCATCTTGACCGCCGTGGGCGCGACAGGACTCAGCTTGTACAACTTTGGGCAGACCGTATCCATGGTCTTCTTCACAGACAACTGGCGGCCAGACAGCTTCTACGATCGTGTAGCGGAGAATGTCAACCTCGGGTTGCATACACTCGTTCTGCTGGACATTAAGGTCAAAGAGCCGAATCTGGAAGCACTGGCACGAGGCAAGATCGTGTATGAGCCTCCACGCTTCATGACTGTCGCTCAGTGCGCCGAGCAAATGATCGAAGTCGAGGAGAAGAGAAGTCAAGGCGTGTGCGGAGGCTACAAGCTCGCAGTTGGCGTGGCCAGATTGGGCAGTGAAGGAGAGCAAATCGTTGCTGGCACGTTGGAGGAGTTGACACAAGCTGATCTCGGCAAGCCCTTACACAGTCTGGTGTTATGTGGAAAGAAGATGCACGAGATGGAGTGGGAATATATGCGCGACTTTGCCATGGATAAAGAGAAGTTTGATGAGATATGGAAGAGGGACTATGCAGGCAGTGCATGATTCCAATGCTTGCGAATCAAGAGGAGCGCGTTACGCGTCGTGGGGAAGCACAACTTCTATCGCGGTCATGGCGGGGCCGCAATACAACCACCAAAACAGACTGCGGACCACAGTCCGACACTTCTGCCAATACGCAAAGTTCAATCGCAAAACCCTCCTGAAAACCCTGGTCAGTCTCGTGTTCGCCGTATCCAGCAAAGCTATAACTTGACATCGACCTTCGCGCCAAACACAACCTGAAGTTCAAGTTTGCAACAAAGCGAGACATACATAGGGGTGCACAGGGCCGATTGATCGCCATCCATACGGACTACGCAAGTGCCACTTCGGATCCCGGTATAGGAGAGCCCTCACCCATGACGTCGGAAGCCCTAGGGCTTCTGCAATAGGCTATAGCAACACTCCCCCATGTTTAGAATCAGCACTATACTAGGGCAGAAACCGGCAGATCTCGGGCAAAATGTCGACGTATCCACGTCCCGTCAATCACCAGGTTGTCGTATTGCGCAGCTTGCACTCTTCCGCGCGGGCACTCTGAATAGCAGCGACTTGTGTGGGTAGGCTCCTCTGCAGAGGGTATTCGATCAAGTGTCAAAGTCGGTATAATAAGGATGTCTGATTCTATAGAAGGTAGCGAACGAGCTGGCTCTATATACCACTGCCGGAACGGAAGAACCGGCAGTCAGGGCTGATTCCGGTTCATGCGAGGTGGCTGCTATGGCCAAACCGACAACTTGGAGAGGTGTTGGATCTATGGCAAGGTCCAGGTCTCACAGCTTTTCCCTCCAGCATGGAACTATCATGTTTGTATGATCACATTCCCTTTTCTGTCGTTCTTTTGATGAAGTGGTAGGCAATGGAGAAAGTTTCTACTATGCCTGTATTCTCTCGCAGGATACCTTTCTCTTCTTTGAGCAGAGGGTACATTCTACTGCTTACCACATTCTTTGCGATATTCCTTTTCAGTGGCACCTGGTATGCGCGAACGAGAACATCAGCATTTGACACATACAGAAATGACTACCTCAACCTATCAGGCTCCGAGGCCACAGAAGAACAACAAAAAGTCGAAGAACTGCTCTACGACCATAGCCTTGGACCGCAATCGCCTTCATCAGAAACAACCGACCTAGACGATGCCATCTGGGACGACTGCCGCCAACTCCCAGGCGCAGACCGCATCCTCCTCATCATCAAAACCGGCGCCACAGAAATCTACAAACGCTTCCCCATGCACATCGAAACAACCCTAACCTGCGTCCCCAACTACCTCATCCTCTCCGACCTCGACCAAACAATCGGCGCCAACATAACCGTCCACGACGCCCTCAAACTCGTCACCCCACAAACCCGCACCCACCACCCCGATTTCCAACTCTACCACTCGATTCAAAACTACCACGCCACAGGCCAAGACATCCAAACCCTCTCCTCCCCCGCAGGCTGGAACCTCGACAAATGGAAATTTCTTCCGATGATCCACAAAGCCTGGGACATCTCCAAAACCGAACACAACAGCACCATAGACTGGTTTGTAATGATCGAAGCCGACACAGCACTCTCCTGGTTAAACCTCATTCACTTCCTTTTACCTCTCGATCCCTCTGAACCACAATACATCGGCTCCCCCGCAGCGCTCGTAGCAGACGGTTCTTCTTTCGCACACGGCGGTTCCGGTGTGATAATGTCTCGCAAAGCGATTGAGAAGGTCGAACATATGCGAGAGAATTTCTTAGAAGGAGAAGTCGATGGGCCATCAAGTGAAGAAGCATATGATCAAAAATGGGAAGATCATACGAGTGAGATTTGTTGCGGAGATGCGGTTTTGAGTCATGCTTTTGCGGCTGTGGGGGTTAATGTTGCTTCTGCGAGGCCGGAGATCCAGGGGGATACGAGGTTGAGTTTGCCGTTTGATACGGTGAGTGGAGGGAAAGAGTATTTGAGGCGGTTGGAGGAGAAGTTGAAGAGTGATATATTACATACTGGAGGAATTGAGTTCCAGGAAGTGGGGGATGATTTGTGGTGTAAGAGGCCGATTACTTTTCATCATGTGAAGCCTGTGGAGGTTGATGAGTTTTGGAGGTTTCAGGAGGAATACGTGGAGAGGGAGAATGGGGGGTTGTGGAATGAGAGTTTTACGTATAGGGATGTTTTTATGGAGTTTGTTTGGCCGAGGGTGACGGATCCGAAGAATGATGGGGTGAAAGAGGAGGATTTACAGATAGGGACGAGGGTTGCGAGGAATGATTGGGATAATATGTCGGAATGGTGGAAGATCGAACTTAAGGATCAGTCGGAAGGTGGTGGAGTCTCGGTTGTAGGGGCTCCGGTTCCGAGACTGGAAAATGATACGGATCAAGAGGCGTTGGAGTATTTTACTGCGCAAAGTGTCTTCTCGGCGCAGAATTGTCAGTGGGCTTGTGAGAGAAGGGGAGAGCCGTTTGCTTGGCCAAATGATCCTTATCTTGGCGAGTGTGTGCAGTGGAGATGGAGTTCGCAAGGGAAGTGCCATTTGGACAGGAGAATCAGATTGGGTGAGGCAAAGACGAAAGAGGATCAACATGATGATGAAGGGAAAGAGGAGAAGTGGACGAGTGGATGGGTTGAGAAGAGGGTGAGAGAATTCGTGAAGAGAAGGGGCGATTGTCATGGGCCTATTGAACAGATGAAGGAGAGACTAGAAGCAATGCAAAGCGGAAGGGCTGAGCAAGAATCGAGCATGGAGGAGAAGAAGGCCGAGCATGGTGAGGAGATCTCAAGTGAGACGGAGAGCTGAGCCAGCCGAATCTCGATATATTTATGCATAATCAATTTCTCGATACCCAAGCCATCACCAGACGCTCTGGAAACCACTTCAGGTCTGAAGTCCTCTCAATTCCAGCTTGTCACTCTGTCGCTTTACCACGACCAGAAGGCTCAACGTAACAAAGTCAAGTCATGAACAGATTGAACCAAGAGCGGTTACTCTATTCTTCTACTTCAAGCCCTAGATCTTCTTCCCACTCTCGCCATTCGAAACAAGCTCCTCACCCTCCTTCTTCTCCACTTGCTCATCCCCCTCCATAAAAGCCATCTCCTGCGCACTCCACAACTCCGCATAAATTCCATCACTATCCACCAACCTCTCATGCGTCCCCTGCTCCGCCACCCTTCCCTCCTTCAACACAATAATCAAATCACTATCATAAATCGTCCTCAACCGATGCGCAATAAACACGCTCGTCCTCTTCTTCTCCACAATCACATCTCGAATATTCCTCAACAGTTCCGCTTCTGTATGTGTATCAAGCGCCGAAGTCGCTTCGTCGAAGAAGAGAAGAGGAGGGTCTTTGAGAATGAGACGAGAAATTGCAAGACGTTGTTTCTCACCTCCGGAGATCATCATTCCTCGCTCTCCGACTTTAGTGGAGTAGCCTTCTGGTAAAGATTCGATGATTTGGTGAATCCGAGCGCGTTTGGCGGCGGAGATGACCTCAGTGGAGGAGGCGTTGATGTTTCCGTAGCGGATGTTGTGTTCGATCGTGTCGTTGAAGAGTGGGGTGTCTTGGGGTACGACTCCAATGCTCTTGCGGAGGGATTCGAGTTGGACGTCGCGGATGTCTTGGCCGTCGATTGTGATGCGGCCGGATTGGACGTCGTAGAAGCGGAAGAGGAGGCGGAGGATGGTAGATTTTCCGCAGCCGGAGGGGCCGACGATAGCGACTTTCTTGCCTGCCGGGATGGTGAGGTTGAGATTTTGGAGGATGGGTCGGTCTGGGCGGTAGCCGAATGAGACATTTTCGAATTTGATTTCGCCGCCTTTGTTAAGAAGGAGAGGTGGAGCGTTGGCGGGCTCTTTGATGGCTACGTTGACCTTTTGGAGGTTGAAGAGAGTTTCCATGTCCAGGAGGGATTGGCGGAGCTCGCGATAGACGCTGCCAAGGAAGTTGAGAGGGACGGAGAGCTGGAAGACAAGCTGATTGATCATGACGAGATCGCCAATTGTGAGGCTTCCAGATGCCACGCCTTGAGCTCCCATGTACATCATGCCTGTGAGGGCAGTAGAGAAGATCAGGTTCTGGCCGCTATTGAGGTACGCGAGAGAAGTTGCAACCTTGATGCTGGCATCTTGATAGTTCTTCAAGGCTCCATCGTAGCGCTTGGCCTCGTATGCTTCGTTGTTGAAGTACTTCACTGCCTCGTAGTTGATCAAACTGTCCACTGCGACGGTTGCGCCCATGTTGTCTGCAGCATTTGCTTGCTTGCGGAATTTGGTTCGCCAGGCAGTGGTCGCAATCGTGAACCAGGAGTATGCAGCCATCGTGCCCACAGTAAGAGCCGCGAATTTCCAGCCATAGTTGTATGTCAGGATGCCAGATACCAAGCTGATCTCAAGTGCTGTGGGAATGATGTGAAAGACCATGCTCGTGAGGAGGAAGCTGATACCCTTAGTACCTCTGTCGATTGCGCGAGTAAGGCCACCAGTCTGCCTCGCCAGGTGGAAGTTGAGATCCAGCTTCAGTAAATGCTCAAACACGTTGCCAGCGACCTTTCGGATGGCCTTCTGTGAGACTGTCGCAAATATGGCGTTCCGAAATTCCTGGAAGACTGCTGCGCCAATCCTTGTCGCGCCATAGGCAAAGATTGATGCTCCAGCCACTGTCATTGCTGTCCCACCCACAGCTGCGAAATCAATGTTCATGGAATCTATGATGCTTTTGAAGTAGAAGGGTACTTGTACATTGAGGACCTACATACGCTATCAATGGGTGTGAATGAGCTTGAAGAGGTGGTGATGCTGCCCACCTTGGCTGAGACCAGGAGTCCTACACTCAACCCTACTCTGAACTTGGTGCCGAAGTCGTTCTTGGGCCACAGATACTTAGACATGTCCTTGATGATAGCCCAGTCCGCTTTCCGCTGCTCCTTGTTCGAGACAGTCTGCTCTGCCAGCAGAGGATCTGTCTTTACTTCTGGCTTGGTCGACTTCTGGGTCTTTACCACGCCCTCAGGCCCAACCTTCTCTTCACCAGGCTGCTTTGTAGCTGGCTCGGTCTGAGCGACTCGTGCCCGGGCATCGTCTTTCCTGTGCCGAGGTGTGCTTGCGAATATTCGCTTCGCGTGCCATGATGCTTGTATATGGATCGGGAGAGCCGGACGTCGTGCTTTCGCTGCAGTAGATGCGCGAAGGCATACTCTACTGGCTAACATGATGTCCCTGGATGCTGCTTCTCAGCAGCCCACCATGAGCCCCGGGCTAGCACATCCCACGCCCGGCTTTGATGTATACAGTCGCTGCTCTTGTCGGTCCGGAATGCTGTACAACGTGTCTTTACGAGTATATGGACGACAAGGACATCAATGTCGCAAAGGAGAGGTCGGGTGAGTGGTGCTTCGCTCGGCGGATCGCGTGCTCAGAGACATCGGCTCAACTTTGTCGGCTCATTCAACATCATCGATTGTGGCTGGTGAGCGCCACACTTCGCGTCGAGCTGGGAAAGCTCGCATTGAACGCCCAACTGCTCTCGACTTGTCCGCACATCGGCAAATATGCGCCGGCGCGCCCAAGACTCTGTATGTCTGGCCTGTCGACAGGTCAGACATGCCAGCAGTCTGACCGGCAAGACCAGCAAGCGATATGTCCAGATCAGCGCCACTCCTTCCAGCACACAACCCACCCAGAGCTTAGAGCCAACAGCATCGCCCAGCTCCTCCCCTTCTGCTGGTAAGACTGTCATCCTGTTCTCGCCCGCAATGCGTACTGACTCTGTAAAGATGCGCGATTCGAAGTCCTCGGCACGCCCTTCTCTCTCCTCTCCGCATCCATCTCAGCATCGCAGAACCTGTACACGCGCCAAGGAACATTGGTGGGCTTCAATGGCAAGCCCGAGAATGCTGTCTCATCGCTCTCCCTCCTCGAGCCCTTCCGAAGAGCGATACTGGGGATTCCGTTCGTGTACCAAAAGATATCTTCGACAACACCATATACAGCCTTGATCGGCACGAAAACGCCCATCACTTCGCTTGTCGTCGTACACCTGGACGGCAGACTCGACTGGATGATCGCGAGGAGGAATGCATTGTTGGCATGGACCGGGCATACCCTGAGTTTGAAGCCGAAATGGAATACGAGGATGAGTATGGCACATTGGGGCAACACGACGGTCACTGGGAGAGGACTTCTCGCGCTTTCTGGCAAAGGTCTCATACACCAGATCACGCTGAAGACTGGTGAGGAGTATGTCGTGCACCCGAACAATGTGATTGCATACAGCATCATGCAGCATGCGCCGCAGCCGTACCGATTCAAGTCGAATAACTTCAGGCTGCAAATACCCAACCCGTTGACGCTGCTTCCGGATAGCAGATTCTGGAGGACAATGAGGGAGAGCGCAGTGTGGAGATTCATCAGCGAAGCTTCGTTCAGAGTTCGGACATGGACGAGGAGAACGATATGGGGTGATCGAGTAAGTCAAGACTCCCCACTTCATCCACCACAAAACTGACATCCACAGCTCTTCCTTCACTTCCACGGACCCACAACAATCCTCGTATCATCACGAGGCGCGCGACTGAGCGATACAATGACGACACAGGACGTCAATGAAGTCGCAGACAGTCCAGCAGGCGCAGTGCCGTTGGCCATTCACGCGAAATCTGCTGCTGAAGCTGGTGCTGCAGTGACGGCGCCGAATGCGAAAGCCTCACCTACTACCTTGAGCTACGCGAATGTCACTTCAGGGACTGTCAAATTTGACGATATCAAGACGCCTGAGAAGGCGGAGAAGCAGGCTTAGATACCCGAGAGGCGTTGCCCTGAGGCAGAAGAAATGCTCTCATCTCCGTATGTATAAATCCAATGGTGTTGCTGCATCGTTCGCTTCACTTCACTTCAGCTCATGCAGGGATCGCGCATGCGAGCTGCATGAGCGCTGATCTTCGCATGCAAACATGCAAGCTCATGGCAGCCTTGCAGCTGCATTCAAACACGTTCATTTGACTGCTGATTTTGCGCACGTTCCACAGACACTTCTGCGTCTTCACATTTCCGTCCACCCTCATAACGATGACAACACCTCCATCCGCACAGTGGCATCGCCGATTCGACGGACTTTTTGGGCGAACAGTTACTCCTTCGACTAAGAAGCACCAGCGCGAAGCGATGTCCACACCGTCGAAGAGGAAACACGATCAAGTTGATCAGACTGAGCCTAATAAGTCCATGCTCCGTCGGTATGATGATGCCCCAACTCGCTTGAAAATCTGATGCTGAGAGTAGTACATAGCATGTATGAGTCTGGAGAGTGGTCGGACCTGACCATCGAAGCTGCAAATGGCAGGTTATTCAAAGTGCACAAAAGCGTCGTCTGTCTCGCTTCGCCGTACTTCAACGCTGCTTGCACCGCAGGCTTTCGCGAAACCCACACCAATCGCGTGAAGCTTCCTGAGGGCGGAAAGGTTGTGGACGCTATACTGCGGCATTTCTATGAGATTCCAGCTCCGTGGACTCTGCCGGCGCCCAACGGCCAACCAGGGACTACGCTGCCCGCCTCAGAGGGGTACAACTTGATTGAACTCCGGATCGCGATCGACAAGGTTGCTTCCAATCCTGCTCCGCTCATTTCAAGTACTGATGTTTGTTCAGTATGGCATACCTTCGCTTGTCGCATCTGTCGAGGGCGCGTTCGGCGTTCTCGTACAGTCGCTTCAGCGCCGCTATGCAGCCGATGCTCTCGTCACGATCGGTCGTCGGCTTTTCGAGGAAGATGGCGACTTTCTAGACAAGATGCGTCAGCAAGTGGTTGCATTCACAGCCATGATCATTCCGAAGATCTTCCAGAGCAACTACTCGTTCCAGACGTTGCATGGTAATGCGACCTACCTACGCAAGACGATCTTGCACAAGCATGGCTTGAGCCTAGAAAGCATCGATCATTAGCTCAAAGAGAGTTGTGGTACATGTACGCTACGTAAAGCTGGTGGCAGCGTGCGATACCATCGACACGGCTCGTACATGACCAGCAGATGCAGAGACCGCATGATACAGGTGGTATCACTCGAAGAAGACCGTGGACGGAATTTAAGGCTGACAATGGAAGACGATAGTCAGTCGCCGTCATTGGTCCCGTATCACACAGAAGTTTTCAGGACATCCTTAGATCTATCGCAGAGACTTCTAGTGTGCTGATAGAGACACTCGACCTGCTTTTAATAACGGTGCTCTCATCTCCGTATGTGTAGATTCAATGGAGTTGCTGTGTCATTATCCGCAGCTCACTTAATGGCACGCAGGGTTTATTCATGTGAGTTGCGTTGAATTATGTGCGCGCCGGTCTTCACATGACATCGCTCTGCGGCTCACATGCGAACCTCGATTATACCTCTGGTGACTATCCTTGCACGGTGACCACACAACCTCTTCTCACCTTTCGCAAACAGACCTTCATCATTGCAACTACCACTCCAGCCCAATCAGTGCCTGACCATGGCGTCGAAGAGGAAGTGGGACAAAAGTGAAGACAGCGAAGCAAGCGATCAAGGCGACAGCGAGGGAAGCGAAGCAAGCGATCAAGATGACAACCCCGAGAGCCTCAAACCTGTGCTTCAACGCTATGTCCCTTTCATGTTAGCGCACGATTGAGTGCTAACAGCTCGGCAGGATGTACGAGTCTGGGGCATGGTCGGATATCACAGTCGAAGCCGGCGACCCCGAGCTTTTCAAGGTGCACAAGAGCGTGATCGGTTTCGCGTCGCTGTATTTTGAAAATATCTGCAACACAGGCTATCTCAAAAGCACCGGAAATCACCTCAAAATGAGCGAAAGTGATCGCATCGTTGAAGCAATACTGCGACACTGCTACGGGATTCCAGCGCCTTGGACTCAGGCAGCCTCTTACGAAGCTTCTGGGCCTAATGGCTGGGCTGATGTGCGAGAACTAATTCAGCTTCGCACGGCGGCCAGCAAGGTAATTCGCGAGTATCGAATGCTCTGTCGACACTGCTGATAATGATCATGCAGTACCAGCTCCGATCCATGATTCGTTCGATCGAAGAGGCATTCTCCGCGTTCTTGCAGTTGTTCGTGCGTCAAGATCGTCTTAGCAACGTTATGCAGGTCGGTCGCATAGTCTTCGACCAAAAAGGCCCCGTCCTGAAGGAGATGCGAAGAACCGTCGTAGGAGTTACCGCAGAGGTGCTATGGGATGTCCTCAAGGATGATGACTTGTTCGACTGCCTACGCTCACATCCTAAGTACCTACGTCGAACCCCCCTTCGCAAGAAGGATTTGACTCAGGGTGGGACTTGAGGGCTTTGCGGGGAGGATCATGCGTTTGGCGGATGAGCAATACTAGCTTCCAGCTCGCCTTATGAGCAGCTGATTGGGAAACGATGGTTTCTGACAGGGCCGAATGTTGAAGACAAAGGCAACAAGGGCGAGAGCTGACAATGTAAAGCAAAGGTCAGCGGTCGAGACGAAATTAGAGCGCACGGCATAGCGCTGTGAAAGGACATGAGCTTTGCTGCATGGAGTTCGGAAGGGATTTTCAGTCCATTCAGGGTTCCCGGATGGGTAACTCCTACCTCCGCTCACTAGTCCATCAACGTCCATCAGGTCTCGATCGAACGCGCTCTTTCAGCACCAGCCCAGGGCCTTTACTCTCTCATTTCGAGTCATACCCGAGCTGGGATCGCTCGCAGAAGTTGATGGAAGGAGGCTCAAGGCGGATATATGCGAGATGGAAGTCAGTCCCCGTCGAAGTTTGTTTCTGAGACCACACGAAAGCTCTTTAAACCCGCCCAAGCGCCGTTGTGTATACTTCTAATGCGTCGAAAGTAGCTACGCGAAACTCTTTACACTGGCTCAGGCTCACTTCCCCTCCCATCATGCATAATAGGCTGACAACGTACTTTCTACTGCATAAGACTTACATTTACTGGATGCTGTACTAAGACCGGCAAGCAATTGGAGCTCATGGCAACCGAATGTCACGTACAATCTTTTGGCAACTCAATCCGCCATTCACCATGAACCATCATCGTTCACTGCTAGCGGTTGCCTATACGATAGCGATTCACCTTTGATGGCCACGGTTGACTGCTAGCGTTACCGATACTATAGAAGAACTTCACTACCGCCTAATCACATCTCCCTCTACTAGACGAAACTCGACTGAACCTTTCACACACTGTACTCGGCACTCGAATATGTCGCCGAAGGAGACACTACACAGCCCTGACGGCGGCAAATGTCATCAATCCGTACTCGAGCAGTACGAGCTTCACATCTAAATGCTAATCCATCGCTAATAGAAGCGCAGCATGTACGAAACGGGAGAATGGTCCGACTTAACAGTTAGGTCTAGTGACAATACGCTATTCAAGGTCCACAAAAGCGTAGTTTGCGCTGCCTCGACCTTCTTCCGCGAGGCTTGCATATCCGCACCCGGCTTCCGCGAAACGCATGCGACCATTGTAGACCTTGCGGAGTGTGATTGCATCGTTATGGCAATCCTAAAGCATTTCTACTCACTCTCAGCTACATTCACGACCCCAGATCTCTACCAGTGGGATGAGGCAGTCACTATCGACAACGGACAACACTTGATTCGCCTGCGCATAGCCATCGATAAGGTATGACAATTCCAATCATATCCCGAAACGGCTACTGACTATGAACTCTCTTAGTACGGTATCGACTCCATGGCTGCCACTATCGAGAAGACGCTGTCAACTTTCTTGTTCCGTGCAGCAGAGTTGCGCAAAGCAGACATCGTCGTACGTATCGGCTGCCGCCTTTTCGACGAACCATGCGACCTTTTCAAACCTTCTCGCTTCGATGCGCTACAAGCTACCGCGAAGCTGGTTCCACGTATCCTGTGCAACGACAAAACGTTCGAAATGTGGCACGGCAATGCCAAGTACATGCAGAGTACTCTCAAGGTGAGAGAGGTGATGAGACTTGGGGAGCTCGAGTAGCGACTCGACCGCGGATGATAGATGGAGATCGTTGCAGGGTCTTTGCTTGGTCTGCTCGTGCAACAACTCGGACGAAAAGTATGCGATAAATATGGAACTGCGTCCGCAGGTCCATCGCAAGAATGCGTGAGCGGGACCGTGCGACGGGTCGGTGAGGGAGGAATCAGCAGTCGTCGCAAAGCGCGAGGTGCAGAAGAATGCTTGCTCTGCCGAATCAAAATCTGGTAGGGAGGGGGAGTGTCGCGAGATTGTGCTACGGGGCATGTTCCGCGCTACTAAAAACGCTTCGAGCCTTAGACCGTTGTCTTGCTCGTGATGTACATAGGGCGGGGCCCATTCGGGGCTATGAAGCATGGTGTTACTGCTGCCAACTACAGAGCTCTCTATAGACACAGCCCAATATTCTCTAGAAACGACTGAGCATGGGCGGGGAAAAGCGAGAATGGCTCACATCAGAAAGCATCATTCGCTGCAACAGCACAAGCATACTGCTGACACTGCTTTGGCTTTTTCATCGATTGCACAAAAGGACAAGCTGTCGCCTCGTGGCGAGTCTAGGCTCTTCGGCGCCACAGTATAGCGCCACAGTATATTCAACGCAGTAAGGCAAACACGGGCGGAGATCTTCCTACGCTCCGCCACCTTTCGAGAAGGACGCATCGAACGTGCTTCGAACAGAGTCCACTTATTGCTCGGAGTCCGCGATGGCTTGGCGTTGGACTCGCATCAGCAGAACGCTCACGTAACACGTGCACAGCAAGCCACCAGCATTTAGACTTTTGGGGCTCCTACCGCATTTGGACAGTATACTGACTGAGTGAGCAGCATGTCGATGGTATATAACAATGTCGATGGATATCCTTGACAGAGCATCGACCAGCATAATCACCCACAACGATCGACAACATGCAGTCCCTGATCATTGCTGCACTGGCGGATTTCGCAGCTGCCACTCCTCTCGGCGAGAATATCTTTGAGCGCCAGGTCAATTCTCCGTTCTGCTCTACTGTCAGTAGGCCATGCAATTCTGCCGCCCAAACAACCTCAGTCGCCGCATACTGCTCGGAGTATCTCAAGGTCCCTGCTGCGACTGCCACGACGACCAGGACTCTTACAACTACTATTTCTTCCGCTACGACAATCACCACTTCAGCCACTGTAACATCCACCAGGTACGCATTCTCGTCCTACCTCGCCCGGTACTTACTGACAAAGGTAGATCTACCACTAGTGTTACAACTACAACCGTCTACAGTGGTAGCACGATCACTGTGACAAGCACTGGCACAGCTGTGTCGTTCTGCAACAATCCTCTCGAGACTGCTGTCAAGGCCAAGCGTGCCATTGCCAAACCAAGCTGTCTCTCCCGCTACACCGCCTCAGCTCAAATCTCCTCCGCCTGCAGCTGCTATAACATCCCCAAGGCTACCGTGACCTCCACCCGCACCGCCACCTCTACAGTCAACAAAGGTGCCACCATCTACACCGGCAAGACGACCACTATCACTCGAACCCAGACTTCCCTCGTCACCTCGACTGCAACCGCTCAGCGCACCATTACCACAACCTTCTACCCCATCGCCTCTTCCAACCCCGTCCAAACCTACGGCTTCCGCGTTCTCGCCCCACCAGAAGCCGGCTCCGCCATTGCAGGAAAATGGATGATCTCCCCAGCCAACAACCACAAAGATGTCTTCGACAACGACGACTTCGACGAATTTCAAGCCTCGTTCGCCGTCTTCAACGGCAGTGCCTTCCGTGACGGAACCGTCATGGGTTTCGTTGGCAACAGCATCCAAGTCCTTGAGGACCTGCCTCCAGCGGCAGGCGGTGACCCCTGGGGTGGCTTGTACGGCAACGGTGGCGCTCCACAGGTGCACTTCGGATGCTGGGGCAAATGCTGGAATCCGGATAAGATTACTTGCCGCGCCATTGGTGGCCCGAATCAGACTTGCAAGTTGGAGTGCACGAATCCTTTCGATGGAGGGAGTCAGAGTTGGGCGGGATGTTTCGGTGAGGAGGGAAGGAGGAGGGATGAATGGTTGGTGGGTAAGAAAGAGAGGACCGAGTATAGGGATTGTCCGGTCTTTGAGCCCATTCTGGTCTCCGTTTCTTGAGACTTGAGAGTGCAGGAGCAGCATTGAAGGAGTCGATTCTGGAGTTGGATCAGCATTTGAGGATTTTTGCATATTTGCTCGCACGCACACTCGCTTGGATTGGAATATAGATTGACAGATATAGAGAATAGAACAACGCTGCGCTTTGCATATCAGTAAGCTTCTCGCATCTTGGACCAATTTCTTGCAAGACATACCTGCACATACTGCGTCTCTCACAACCTTCACCAACCACACCACATCACTTCACCTTCCTCCAACCTCCCCTCTTCCCTCCCCACGCCGTTCCAGCACCTGACAAGAACACAATCCTCACAATCGCCATAGCCAACATCGCGCCCAAAACCACCCAGTCCTCTGTCCTCAATCCCAGCTTACCCGCACGTGAAAACGACCTTGCAAACCCCAAGGCTCTCCCCACATCCAACCCAAGAATCGCACCTTGCAAAATCTTCCATACTCCCAGATCGTTCGGCCGTGCTCGGAGAAGGAAGATTTGAAGTACAGCCAGAAAGAGGAAGAAACTTGCTGTGGTATCGAGCAAGGCGCGTGTTTCTGTTCGCGGCGGTAAAGCTGGATGTTGAAAGTAGAGTGGGAGAGCAGTGGATGGGGAGAGGTGAACTGGTGGTGTGTGAGAATGATTGAAGTGAAAGAGAAAATGGGAATAGTAGAGCAGAGTATGTTTTGCAGGAATTTGTGGAGAAGCAAAGACGTACCGATGAATCCAAGAATCGATAAGATAGGATCGAAAATCGTGAATATTATGTGGTAGAATCTGGGGATGCTCTTTGATGATGCTGTGGTTGTGATTTCTGTGACGATGGGACGAGGAAATTTGGGGCGGTCTTGGCGGAACTGTTTGCGGAGTGCCTTGCGGTCGTTGGGACGAATGCAGATGCAGAAACACATGGTTGCATTCTTTGCGATCAAAAACAACTGGTAGAGACATGGTGATGATTATCTTGGTGTATGTGATGATGAGGTAGATGAGGTGCCGCGTGGCGCGCGTTCTAGCGTGTTTCTTGTCCGGGACTTGCCTCTTGCCTCTTGCCTCGGACTTTGGGAGTCGAGAGTGATTGGCGTGCAGGAACGTTTAGACTACAGACTACTTCGCAGTAGAATGCATCGACGTGAAGCTCGGAACGTCGCTGGCCGGGACATGAATGATGCAGACTTCTCGGACCACTCTCTTCGCGACGACTTGCAGCATGCAAGTAAAGAGGGTGCTTGCTATCCGCGTACGAACGGCGCAACACTACAGTACTCTTTTCCTTGTTTGTCCGGCCTTGAAAGAGACAGAGGAGGAGGCTGCCTGCACAGTCTTACCAGCAGTTGCCCATCCGATCTCTGCGACACTGGCAATCGTTCTGCTGTTGGGCGCCAGCGACTTCGTGGTTGTGGCGCTGACGATAGCACTTTCACTGCTTGCATGATGATGATAGCTTGGCCTCCGATCGACTCTCGGCACGACTGCGATTCCAGATCATCACGTGGATACTGAATAGAGTGTGTCTGGATGCTGTGAGCCATGTGCCTCCGTAAAAGCCTCCACCGCTTCCTCCAGCAGTTTCTCAGCGTCCTCCCATCGTTGCTGCTTGTGATGTGCCCACGCGTGCTCTCTCAGATAGCAAGCGACCCAGGAGACTTGCGCCAGTGTGTCGGGGTGCTGCGTGCCCAAAATTTCCTTATAGTTCTCTGCTGTCTTTTTTTGCAGCTCCACGGCGTCTCCCCATCGGCGTTGATCGAAGCATATTATCGCGCAACGCCATTGACATTGGGCACGCACCTTGATGTGCTCGACAGTTTGGGGATGACGTGGGCCATAGATTGCCTTGTAGCCCTCTACCACTTGTTCCACCAGCTCCAGGGCTTCGTTCGAAAGATGCACAGCCAAATCGTAAGCATCCACCTTCCCTGCGCGATGCACTTTGCTGCGCGCAAGGCCGGACATTTGGACCAGGGTGATCTCTTTCTTCGAGCCATGTATCCTCTTGTAGCCTTCCACTACTTTCGCTTGGAGCTCCTCGCCTTCTGCCCATCGTTCATCATCGAAATACATGTCAGCGAGCGCGCGTACAATGATTAACGTATCTGGATGATCTGTCCCTCGCCTCGCCATCGCGTCCTTCATTGCCTCCTTGTATAATGACTCTGCTTCTTCAAATCGATCTTGCTTGTAATATAGGGAGGCCAGTCCAGTCTTTGCAAGTTCTAATTCATGGTGGCTAGCAGCTAGCTTCGCCCTTGGGTCATCAAGTGCGTTTAGCAACAGCTCCTCTGCCTTCTTGAAGCGTCCTTGCCGTCCGTACGCGTCGGCAAGAGTGATCCAGATACTCAATAGGTCAGATGCGTCTGTCCCCGGGACCGCTCTCTTCGACTTCAGTACTTCTTCCGCTAAGCCCTCCGCCTCCTTCAAGTGTCCCTTACCGGCGTATATGATAGCGAGCATGTCCTTAGACGTGATGGTGAGAGAGTGGTCCTCACCGAAGCTGGCCTTGCTCCCCTCTAGCACTTCCAGCATTGCCTTCTGTCCCTCTTCCAACGACCCTTGTTCTCTTAACACCAGCGCCATCAGGAGTTGCGAGCCCAGTGTCGCCTCAGCATCCTTCCCAAGGCACTCTGTGCGAAGGCGTAGTGATCCGCCAGCCATATGCGCAGCCTGATCTCGGCCGTACGTGCTCAAGCTGTATATCGCAGCTCGATACATTACCTCTGCCAACGTAAGGAGAACGCTTCTGATCTTGGAGTCCTGCTCTGCCGCGTACTGCACATGCGGCAAGAGGCTTCGGCAAATCTGCCAATTCTCGTATCGGCCCTCCGGGAAAACCGCATCGAGCTTGCTGATAAAGCTCTTTTGAACTGAATCCATTCGATTGTTATTTTCTATCCACACGCGAGTCGCGTCCTGTACCAGGCGATGCATTGTCCACTCGGTGGCGCTGGTTGTTGTCGAGATGAACGAAAATCCGAGCAACATCGCGATGTCGTCCTCAAAGCGGTTATCAAGCTCACTCGTGCCATTGCTATCATCTTTGTCGTCGGTCGGCCCTCCATCCGGCTCGACAGCACGAAGAAGGCACTCTGGAATCGCTTGTCAATCACATAAGCTCATCAGTGATAACAGTTCGGCTGCCGAACTCCTCTATTGAGATATGTATTCGAACGAGATCTGCCAAGTCGTGATGACCGATTTGATCGCCTCCCAGTCGCAATTCGGCAGCTTTTCGCCGCGTGGCAGGAGTTTTATCCGTGATTGATGGTTCTTCTCGATCTGATGCAGATAATGCTGGAGCGAGCTGCGTTCTCCTCTCTCGCGGATGTATGCTGACGCCTGCGACATGGCTAGGGGCAAGTAGTCCAAAGCAGCGGCCAGTCGGTCGTACCCATCTCGCCCGTGCGATCCCAATTTCTTTTCTAGGAGCACACTCGCGTGCTGAGCATCCATTGGTTCTACAACAATGATGGACTGCTCGTAGACCAGCTGATGCGCAACTGTCTTTGATCTTGTTGTGATCACCACTGAGCCATGATCGCACACCGGAAAGTAGTCACTCAACCGGCGTCGGTCCACTGTGTCATTGTGAGAAGATGCGAAAACGTCAACATCGTCGAAATTGTCCAGTATTGCAAGCCACTTTCCTTTGCTCTTATCCCCGAGCCATCGTTTGAGCAGTTCTAGCAAATCTTCTTTCGAGTCATTTCGCCCGCGAATCTTTAGTCGGTCTGCAACATCTTTCACACTCTGCTGCACGCGCGCCGCGTTGTGGGCAGATATCCATATTATCCATGTGGACGGCGATCGCGTATGTACTGAGTCCGCGTACTCGACTGCAAGCTGCGTCTTTCTGCAACGTGTCAGCTTTCCTTGCGTGTGGTAGACACTGGCCTGCCCACCCTGTTCCTCCAAGTCCGACCACTGCTACTCGTGCTCTTGGTACTGAGGCCCTTGAGTCGACATCATTCAGGAGTGCCAATCGTGATACATAATTCGGATCGCGGAGGAGAGGGACAGTGGAGCATGGGAGCGGCGGAGTTTCTGCTCGTTCTACAATGCCAGACGGTGTCAGTTTCTGCGCGTGCCGTGAGGTGAAGTGCACGCCGCTGACCAGGGGGAAGGTGAAACTCGGCCGAGATTGAAGCGAAGCTCTGGCCCACCTGGAGCCCACTGTTCGCATCACCGAAAGCAAAAGACGCTTCTACAGATGTCATGGTCGTGTACTGGTCCAGAGATGCCACATCCACTGCCAGAAGCAGAGCGCGGAACATGACACGGTGTGGACGCAGCATGATCAATGTTGTGTAACTGTGGCTTGAGGCTGAGCGACAGCATGATCGCAGTGCATCGTAGACAGCATTTTTGCAGATGCTCCTTCTCACGTTCCTCCTCTGAATGTTTGTGCTGACTCTGTTGCAGTATTTCCAAACACTGTCGACATGGCAGACCCTCTGAGTGTTTCAGCCGCGGTCGTCAGCCTGGTGGTCCCCACCTTACATGGTGCACGACTTCTTCTGGACGATCTTGAGAAGATCACAAATGCGCCGGAAACTGTTGCACAGTTGACAGGGGAAGCTAAATCGATCAGCAAATACCTCAGCTTGCTCAAAGGCATCGGAGCACCAGTGTGGTCATCCCTAGGAATGAACATTGGCGATCAATCAAAGGCGACCATCCAAAGTTGTGAGGAGGCTTGCAGCACAATTCGTAGTGACATCCTACGTTGGACCAAGCGGCCTGCAAGTGGCAAACTTTCCTGGATTGACCGAGTGAAAGTTGGATTCTTTCGCGATCAGCAGCTCCAAGCATATTTCGACAGGCTCCGAACTCATAGACTCAGTCTGCAATCGGTCGTTGGCGTTGCTACCTTGTATGTCCAGACTCAAACAGCGAGAAAGACCATACTGACACGATGTGTGCTAGATACTCCTCAATTCGCAATTCCCAAACGAACAACGAAATCAGAGACCTCGTAACAGCCGCTAGCGACCGCACTCAAACAGAAGTCGCAGTAGTCCAGCGCAAACTGGAAGAAGTACAACTCCGTTCAACACCCGAATCCACTACCAGTAACGAGGACGCCACCGAGTACGACCGGGATGCAATTGCAACAAGTTTAGAAGATCTCCTGGAAGCACTCAAATTATCACAACCACTCTTACGGGAGCTGCTCTCACGATCAGACCCTGCTGAAGTTGAACGAAATGCCCAAAAGAGCGGCACTACGACCACCATCACGTTCGGTACGAACGACAGAGGCATGCAAGTTGGCGTCAGTCATGGCCAGATTCAGTTTAGAAGCGGCAGTTGAGTCCGCGCCTTCGAGAAGGCTCCCTCCCTTCGTGACATAGAACACCCGATCATGATTGGGAACATAGGAAACAGCGGCATAGTCCGATTGGTTCCAGCTATGTTCTACGAACACTACAGACTTACGCATACCACGCATAGCTACATGACATGGAGCACATACAGCATCACTCGCAATGACAGACGTTGCCAAGGCCGAACATTCACGAACATGAACGGAAGCATAGATGGGATAGGAAACATAGAAAAACTCTCGGTAAACCCAATATTCATTACAATCTCTGTCACTCTCCCACTCCACTACACACCATAAATAATACGTCGCATAAAAACAGACCGCTCAGAACGCACTTTCATCTCATCCAAAAGACATACATTCAATCATACTCGTCCACAATCCTGAATCCTCCATCATGATCATCCCAACAACGACCGAGCAATTCAAGCCCTGCTGCAATGATAGCCTCCAATCGCGCAAGCTCATCATATCAAAATGAAAGGACCTCAAAATCCTTGCTCCAAGTCAAAGAACCTTCCACCTCATCACTTCGCGAAATACCCAACAGCACTGCCACCAGACTCAGCCCCACTCTCGCAAGCAGCAGCAGGACAACTATTTTTGCTAGCGTTCTATGCTTACGTCCTCGTCGCTTCAAGCGCCCAGAGCACACGCTGATCAAGCTTCGACGGAAAGTTTACGTCTCAGAGACGGCAGGATTCACCATGCAGCTGCTGGTGGGGCAGCGGGGTGGCTACTACATATTCAGCTGTGGACGCCCGATGGATGCGACTTCGGGCTCGGTGGGGGTCTGCGCTGCGAACGAAGATGTTGACATCGGATCTGCTGAAGAACAAGTTCAACCGGATCAGCGCGAAGACACTGAGTATCGGCGGCAGGGACTATCTGCTGGGGCGCGCCGAGCGCAACGTGAGCTAAGGTTACGATATTGCAGGGCGAGAGGGTCTCTGATCGCATACTTCTCCAGATCAAGTTCTCCGAAGCGTTTCCATACAACCCTCTCAGTGGACAAAGATGCTTTCGATTACTGCGCATACGCCCTGCCTCCCTCGCCGACGTACTCGCGGTCGACTTGTTCGAGGCCAATCTCGATGATCGGCCAATATATGAAGCGCTTTCGTACTCGTGGAACCTCAACCCCACGTACAGCCTGACAAAGCTAGCATATGTCGACGACCAGAAGCATGAAGAGCGGCCCATCCTGTGCAATGAAAAGACCTGTGAGCTCATCTTTGATTTACTCAACCGATGGCTGTCGGAGATGTCGCTGACCGCTCACCATCAGTGCACATTACCATGAATTTATATCAAGCACTATTGGAATTCCGAGGCATGAACCTGGAGTTGCCCATCTGGGCTGACCAGATCTGCATCAATCAGCAAGATGCTGCAGAGAAAATCTCCCAACTCAAAATCATGACCCAGATTTACACGTCTGCTTCTGCCGTGGTCATATGGCTCGGAGCGCTGAATCGGACGAGGAGCTTTGCACTCGATTTTATGGAAACGCTGACCGACGATCCCACTGCTCACGCCACAGCAGAGAAAACGCGATCGTCGGTCCCCGCTGCCTCAGCCTCGCTGCTGAACAAGATCAACACCTCTTTCGAGCTCCTAGCTTTCATCTCGGGCTCTTCGTTGCAGAATGCTCGCTGGATGGCAACAATGCGCGTTTTCCAAAAAGAGTGGTTCAAGAGGATTTGGACACTGCAAGAATTCCTTCTCTCGAAGCAATTTCGCATCATGATGGGGAATCGAGAAGTGAGCCCTGCAATGCTCGTGCGGGCCGCTGGCCAATGTATAACATTCTTTGAAACAAATACTCTCGCAGTTCATGCTGGCTGGAATCAAGCATTCGAACACTTGAAGAGCGTCATCGAGCAGAGGGTGGGTCTATTCGAAGAGCGTGTTCATTTCCAGAACGGCAAACGCGATACGGCCGAGCAGTATCTCATCAGGGCTAGGACAAGGGCTGCCACAGTGCCCAAAGACAAAGTCTTTGCAGGGGCCGCGCTCTTGCGTGGCGGCGCACCGGAGTCAGTGTCATACTCGTCGCCGACCTCGGAAATCTACTACGCATTCGCGGCCGAACGATTGTGGCCCGAGATAGGCATAGATGGACTTTCACTGGTGGGCGGCGCGTATTCGAACGTTGAAGGCTTGCGATCTTGGGTCCCCGATCTCAGTACAGAGCTACGGCCAAGAGCATTGCGAATTTGTCGATGCTCGCAATTCTCTGCGCCATTTCATTCCGCAGCAAATGACTACACTATCGAGGGCAAGACAGTCCGCCTGAAAGGTGCGAAATGGGACAGCGTGGACAAGATTGGAGAGTCAATTTGGAGCTGGATTAATTGGAATAGCGTTGAGGAAATGGCGTACAACTCGGTACCGGCATCCAAGATGGTTACCTCGATGACAGCTGCACAAGAGCGCTTTGGAATGATGTTCGCATTGCTCGATGACCTGGGCACCACCTACAAACCCACCGGCGAACGAACTATGACTGCATTTTGGAAAACCCTTCTCGGCGGCGCCCACGCGGCAAGCAAAGAAAGCGATGCGATATGGCAATCTCGATTCTTCCATTACTTTGCGTTTATATATCTCATGATGAAATCTTACCTGGCGTGGAAGCGAGATAGCTCCAGTTCAGCCCAAAAGCCCTGGATAGTGTCGCAGATCCAAGACTTGCCACACATGGAAGAACGAGTCACGCATTTCCTCGACGTCAATGACGCGAACGACGTATTGCTCGAAGTTGAAGATGTCCAGTATATGTCATTGAAGCGCATCATATCCTCCCTTTCCCAGAGCATCTGGGGCGCCGATAACGCAAAAGACGCGAATGTGTGGAATGAAGTGTTTGGCGCAGTCGGTCGAAGCGACGACATTTACGAACCGATCAGCGTCTTCGGAGATTTGTTCAAGATAGTCTACGAAGGACGACGGATCTTCACTTCCACGAACGGGTTCTTGGGCATTAGCTCAGAGGGTGCCCAAGCCGGCGATTTAGTCTACTTGATCGCAGGCGCTGATGTGCCGTTCTTGATCAGACCAGTCGCTGGCGCTGAAGCGACATTCACGATTATTGGCGAGGCATATGTGCATGGTCTAATGGGAGGAGATGCCATTAAGGAGACCGAGTTGGTGTTCGAGTCCTTGCAGATTGTCTGAGTTCATCTGAGTCCGAGGCAGTCGTGTTAATGGTGCGCAGTGGCCACGTCGACGTAGTATGATCGGTGCTCAGGCAGGATTTGCAACTCCATGGCACCAAGACGATCTTCAAAGCTAATCTTTGGAGCTTTCCAGATGCGTTCCTTTTCTGGTGACATTGGAGTCGGTCCGCTTTCCCCTAATAACCGTCAACTTGATCCATAGTTCATAGCCTCGGTCGTAATGCGGCTCTGGCGCTTGCTTCATAAGCTTCTGCTTCACTGGTCTCGCTTCTCGTTGGAAAACATTTTGTATCTGGAGCTCGACTCTGTTTCAGCTCTGAGGCGAACACGGCGCAATCAGAGCCCGCACTGTCGAGTGGAAACAATAACCGCTATGACCGCTCTGCACAAGAGGCAGCAGGTGGCAGAATGTGAACTCTGTCCGAAAGACCCTGATCCGCCATCTTGAACGAAGGAGACGAGACAGGGCCCGAAGAAAAGAAAGAGTTTGCATCTGTTCGAGCGACCTAAAGCTTCGGGCCAGCCTGAAAAGCCTCTAATAACGAAACGCAACGACAAACTAACCTCTTTGTCGCTCGAATCCTCGTCGTAACCCTGCCTTTCTTGTCGTCCTTTGCAACGTAGTATAGGTCGACAAAGTTACTTTTGTAAATACTAACTCTGTTACGTAACGCCGAGGCATCGGCCTTAGGCTGCCTTTTCGTCGTCGACCTCGAGAACTAGTATCGGAATAGCGATAGCGACATATACCTATACCGTATCCTACGTAAATAGAGGCATAGCTAATAGTCGAAGATAGTTCGTTACTTCGAAACTTGCTAAGAATCGCGCAAATTTAGTCTTAAAATCGCGCAGTTTGTTATACTTAAAAGTACAGTTTCTTGTCGTGTTTCTTGTTTAAGGCGATTTTTAGCTAGCCCGAAGCTTTAGGTCGCTCGAATAGTCCTTCCCGAATACGTTGTCAACCTACGCATTATATCTACTAGATGTGAAACCAGACGACACGCCTCAAGAAACGCATGCAACAATTCGGGGACCCGACAAAGTTTAAGAGGCAATTGCTACGAAAGTGCGAAAGCATCCGCAGCTAATACGTCCAGCAGAAGGTATGGCCTGCGAGGGAAATTTGGGACCTCTCACGAGTTGGCATGAGAGAAGGAGGTGCGGTCATTTCACTTCCGTATCCACCATGCATATCTTCATAAGCGTAGTATGCCAGGCTCTTCAGATAGTACATGTCCGCCGACAGAAAATGGTCCATGGACCTTTGTGTCAGACGCCGTACGGATCTTCACTTCACCATCTCCAAGGGTCAACAGTACACACGATTCTACTGAAATGAAGTCCCACCAGCCGTTTGTTCACGGAAGCCGGCTTTCATATCCTTGGAAGTCCTCGCGTATAGTCCACGTTCTACAGTGATATCACTCTCAGTATTCACCACCCGACCCACCACCAGTCAAGAATGCGAAAACCGGCGCAATCAACCCCATCGGAATCCCCATCGAGCTCAGTGCCACGCTTCCCACAGTCTTAACCAACCCCACCACCAACGCCGTCCCACTCCTCTTATCCTTCGGCTTCTTCTTCATCGCCTCAATCTCCGCCGTCACAACCCTCCTCTGCTCCTCTCTAAGACGATCCTGATTAGCCAGCAACGTCCTGACCGTATCCTCAAAATCCAATTTATGTTTACCTAGTTCGCGTTCATACGCAGCTTTCAAATCGTCCATTTCACTTTGCATTCTCCTGCTCTCATTCCTTCGTTCGTAGCGAAGAAGCTCTTGCTCGTCGCGAACTTTGTCTAATTTGCGTTCGTATTCTTTCTTGGAGAGTTCGAGTGCTTCTTGGACTTCGAGGTCTGCGGCTGCGCGGGCTTCGTCCATTTCTTTGCGGATCTGGTCGAGTTCGGCTTGGTATTTCTTTTCCACGCGGAGAGCTTCTTCGTTCACGGTCGTGCCGGCTTTGGTTTCGATGAGGGGTTTGGATTGCTCGACCAGTTCGGTTTGGATCTGGAGGACTTCGGGACGGTTGTTGATGAAGCGACGGACGATGGTGAGGGCAGATTCGTGCGAGTCTTCGCATCGCATCATCTGAGCGCCACGTTTGAGAAGAGGCTGCCAGAACTCGGTCCTGGTACGAAGCTCGACTTCTTTGTCGCGGGCTTGTTGTTCTTGTCCGGTGACGCGGGCATCTTCCCATCGGTTTGTGACAAGCACCACATTCTTCATTGGCGATTCTCCGCACAGATCCTTGAACATCTTCAAGTTGCGGAGTGAAGAGCCATACATTCGTGGATCCTGGATCGACTGCAAATAGATGATACCGTTGAGTTTGAGATGTGGTGGGTTGCGATAGGTGAAGTCCATATAGTTCGCGATTGCCGTCAGAACTTCTGCCTCACTGCGGACTGTATCATTGAACCCAGGTGTGTCGATCAATGTCACTTGATGTCCGTCAAGCTCGAAGTCGTATGGTGCAACGTCGGCAGTGTCTGTATTCGTTATCAGTTGACAATGGCAGAAATAGCCAGTGACAATGAAGGGAACGTACAGGAAGAGAGACTGTGCCCGATCCCAACATCTGCTTGGCTTGCTCGCTGGATAAATGTGCTCTTCCCAGAGCCTGTGACGCCCATGACCGCAATGCGGATTGGGGCCTTTGATCCAGATACCATGATTACTGTTGTCCGATCGCGACGGAGATGGAAGACTATCTGTCCAAGACTGTTTCGATCTCGATATATAACCTCCAGGGCGCTGCCTAAAGGCGGCTCAGTACTCCCAAATCTGGTGATTGCGATGCGAGCCTGTCGTGTTCCCTGTTCACATTTCAGCGGAGATGCTTTGCATGAACAAAGATTTGTGTCGATTCCTGTGTGCAGTCATGGCGCCCTCTGAGATACCAACATGTACGTAGCTGTCGCACCGCATAGCTTCTTGCATGTGTTCCGAGCACGTCCTTCAGGAGTAAGCTGAGCATTTCCTCAGCGTGCTGCGGTCTACACCTGGTTGCAATATCGCGTAGAATCATCACCGGACCATGGCATGCAAAGGCTGCAGATCGAGGCGTAAGTCTATGTGTTCCGTGATGCCATTCTTGTCGCTGAGCTTCCGAAAAGCTTCTTCGGTTACGGTTCGTGGCGTGCAGCAAGGATGTTCATGCGTCTATTGCAATTTCCAAGATGAGTTGGATTCTGCCTGAGCGCAAGTAATACGGCCGTATCGCCCCTCGTTATGCTGTGATACCTACCCAAAGCAATCGCCAGCTTGTGTCGGTTGGAGTTCAACGCATCGTAAGCGAGCTGAAAGCTCGATCCTGTAAGGCTGTGAGGTTATCATGCAAGCGATTCCGCAGACAACGCATTGTAGCCTTGTATGATCTGACCACCATCAACGCTCTAGTCACAACACATAAACATAACGTCAGTATAGCCTCATTGTCTGCAGTATCGAACATCATCCCTCCAACCACACCACCGCCCTCGCCAAGACCTGCTGCCTATCGTAATGCTCAGCCTCATGGGTCCCACATGTCAACATTGCAGGATGCACCAAGATCTTTGTCAATTTTCCATCCAAACTGTGATCCTCAGGATCGTCGAGCTTGTACAACGCGTGAGCCTGTAGGATACTAGACGAAATGTCGAATGGTGTATGAGCGAGTTGTGGTAGGAAACGACATGCAATTGCAGGGCGTTGTGACCAGAGTCGGACGGAGAGCCGGCCAGTGGTAATGTAGATTTGCGTGAGTTCGAGCAGGAACTGTGAGTGAACGGGGGTTTCCATAGGGCGTAAAAGATTGATGATCATATCTTCATCAAGAATTTGAGCGTAATGCTTGGCCACTGTGTCTATTGCAGCATGGGACCTTTGGAAGCGCGCCTTTGCGCTTTCAGTATCGAGATGTTTCGGATGCAGGAGACGTAAAGTGTCAGAACGCCATTTGTGCGCTTGCTGAACGTCATCTAGGCGAAATTAGCACCAAGCTGCAAACTCAGAGATCGAAGAAGACGAACAAGTCATGATCTCTTCGAAGATCTTGTTCAGCGACACAGAAGAGTTTGGTCGTTGCTTCAGAATATCATACTTCGGCTTCGGACGTAGCGCCTCAAACCTTTGGTCGAGCCCGTCGTCAAGGAAGAAGAAGGGCTTGGTCAAGATGTCCTTGTGTATGCGGTGCGAGATGAAGGCAGCCAGAAGCAGTCGAGGTGCGTGTTTGATCTTCGAAAGTTCGATGACAGCTTTGGGTCCATCTCCGCCGAAGCGTACCACATGCTGAAGTGAGGATCTGAAGGCCAGCTGAGCATCTCCACTTTCGCCCGCAATGCTTGCAAGCGATTCTGCAGCATATGTTTTTGCGAAGTTCCCTATCATCTCGCGAACATTCGTGATCTCGGCGTTGATAGAATTGATATCAGGTGGCATCAACCTTGCATCAGTCATGGAGCTGAAAGATTTCTCCTGCAGCAGCAGAAGCTCCTCTCCAAGTTTCTCATTCTCGCGTACAAGCGCGGCAGTCTTGGTGTTGAGGGCATCAATCTCCTGGTGTCTACCTCTCAATATCTCCTGTAAGTTTTCGATCACTTCGCGAGGGTCGGCTTGATGGTACTCGTGATCCTAGGATTCCCATCTGTCATTATAAGGTTGCATAGCAGTTGATCTGACTGACCTGGTAGCACGACAATTGGTGTTGCATATTGATAGAGCGACCGTAGCCTGAAGATGACATGCCATGTTGTTGATAGGATTGAGGGTGTCGCTGGAGCTTGTTTGGTCCACTGGCGTCTTTTCTCGAAGTTGGCGGCCATGTCGGAAGAGCACAGTCTGCATCAGCGCCCGGTTGTGAGTACCCTCCCGGGCTCGTAGATAGATCTTGCGAATTGGTGGATGCTGAATACTTCTATTCCGAACGTCATGAAGTGCCCATCCATCGTTGCAGCAGACTAACATTGTGATGGCTTTTAGACTGATGCCGTCTTCCATCATATTGCTCATCGTGTGGAGGATTCAGGTTTCCCGTTGCCTTCTTAATCTTCTCTTTCGTACCAGAGAAGAACATCTTGATCGATTGCTGTACAGAGTGCGTGATGTTGCTGATAGAATCGTGCAGCCTCAAGATTGAAGGCGTGCTAATACGCGAGCCACACAATTTGGCAGCGCAGATGCAGCAGTTCGCATGGCTTGCGTGGCCATGCATCCTTCCTGCAATCCGCAGGAATCGAGCAAGCTCGCAAGCGGACCCGAAATCTGTTGTGGCACCTGCAAAGCATAGCAACAAGCCTGCGCTGGGAAGTGCGCTAATTGTGGTTGTTCAGCCCTTCGAGCTTAGAAGCCACCAACTCGAGGCGACGCTGCGTGTGAGTAGCGTGACCCAGTTTGACGATCTGCAAGCACTCAATCGAAGTTCTGTAACATCGCGGTATCGGTATCCTCTCGAATTTCTTAGTCCCACCTTTACCACGCCGAATGCCCAAATAACGCCCTAGACAACATGACACGCCATAGACTTATCGTCGGGGTCGACTATGGAACGACTTATTCCGGCAAGTGCACGGCACTCAGGGGTTGGCATTGCAAGCTGAGACTGACGGCAGACAGGTGTGAGCTTCGTAACAACGGATAAAGCAAGCCTGGAAGACATCCACGTTATCAGGACGTGGCCTGGCAAGGATGGAGAGTGGAAGACTCCGACTCGAATTGCATATGCTTCCGAGAATCGCAAAGCCGCTCTGAATCACAATCTGTGGGGATACCAGGTGGAGCCGGGCATGATCTCATGTTCTTGGACAAAGCTTCTGCTGGACTCTGAGACGAAGAGTTCGCAGTATGATGATCCCAGCATTCGTGCCGCGATCGACGAGGGCCGTCTGCGCCTGCCGGACAATCGAGATGCGCAAGGCGTAGCAGCGGATTTCCTAAAGGGCTTGTATGCGCACATGGAGAACAAATTGATCCGAGAGTTTGGGAAGGGAATTTTCGATTCAACTCCAATGGATTGCTGGCTGACTGTCCCCGCGGTATGGTCCGACCAAGCCCAGAATGCTACAAAGGCTGCTGCGAAGGAGGCTGGGTTTGGTTCTCGACCGGGCGACTCGATTAGCCTGATTCCGGAGCCAGAAGCAGCGGCTGTGGCTGTTCTCAAGAACATTGTGCGACCAGACGCCCTGAACAAGCCCCAGGTATGTTGTAGCGCATGCGAAGCTACTTTGTTTGAGTTGACATATTTTAGATAGGCGAAACCATTTTAATCTGCGACTGTGGAGGTGCGTATGAGGCTCACTGCGATTCTGGTGCAAGCTGACTCGTCATTTCTGCAGGTGGAACGGTGGACATAACCAGCTATACGATTGACCAAGTAGAGCCGACTCCCATGTTTTCTGAGGTCTGTGTTGGTATTGGTGGTAAATGTGGCGCCACCTCTATCGACCGTAGCCTGCAACGACTCATGAGTAATCGCTTTGGCGACGCATGGGACAGCATCGGCGTTCATCGCAAGGGACCCGGGAGTAACTTTATGAACAAGTGGGAAATTGTCAAGCGCCAATTTGGTGATGTCGGAGACGACCGAACGCATACCTTGGGCCCACTGAATCTGAAAGGCGTCGCCGAGTCGAAGTGGTATGATGAGGAGGAGGGCATGGTCCGGTTGACGAAGTCTGCAACATCCCCTGAACATAAAGCCACTTGTGCTGACATTTCGGCAGAGACGACCTGAGAACTGTGTTCGAGCCTACGGTCGGAGAGGTCATCAAGCTCGTTGAGGCGCAAAAACGAGATATTGAGAAGAATGGAAACAAGCTAGACGTAAGTGGGCCCAAGGATTATGATTTTCAAGCACTCAGCTCACCTCATCCGCAGCGAGTCGTGTTGGTAGGAGGCTTCGGAGATTCGAATTATCTCTTTTCGCGGCTGAAGTCTTGGTGCGAAGGCTTCAAGATACGCGCGTTCTGTCCTGAACACCCGTGAGTAATGTTCGTGTTCGTATCAGAGCTCAGTTTGACTTACTTGCGACGTACAAGGCAAGCCGCTATTGTGAGAGGGGCCGCATTGCGCGGTCTGGTTGGCATAGCACCTCGCAAAAGACGATGCCGACGCCACTATGGCTTCTTGATCAGCCGACCTTTCCAGGCAGGAATAGATCCCGCTGAAGACGCCTTCATCGATCCGTACGATGGCATTAAAATGTGTAAAAACCAAATGCTTTGGCTTGCGGCAAAGGTCAGTAATGGAGGAGGCACATAGGCCCAGGCTGACGAAGATCAGGGAGATGTGATCACCGAATCAACCTCTCGCTCGCATTTTGTCAATCTCGCGAATAGGGTCAAAGAGACAAATATGACGGCAGACTGGCAACTTTACAGCTGCAGCAAAGATACCGCACCGCATCGATTCGACTATTCAGGTGTGTTTGACGCGTGTCCAAGTCGAAATACCTGCTGACGCGCCAGTAGTCCTTGAGTCGGTCGGCAACATTCACATCGATTTCAGCAGCATCAACGTCTTTAAGCTGCCCACGAAGCGCGAATTTGGGTTCTTTGGCAGCCGGTATTACAATCTGGCGTTCGAGATCCAGGTCGATTTCGGAGCCAAGAGCGGATCGTTGGAGGTGCGGGCGCTCTGTGATGGCATTGTAACCGGCCACGCTGAGATAGTGTACGACTGAACGCGGTGAAGTAATGCACGGGTCGAAATGAAATGGTGATGTCTTTGATGGTGAGGCGATGTGTATGTAGCTATCGGATAGGAGCGGCCTTGGAGGAAGGCAGTGAGGACGGAGGCTTTCGGAGGAGAGCCGCCGACCGGCATGTCCTTCCCCAATCGCTTTCGCTTTGCTCCGGTTGGCGAGAAGCTCTCGACATCCAAACACTTTCAAGACTCAACGACAACATCACCACCACACCACCTCACACCACCCCTCCGCCGCCTCTCTCCGCCGCCGTCTTCTGTTGTCTCCGGCGCAATCATGTTCAAGGCCGTGCTGCCCCGTGCGCCCATGCGCGCTGCCCTCCGAACTGCCACCCAAAGCTCAGCCCTACGAGTATCGCCGCAAAGCACATCCTTGCTGCAGTCACAATTATTACAACGGAGAGGATATGCCACACCTGCTGGTACGAGAGATCTTGGCATCAAGAGCGCTGTGGCCATGGGAGCTGACACTATACAGAGGAGAAGGACCTCGTCATCATCGGTGGTGGCGTTGCGGGATATGTTGCCGCCATCAAGGCCGGCCAAGAAGGTCTGAAGGTAAGCATATAGCACCGACTGGATGCGGAGTGTCATCCTCTGACAACTCGGATTGTACAGGTTGCATGCATAGAAAAGCGCGGAGCTCTCGGCGGGACATGTCTCAACGTGGGCTGCATTCCCTCAAAATCTCTCCTCAACAACTCGCATCTCTACCACCAGATCCTCCACGACACGAAGAACCGCGGTATCGAGGTCGGCGATGTCAAGCTCAACTTGGCGCAGATGATGAAGGCGAAGGAGACTTCCGTGTCCGGCTTGACAAAGGGTATCGAATACCTGTTCAAGAAGAATGGAGTGGAGTACATCAAGGGAACTGGCGCCTTCGCGGACGAGCACACTGTGGCTGTCAACCTGGTCGACGGTGGCGAGACAAGCGTGCGGGCGAAGAACATCATCATTGCGACTGGATCTGAGAGCACACCTTTCCCTGGCTTGACCATTGATGAGAAGCGCGTCATTACATCGACAGGCGCTATTGCGCTGCAGGAGGTGCCAAAGAAGATGGTCGTGATCGGTGGTGGTATCATTGGTCTGGAAATGGCATCTGTCTGGTCAAGATTGGGCTCGGAGGTTACTGTGGTGGAATTCTTGGGCCAGATTGGTGGCCCAGGTATGGACACCGAGATCAGCAAGAACATTCAGAAGACTCTCGCCAAGCAGGGCCTGAAGTTCAAGCTCAACACCAAGGTCGTTGAGGGAGACGACAGCTCGGACATCATCAAGATCAAGACAGAGGCTGCCAAGGGTGGAAAGGAGGAGACACTTGACGCCGACGTGGTCCTCGTGGCCATCGGCCGTCGCCCATACACTTCTGGCCTGAACCTCGAAAGCATTGGCCTCGAGACCGACAACCGTGGCCGCCTGGTCATCGACAGCGAGTACCGCACCAAGATCCCACATATCCGCGTCATCGGCGACTGCACATTCGGACCCATGCTTGCCCACAAGGCTGAGGAGGAAGCCGTCGCAGCCATCGAATTCATCACCAAAAACTACGGCCACGTCAACTACAACGCCATCCCATCTGTCATGTACACTCACCCCGAAGTCGCCTGGGTCGGACAAAACGAAGCCGAGCTCAAAGAGGCCAAAGTCAACTACAAAGTCGGCACTTTCCCCTTCAGCGCCAACTCTCGCGCGAAGACAAACCTCGACACTGATGGCCTCGTAAAATTCTTGGCAGACGCCGAGACGGACCGCATCTTGGGTATTCACATTGTCGGGCCGAATGCGGGAGAGATGATCGCCGAGGGGACATTGGCGTTGGAGTATGGTGCCAGCTCAGAGGACGTTGCCCGAACATGTCACGCTCACCCTACGCTTGCGGAGGCGTTCAAGGAGGCTGCGATGGCGACACATGGAAAGGCTGTGCACTACTAGACGAAATTATATCGCTGTCCCCAGTCACATGAGACGGTTGATGGGTCCTCGTTTTGCATTTGTGTCTGGTCTTTCCAGCAAGTATTGGCTATGGGAGAAGCGGCAAGGAGTTTCGAGATGGAACCCTGAGGCCGGAGAGGAAAGCTGGCTTGAGGCCTCCAGCGTGAGAAGTTTTCTGCTTGTGTCTCTCTGTATCTGTGTAAGTGTCTGATATATGAAGCATTGCGAATGGGATCATGGTGTGAAGAACAAACAACAATGGGTTTTCATCACTTCTCTACGAATCGTCTCGACGTGTGAATTGTCTTGCTTCAAGTTAATTTGTTCTACAGTATGTGCTGCTGCATGTATCGTTGCTAGCTCGCTCTGATTGTATCCGGCTCGAATATCCTCGTCTGCGCCATCACTGTCACCGGACACAGAATCTTTGCGTTGCGTCAGAATCACATCAGAATCAGCTTATCGAAAAAGTTCAGTACATTCTCAAGAGAGATCCGAAGCTCATCCTGATCCGGAAAGGGTGAACTGCCGAACATAGACATCGGGTGAAGTCGAACGGTCCCATAAGCTGATTAGTATGATGTTCTCTTCGACTTGCTTGTTCCACAAAACAAGCTTAAATCCCATGATCACGAACATTCTCAAAGCGCACTGATCGTCAGGGGTATAGAGTTTGGAGGCCAGACCAGACCAGACCAGGCATCAGGACTCAAGTATCAGCCAAGAAAGCTTCACCGTCCATCCCTGGAATGAGAAAGATGGCTCGAAGAACCTTAATTTGTAGCAGCATGCGTTGTCTAGGGCTTGCAACGGCCCATGTAACGCGGGTACAAGCATGTGTCGCGGACGGTGTGCTGTTTGCAAAGCCAGGCGAGGAAACGTTCGAGTCCTAGACCGTAGCCGCCGTGAGGAGAAGTGCCGTAGCGGCGCTGGTCGGTGTACCAGTAGTATGCGTCTGGGGAGATGCCTTCGCGCTTGTAGGCGTCCATGAGCTCGTCGTAGTCCCACATGCGCATGGAACTAGAAGAGAAGATGTTAGCGGAAGAGGTAAAGATTAGTGTGGAGATGTGCTTACCCTCCGACGATCTCTCCGACGCCTGGCATCAAGCAGTCGACAGATTCGGTAACCCGCTTGTCTTCGGGATCCTTTTGCATGTAGAACGCTTTGATCTCAACCGGGAAGTGCGTAAGGAAGATGGGCTTGTTGATGATATCCGTCATCCTGCGTTCCGCGGCTTCGGCAATGTCGTCACCGAATTTGTGAGGCTCTCCGTCCTCGTTTGGAATCTCGTGTTCGATGAGCCACTGAATGGCGTCTGAGTACTTCATTCGCTTGAATGGGCGCTCGGGCTTGGTGAATTCTGGGTTGAGCTCCTTGATCATCTTGGCATAGCGTGGGTTGTCCAATACAATGTCGATGACGCCGCAAATGACATCCTCAAGATGCTCCAGGAGATCATCGAAGGTGATAAAGTCAAGCTCAGCCTCAACATGGGTGTACTCGGACAAGTGTCGGCGGGTCAACGACTTCTCGGCACGGAACGATTTCTCGATGCAGTAGACGTTGCCGGCGAATGGAATGGCTGTCTCGAGGTACAGCTGCGAGGATTGCGTCAGATAGGCCTTTTCCTGGTAATAATCAAAGCCAAACAAGGTGCTGCCTCCTTCGACCTGTGTCTGGACCAATGCAGGAGGAGACACCTTGACGTAGCCGAGTTCGTGGTATTTGAGGTTGAAAGCGTGCTCGACGGCGTCGCGAATGAACATGACCGCAGATGACTGCTCTCCACGGAGTACCAAATGCCGTCTGTCAAGCAATGTCTGTGGGTCGCCTTTGGCTTGCACCACGTTCGTAATGGCATCCTCGCCACCAGGCGCCTTGCCAATGACTCTCCAGTAATCGGCATGAAGCTCGCGGTTGTCCGGAGCATGTGCTCCAGGCGGTACCTCCCACATCTCACCGGTGATCTCTACGCTGGATTCGCGAGTCAACGTGAGCGCGTCGTACGTCTTGACAAGATCTCCTGTGAGCACACATTGCAGATATCCATGGCCGTCCCGCAGTGTGATGAACAAGACCTGTTTTTGATCACGCACGCGATGCACGCGACCCATCACTCGTACTCGTGTCCCTCTGTTTGGTGCCCTGTAGTCCACCTCCTTCGGGCGCTCTCCACTTCCCAGCTTGACAACCTCTGGCCGAGTTTCGCCCAAGTGGATCTTGGTGGCCTTTGGAAGGTTCTTGTCCTCAGTGATGACGATCTTCTTGGACTCCTCCAACACCTTTTGCCGCTCTTCCTCGAGCTTTTTTTCCCTTATCGCTAGCTCTTGCTCTTTCGCTGCCTTCTTCTTTTGTGTTTCTGCATAGTTGACTGCCTTCTTCATTGCAGCCTTTGCCGCCGGCTTGTATGATGCAACCTCATCCTTTTCCGCCTTCTTCACCAAGTACTCAGCAGAGTCGGTGTGCTGGACGTAGGCATATTGTAGCGACTTGTACGGCTTCGCCTCGGTGCCCTCTGTTTGTGCGGCGTCTTCGCCGATCTCCTCGTCGATGTAGATGGTCTTCTTCGCGGAGTCCGCCATGATGACGGTGACTGCCTGGAATGAGTGGCTGTTACTGTCTAAGTCTCAGCGAAATGGTGCATGCGACACAGATTGAGAGTGGTGCAGAAAGTCATATCTCGAGTCATATCGGAACACCTTCCCAATCCGCGCAGCCCACTTTCTCAGGGCCATTGAGGCTTGGCACCACAGCCGTTCGCACCTGAAACAACATCTCGTATCAAGGAGGCCATACGTGACCATTGCATACAAACTAGTACTTCACGTTGCTCCTGATTCTCGGAATTGCCACCCCGGCTGTGATCAGTCCATGATTTGTGACTGGCAGAAGACTTTGCCAATGACACCGACTGCAGAACACTCCTATCTCCTCCAGATGTTAGCTTAGCCCTCCGCCCCCACCCCCACCGCTGTGTGTCGCCGCCGCAGAGCCCGCTGATAAATCTTGATCGCCGTGCACCAATTCGCAGGGACGTCTCAGCGCGTGGTCCACCTTCACAGCTTATCCTGGAACCGCTTGCGATTTGGTCGAAGAGTCACCGGCTGCGTCTGGTCGTGTGGACTGATCAAGCAAAATTCAATGGCAGCGCGGTGAGCATAGCATTGACGTGGCCTCCGGAACTCATCTCGGGGTCGACGGCGACGGTCATTCACAGCGACCACGTTCCTCACCATGCTTCATTGGTTCACAGGCGTTTCTCGCCCGTGAGCAGAGGAGAGCTGCAACCGTCAGTGCCACGCAACTGCATTGCCTTCATGCCCACTGTGTCCAAGGGTGCTCGTACTTGACTTGTTGAGCGCCGATGGTGTCACTGTCATTGGAATCAAAGCAGCGAGTGTGTTCAAGGAAGCTGGAGCCGATGCATGCACGCAACGGTTATCGGCTGTAAGGAGATAGTCGAACAAGCCATCTTACCCTTTCTGTTCAAGGCAAGCGTTACAAGTCCGATAGTACTTGGTGCTACGCATCGGTCGAGTTGCTCCTCATGGCGGTGCGTATTCGCTGCCCTGTAAGACCTTTGGGTGCTGTGGTAGCACGCTACCGGACAGCCTGCCACATCGTTGGCGACAACTGCCACGTCGAACGACTGACCTCGGTGGCCGGCAATTGGAAACGGAGCGTTGAGAAAGACGGCCCATCACAAGTAGCCGTGCGATTGCTGTGCCCATGCCTCTTACCCGGAATCGACGAAGAAATACACATCGATGCTCCGCAGTGGCACTGGGCGTGGAAGCTGCGCCTCGATATTTTGCTAGCCATCGCTCAGGGTATAGATAGCACAAAGGTGGCCAGGCGCTTTGGTGACCGCCAGCTGCAGCCATATATAGTCTGCAAGCCATAGTGACGAGGTGTTCATCGCTTCTGTCGTCGTCGTTGTCCGGATCCGCGAAGCCTCGGGCAAGATGCTTCTCGCCCGAGTGTTTGATCTTCCATCCGAGGCGTTGAGGCCGTGCGAGTTCGCGCGTAGATCGACCGCGCGCGTTGATCCACTTCAGTTCCACCATGCGGACCCGAAGGATAGAGCGACCCCTGCACGATCACCAGACTTCATCCATTCCGAATCCGTCGCACAATCAGCCATACTGCGACACCCAACTGCCGGCATTCGCGTTCTTCTTATGCCGCTTATAGTGAGAACTGGAACTGCCCGCGAGTGATGCGAAACTGAACATCGCAGGAGCACCCAACCATTCGGCAAGCGCACCCAGACCGGCAAGAGCACCAACACGATGGCAATGTTGAGAAGGTCGGTGGCAAAACAACTTTAGCTCGGCTTCTGTCGCTATTTCTTCACTTCTGCTACATTGGACCGGACCGCTTCTCAACGCAGCGAGGGTGGAGGGGTGGCTTCTCTTCTCGTACCGTGCTGGAGGGCTCCGCCTGTTGGAAGTTAGTGGTTTCGTCGGACGAGCGACTTCTTTCGCGCTCTTGCACGTTCGGGCGCGAGACGCATCTGCATTCGGCCACCGTCTGGGGACTGACGTTCATCTTGACCATGTTTGCGCTCGCGCAGGACCCTAGGAATGGCAGTTCTCTTCCTCCCTATCCTGGTTTCGCGGCCGAAACAGATCGACGATCGTTTTCTTGGCACCTTCCCAACTTCTACTTCATGTGCTGGCATCCCACGTCCGTCGACCTTGGTCCAGCTCGACGAACTCCATCGCTTCACGAGGTCTTTGATTTCTCTTCGACATGCGCAAAACATATCATCGCGCTAAGACGGCAACTCGCCGACTACCATGGCATCCTGACTGACGTTCTTGCATCCTCATAAAGCCAGCGGCCACCAAATGACACATATCCGAGGAAGGCCACATGATTGTTGCGAAGCATAGCTTTCGGAATCTATTCAACTTCAGGAGTAAATGGAGGAATCAAAAAGGCCTCAAGCTTCACATGACTCTCGGCACATACAACCGACCGGAACACGCCTGCAATCGACCGCAAGCCCAACAAGCCGAATGCCGTATCACAGAGGCTGAGCGAGCCTGACGCTCTCAACTTGGACCATCACCATGAAGATTGCACGCCAGAATGCAATGCCTCCGCCACAGAGTCTGAAGCTGGCGACGTCTCGGCGAGCTCCGAGTCACGCAAGCACGCAGCACCAGCATGACCACGTCAGAGCTTGAGGAACGGGTCGGAAGGATGCTCTACTACTCAGCAGAATGCACGTACATTCAACAGTCGCATACAGCAAGGCATGTGGATGTTCCAAGTGCATGGCGTGGCCGTTCCAACACGTCAACTGTGTGAGCGTACAAACGCTTCCCTTATTCCAGTGACGACAGTGGGCATTTCGACCCGGCTCTCGAAACGACACCGCTTGGTTCGACCGTTGCCAGAACGGATAGGGAATATTCGCACCACTCAAAGTTTCCTTCGGACGTGCTCAAACGGTCATGGGCTTCACCAAGGCCCTCACGCACACCCTGTGTCCCCAGGCTAGCACCAAGCCCAGTCGACTAAGGGTCAGGCCTCGCTGCCGCGCTGCAACGTTTCATGCATGGTCGCGTACACATTCCCAATTGCGGGCGCCGGGATCAAAGCCGGGCTTTGTGCGAACCTTGCCCTCGATTGCACTTGACACCATTTATTCTTTTACATGGCAGTGTTGACTGTGTTTAGAGGTAACTCGAGATGTGTCTGTGGAAGAATTCGCCGGCGGCCGTACCGGTGCGCCGCCGGCGCACCGGTGGGAAATGTCGTACATTGGCAGACTCGGCCCCGAACTCGCCCGGGCCCATGTCCGGAGACGTCGAGACATCTTCGTACTGTGCATCGCAATCAATAGACATCACGTATAGTGATTCTCGTCACTCAAACCAGCATCAGGTTGGTGTTGGCGACGAGAACGCTTTCCATGGCCGGAGATGACTGGGAACCACATCGGAAGACGTCGCTGCACGGATATTACTGTACCCAGGTCAGGCAGCTATTGGCGATTTCCGACATTTTGTGCAAGGCTCTGTCTTTGTCGTGACTGCGCCGGACCCGAAAGCTCAGTACTAATATGCTCAAGCGCTCTCGATTGTCGGTCTTCTGGAGTTAACGCGGATCGAAGACCAAAAATCACTTCTTGGAGCGGGCGCGAGAGACGACTCGCGCGTTGACCGCATGAGGAAATCGCCGCCTCGAAATCGAGCCTCGCAGCACCAGCTGCTCGAATGGAGACCTATACAGTACCGCATCGTCCGCGGTACTTGCGCAATGCAATGTGGACAAGTTGTGCTGGGGTCGAACATGTCGACCAATACGATCGCTATTCTAGAAAGTTCCAATCAACCAGACTCTAGCGGGGAGGAAAACCCGCGGACACGTGCGTTTGCGCCTTCGAGAAAGGGTTCACGCAGGGCAAGAAGCCTTGCAGCACAAATTCCAGCAAGCCATTCCATATTTTGTTGGCAACTTGCGACGAAACGGGCCCGAGGTAGGGATCTTGGTAAGCAATGCCAAGCAACCCGAGCTCAGATCTCTATACCAACCCGAGATGTTCTGAGAATCGGTGGCCTTCAACTGGTCGCATTCTACAAACCGGAGCCGCACCTCGGGGCCGCCTTGAGATCTCAGATACATGCGAGACACTCCTTGGGAACACGCGTGTTACAACGCGCTGTTGCTGGCATTCCTCAAAAGCGGAGTGTGGGTCCGGGTAGGTGATGGACTATGCTCCGGCGATGAAGATTGTAGGTCACGACGTGATTTTCCTCGAAATTCATTCTGCACGATCTCTGTCGTATGCTGCATCTTCACATACAGCTCAGTAAAAGTTCTTGAGCTGGGGCCAAATGATGAAGCGGGACGGCCTGGACAAGGACGGGCAGTCTGAGAAGGTGAAGAAGACACTGCGTGGTACTGTGTCTTTGCGCCTCGCTGGAGAAACGATCATGCTTACTGATTGACATAGGGCGAGCTGAGAAAGCCTGCGTACGGTGTCGAGCGAAGAAGCGCACTTGTGATGGCGGCAATCCGTGTCTACGGTGCAAAGAAAGCCACAGCGCTTGCTATTTCAGGTGAGTCCCATATCTGCCTCACGTCATGGCTCCGCACCCACCTTCGGAAAACCGCTGACCATAGCGACGCAGTGACTGGCACTACACCGTTCCCTACCCTCGCGAGTATGTCGAGTACTTGGAAGAGCAACAGGAGCAGCTTTCCAATGGCCTCATGACACTGTACTCGATTCTCAAGGAGTCGAATATCCAGACTGTACCCGCCCTACCCGACAAACCTGAGGCGCAGGACCTCTTGGCAGCCTTGAAAGGGCTGAAGCTTGACACCAGGTCCCAATCCGTGAGCAGCAGTCAACGGCAGGACGGGACCCACATGCAGATGAATGAGATGTCCATGGCAGGGCAACCTGACTATCGCCAGGGATCAGCACCTGTCGCACTCCATCATCACCCTGCAACATCACCGCTCCAACCTGCCCCCATCTTCATGCCGCAATTGGGACCACCAGGCATGTCGTCGAACATTACATCACATGCTTCGAAACCTACACCAGCACAATACGCTCCCCCATACCGGCCATTTGACGCGCCTCATCCGCTGCCGGCACACGTGCTCGGCCCACACTACTTGCCGTCGCATACAATACGACACGATTTCCTTCCGAGCGGAGAGAATAGCGCGATGCGAATGACGGATTCTTGGCAGCCGTCGCCGTCGTCGCTGACACCAAGCACAAACACTCCGCTGGACAACCGGTCTCACAACCCGACACCACTTGCCAGCACACCAGGCATGTTTGCCGAGGGTCAGCACGAGGGCATGTACATGCAACCGTACGCGCATCAGCACCTCTCGCAACCCTGGGCGTGGGAAGCAGCAGCAGCAATGCATGCGGGACCTACGAGCAACAGTCATTACGATCCGCGAGTATTGAGCCCAGAGGCTATCGAGGCACGCGGAGAGATGGTGGCTCCGCACGAGTCCCAAGCTCCCTACCAGCATGGATGACCCCGGTCGCCGTACCCCAGAAGGTTGGCATGGTCGCGACTTGCGCACCACGCTGGCACGCACGCAGCTGCTGTGTGGTCCCTTCGCGCGGTGTGAAGATAAAGACGCGCTCGGGCCGGCATCGTTAGGCGTTTTCTAGAACGATGCGTGGATGTCGTCGTGTCCGCCGACTCTGCACATCCTGCAGTCCTCCGCGCCCTCTCCATGTCGTCGCCGGCCAAAGTCACCAAGACGTCGCGCCCGCGCGCACCGCGCTCCTGCATCCCGTGTGGCAAGAGGAAGGTCGGCTGTGACAAGGCAAGCACGCACCTGCAGCAGCTGCCGTGAACGTCCGCTCATTCGGCTCACAGGAACGACCGAGCTGTGGACGATGTGTCCGCGCGGGCATCGCCTGCACCTACGCCGCCGCGCGCTCGCC